CTCCAATCCCAATTAGGCAATAACAAAGGTTATCACCGGATTCAAGGTCAAGCAATCACTCCCCCCTCTCCGATGGCCTAGTTGGTATCCACCATGAATTGGTGAACCATTGGTCTGCCCTGGAGGAATGGGCAAGTAAAAGAAGAAAACAAAATACTGGGCCAGTGTTGACGCTTCGAGTTCCACGGACGGCCGGGCACACCCCTAGGCGGGGGGAGTTCATTTTTTTCGAGATTTTCTTAAGCAATGTTGTTTTTTTAGGGGAGATTAGTATCATTATACCTTTTTATATATTATTCCAATTGTTCAATAGCATTTTTGACGGTAGGAGGGTGTAAAGGTGTATATCGGGTGCGGGGTGGGACTGGCAATGTTCTTCAGTGTCCGTGGCTGGCGACGCAGTAACAAGACGAAGTATATAGGGAACGACAAGATTGAGGGTTCGATTCGTGGACGTGGAGAGTTTATCATTTTCATATTTTGGGGATTTCAGCCTACGGGCAGTTGGTAATGGCTCGATATCAGTGCTAGATATACAGACCTTACGTCGCACTCACACCGTTGTATCTACTTTAGACACGATGACGCTTCAGGCTTCCAGGCACACCGCATGGCGCTGCAAGAGATGCGCATGGCACTGCAAGATCCGCAAAGGGCAACTGGAGATGGCCGTCTGGCCCCTCTTCGGATGTTCCGCTTTTACGAGGTGGGTGTTTCTTTCTTGTGTCAGTCTGGGAATAAGGGTCATCATGCTCATGTTACAATATTATCTATGGCGCTGAGTCAAATGGACAGCGCCAGCCAAATCCGATCCCCCAGATCAATGGTTATTACGCCCATATAGACGGCATAATGGCCCTATTCATGAACAGAGGATACCATAAGAAATGGAGCGAGCCGGGAAGGTGCCTACTCGCAAGCGGTCGGATTGTATCGGTGCGTCTTCAACATCCAAAAGTATTTACGGACCATCTATATTGATCCTTCTACATGTAGTTCATCCGTGGTGCTGGCCGAAGGAAGCGTTCTCCTTTTAGTGACGCTCGATGGGTGACAGCTCCCTGGAGAGACGCTAAAAAATCCCCTCTGGAGGAACTGACCGATATTATGATCCAAATCCCGGGTTTATTGGAGGATCTGGACACCATTCGAGAACTTCCTGCTGCGGAACGTTGCCCAAACGCCTGGAACGACCTACTCAACCAGTGCTACCAAAAAGAGCAAGGATTAATCGCTTGGAAATTCGGAATGGAGGATGATCTACAGGTCTATGATTTCATTTATTCAGGCGATTCCCTCACGATGCCACTAGTTGATAGAGACTTCGCCGTGCTGCATGTAAGCTTCTTCTACTGGAGCAGCTCTATTGTGCTATATACTACTATTTATATGGCCGCAAATGAGGCGGATCGAGATCAACCAATTGCACGCCAGTCTCCGATTCTGTTTTCCTCGCATGGATGCCCCAACTACCGGGATGAACGGAATCCTACTTTGCACGCCGACAGAATCATGCACGCCATACCGCTATCATATACTGCGCACGCGGGTGGCTATGCAGCCCTTAGTTCCACTTTTCCCTTAGGCATAGCCCGTCGGTACCTTTTGGTGGCCCATCTTTTCCCACACGAGGGTGGCTGTCTGGGTGCACAAAGAAATTCTACAAAAGGCGTTGTTGCAACCATTCATGCGGTCATATAGCGCACAATTCATTGACCATTAGCACAAGGTAGACACACCCGCGGAAAGTCTGAAGGACTTGACAGGGTGGTGCGGCATGGAATTGAGGCCGACTAAATGGTGGTTTGGACCAGCATGCTAAGGAAATTGGAGGACAAAATAGAGAGGTCATTAGAAGGCTGGAGGGTGCGAAGTGGTATTACATCGTACCGATAAATCACGCCAAGTGGCGTATCTTGATCATCTACATTCAATTTAAGGGTAGATAACGGAGAGAGAGCATCGGGGAAGTACTGATAACTTTCTCATTCGCACCTGACTCGCTGTGAAATTAACATGGGTCACATACATCAGACAGAAGAGGAACATGAGCCGTAGTAGAAGGAGCGTGAATTATTCTATCTCAATCACTGATTCGTCAAACTATACGATCGAATCCCAATTCTGCTATTGACAACGCTCTTATGAAGTAAAAAGATTATTGTGCTCCCCGCTGATCTCCTGTGAAAAAAGATTCTGGGAGGCCTTGTATTTGATAGCATAGCTGTTCAATGCCTCCCATAACGTGTACCAGCACTTCCGTGATACGTTGCGGAATAACGAAAGCTTCGGCAGAATCAAAAAAATTCGTTTACGTTGACTAGTATGCTGGCGTGGCGATCCTTTTTGGGAAAGAATCAGTCGTAACCACCCCAACAGCAGCGTTTCCTCAAATACATACGATACAGCGCGAAGTTGCACCGACACAAACCCTCCAGAGTTCAAACACCTTCTTCTTTGTCAAGGGTAGATCTAAATATGGTAACCCTCTCCCCATCATCCATCAGAATGACTTCGAAGGGAACGGTCTACACCGCGTTCTCCCTTTGACTCGCAGACCAGGTACGTTTCTTTCTCCTCAGCGCAGACTTGATCCAGTAGGTGGTAATAACAGCCCAAACACCGGCCCAAATCCACGGAATCGACCATCCTGTCAGATAGAGACAAAAAGTGTCAGGTCGGGTCATGATAGTGACATGAAATAAGATTTGAGGGCTAATTCGGGGGTAAGGGGACAACCGGGACAATGGAATTGGGAATGGATCAATAATAAGCTTACCAAGTCCCTAAGCGAAGGTTGGGGCATGAACTGAAGAAAGGATACTTATCAACAGAATGCCCATAAGGAGTCCACCGAATCCCCAAAATCAATTCAATCTTTCAATCAGGCGTCGAAACTTCACACTGGCTGTATACCTCTCCATCAGGGCTGAACGATACAATATCCTCAATGATCACTCGCACCCCTGGTCGGAAAATTGCGCCTGTGGGAATGGAGGAGACCGGGAATGGCTGTCGTACACCATGTTTGGCCAAAATTCCGACAACCGCCAGGGTAAAGCCCACTTGTGTGAGAAAAAGAGACGGAGGCAAAGACTCCATTTGTACGCTGGGAGGCTCTTTAGTCAAGCCAATCACGAGTACAATCGTGACAAGTATAAAGCCCACAAGATAGTTCAGTGGAAGAAGTCAAACTACATGAAGAAGAGAGGAAATGAGATTTTGCGTTAGCATGTCGCCGTTCACCCTTCGTTCTTTTTCTGCCCCGGAAGCCAATGGGATGCTGGATGACAAAAGAAATAGAAGAAATGCCTAATTTCCAGCGGCTTTCAGATGTAAGTGGTCGGCAGTCCGATGTCGCTTTGAGCAGTCGCCATGTTCGTAAGCCTAGCGAATATACAGTCGTCACTCCCAGGATGGCACTTTCTACACTCAAAGCTGATCATAGATATCTCTGTCAGTTTGCATGATAGAAAGTGAAATATTTGGAAACGGACCAATCTTATCGGACAGATTCGCCCCCCAGTGGAGGCTTGGGTAGTTCACGAATGGGGCTATACAGGAAGTGAATAGAATAATTCCTCATTGCAGGCATATATGAGATTTGTGGTCATGGAGATTAAGAGGCAAGGCAGGGGGGCCATTGAGGCCCCCCCCCCCCCCCCCCCCGCTGATGACTGTCCAGGTCGATCATGTTGTAGTCCTCGCTCTGGATAGATTTGTCACCGGACTGCATGTTGAAAGGAAGAGTAGTTTGATCTCCTCAGGGTTGGTATATGGTCCCTTTTATACATGATAATTCTGCTTCTCATAGTAAGCATAGGATTGATTCCACCACAGCTATTTTTGTAGCTTTCAACACAATAAACTAGTGGAACTTGGTAAGCGATGTTGGATTCATACTCCATGCCAGCTGAACTATCGGATAGCGAAACTCAGCCTGTCCAAGCTATACTTGATCAGGGCATATTCAGCGCGGATTGATGAAACTTTACTCTTGGCAATTAATCCCCAGATATGATGCTAGGGTCCAAGCAAGTCATTGGATCTTCCCAAATAAAGTAACCCAACAAGCAAAAACAAACAGTATGCAAATAGTAGGAAATAGAGGTACATCTCAAAAATATGGCGATTCCCCTCAAGTGGCGAATATTCGTATTGTTTATTATATGGCTGTATAGTTCTATGTGATAGCGGTCACTACTACTAGATTCAAAAATAAGCGTTGTGAGGATTCCCATTGATCTGGGCCGGTTCATTCAGAGCAGAATATTCCTCGCTATGCGTTCTCTATCTAGATCTTACTGTGAGTGCATATTTCTATTTTTGTTTTTGTTGCCCAAATCCGCACAAGGAACATACTAAAGTAAATAATATACTTTCCCTCTGAAGTTCAAGTCAACCTTGAACGCATGGCGAACTGGTCTGGGACGGGAGCTATTCCTCATAGGGAATCAAAGTGCGCCAAGTTCGAGCTTGGCGGGTCGGGCGTACCGGCGTGGCGCAAAAGTATATGTCTCCACACATGCAAGTTCAGCCCCCAAGCCCACCGATCATCTCATTTGGATATGAATCATTACGCGGTGCAGCGCCCGGGGTCGTTCTCCGAGCCATATTCTGCCTTGTTGGGGTTGGTGCTGAGGATCTGATCGGCGAGCCAGGCGGCGGTCCATGTAACTTGGCCGATCTTCCGTTTACGTGGCTTCACTTTCGGGGGCCAACAACTCAATTGCTGAATATGGACTAGTGGAAGAAGTAGGCTCAGCGAACATCCCTCACGACTGGCCAATCAAATCGACTCGTTGTATTCATTTTAGGACATGAGCGCGAGCCCCAGATCCAGATTCCAAGGATCAGTAGCTTCGCCTTTGGAGGCGATCATACATCTATTGTTGCCAGAGAGCCCTATTTAATGCGACTCCTTTCCCGGAGATATCATCTTCCAGGTTATACCAGCTAAGACAGCGAGAAAAGTTTCAAAAGAGACTCCCTCGTCAGTCATGTTTTCATTACATATCTTCTCCGCATTGATGGCCATTCCAGCCATCTGGACCGTCGCTAATGCTCGCTCTGTCCCCGCTAGTACATCCTTTTCGCAAGTTCAGTTCGCGAAATGCCCATCCAGCTTCGGTGATCTTGGCTCTGGATTCGACTGCGGGGCTCTCGAGGTACCAATTGACTGGGACAACCCGTATGGCGAGAAGATCCAACTTGCAATGCTCCGCCATAATGCGACAAAACCAGAGCAAAGAATTGGTACCCTGTTCTTTAATCCTGGTGGACCAGGCTACAGTTCAGTTTCATACATCGAAGGTGCAGTCAAGTTATTTGGCGATGAAGTTTCCGACCGTTTCGACATCATCGGTCTTGATCCCCGTGGTGTCGGCATCAGTTCTCCTATCAAATGCGATCCCGAGTACTACAACCAGCGTGTTTCCCTCTGGCCATCCAACCAGATCGAATTTGATGCACTGGTCAACAAGTATGCGAGATTCGGAGAAAGTTGTTACAATATGACTGGACCCCTGGTGAAACACATGGATTCAGTCAGTGTTGCCAAGGATATTGAAGCAATTCGCCAGGGGCTAGGTGATGAGAAGCTCAACTATCTTGGTTTGTCGTACGGAACATTGATCGGTCAGACATACGCCGAACTTTTCCCCCAGAATATCCGCACGATGGTTCTCGACGGAAATATGGACCACAGCACCGATCATATTTCATACCTCACCGTCAAGTCATTCACCTATGAGACCGAGCTGGTTCGGTTTACTGAGTGGTGTGGCCCCAGCAAGGAATGCCCGTTCAATGGAACTTCTGCCGCCATTCTGAAGATATGGGATGATCTGCTCGCGAAAGCAGACAAGAAGCCCCTCCCTGCACCTTCATGCAAAGTCAGTGGTACCTGTCGTGCCGATGTGACTAGCGAAGAGATCCTCAACAGTGTCAACTCGATGCTGTGGTTCAAGTCAGGACCTTTCGAAACATGGAACAAGCTTGGTAAAGCTCTGTACTCTGCCACCAAGGGAGATGCATCTGGATTTTCCGACACACTTGCCTTGAACTCTTCGTCAACATCTTTCCAGGATCAGCCCGTCAGCTGCCTTGATTGGGACCATCCCGAGGAATCTCTGGTCGCCCTGAAGTACCAGCACGAGCTTGCCAGCTCCCAGTGGCCCCATGTCAAGATTGGCGATGATGGACGCAACAAGTGTATCGGATGGCCCTTCCCTGCGGTCAACAAAGTGCGGCGAGCGAACATTATCGGGACCCCTCGGATTCTCTTGATCAACTCGCAGTTTGATCCTTCGTGCTCCTATATCTGGGCCAATGGACTGCGTGATCAGATTCAGAACAGCACTCTTCTCACGCGGAAGGGGGATGGTCATACCTCATACATGGTGTTTGGGGAATCGAGGGACATTGCGAACAACTACTTTGTCAATCTGACTCTCCCAACCGACAACACTATTGTTAACAGCTAATCATTTGATATACTCGGAAGATCAACAGCTAGAGTAAGTTTATCTCGGTGCCTGTTGGAGAAATAGCTTTGGGCAACTGGGAAAATCACATAGCCTTGTCTAGTGTATAATTGATAGAACATGATTGTCTTTGAAATTAGTTCGTATTCATTGAAATGGGTTTATTGTAAGTCTAGAGCACTATGTGTCTTTCGCATCTGTTAACCGAGTAATTTAGTTGTAGTTTGTTCCACCAACAATACTTGGGTTTGCAACCATGGCTACTAGGCTACCCTGGTTAAGAAGTATAATCGTTTTTTTTTTCTTTCTTTTTACATTTCTCTCTTCTTCATATTTTCGAGGTGCTCCGAAATTATCGCTGCGAGCCTACTAGGGATCGTTGGCCCGTTAGCGGTGTTGGTTTCGGCTATTGCAGGCTTAATCTGGAACTTGACGATGGCACAACCTTCGACGAGTCAGAAGACTAATGGTACTTTTGATCCATTACACCAAGCCCGGTCAACAAGCCCATATCGCTCTAACTGGGCCATGGGCGACGCCATCCCCTCCTGCGCCACCTCGCTGTTGGAATTCATGTTGGTAGCGACTTGCAGGCGGGCAGCTATCACAATCTAATCCTATCTGGCTAATACTACCCGGCTCAGTGCAACTCCACCTCGAAAGTCATATCAACTCACTGGATCCCAAATCCTTTCATCTCCCCTACATCGAGTAGCGAAGACTTAGATACTGAGCTCATGTCAGCTGACTACCGATAAGGCGAGGCTCCAGTTAACAATCTCTGCACATCTCCACAGCCTTGTCTCCTACCACGATATATCAAATTTCTCCTTCCTGCCAATCTCTACTTCTGCTCCTCCGGAAAAATGTCTGACACGCCCGAAGGTATTATTGAGTATACCTACGACAAGATTGCAGAACAGTACCTGCAGTGGGTCGAAAGCCAGACACTACTGCGACAAAGATACGCCAAGATCCTCCTAGACAAACTACAACCATCACCTTCCATCCTAGAGCTCGGTTGTGGTCCCGGAATCCCAATTGTGAAAATGCTTCTCAACGAAGGCGCTCAAGTGGTCGGAAATGACCTTTCAACCAAGCAAATCGAGATGGCCAAGGCCCGTTGCCCAGGAGCCAAGCTGATTGCTGGTGACATGACTTCTCTCACTTTTGAGCCTGCGACCTTCCATGGCGTAATCAGCTTCTATACCCTGTTCCACCTTCCGCGGTCGAAGCTCAAGGCCATGCTCACCGAGATTTATGGCTGGTTGAAGCCCGGGGGTGTCTTCGTTTTCAATCTCGCGACTTTCGATGAAGAAGAAATCCATGGCGAACACTTAGGATATGGGATGTTCTGGAGCAGCTATGGCGTGGATGAGAATCGGACAATGATATCAGAAATTGGATTTGATGTATTGCAGGAGGATGTCTTGTCGGAAGAAGTATTGCCGGAGGAAATATTGCAGGCACGAGATGGGAAGCTGGAGGAGACTGATTCAGATGATGCCAAGTTTATGTGGGTGGTAGCACGAAAGAAAGAATTGCAAAGATTATGAAGTTAGGCGAATGTGGGCAGGCAAATATGATCAAATAATAGTTTCAAAATTCTCGAACGGAGATCTATCAAAAGATGCCCATCAAAGTCCTAATACCCTTTTCTTGTGTTTTTACACGGTCACGACAGAAGGCATCGAAGCCAGAATGGATATATCTATTGGACGGCCAAGTATGAGTGCATGTGCGGGCGGGTTAGCGCCAGTTAGCGCATGGTTAGCCTCTCAATACCAATTCTTTTCATTCCTCCTCCCCCCTTTTTCATCAATATCATCATCATCCTCGACTTCATTAATGTGCTCACGTGGAGCTTGTTTAGGCTATTCATGCGCAAAACACCTCTTCCTCAACCAATTCCATCTCTCCACGATGGTGAAGCCAATAATCCTGATCGTGCCAGGAGGCTTCACACTACCCGAACTATACAGCGATGTGATCACTCATGTCGCGAGTAAAGGATACCCCATCGAAGCTCTTCATCTCCCAAGTGTAGGCTATAAAACCAGCGTTCCAGGGACTATGCAAGACGACGCCGCTTTCATCGCTTCAGAAATCTCAAAGCATGCAGACGAAGGCAAGGACGTCGTACTTATCGCCCACTCTTACGGCGGTCTACCTGCTACAGAAAGTGCGAAGGAGCTGAGCAAAGCCGATAGACAGCGACAGGGCAAATCGGGCGGTCTAGTGAGACTAGCTTATATTTCATGCATTATTCTACCAGTTGGAGAATCTGATGCTAGCGTTATTATGCCGGATGATATGCTTCCCCGGGCTGCTCCGTTCGAGATTAGGATTGATGTCTGTCTTATCCCTCTAAGCCTTGCTTTATGAATTTAATATGTCTGGAACTAACATGAACTATAGGACGATGGATGGTTACATCAGACCGATATCTCGACTGCTGTTTCCTATGTCTTCAACGACTTACCGAAGAAACAAGCCGAAAAGTGGGCAAAGATGAGTACTCGTCATTCAGGCTCCACGTTTCCTGCTAGTCTAAGTCATGCTGGATTCAAAGATGTGCCAGTCTCATATTTGCTGTGTACGAAGGACCTTGCGCAGGAGCCTGAGCTCCAGAGAGCGAGTATCGCGATGATGGAAAGGCAGGGTGGTAAGGTTGATGTTACGGAAATCGATGCTGGACATGCGCCAAATGCATCTCGGCCTAAGGAAGTTGCAGATTGGATCATTTCTATCGCCGAGCGGTCGTCTTGAATAATGTCGATTGCATTTTGGCATGGCTTGCAAGAGTTTTGGTTGCGTAGAGCACGGTACCTATTGACAGGGTGATGACTTATAGGTACATAGTAGGTGGCATACTTCGTACCATTCGAACTTTATACAGATTGTCTTCGGCAGACATATCCATGTTGTAGGGGGGTATGAAGGAAGAGGAAGTTATTTCTTATGTCAAACGTATGATCTGAAACTAAACATCCGAGTCCAATGTAGCGCAGGTCGAGGTAGGAATAAGGATGCATAGACAGCCTTGTTGGGCGAAGCGAGTCAGGCAGGGTTCTGAGCTGGCCTGCGCAAGAGGCCGAAGCCTTTTAAGATACAACCGAGTTCACGTATACACTTCGAACCGGAATTCTACGTGTGGTTCGAATCACGAAGCTCAAAGCAGGCCATATATAGCCCTCAGGTAAGAAAAGATCATAGCGCCATCTTTTTGGAATTGTATCTCAAATCGTGTTAATTCGCACACATGAATCCAGACGAAAGCCCGCCCGGGATAGTTATTCCCAAAAAAAAGTTCTCATGAAATCCCGGCGCTGATGAAGACGGGCTTTCTGTCCGGCACCGACCCCGCAAGACTCCATTTCCCCTTCCCCATCCACCACATTTTGCTTTTGATGGAGCTCTCCGTTTAAGAGCGAGGCTTCTCCTTCTTCTCCTTCCACAGAGCGGCGAGACCGACACCGGAGACCTTGACGACCTTGAAACGGACACCGGGAATATCACCCTTGGCCTTGCCCTTACGACCGAAACCGGCCAGGAGAACCTCGTCGTTCTCGTCGATGAAGTTCAAGCAACCGTCATTGGGGACTGTAGGGAAGAGAAAGTAATTAGTGCGATGTTCTTGTTGGTAGAGATCGATTGCCAGAGAAACCATGTTGAAAGCGCGAAAGTCGCTCAAACATGGCCAGGCCTCGACCAGGCGTAGATTGAATAAGGGATTACCCACCGAAAGCAGCGACCTTCTTGCCGTTCTTGATGAGCTGGACCTTGACACACTTGCGGATAGCGGAGTTGGGCTGCTTGGCCTCAACACCGACCTTCTCCAGGACGATACCCTTGGCGTGGGAAGCACCACCGAAGGGAGAGGACTTGAAGGCAGTTCCGAGGAGGCGCTTCTTGAAGTGGAGATCGGCCCAGCGCTGCTCCTTGCGGTGCGCCTCGAGCTTGCGGGCGGCGTTGAGACCACGGGGCTTTCCTTTACCCATCTTGGATTATTCTTGTCTGAGGCGGTAGAAAACGAAGGTTAGTTTTGCGGTTCTGGGATAATTGTTCTCAACGATGGCGAGAGTGAATTTGTGCGGGCTCGATGGGATAAATAGAGGTGGTGATTGGGGTGATGATGGCTGGGATTCTGGAATTTTCGTGCGTGTTGCCGGGATGGTTGATTTGAGAGTCGAAGATTTGGTGTCGAGTCGCCCACAACCACCAGACAACACGAAAAAGAATTCCAGATGTTGTATGTGCGAAGAGGATCACAGGGAGAATGCTCAGGGGCCGAATACGTACCGACTGAGAATGGGTGTTGTCGAAAGGGTGAGCGTCGTGGGGTGTCGAAAAGTCGAAGGTTTCGGATTACCCTTGAACGCCGGCGCACTCGCTTGGATTGGGACTCTGCCTCACCTGACTTGTGTGCGCGTGCCCTAAGCGAGTCACGGGATCGGACAAACCCCACCCGTCTTATGTCATCTGTTTTGTCCCTCCCGTCCGATAAGATAACATGTTTATCGCTTATCGGCTGGTAAGCTGCAACAGCCACTTTTATCATTATATCATTGCTTTGCTACTCCGCCTTTCTTGCATTCATCCCCGAGGGCGTCCCCGCGATGGATTCCTCCAGGAAACCTCCCAGCTCTCAGCGGCTTCCGCCGCCCGCTCTGTTTCAAGGTCCACCATCCCATAATGCATCCAATATTTCCCTCGCCGTACCTCCGTCTGGACCGACCCTCCCCACTCCATCTGGTAGCCAGCCTCCACCCCTCCACCGCAATCGTTCTACTCGTGGCAACGATGCCGGCTCTCCAGATAACCGCAGCTCACTCTCTCCATTTCTCTCACGACGACCATCTAAACACGATGTTGATGGTTCCGACGTTATCTGGCAAGAAATGCAAAGTGCCCTGTCCGAGGTAGAACTAAGCGCGGTTACCAGCGAGCATGTCTTCGGCGAAAAACACGCCGAGGCTCTTGAGGATCTCCGCATGAAGCAATTGAGACTTGCTCAAGCATGGGCTCGCAGTGAGGCAGATGATGAAGTCGTCGGTTCCAGCAGCAATACTGCTGATGGCAATGCCTCCGCGACGAGTGCACAACGTCGAGGGTCGGGAGATGGCAACGCCACAGATGCCACGAATAATACCCAAGCATCTGGTAGAGACCGTGTCTCTTATCGAACTCTTGATGAAGAAACGGAAAAGGATATTATACTTGCGCGCAGGCGCCGTGAGGCTAATGACCGCTACTTTGATCGAGTCAACCAGGGTGTGCTGGATGTGGTCGCCAAGCTAGAGGAAGTCTCTCAGGCCATGCGCACAGTTGAACGAGAGAGCAAGGATATCTGGAGTGACTCGGAGAGTGTGACCACACCTGCACCCTCTACTGCCCACTCTGGTTAACGGGCATCGATAACTCGAAGGGTCCATTGTTCTTATTCCTTTGCACATACGCTATACGTCACGCCTTTACGAACCTGCGCTGGACGCTCTCATGACCTACGTTTGCATCGTACCTCAGTCCAGGTATCTTGAACCATAGCCATACTAATTCATGTATAATACCACAATGTCAAGAGAAAGCCGTTTTCGAGTAGATATAAAGCTCATTGAATGTAATATCAAAGGGTATCCTAACGCCGCTCACCATGCAAGGCCCAGTCAGCCATAATGATGCATCATAAAGAGACATCTCATCCATGCAGCCCAAAAATAACAAGATAGGCCATGGATATCCTCAATCCTTCTTCACCCATCGCATTATATCGTTCCACCCATGACACGCCGTCTCCTTCACACTCTCCCAGCGATTCCCATGTGCATTGCGAGCAAAGTTCCCAACCTCCTGGTTCCATCTGTGCTTCAAAACATCCTTAAGGGTGATCTGGTCTTCCTTCTGGCTTTTCCTTTCTTCGAGGCTTCGAGGCTTATGTTCTGGGAAGAAGCGTCGGTCGTATGCACCAGCAGAAGCGGCGAGCCAGTTTATTTGATCAACCTGTTCACGGATTTGTCGGCGCTGTTCGAGCCGTGTTGCGCGGTGGACTGTGATGGTGATGTAGAGAACGGAGGTAGTAAGGGCGAAGCCACTGAACTGTTTATTTGAAGAAGCGTTAGACAATAGCTTTCAAGGTGTTCGACCTGCCAACTTGGACATACAAATCCAGAAACGAAGTTCATTGCGGATACGGGTTGAACGGTGTTTCCCGCGACTGAATCAAGGAGAGCGTGTCAAATGAGAGAGGGATTATGACACAAGATATTCCGTGTAAAGCACCTCTGCTACTAGCAGTAGTAAGAAGACAAGAGCAAATGAGTGCGTCGCAAAGTGATTCTCGTTGTCGTTGCGAAAGGAAAAAGGGAAGTCGGACAAGGCGGTGGAAGCTCTCCGATTGGCTGGACATCCCCGTCGAATCTTTTGATCCGAACTTCCTCCCTCGCGACCTCCGACAGACTGACACTTGCAATTCCTGGGGACAATTGAACCAGCCTGTCCGAGATACCTGGCTCCAATTGGATCTCACTTTTGACTTCACCACCTACTTTCACCCTCCCCGCTTCACAGTCTCTTCCACCATGGCCGGCGGAGGAGGAAAATACCGGCACCTGGGCCGCAAGTCCTCGCATCGACAGGCCCTGCTCCGCAACCTGGTTACCTCGCTTTTTGAGAATGAATCGATCACGACAACATGGGCTAAGGCTAAGGAGGCACAGCGGTTGGCGGACAAGTTGATCACGCTGGGCAAAAAGAACTCGGAGGCTAGTCGGAGACGAGCACTGGAGATTTTCTATGTACGTGATTATATCCCCAGATGCTCCCATTTTCTCAGCCATCCAAGCCGTAATCCTGCTAGGAGGAGTGAATTGGACGGCCTCAGAACACGCTATATCTCACTACAGACCAATTACTAACCCCTTCCTACCCAGAAACCCCACGACATCCTCCCCAAGCTCTTCGGTCCCCTCCGCGAACGCTACGCCGATCGACCAGGTGGTTACACCCGCGTACTCCGCGTCGAGTCCAAGGAGAAATACGAATACTACTCCGTCCGCCGGAGCGACAAGAACGCCGTCCCCGAACGCAAGCCAGCCGACCAAGCACCCAGCGCTATCCTCGAACTCGTCGACGGACCCAAGGACATGCGCTTCGCGATGACGGCACGTGCGATCGCGCGCCAACGCGAAGAGGGTCTGAAAGAGCACGAGCTCACGGCTTTGAATAAGAAGAAGGTCACGCAGTTCCGGAAGGACGGCGTTGATGCGCTGGAGGCTGCTGTTCAGAAGTTGCAGATCCGGGACTCGGAGAGTGAGGGTGTTTCTGCCCTTGACGGGGAGGAGTCCAAGTCTGCGCAGGAGGAGGCGCAGCGGAGTGCGGCTCAGGCTGGACGTTTGGCTAAGAAGATTGGTGGTCTTAACAAGTCCACGTAGTGGGTGGGTAGTCAGGGTGGCTTCGCTTGCATTTCCTTGAGTTGATGCAAATGGATGGGGGGCTATTTGTGGATTTTGTTGGTCCTTGATTGGTGGATGACTATTCATCTCCCGTTTTTTCTTGTCTGTTCTTATAGGAGTTTTTTGCTGCTTTTGGTATCTTGTCCTCCATCCGTTGTGACCGCATCCAGGTGTGACATAGCCTGTGTACAGTATAAAATATTTCGATACCTCTTCTTCAACTTCTTCATCCACTAAAATTCGTACTTGGAGATAATTTAGTTTTTTATGCTATTTGAGATATCTGCTCTATATGTTGGTGTTCCCAGCGGAAGACATCGGCAGTCGAAGATATATCTTTACGGACACCTACCCACCCGACCACACTCAACATATGGAGGCGGTTAACGATGGTCATCCCCAATGTACCAAGCCTGCCAAATACATGGAACCTGGATCTGTCAGTGTTCATGGACCGGAGTATTTCAAGACACCTTCGATACCTAGACGGGAAGCTATCCATCTCTACCTATCTATTCCAAGGCCATCTACGGATATACTGACAATAATGCGGGCTACATCTATTTCAAAATACTTGCAGTCATTGTTTAATTTAGGTGGGAACTTATGCACCGGTGGTAGAGATTCAAATATGTAATTTCTTAGCTAACAATGAGCTAGACTTCGAGCGCCCAGATCACCATACGCCTTGCCAACTGTACAATCCAACCGGGCCGACACGCTTGAAGCTCTGACAAAACGCCTCTTGACCAATCCCAATCACACCTACACAGGACCCAATGCACAGATATGGGCTCAAAGAGAAAGGGGGGAAAACGTTTGTTCGCTGTGTCTAATCATCATCCACAGACCTAGTTCATCTTCGAAGTGGTCGTACCTCCGGATACGACCAGAGGCCCATTCTTGGGGGCGCTAGGAAGGCCGTTACTGGGGACTGCTGGAGCGGGGAGGCTGGCAGACCCGGCGCGATGTTTGATCTCAAAGCCAGAGGGGACTTCAGATGGAGGGGGTTTAGGAGGTAAGTGGGATGGGGTGCCCCATTTAGCAATAGAAGTTTGTGAGGGTGTGCTTGGGTTGCGAGCTGCATTGGTAGCCGGGGAGTGCTCGAAGGTGTGATTGGGCACAGACTCGGGGAACCTAGGCCAGTTGGGCTGGACAGTGGGAGGTCTATTTCCGTACGACTGCATAGGGTGCTGAGGTGGTTGCTGCGCACCTTTGCCTGGGTGCCGCTGTGGCCCAGCACCCCCGGAACAAATGAGCGTGTCTGGGGGTTGAAGTGGGACCTGGGGAAATTGCCTGCCATCGCCGGGTTCCCAACATTGTGCATGGCAGAGTTCATATGTTGCCCGGGGTACTGAGCATAGGAATAGGTTGCCATGTTGGGGGTCATGGCCTGGGGTTGGTAGTTGGGCCATGGTGCCTGGGCTTGGGTACGCTGATGCGGAGGTTGCTGAAAATTGCCGGGGAAAGGGCCCGAGTTCCAACCAGCCTGTTGGAATTGCGGCGAATGAGGGGGGGGAAGTTGTTCATCGCCGGCGAGGATTTGGTGGATGGCTGCTGGCCTATCATACCAGGCTGGTTCATGGAAGAGTAACCAGGGAATGGCGATTGCTGCTGTCCATTTGCGCCCTGCCATGGGGCAGCAGAGCCCATCTGGGGCGACATTGCCGCTGGAAACTGCGGCACGTTGTTCATGTTGTTCATGTTCATTCCTACCTGCCCGGAGTACATTGCGTTGTTCTGACCAGGAGGAGACATGTAACCACCGCTAGGAGGAGCGACACCTGGTCCAACCATGTACGGAACTTGCTGGGTATATGTGCCATCATTCGCAGATGGATTATACGCCGGGGAAACGTTGTTGCTGTACTGCATCCCGGGGTAGTAGGGATTGAACTGGGAGCGAGCTTCAAAGCCGTCATCATTAGGAGTGCGCTGTTTCTGTGGTTTCTTGCGTCCAGTGGTCGAGCTTGAACGAGACATGTTGGTGGTAGAGTCACCGCTAGCCTCTGATTTGGCACTTTCAGGGAAGTCACGGAAAATGCGCTCACGCACTTCTGCGTATTTGGCTTCTCGTTCTTCCCGTGTCATAGCCATACGATCCTTAGCTGACATTGAGCCTGCCGAGCCTGTGCGGTCTCCGTCTTGACCTTCATCGGTCTCCGATGCCGCCTTGGATGGGACAGATGAACTTGCCGCCACACTACCCTCGGCGGAGGGCCGTCCATCTGCCCGACGCATGATTTTTGTGGGCATAGGATGAGATGGTTTTTCGCTTGAAGCTGGAAAAAGTTCGGACAATGGTGTGGGACTAGCCAGGTTAGTTATCCAGCAGGACAGAGACTAGCAAACAAGGCAAGGGACTTACAGTCTGGAGAAAGGCGTTCGGTGGAGGCGCACTGAAGTCACATTGTTGTCCACAAAATGAGTCAAGTGGTAGTAATCTCCCAGTCTATGTGCGAGAAGTCGGCCATATGAATTGTTGGGGGGAAGTTCCAAGGATTGTTCACTTTATCGAGTCGTTAGTTGTGAGACAGTAGCTAGATAAGGGTGATGATCGGTCTTACCTAGAATATTGAATGAATGCGCGGACCTTGTCCTCTATCGTGAGGACCATCAATCGATCTTTAGGATTTTCCATGGCCGTTATGAGTTTCTCATCTGGATGGAGAGGGAATGAATGGAGACTCTGTGCGCTTTGCGGGTCATCAGGGTTGACCGGAACCACAAAGTTGTTCGCTACTGAGTCTGGAGAAATGATGACAGGACCTTGCAGATTGCTGTCGTTGAATCCAGGGACAGGCGTAGGAAGAATTCCACGTGGGCGTAGAGCAATGTTATCACGGAATTGGTCACGGAATGCACGACCACCGGCCTCCGAACCTGTCACGGAGTTTGGAGCGCCAGAAGCAGCCCCGGACAAAGACTCTTCCTCGTCAATAGCTTGTACACTGGCACTGTCGTCAGGCCGAACTGAATCTTTCTCATCCATAGCGAAGGTTGTCACTGAGGCCAAGCTCTTAGAGTCGAAGTTGGTCATTTTCGTAGAGGAAGTAGAGAGATGAGTGCGGTCATCATCGAAAGAGTTTTCACGCTTCAAAAGGCCATTTTCCTGACCATCGATTGAAGATCCAGATCCCTGACGATCCTTCTGTGGGCTGAGATCGAGACCTTGCACAGCTCTCGCCAGATCGTTGCCACTGGGGCCAGTGAGAGGGAGTCGCTCGTTGATGGTGTTCAGGTTGTGTGGACCAGGCCCCAAAGCACTGGGATCCAATGTTTCGGCATAAACGGTGACATTGGCGGGCTGGGCCGTATCATCCTGGTTGGATGCCACAGGCGAGTGGGGAGTGGGGGGTGCAGGCATGGCGGCAATCTAGTATTCGGTGTTAGGTCATGAAGCCAAGGAAAAGTCCACCGGACCAGCTCACCTTGGCAAAGGAGAAGTGTGCATCCCCGGCTGAGGTATTCTGAGACGCCATGTCCACTATACCCGGCGATCGTCGTCGGGAAGGGTGGTGCAACGAGGTAGGGAAGAATGCACGCGAGTTTCAAAAATCGAAGCCAAAGCCGCGGCAAAACTCAATACGTCTCCCGAGTCAGACGGATCGAAAAATAAGATTGAGTCGCAAGCAAGTCACTGGAGAATCCCGGTTCACACGAGCCAAAAAAAAAAGACATATCTCTGTTGCAGGGCTTTCGCCATCGGGAAAAGCTATGAGACGGCAACGTATTAGAAATGATTCCTCATGCAGCCGAAAAAGGCTCGTCTTCTTATGTTCCCACCACAGGCAGCTCTATCGGCGGGGAAATCGACTTGGGGGAAGCGGGTCTCACAGGATGTTAAAGCTGGTTCATAGTCAATGCAAGATAGACCTCAATTGGAGATAGGTGGCTGGTCCCGGACAGGGCGGCGAAGGACTAAGTGTACTGTATCGCTCTGTGAGTCGGTCACGAGTAAACCCCACGCCGAAGCCGAAGAGAGCCAACACGATTATTCTGTTGGAGAGAAGGAGCGTTGGGTGTCGGAGCTTCTGATTATTCTTCGAACGCCTAAAGGTTCGTGGGTACCATTTTGCCACGACCGACCGCTTTTCCCGCGTGCCTACAACTTCCTTTTCATCAGAAGAGCAGCAGAGAACAAAGCATCTTGCTAATCGCTGAGACCGACTTGTTAATACTGGATTCTGGATCTTTACTTCCGCTTGAAATTCATATCACCTTGATTTGGCCGATCCATACCCCGACAGCGCCATGAACCGTTATCGAAATGCGCCAGGACTCCGAGCCGGGCCTAGCACAGCTTCTCCGACGACTTTATGCCAAAAATGCCTGAAACGAGATATGTAACCCTGGATGATCTGTTGATCAGTAATTTTGCTGACTCCTTTGCACGACATTATAGCTATGAGTGCAAAGCAACGACCCAGGAACGGCCATATACGGCTCGGCCCTCAAGGACCCAACAATTGCTGAATCCCCGGCTGGTGCCCAAGCTCTCGGAGGACGTGCCTACCGATGTGCAGACGTATGTTTCTAACGAGTCTTTAATCAATTTTTTATTGGTACCATTGGATGAATTCTAACAACGTGACTAGGACCGGTATAGCAGACGAGATCCTAGCAAAACGCGAGGCAGAGCGTGGCCGGAAGAGAGACCATGATAAAGATGACGAAGACCGCTACGGCCAGTCTCCAAAGCGAGCAAGGTCTCTCTCTACAGATTCTGCAGATTCAATTTCAACAATATCGACAAATCGATCTGCATCTGCGTCACCAAAGCGCCACAGCAGACATAGCTCACGTGCCAATGGCCGCCGCAGCTCGGCATCACCACCCCCAGGTGAAACTCGCAAGAGGAGGTACAGCGATGCTTCGGATGGTTCTTCCGCAAAATCGTACTCTTCAGGTGATAGGCAACGATCGAGATCGAGATCCAGGTCCAGGGAATGGACCGAGGATAGGAATATTCGACGACGACGCCGGGAGAGCAGCCCAGAGGAACGCGGAAGGAACCGTGATTCAAAGAAGCATGAGCCTCGGAAAACCGACCGACGCAGCCAGAGCGCGGATAAGAGTCGAATCGCAAAAGCGCGCCGTTCTATGACACCGGATGCCACCTATGATCATTCGGAAAAACGCTCATACCGAGACCGAGAACCTCTACAAGGGCCATCTCAATCAGGACGGTCTAGGCAGGATCCCAGGGTTCGTGGAGGGCCACCCCGTGAACGAAGTATGAGTCCTTACAGCAAACGTCTTGCGTTGACGCAATCCATGAATCTGGGACGGTAGAACAGGCATCGCAAGGAGCGGGCCCTTCTCTCATTTCCCCCATTTGAAGCTTACGAGGATCGTTCTTGATCATTGATGCGAGCAAATATGGTTCGTGGCGAGCAGATATTGCCAACTTTCTGGTTTCATTGACCCCATTGGAACAACTTTGTATTAATAGCATATCCATGCATCCCAACGTGCAAACCCTTTTCAACGCCCCTTTTTCTGTCTGTAACAGTGCCTTTGGCCCCAAATCAGACGCCCCAGACCAAGACAACAGAAAACCAGCCTGACTTGGTAAACATAGTAGACAATCAAAATGAAAATCCAAGATAATCAAAAAAATTTACAGGAGCACGAGAGCCAAAGAATGCCGGTAACTCGGCAGTATAGGGTATCACTTCAAATCACATCCTCATCGTTGCTGACTTCCTGCTCCCGCATATGAATTCCCTCCACAAGCGCATCTCCCTCGATGCCGACTTCCTCCCCTCCTTCACCGTTGGTAGTTGCGCCCCGTTCCTTCGCCGCGCGTTGTGCAGTCTCTATCCGTTGTCGTACTAGGCGGGCAATAGCGTTCTCTGTCCGCACGTTGAGAATCTTGAGTTTCTCATCCAAATCCCGCCGAAGGTCCCAATTAGGCTTCTTCGGTTGCAGCTTGAATAAATCGACTGGTTGATCGCCATCTTCGTCCTTTTGAGCTTGTTCTTTCACAGCTTCTGCGATTTCGGCGGCTTGAGCTTCCACCGTCACTTGCCCCTCTTGCGGACCTTGCTCGAAGCCCAATTTTGGCCCGCGGGTTTCGGCATCGTAATTGCGGCCGGAGAGGAATTTTGTTGTCACTTCGGAAGTGGATTTGTCTGCCTTTTCACTATCGAGACTGGCATCTGTCGGTTCTTCGGGCTCGGGTTGTTTGCGCTTAAGTGCGGCGAGCTTGGCCAGGCGGGCTTTTCGGTCGTTAGAGGCCGCATCTAGCGAGGCGTGGTTGGAGGACATGGTGTGGGGTGGGCAGGAAAGAGAGGAAGGAAATGAGACAAATTGGAATATCGTATCGGGAGGGCAAATCGCAAAGGCAATGCAAGAAAATGACCCCAAAGTCCTCCGCGCTTTGAAAAAGTTGGAGGAGGGCGATGATGTTGAAGCGATAACGACGTGGTGCGCCACACTTCAGCCACAGCAAAATCGGGCGGTTCTCCGCCTTCAAACTTTCGAGATTACCGCGTTGTCCACCCTCAAGCTGCTCTCAACAACGTGCGCCTCGATATTTGCTCTTTCCAGTCTTCGATGAAGGCGATTACCGGATCCTGAATGTTGTTTTGTCCGCAGCAGCTCGTCCGAGCCCGTTTCCAGGCTCTGCTGTCGGCGCCATATAGGAGCCCCGGGCAGTGGCATCGGAGGTCGTGGCCACCGAACACTCGACATGCGCTACAATATGCTTTGAATCATACTTCAACAATCCCACAGCGAGGCGCCGACGAACACACAGTCGGAGAAACCGCCTCAGAACCCACGGAATGCGAACCCAAGCAAGATGCAGCTATAGACTGTTCGAACCAGGTGGCCAGCAACCCTCGCCGTTCTTACAAGAGTGCTGGCCCGCGGCAAGTGTCTAAAAGGGCCGTCAAGCGTGCCCTATTTTCGGAAGGCCTCAGACAGTCAGACGCAACGTCTGTGCATGAACGACTCAACCATGAGATTCAGCGCGAGAAGAGAACCCTGAGCGACAAATCGATCGCCATTTCGACAATCTCCCGAGGAAGGTCGATATACAACGCGAAGGGCAAAGGGCTTCAAGCGTGGCAACATGCCTATGAAGAATTCTACAAAGCCAAGCATTACCAGCGCAAAGTCAACGACCAAAGCATAATACCATCATTGAATCAATCTGGGGAAGCTGTTCTGGCAAAGATTCAAGAAGACTGCAACGGGACCTTTCGAAAATTCTGGGAGGGTACTGATCGGGAGTTCAAAGCTCGGCATTGGCAAGCCCTGGCTTTCTGGCTGCTCGAGAATGACCCAAAATTGTTTTTGAACTTTTTGATTGTCACAATGAAAGGTAAGGAGACGCCAGACTTTACAATGGTCGCGGATTGTCTCTTGTACGTGGACAACTTCTACTACGAGGAACTGAAGGACTGGACAACTGGTCCTCGCGCACATGGATACTCGTGGATTATCGAGTATTGCCTGCGCCCGGCCACATGGCCTATAGTCGCCCCGCCACACAAGGGTATCCGGCTTTACATTCGGCGCGCTAGGCCTTATGGTGTCCGCTTGGCCTTCCGCACGATGAAAGCTAGGGCGGTCCAGTGGAAGGCTGAAACGCAGTTGTGTTTCGTGAACCGGTTCGTTCAGCTTGGGGATATTGATAGGGCGTTGAATGCGTTGAAGCTCATTCCGCGTCTCAACGATCCCATCTTTACAATGAACTCGCAAGGAGTTCTCCGGCACTGCTGCAAACTGTTGACCCTGGACACCGTCGAGGATGGCGAATCCGGGCGCAACTTTAGAATCCTGCCACAACTTCTGGAGATGGGTGTGAAGCCTGATCGAGACATGATGAATGTGGTGCTTGCCAATGCCTATAAAACCGGCGATCACCAACTTGGTGCCGATATGCTTCAGTTCATGACAAATCAGGACTACGATTTTGACTCGTACACCTACGTCACTCTTCTCACTAATGCCGTCTCTCGGGGAGACCAAGCTCGTGTCCACGAGTTGATCCGTGAGGTGGATGCGCAAGAAGAAATTCGCAAGAATCCACACGTGGCAAACAAGATCTTTCACTCCCACTACGTCTTTACCGCCAAGCATATGGATATCGATGCCGATCCCACCGGTGTTTTCTATTCGATGCTTGACATGTACAATAACCTTCACGACATCACGCCCCTCAAAGACCTGCTCATCATCCCCCCTCACTACAAGGCGCGGGAAGACGGCGCCAAAATGCCTCCCACACCTATGGCACTGTATATTATGATTGCAACCTACTTCCGCTGCGGCAGCCGTGTTTCGAATGTGCAGCGTATCTACCAGCGTTTCCATGAGCTTGTCAGACAGGGCCATCCAACCATCGCCCCGCTGGCAGCGACAGATCACACCTACAACGAATTCCTCATTGCTCTCCGCAAAAGCTCACGTGCTATGCATTCTTGCGTTCGGATCGTTGAAGATATGCTTCAGCCCCCAGCCCGCTTGACCATCGAGCACGCCAAGCCGAGTTATCGCACCTGGGCAATTCTTCTCAGTGTTTTCATCTGGCACCGGCGACCCGCTGCAGCTGAGAAAATCAAGGAGATGATGGCGAAGCACCAGGTGCCCTATAACGACGTGACCTGGAATCTTATCATCAACGGTTACGCCAACGCGCAGAAAGTGCCAGAGACTGCTGCTGCTATGAAGGCGATGGAAGCTCAAGGATTCGCCCTCGACTCGTACACTATGAAGTCCCTACGGTATCTCCGTGACCCAGAGCGTCTCTGGGTTGCCGTGGATGAGCTTGACCGTGCGGCCCATGAAGCGGACTCTGTCCGATCCTCCACGACGCAGGATTCTGCCGCTGTCGAAGACGCCCTGCGTGATGAGATGATTGAGAAAGGTCTGCAAAAACTTGGAGACAAAAACAAGCCCAAGGATTGAGGTTGGATACCCTTTTGATTTTGTTCACTTTCGTGTATTATAGAACACTTTGCATACATGGCCCTTCTGGGCCTGGGGTTGGGAGCAAGCGTTGGTGTTACCATTTGCGTAAATTTTGGCGCTCATGTACTATACATAGAATCATTATGAATTTTGAAAATTGCCGTGCGCTGAAAGAATAGGTCATCGCTGCAAATGGTTCGAAGACCTCTGATCCGTAAACACCCAGTCCTATCACCCTTGGTAGGACTTGTCAACCTCTCTTGCTCTCAATTCATTTCTTCACTCCCTCTTCAAGCAAAGTGAGAGCGAGGCGAGACACTTAACCACCGAAGAAGATTGAGCACTGCGTAAGAGATCCAAGTGTCAGTACCTAATTGCATGAACAGGGCTGCGGGAGGATCTTACAGCCATCAGGAAGCAACATATGCTGACATATGGGCTTAGCCGTTCTCCTACTCGAGCGCATTTCCAAAATATCCCGAACAACCTATCACAAAGGGTCAGCCGTCTAGTTCCTTGCTCTTCCTACTCATCTCCGTGATCACCCCGAAGCAAGAGTCGTACCCATTCTGGTTCCGGTCCATGATACCCGGCATAATCGAGTGCGCATAGGTGCTCGTACAAATGATGAGCAGGATCACCAAGAGCAGTGACTGAAAGTTGAACAGGGCGGACTAAGGTACGTCTTGCGGTTAGCTATGATGTCGTGGATGCGAAAGTACACAGTATGCTGATATGGGAGAGGTAGAGGGGGAGCCCGAAACAGCTTTCTGCGACATCTTCCTCGAAATCAAAATTGTATTAAGCTTACCATCTTGAATCACGATTCGCGATTCCCTGCCAGCCTCGTAATGGGTTTCGAAAGAGGACAAGAGCTGGGCAGCGAGAGGGTTGTCCAGAGCCACGAGCTCGCCCGTATTCTGCCCGGGATGTCCGCCAGACGCACGGTTCGCCTGGTTTGGGGCTTTCCTCATCGCTCCAACAGGCGCCCGTCACCAAGTTCTCCGATCAATTCACCTCCTCCAACTCCACCGCGCCTTCCTCCTCGAAGGGCATCAACAACTCCTTCGACACCTTCAAGCTTATCGAACTCGGTCCATCTTCCTCCAGAACTCAGCCCGCCGTGGCCGTGGAATCCATCGGAAACACAGCTTATCCGCGCGGGCTATCAACCCGCCTACAAACCTCCAACACCTCCAACCCCAGCACCATCTCCACCCGAACCAGAAGCTTCCTCCTCCAAGAAACGCGCACCTAAACCCGAAAAGCCCGTCATGGCGGAACCTCGTGCCCGTGCCGCCCGGCACAAGGGTCAGATGAATTTCTCATCAGAGCGTTAGTCCCCCCCGAATCCCCATATCAAGACAAATCCAGCTAACAACTACTCCCAGTGCGCTTGCTCCTTCTTGCCTACGGCGACCCAAGCCCCCCCCCTTCATTCCCCTCCGAACCCCTCCCCGAAACAGTCCGCGTCCTGGATGAAATAGTCACAGACTTCATCCTGGAACTCTGCCACGGCGCCGCACAAGTCGCGCACCACGCGCGCCGACAAAAGATCAAGGTCGATGACTTTCGGTTCGCGCTGCGCCGGGACCCGAATAAGCTTGGTCGTGTGCAGGAGCTGCTTCGTATGGAGCGCGAGTTGAAAGAGGCGCGGAAGGCGTTTGATCAGAATGATGATCAGGTTGCTAAGGATGCGGGGAAGAAGGGTGCTGCGCCGCCGGAGGATCTTGATACGGAGAGTGTAGCTGGTACGACTACCACGGCGAAGAAGGGGAAGGGTAAGGGGAAGAGAGCTGCTGCGCCGAGGAGGGAGTCTGATGCCACTGAGGAGTCGGTTCCGAAGAAGAGGAAGACTATTGGATGATTGGGAATGGGTGCATTGGGTGGCTACAACACTTCATTATTGGCGTTTGGGACTTGGTGGTGATTGCTTGCTTCACTTTCGATCGGGAGTTACGGCGGTTGCATATGGACAGACAGGAAATACCCATGGATAATCTATCAATGAAATCAATTTTTAAAGAAATGACTTTGGGAGGAAGGAGCGGGTTAGCGCTGTGAATGAAGATCATGTTTGATCATAAGACACTGCGGTAAATGAGTACTATGTAGACAGTGGCTTTTGAGCTTTTGGCCGTCCCCCCTCAGCTTTGAATCCAAAATCCAAGGCCATAATCTGTCTGGCATGAAGGGAGAAAAGATTCTAATTTGAGGTTGACTGTACACATTTCTGTACTTGTACATTCCGGGATGCCATCTGTTTGGTGCCTTACCATGCACCCGGCTGCCTGTCGGCAAGGAGGAGTCTTCGCAGGTTCGTACTCGTCCAAAAGCCACCCCTCGCTTTGTACAAGCACTTCTTTCGGGGGTCTCACATGCCTTTTGCATTTTATATAGGACTGGATATCGACCTTAACCTTTTGACTGTCCGAATACAAATACCTTGCTGTGCTTAGGACGAAGTTTTGATTCCAGATTCAACTACCATGCATAAGCTGTCCATGTCAACACTGATTAGGAAACTTCATCTCCCAGCCTCCAAACCTGGAGAGTATACGAATCCCAAGAAGAACCTGCCCGCGAATTGTGCTATAATCGGCATGGAGACGCCATTACACGAACTATCACTCCTGTCAGCAGCTTCTACCGGCGACGACACGGTGGTAAGCCTGCTCCTTGACGCAGGTGCCAATATCAACGAGAAAGATATTACATCAGGGAAAACACCACTGGCATTAGCCGTCGAGCGAGGCCACAAATCCACCATAGCACTATTACTGGATAGCGGCGCCAACCTCGAATGCAAAGATTATCTCAGTCGTGCGCCGCTCTTTTACGCCAGACAGCCAAATATCGCTGAGCTTTTACTCGATGAAGGTGCAGATGTTGATCCTCGAGATATGAACGGCCGAACACCTCTATCAGTAGCAGCAGAATTCGGGGATGAAGAAATAGCCAGACTCCTCCTAGATCATGGTGCCAACCCTACCAGCAAGGACCTGTTGAATTGGACACCTCTAACATGGGCCTTCGAACAAAACCAAACCCATCTAGTCAAACTACTCCTTCAAAACGGCGCCGATCCCGAACAACAAGATACTTTCGGCCGAACACTATTACTAGTAGCAGCCGAGACAAAACGAGAATCAATGGCCGACGTCCTCATCACCCAAGGCTGCAATCTAGAAGTTCACGACCACGAAAACCGAACCCCGCTCCTCTGGGCCGCACACAATGAACACGAAGAAACGGCCAACCTCCTAATCCGCAAGCATGCCAACCTCGAAGCGCGCGATGAAAACGGCCGAACAGCATTATTACTAGCCGCCGAAGCTCGACACGTCACCATGGCACAGGTCCTAGTTATATCCGGTGCTATACTCGACGTCCAAGATGAATATGGACGAACACCATTATTATGGAGTGTCCAGTACGGCGAAGAGGGGCTGATAAGATTATTACTTGAAAAGGGTGCTTGTTTAGAGGTTGAAGATGGGAAGTACGGGCGTACGGCGCTTTCTTGGGCTGCGAGGAGAAATGATGTTGCTGTTGTGAGGGTTTTACTTGATTTTGGTGCTGATATTGAGGCGGAGGATTATAGTGGTCAGACTGCCTTGTCGGTGGCTGCGAGGGCGGGGAATGGGGATGTTGTTAGGCTTTTGTTGGAGAGAGGTGCTTGTGTGGAGGGGGAGGATTGTTATGGGAGGACTGCGGCGCAGTGGGCTTCTAGGGGTGGTTATTCGGGGATTACGAGACTTCTTGGTGGGTTAGGTGTTGGTAGGGATAGGGATGATAGGTTGGAGATGGGTGGGATAGCTAGTAGGACGGTGGTAGCTGGTAATTCGTAAATTGTAACTTTTAGTGGCTTATTAAGCATTATATAGCCAAAACATGAAAATATGTTGTCTCATTCAATTGCTTCCAAATAACCTCAGAACCGAAGCAGAGCATCAAGTTCCCAGAACATCCCAGCGCTGGTATTGCGAGCTATTGACATGATATCGTCTCGAGGTGTGATGGAGGACGTCACGTACGACGAGTGATTAAGAGCTGATATCGTGGCATCCGTCTCGTGTGTCGTTGTCGTGATACTCGATTCGTATGATTCGCGTTTAACATCTCCAGCTCGTATATCACGATCAGACAGAGCATTGCTGGTCGAACAACTCTTCTTCCTTTCAGGACTCTGCTCTCTCTCCGTCGAAACAGCCCGCTTCCTCTTATCCCTCATCTGATATCCTTCTGGAGGAATAAGTCTCAACGCCTCCGAGAACATCGAATAGATTGCGCTCCATCGTGGTACTTCGTGGTCGATACCTTGTGGCAAAGGAAGATCATATTTCGGGCGGGATTGTTCAGATGTGCTCTCAGGGATGTATTTTCGTACTGGTCTGTGGATTCACGAATAGGCTCAAGATTAATATTATTCTCCTGACAGGATGGTCAGGTGAAACATACCTAGCCGGTCGCTCTCTCGGTACACAGCGTTGACCTTCTCTGAAGCAATAGGTACATTGATGATGACTGGGGCTCGTAACGCATCGCTTCTTTCTCGCATAACAAGCTTGACAGGCTTGGAACGCGGCATTCCTTGACGGTGAATTGCAATCGTTGCTTGATTTGTGTACTCCGAGAGGCATTTTGAGTTTCCTCAATTCTTTGCGTGTTGTCTCCATACTGTCTCTGTGTATGACTGTATGTAAGTATAGCTAAACTGAGCTAGGCCGGGATTGTGTGAAGTAGTAAAATTATAAAAGAAGGGGAGTAAGATTCAAAAAGAAATATAGGAAACAATCCATTCTTTATTATTATGTATTATAGGGACCAACTTGAAACTCCCCCAATTAAGGTTTGTCTATTCGGGGGCGTAGCGCGCCTTTTCGAAGAATTCCTATTACCAGGGAAGTTACCTAATGCAGAGTTGGGTCAGACCCGGGGATGTCTGATTTATTTGCTTGGCAATGTACACTTTGTACAGTACGGAGTACATAGCAAAAGCTTCCGCGGGTTCTTGCGGGGCCCGCGGACGGAGTTCATAGTTGCCGCAAACTTCCGACTATAAACCCGCCGAGGTGTGTAGCCCCCGGACTCGGGATGATTATTAAATGAGTCCGGAATACGGGGGGTTAGCCCTTGACTATAGCATTGAAGTTAGGAGTAAGGTTTGAAAGTCCGACGGAGTTGGTGAGTATCCTCGGCATCTCGACGCCACATTTTATGTGGAACCTATCCAGGATCCACGATGAATCCGCTAGGTCAGTTCAGGGAATGTACCGCGGGGATTAGGAATATAAAGTGAGTGAGCGCGCTTGGAGATTACCGTAGGAATTTAAATTCTTATCGGTAATGCTATTAGCTCCTTAGCTAGGCTTCTTTCTGCGTTTGATGTTAAGTTTCAAACTTACCACTCCCGACCTTGACTCTGTCTATTAAAAACGCAACCTCAAGAAGGGTCGGTCCCTGTAAACTCTCGAAGGAGTAAAAATTTTAGGCAAATCCTTGGCGCTCTCTTTGTGTGTTCTTGCTCACCCCTCGAAGCTTTTGCTTATTGAGTAGAATTAAGCACGCCCCAGGAGACCTGAGCTGCCTATGCCTCAAGCACAGTACAGTAAGGCATTAGCAAGCTGTGCGATGAGGGCCAACTGGCAGAAATTAGAGCTCCCGTGAGCAGTTTGGACCACCCTTTTCTCACATGGTCCTGATTGGCTGAAAAAAAGAATAACGGAGCCTGACTAGCGGAGCCATACACAACTTCAGGTCCGATAGCAGTGCGAGATAGACCAATCTGTTTGAAATTATCCAATATCTCTTCACAACACTGCTTCAGTCTGCCCTCCGAGCAATCAAGGTTTTGTTATCCTGGTCCTCTCTCCAGACATATCCAGCGTCCTTGGGCTAGCAGGGTATACACCCTATCCAAGTCCCGAGTGACGGCATCCCTCAGCCCTACGAAACTCTAATCGCCATCCCGATCCCCATAAACACTTCCAATCTATCAACTCGTCTTGCACTATGCAATTCCTTCGCCATCACCAATATCGACGACATGTTCGTCTTAGCCACCTTCTTCGCAGAAGCATCCCCTAGCAAAAGTTACAACCCCGCTCAAAATTACCATCGGTCAATATATCGGATTCACAGTAATCATCGTCGTCAGCATGATTGGTTTCGGTGTATCGCTAGAGCTTCCCTCCGACCCTATCGGTTTCCTCGGCCTACTGCCAATGCTACTCGGAATATGGAAATTATTCGATCTTATTTTCCCGACTAAGGAAGAGGACTCGGAGAAAGTCCAATCTCGTCTTTCCGGGGCGAAGAGCGTATTAAAAGTCTCAATCATCACAGTGATGAACGGCGGAGATAATATCGGGACGTACATACCGTTATTTTCGCAAGCGAAGGGCGCAGAAATAACGGTTTATGTTGTTACATATTATATTTTACTTGGGGTGTGGTGTTTGATTGCGTTTCTGGTTATGAAGCAGAAACTTGTGCGGCTGGCTCAGAAATATGCGGATGCTGTCGTGCCTTTTCTTTATGTGGGACTTGGTGTGTACGTTGTTGTCAAGTCGGAGTGTTACCCGTGGCCCTTCGAACGGATTGATAATTCGGCCTCGAAACTTCCTGGTAGGACGGTCATGGCTCTTGTGACGAAGTTTTTGTTTTTGATTTGCATACTCGGTATGTTATGGTTCAAGCTGCGAAAAAGAGCAGCCCCAGCACAGCCTGCTCCTAATGACGAAAATTGTGAACCAACCGTTGAAAACGCGGAGGCTTCTATTTCGGATGACGCTTCCCCTGAGCAAAGGCATGCTTTAGCTTGATGGGGAGGATGCTCCGCTATATGCTCTATATTATATATCAGAAGTCTCTGAGATATCCCCCCCCACCCTTTACTTAGCCTTAAATTAAAGGAGAAGACAAAATAATGGTTCGAAATGATACAGAGTGATCTATCGGTACTATTGAACTTTTTGGGTACATTTTCGTCCAAGTCCGACGGGTTCATAGAGCCTCACTCTGTGACTTAGGGTAATGGAAAGGAGCTGACGAACGGCAGTATTCGATCGACTTTACACATACCCTACAATTCTGTGAAACAGCTCAGGCTCTAGCATTTTTATGTCCATTTCATCATAACTAAACGCCGCGCCCAGGTAAGATGCGACTTCGTGAGAACCGGGTCTAGGCAGCCCGGATAATCCTGCCTCTCGAACATGTCTTCTGCAGCAGGCCAAATCTGCTTTTTCGTGCAGTACTCCAAGCCCCATCTCCACCTCCCAACGACTGATTCTATCTGAGCGAAAGCCAGATCGACTCCGATGCGCCATAGAGCTTTGGATTTTTCAGACACATAGCTGCCCGTGGAAATCAGACAGCCTGGGAAACAAAGACAGAAAATGCGAGGGAGAGGAGAGAGGGCAGATGGTGTGTATGCTCGAACTTTTTTTTTCTGTCCTGTCTCGCAAAGGGGGGAAGAATATAGGGAGGAGGGAAAAGCATGCGAGATAGAAAAGTGGGAGAAGAGGGAGGAAAATGGTAGATAGAGAGACAAAACGAGAAAACGAACCCAAAAAAGTGTCTGAAAGGAAGAAAAAATGAGACATAAGAAACATCAACGGGATAAGGTTGTGGCTTTACGGGAAAATTGGTCACATCATGCATCATTTCTCCGTCGTTATTACCCATTATGCGCGGGCCTCCTCGGGAGCAGCGCGCTCCTGGCGCTGCTGACGGCCACCCTTGCCGCCGCGCTGGTTGCGCTGGTTGCCCTCGCCGGAGGCACCGGTGGCCTCGCCGCCGCCAAGGGTGAGTTGGGCGGTTGCTAGCCGGTTGGACAGCTCCATCTGTGTACGGACGGTGTTGGCCAAGTAAGAGACGACCAGGACGTCCTGGATGTGGTTGTTGCTGCGAGAAGTCAGTCAAAAGGGATCCAGAGCGCAAATGTGGTAAATGGGACGAAACATACAAATCCCGCTCAATATCTGCGGGCTCGACCTTGGGAGCAAGAGCTAGGGCGTTCAGCAGGAACTGACCCATGGCGGTGGAGGCGGGGGCCTCCTCATCAATAACCGCCTCGACATATCGCGACACACGGTCAATCATAGCCAGAACCTCCTCAATCGCGCGCTCGAGCGCCTCAACGTCAGACATCACGCTGGTAGAGCGCTCCTCGGCATCCTTAGCGTTGGCAATGGCCTCGAGACCGCTCTTATCAGCCTCGCCATATCGGAGTTCGTAGGGTACGGGAATGAAGGCGGCGCTGTCGGCAGCCCGCTCAGCGGTGACACCGACGGGGGCGGAGATGTAGGCCCGGGTCTCGAGATCCTTGCCGGCCTCGGTGGAAACGGTCAAGTGAACGGCGGGGTGAGGCCATGTGCCGTCACCCTGGCCGCTGTAGAAGTTCTGGATCAAGGCGGAGAAAGTGTTGAGCTCGGAAGCGGTGGCGTACCAACCGACAAGAACCTCGCGCGGGTTGGCCTTAAGGTGCAGGGCGAGCATCTGCTTGTGGTATTCCATGTCGACCTCGACCTGGTCCTCGGCCTCAGAGTGGCCCACGGCGAACGCGGAGCGCACTTCGACCTCACCTCCATCCTCCGATCGTGTTCCGAGCAGGGTACCGATGACACGTTCCTGGTCGGCGTTGCGGCGCAGCGAGTGGTCGAGAATAGAGAAGATAGCCTGTCAAAGGAAGATGAAACGTTAGGAGGCTACCTTGAAGTAGAAGATATATGATCGCCTTTGAGATCGTACCTGCGGCTGGATGACCACGTTAAGAGGGGCAGTGGTGGGAGCGGTCCCCACAGAGACGGGGCCCAGGGGACGGGCGAGGTGCAGGAAAGAATCTTCGGCCATGATGGAATTAAGGAGGGGAGGGGGGGAGAGGGGGGAGGAGGAGGATTTGAGAATTGGAGGTGATGAGAGGCTAAGACTCTCTCCAAGGGCAGACTCGACTTCGGAGGGACAATTTTTCCAGCGAAGAAAGTGGAGAGCCCGCGACTGATGGCCGATTCTCTTTGTGTGTGGGAATTTTCGCGCTAAGATAAGATAAGCACTCCCGGTCACTTTTTGCCTGCCAAAAAAAAAGATGAGAGAACCAACTCCGTTCAACTCAAACCACATTCATTCACTGCACAAATGGCTCCTCCACGAGGAAGAGGAAGAGGAAGAGGACGTGGTGGTCGTGGAATGAGAGGTGGGAGTGGCCGTGGATTTGGCAGAAGAAATGATTTCGCTGCTTCGCGACTGCGGGAAGTGGAGTGAGTGCACTGTGGAGAGCTGCGCAAACGGGGGAAGTGAAGCTAACCATGATACAGTTCGGATGAATCCTCTGGTGAAGATGCGCCCATCAATCAGGAAGTTGAGGATGTTGACATGGGTGACGATACCTTGATGGGTGATGCTTCATCTAGCAGCGACGAAGAGGAGAGTGCTGGTCGCCCGTACAACGAACTACTCGAACTACTACACGCCAACTCCGACTCAAAGGGACCCGCTCGAAAGAAGAGAAAGCTTGCTAGTGATAAAGATATGGAGGAAGACCCTGCAACTATCGAAAATGAAGAACAGGTCGACGATGCGCTACAAGATCGAGCTCCATCCGACGACGAGGAAGAGGCACAGGAAGCTGACGATGACGAGGATGAAGTTGTTGGACCGTTCGAAAAGCACTTCAATCCCGCCGAAGGTGACCTCTCCAAAAAGATTCAGTCCATCGAGTCTAACAAGTGGACATCGGTGAAGAAGGAGGTCGATGGCTTGCGAGTGGTGCAATCCATTCCTGAAGTAGGAGACTGCAAGGCGGCACTGCTCCCAGCGATGAAGAGCACGGCCAACTTGAAGGTGAACTCCATCTCAACCATCGCAACATAAATACAACCACTGACAATGATGAAAATTCAGCTCAAGAATAAGCTGAAGCCCCGTGCAGCAGAGCTCCTCCCCACCATCAACGGCCCTGCCCAGCAGGTGGCTCCATATGTATTCGACTATCAAGATATTCTCTATGGCGCGCGCACTGCATCCATCGCAGAGGACATGCGCGATATCATGGCTCTTCACGCCGTCAACCATATTATCAAGACCCGAGACCAGGTTCTCAAGAACAATGCACGCCTAGCAAAAGATCCAGACACCGATGTCGAATGCCGTGACCAGGGTTTCACTCGTCCCAAGATCCTGTACATCCTCCCGACTCGCCAAGCATGTGTGCGTGCTATCAATGCGATCACCCGGTTCTACCAGGTCGAGCAGCAGGAGAACAAAAAGCGATTTATCGATACCTTCTCCGGCCCCGAGGATGCAGGGTGGGAGAACAAGCCCGAAGACTTCCGTGACCTGTTTGGTGGCAATGACGATGACATGTTCCGACTAGGATTGAAGTTTACTCGCAAGACTGTCAAGTACTTTGCGCAATTCTACAGCTCTGACATCATCCTATGCAGTCCACTTGGTCTGCGGACGATCATGGACCAATCTGAGTGCGTTACTCTTCCAATGGATGTACCTTACCAAACATATCTAACTAGTCTCTTTTACAGTGAGAAAAAGCGAGACCATGACTTCCTCTCCTCCATTGAAGTCGTCCTTGTCGATCATGTCGATGCTCTCCTCATGCAAGTCTGGGACAACGTCCCCTACATCTTCAAGCACCTCAACCTACAGCCCAAGGAAGCCCACGGGTGCGACTTCAGCCGTGTACGCAATTGGTACCTCGACAACCACGCACGTTACCTGCGACAAACCATTGTGTTGACCTCTCACATCACCCCCGAGATCAACTCCCTTTTCTCAACACAGATGCAAAACGTAGCCGGCCGGATCAAATTCACACCAACATACGCCGGCGCCATCACCGAGCTCCCACTCCCAGTCTCAGTCAAGCAGACCTTCTCGCGCATCGACAGTCTATCTCCCGCAAAGGACCCCGATGCCCGATTCAAGCACTTCACCACAACGGTCCTCTCCACACTCGTCAAAAACATTGCCAACGGCCGTGGCAAAGGAGGCGCCGGCACAGTCATTTTCATCCCCTCATATCTCGACTTTGTCCGCGTGCGCAACCACTTTGCTCAATCCGCGCAGACCACGAATGTCTCCTTTGGTGCAATCTCCGAGTACACCGAGGCACGGGAAGTTAGCCGGGCTCGCAGTTACTTCATGACCGGTCGCTACTCGGTGCTGTTGTATACCGAGCGTGCGCATCATTTCCGCCGATACCAGATTCGTGGTGTCCGCCGGGTAATTATGTACGGTCTACCCGAGAACCCGACGTTCTATGGGGAGATTGCAGGATTCTTGGGACTGGACCCTGCGGCTGTGGTTGAGGCTGCGGAGGGTGGTGTTCGGGCTCTGTTCTCGAGGTGGGATGCGCTCAAGTTGGAGCGTATTGTTGGGACTTCGCGAGTTGGGAATATGCTGCGGGAGAAGGGGGGTGATACCTTTACCTTTGTATAGAATTTGGCCCATCTTCATAGAGATGGTGAAGGCTATCTTGGCAGATTGTATTGTACATACTACCTTCCTCAGGAAGCTCACAAAGTTCAATGTGGAAGTTCGATTCAAAGTTCGTTACAAACGGTCAAGAGGATGGCAGTGTAACTTTGCCTTCCCCAAATTAAAGTCTAGGTGTATTTGCTCTCATCTCGGCCTATGTGATTCGTTGCTATAGGCCCGATTGAGACTAGCCAAACCCTTAGTGTAAGCCAATGAGGCTTTCCCCCTCTCTTGTCCAGGGCCCCTTGATCTCGCCCTCAACCATACATTCATTCCCAGGCAACCTTCTACGATAAATGTTTGTTCCAACATGTTTGAATTGAATCTACACTTATGGTATCTCGTTGTCCACGAAGTAAGCCTCAATGAACTCACACCGCAATTGCACTACAAGTATCTCTCCGCTAAGAGCATCAAATCATAGTTAGATACCCGTCATGACTTGCAGAATGCCTGTTTAGTATCAAAGTCATTCAATGAACTAGCTACGCCTATTCTCTACAGATCGATTATCCTGCGCACTCCAACGCCCTCCAAGGAATGGAGAAGAGGAAAGGGCTGGTTCAGGTTTGATTATGAGTGCAAAGTTCTTGAAAGAGATGAGATTCTGTTTTCCTACAGTCTGCTTGAGCGCCTTCTAGACGATTCAAACGTGCAACTGCGAAGATACGTACGCGAAGTGATATTAGAAAAGCCGAGGTACTCAGGTCCACGAAACTTGGACTATTTCCTCGCGAGGTATGGTGAGCCAGACCTTGTCATGGCTAGACTGGTGGAGGTTTTGCCGAATCTCCGAGCCTTGTTGTGAGTATTTAAGAGCTGACTTTCAATGCGTAGTACTGACCGTCCATCCTTCTAAGTCTTCACCAAACCATTCCATTATCAGAGTCTTTCCGAGATGCGTTAAACAATCACAAGAACGCACCGGTCCTTCATTTACTCAATGAAAATGGCCAAACTCTTACCACGCGGGAAATGCCGTGTGTCCGGAGTATCAGGACTAGCTTTGCAAGTCGTTCTGCTTCTTTAAACCGTGCACTGCAGCGATCAGTGGACCTCCCTAAATGGTTCAAAACCTTCCCAAACTTGGCAAGCCTATCAATTGAGCTCACCAGAGACCATGGCCGGCCGACAGAAGGTGAACCCTGGTACATTGCTAGGATTGAGCCGCTCGAGCTAGGAGAAAAAGTGACCTTTCCTCCTCTTGAAAACCTCTCTTTGAGTGGGTATCGCCTATCGGAGGTGGAATTGCTATTCTGGAAGGAAAACTTCCCTTGGTCTGGACTGAAGTCGCTGTCCATGGGACCGATACCTACTCCGGGCTTTCTCACGGCGATTACAGGCTGTGTGAAAAATTTATCTTTCTTTACAATCTCGGCCTATAACGGCTCTGTGGATGGTCAGCTTCCGGAACTAGTGGCATTTATTATGTCTTTTGCTACGTTGGAATCTCTGACTGTCAAGGGATTACCACTCTCCATGGGTGCAGTAGGTTATCATTCAAACCTACAGAGACTCATCCTGCATTCGGTTGAGAACGACAAAAAAGAACGAAAAATCCTAGATGCGGATGATATAATGTACCTCGATGAACAATGTCCTAAACTTCAATTTTTGGAGATCGACATCCGTCGAAAGGATGAATGGGTGAGCTTATTCAAAAAATATTATTCCCTCCGTCAAAACTGACCCAAACCGATGTTTATAGCCTGAGGAAATAATCGATGCCCTAACTGAAGGCTTTGACAATCTCCGTCAACTCCGTCTACACGTCGGACTAGAAATCTATGAGAAAACCAGAGCAAATCCCCGAGCCAAATTAGAGCCAACACTGAATCTTGTTTCCGCCCACGAGTTTGGCCAGACTTTCTTCCGTCAAAGAAAGTCTTTGACAAAGCTCGAACTCATCGCCCTAAAGACGGGCGAAAAGTTGCGTCATTACCCAGAGGTGGCTCCAGACTATACACATGAAGAGAATCGGGTCTCTCGGATGTTTCACATTTGGCCTTCTCAATGCCTGAATAGTGGGTTTGAAATCAAAGATATGGATGTTGAAGTCGATGATTTCTGAGGTTCTTCAATCTCCGCACTTGCCTCAATTATCTGTTATGTTATTGTCGGGTATAATGTTTTCTAAGGCAACAAGTCTACAAGACAATTGAGGCGTATCTTTTCCATAGAACCATGCATACTGACCCGGATATACTCCAAAAAGGCTTCATGCAAGTTGATTTACTTCGTGGGGAAGGGTCTCATAATCACGAAAAGAAAGCGTTATCCTTAATTTGAGATTATATTTCAGCCTATTTCACTAGGCGACTCCATTCGGATCCTCGCGTTCTCGCGTTCTCGTATTTCACCTTAGCTCCATGGCCAAGGTGAAACTCGTACCCTCATTAATCCACTCGTCAGATACCTAGCCTATCGTCAAATTTAAAAGGGTATTTCAAAGAAGGTGGATTAAAGCGTATCTAGCTGGACCCTTTCTCCAATCTCTAGATTTGGATTCCGGATTGCTACTACCATCACTTGTTAATTTCAATTAGCAGATCTCAAGAACGAACTAGCGTATAGATTATTCTTTACCTTGCTGCGGAAAAGTTTAGGTACATCATTTTATGCCAAGTTACTGCTTGTTAAGCTATACGCAGTGTAATATGGAAATAATGTAATCTAAAACAACAGGATCTCCCGGTCTATCTTCTGTAATTGCGATAAATACAAAGCGTCCTCTTTTGCGACTCTTACATGTGAAATAATGATCTTACAGCCCCCTATTCTCCTTCCTCCCTCCCCCTTTCAACCTCTCACCGCACAGTAAAATCAAGATAACCCTTGCCCTTGAAGCCCTCGAGAGTAATCATCTGGAAAACAGGATTACCCGGCTTAAGTCCCAATTTCTTCCAGCCATTAAAATGGGCAGCGACATTGACCGTGCCGGTCGTGCGATGAGTACGTCGAACCGACCAGTACTGCTTGAAGCTAGTCGCACCATAAATCTTAGGCACATTATCGTAAGAAAGACTGTACACGTCGTAGATACCGCCATCACTTTCAACCTGGCCGAGGATCTTTCCATTGCCCGGAGTGCCAGTGCCGTGGGACTCGACGATATACCACTCGGTGACGGGGTCGGTAGTCCATCCGTAGATAGCCAAAGTCCAATCACCGGAAGCAGTAAAGTAGCCGTCCCATGTAATGGAGCTATCACTCATGAATTAGCGTGAACTGGTACTGGCCTGGATACTATATCCATGAAACTCACCGAGGACTGCCTCCCTTGTAGCCCTTTCCGCCAAGGAATTCCTTCTCGCTGGACATATCCCATCCAACTTGGAACTGGCCACTATTGGGGAACTCGGTGTAACCAGCAGAGGCCTTGTTGTCGTTGTAGAGCGAGTAATAGAATCCAGCAGCGTTCACGCCATCTTTGCTGTTGCTGAAAACAGTCGAGCGTCGTTCGATTCCTTCGGTCAAGGTGACATTGCCGAGGATTTCGGCGTGTCTTTCATGGGTGCTGACGGGCTTGGACAGAGTCGGTGTTGCAAGTCCTAGAAGGGCCGGTACGAGAGTAACGAGATACCTGAGAGACAACATATTCGCAGTCATTCACTTTGAATATCCTGATCATGAGGTGGGACTACAAGCTGGGAGTTTCAGTCTTTTGTACCTGGCCAAGAACTATGTGTGTCTGATCACGATATCCTGTGGAAATTAGACTGAGACCCTCGGTAAGAGTCAAATTGCATATTTCTCCATTAGGCACCTTCCGGTAGGAGTCAAATTGCATATTCTGCATTAGGCACCTTCCTAGCTTCAAGCTTCGTATAACTTTATTTCCCTTTCTATAGACGGATTCCCATCTCCTCCGATCTATGTAGCGGTCGAGATCGCTCAATCATAAACACGTGCAGGCCACACACTGATAAAGAATGAGTAATAACGCAAATAAGGATTTCATCTCATGTATCTGAAACGTGCCGAAAGCCGTGTCGCCGACATTCGACCGATTCGGTAACGATCCCGTTTTGAGTAGTAGTATGGACCCTTTCTGAATAGATAGGGCGATAGCTTTTCGGTGAGGATAATAGCCTAAATCTGGCGCTTAAATCAAACTAATTAAACTAGTCCTTTTATCCGTCGACTAGGGGTAGTTAATTTCTTTTGCTGAAACATGGCAGGATGATCTGAGGCATGCACGGTCCAGCCAGAGATCTTTTAAGGCTGCCCCATATGTCTAAGAAAACTCCGTACAGGAGCTTTCTAGGCGAAGTCAGATTAAGAGCTCGGCAAGTCATGCATACCGAACTGCCGAATACCGACCATGTTCGAAGCTATTGCTGTACATATCCTTTCTCGTTAGGTCAAGCTTTGGGCACCAAGTAGCTAAGCTTCGCCAACGCTTACAGCCCTCTTGATTGGTTAGTGAAAAAGTGTCTATAATCCGCATGTCGAGTCCAGTCACGAAGCAAGGCTTCATCAATCCAGATATTTACTCCATTACTTTCAAGAATAAGATTCTAGCAGACGATAAAGTGCGACAGATCGGTTAATCGTTTGAACACAAACTGAAACTCCTTGGCCTTGGCAACCAGCTAACCGCCCCACTACTACACTTGATAGCTGGGCAGGACCCTGCATGAGCTGGCTCGACTGAATTGGTTTCAGGTGTTTTTTTATAGAGCCAAGCGTCTATGTACGAGAATTAGAAATGTATCCAGGATGACAGACAAGAATATAAATACTCATATCTAACCGCCCCGAGCTTAAGAGTTATCTTGCAACAGCATTTCATTCTTTTCTTCTTTTCACTTCATATCCTGCTGGCAGGAATTCGTTAACACTATTTCTCAACCATATTTACCTTCTTTTTTGTTTTCCTTCAAGATGAAGCATTTCGCAAGCCTTCTCGGAATAGCCGCTGTGCTGGCCCAATCCGCTTCGGCACACTATATTTTCAGCAAACTCGTCCTGAACAACGAAGCCTCCAAGGACTGGCAGTATATCCGCGAGACTACTCGCCAAACGATCTACATGCCCACCAAGTTCACCAAGACATTCGACAATCTGACTCCCAACGATGCTGATTTCCGCTGCAACTTGGGCTCTTTCAGCAATGCTGCCAAGACGGAGGTTGCTACTGTCGCTGCGGGTGATACTATTGGCATGAAGCTCTTTTATGATACTAGTATCGCGCACCCTGGACCTGGTCAAGTTTGTATGTTGACACCTACCTATTTCCGGTTAAGCATGTTTAGAGAGGTGAAGGACTGACCAATTTCATCTAGGGATGTCCAAGGCACCCACCGGTAACGTCAAGGAGTACGAGGGTGATGGCGAATGGTTCAAGATCTGGGAAAAGACTCTTTGCAATGAGAACGCTGATCTCACTACGAATGCTTGGTGTACTTGGGGTATGTCGCAGTTCGACTTCCAAATTCCCAAGGACACCCCACCTGGCGAGTATCTTGTTCGTGCCGAGCATATGGGTCTTCATGGTGCGCAGGCCAATGAGGCCGAGTTCTTTTACAGGTAAGAGATTCACAGCTTCGCGGCTTCACCTCGTTACTCGTTTGACAGTGATCTAATGATCATGTACAGCTGCGCTCAAGTCAAGGTCACCGGCTCTGGCACTGGCTCTCCCAAGACCACTTACAAGATTCCGGGTCTTTACAATGACAACATGACATTGTTCAATGGGCTCAATCTTTGGGTGGATAAGGCGAAGGATGTCGAGGCGGATATTGCGCAGACTCCGATTGGCGATGAACCATGGACTGGTGGGAACAGTGGCAGCTCCTCTGCTTCCAGCTCCTCTGCTTCCAGCTCCTCTGCTTCCAGCTCCTCTGCTTCCAGCTCGTCGTCAGTTGCTTCATCCACTTTCTCAGCTTCATCTGCCTCGTCTACTCCAGCTTATGACTGGGGTTCGTCCTCCTGCGATGAATACTAGGCCAATCCGGATGCTCTGAATGAGCAATCCCATTTTCTAAACTGTTATTCAAGTCGCACGTCTTCAAGGCCTTTGAATTACAGCAATGGAGCCCTGAGAGCGGTGCTTTATGCTAAATATGTCTGGGAAATATGGGATGTGGATCTGTCCACCTTTACGGGGCTCAAATTGGAGATACGGGTCTTGAGCAATAATTTATCTTCGTCAGCAGTCATAAATTCATCGTGACACTTTCTCCTAGACATCTTCCATATATACTCATTTAGTTTGCTATTGCTATTGTATTTCCTCATATGTGTATTCATGGATACCACTACGTAGGTAATTCGTACCAGCAATCCTCATAATTAGAGATTAGATCTCTTGGATAGTAATCGGTCCAATTATAAGTTACAGTATTCCTAACAAGATCACTAGGGCACAAACAGCCGCTCAGCCTCAGCCTCAGCCTCTTCCTCTTTCGCCATACATGCTGTAGCCTGCACAGGTACTCCGTACATGCTGAATAGTAGTTATTTGAAATCGCATCAATACTAACCATGCAAGACTAAAGCCACATTCCGAATCTCGTCTCGAACCTAGTATTTGATTTAATTTGTATTTATTGCAGGCAACTTTTCCCCAGAAACGGTGTACAGTTCGTGGTTCGTCTCCACTCTTCTCAACTCTCTCTCCACTCCACTTTTCCCGATGTCATGCGCGATCCCCGACTCGGTATCCTAATTTTCATTTTCATTTCAGACCTCTTTCTTCACCTACCTCGCCTCCCTCTCTCCTTCTCTCTCAACCAGGGTCCTTTTTCTTTGTTATTATCCATGTCTCGTATATAAAGACCCCCGCATATAGACACACGACCACGACCGCCCCCCAGTATCGCCATGACACATTCACAACCCCTGCCCGTCTCCGACACCGGGTCCCCACCACTCCTCCCCGAAATCACCAATAACCAACCCCAGATTCATATTCTCCAACCTGGATCAGGATCTGAACCTGGCTCTGACCCCGACCAAAACCACCCCGATGCCCCCCTGCCGATCATCCAGCCCTACCGTGATGACCCCGATTCCGACCAAAGACCCGATTATCTCGTCCAGTACGAGCCACGGCCCATCGATGACGATGAGGGTGAGGATGAGGATGCTGCGGCGGAGATGGCGCGGCCCAGGAAAGCGTGGCGGGCTAGGCTTAGGGTGTTCTGGTTGAGGAATATGGGCATGTTCTTGGTTCTGCTGGCGCAGATGTTTGGGGCGAGTATGAATGTTATGACGCAGATTTTGGAGATTCATAGTTCCATGCATCCGTTTCAGGTATGTACAAGAGGAGAAGAGATCTGGGGGATTCTAGATCTAGATTCCGTGCTACGCGATCATCATCCTTGTCGTATAGCTCGTCTCAAGCTAACCCTCCCTCTACCTATCTAGGTCCTGTTCGCCCGCATGTCCATCACAGCCGTCGCCAGTTACTTCTACATGTGGTATGCCAAAGTGCCCGCCCCCTTCGGCACCCGTCCCGTCCGAAAACTCCTCCTCCTCCGTGCAACATTCGGTTTCCTAGGCGTCTACGGTCTCTACTACTCCGTACAATACCTACCCCTCTCCGAAGCAACGGTGATCACCTTCCTCGCCCCAATTCTCACCTGCTACGCCTGTTCACTCCTCATCCCCGGCGAAACATTCTCACGACGACAGCAACTCGCCGCACTCGTCTCGCTAGCCGGTGTAGTCCTTATCGCCAGACCGTTCTCAAAGCGTGATGGCGCGGGGACAGGCACGGGCGATAACGCGGGTACCACAGCCGAAGACGAGAGTCCCGAAGACGCAGATGCATTCCACCATGTGTTGGCCACGATTGTCGCGTTCGTGGGTGTCCTGGGTGCAGCGGGTGCATACACTACTATCCGAATGATCGGACGACGGGCGCACCCGCTCGTCTCGGTGACTTATTTCTCCAGCGTGACGACGGTGATTTCATTAGTAGCCATGCTCACCGCGCCCTGGGTGCCGTTCCGACTACCCTCGACGGCGATGGAATGGACGCTCCTGACCGGACTGGGTGTCTGTGGATTCCTGTTACAATTCCTGTTGACGACGGGCCTGAGTTATGTCCCGCCGGCTAGTGTGCGCGTACCCGGGGCGAAGGCCAGTCAGGGATCCAAGGCGACGAATATGGTGTACATGCAGATGCTGTTTGCCTTGTTTTATGACAAGGTTGTTTGGGGCAGTACGTTGTCGCCGGTGAGTTTGGCGGGGTCTGTGCTGATTCTGGCATGTGCGATTTATGTGGCTGTTGCGCAGGAGGAGCGGAAGGAGGAGAAAAAGCCCAAGGCGGAGGTCGAGGAGGAGGAAAATGCTGAAGATGAAGATGATCGGCGATTCAAGGACCGGGATGACGAGGAGACGGAGGGAGTGGCTGCACGGGAGAGAGACTAAAATATGCAGTTCGGGAGAGGAGGTGAGATGTGCAGGATCGTCGGGAGGGGAGAGCAGTGAAGTACAGAGGACCTGGACAAATAGTGGTGGAGGTGGAGATGTGCATTGAGTTTTGGGCGTTCTGGGCATATTGGCTAGAGCATTTATCACCTAGTGAGTGCTATGGCTCGAGCATTGGCATGCCATTGCACATGCAATGAGCTGAGCTGAGTACAGTACCTCATTTCCACAGTACAGTAGACGGAGTACATATTCCTCCAGGTTGTGGTATATATTATGACTATGAGCATATGATAATAAGAATGATCATGATTTGACTGCCTATGGAGATACTATCTCAATAGATTGATAGCATTCCCTTCTCTACTCTAAGTAATACCATCTAACCATTAACTATCGGAGCACACTGCTCCATCCTCCCCCTTCCAATTCATCCAATTCCCGCAATTTAATCCAATAATCTTCTTCTCCCTCGACGTCATAACGTTGCACCATCCCGCAACAGCCTCCCCCGGGATCGCCCGAGGCTCGTCATTGGTGAAACTATTCGTGATCGTCCCGGTGGATCTGTGATCCAGACCGGAAATGAAAGCCTACCGCAATAGGTATACCGAAGTCGTGGGTGGTAAGGTACAGTCGTAGACTGTACCTGTAGGAGATTGAAGTACCTCTTGATAACTAATCTCGGTTTTGAGGTGCGAGGTGGATCAACTCCATAAAAGAGTCCACTGGCCCCGGTTTTGGGTGGGTTTGTCTCCCCGGATTTCCTTTTTTTTTGATCTTTATCTTTGATCTTTTATCTGAAGTGATTAGATTGGTGTGGATGTTGATAGATCCAAGTACTTCTACAAGGACGACTATATCAAGCCATACTATACCGAGTACTATATACTCGAGAGTACTACTTCCGCAACGCCACCGAACTATACAACTCCCCTTCTATAAAACCCAATCTAGACATCCCTGTCACTCCCCAATCATGCGCCACTTCGACGCCTGGGTCATTCGTGATCCCTACTCCATCTTCCACTACTACACAACCGGTCAACGCTGGAAAGACACCGTCCGCGATCTAATTCACGATCGCAAGATCTGTGCTCCATCTCTCAACTCCAATCCTCAATTACCATCTCCACCATCAACTTCATCTTCGTCTACTTCGACTTCTACTCCCACATTCATCCAACAAACCAAAAGCCCTCTCTTCACACGCCTCCCGCCCGAAATCCGCGCTATAATCTGGTCCTACGTCTTCGGCAATGATACACTGCACCTCGTCACCGTCAAGAATAAAGTCCGCCACGTCCGGTGTTCTTCTTCTGGATCATCCTCATCATCTACGAAAGCACTAACCCACCACCGACACTGTTGTCCAACAACACTCGCCCGTTGGCGGAATTCCTCCTCTCCTAATAATACCACCACCATCAACTCCAACGATAATAATCTCCTCTACCCACACACAAACCCTCACCTCCCATCAACCCTATCCTCCTCATCCCCATCGCTCCTCCTTACCTGCCGCGCAATCTACACCGAAACATCCACCCTCATCTACAAAAACTCAACCTTCGACATAGACGACCTCTACACATTCATCGCATTCACGCAATCCCTCCCATTGCACGCCCTCTCTCACATCCACCGGCTAACAATCCAATGGAGCCCCATATGGACCCCCCTCTCAGGCCAAGACCACAAAAACTCCATCTACGCACATACCCACAGCGACGCCCTCTGGCTCCAATTCTGGGCGCGCGTAGCATCCCTACCCTCGCTTAGAGAAATTAAGCTCAGTATTGATCTGGGCTCGTTTACGGGTACTGTTACCCCCTCGGGTGGGGTTGTGCTGGGCGGGAGTGGAGTGAGATTGCCGCTTGGTGTGGGCGAGTTGTGGACTGTGCCTTTGCTGGGGGTTAGGGGGCTGGAGACGTTTGAGATGGCTGTTACGGCGAGGTGTGATGTTGTTGCGAGGGGGGTTTTGGAGGAGAGTGTTTGCGGGGGGGCGGGGAGGTTGAGGGATTGGTTGAGGGGGGTTATGTGTTCCGCCAGAGATGTTGGGTTGAGTGACATATTAGGTGAAAGGGAGGGAGATGGGTTTGGGTTGGACAGGGGGAGGTTGAGGGTTTTGGAGGAGTGGATGAGGAGGGAGGAGGAGGAGAAGGAGAAGGATGTTATTGGGAAGAGAAGTGGGCAGAGGTTGGCCATCATGGCGGCTTGAAAGAAGGAAAGAAGGTGATTATTATTAGATTGAATGGTGCCATGTTTTATGTGTTATAGATACCCATTGCATTGTCTTTGCTTTTGATGTGTTCTTCTTTTTCAGTTGCTAAAGATAGAGCACGAGTCGAAACCTCCATAGAGTGATTCCAAGAATGATATACCAGACTTGACTTTGCACTTGCTGTATCAGTATCAATTCAACCTACATGCAGACACTACAGGAGTCCTTACTCTGTACTTCATAGTATATCAGGCAAACAGGAAGGCATCGATTCTCGATTCACGAGCAAATTTTAAAATTCCCATCCAGAATCCAAAGCCCGGCAAGCCAAAGCCAGGCCAATCTATGCATCTAACTATCCCAAGACGCAGCGCAGCGGTCAGACATATTCATGGCTGCAATCCTAAGCAGCTTTCTTGTCATTCAGTAGCATCAATAGCAACTCATCCTTTTTGCTGGTAAAGGAGGCTAAACAGCTCTAGCTCTGTGTTCAACATATACCCCAACCATCCTTGAAACAACCTCCCCCCATTTGATCAATAACAACAAGCTCGAAGCAAAAACAGAAAATAATTCACCCGAGTGAAGATCAAGACTCGATAGGTGCACCGAACCAGCCAAGCGAGAGCCACAAGCAAACCACCACACAAGTCAGGACCAGGACCAGTCAGTCACAAAATAATTCATCACACAGCAAAGAAAAGAATAAAGATTCAATTTCACAGAGTATTAGGGGCATCAATTTTTTGGCGCAAAGGTTCCCAAAAAAACCAACCATATCTATTTTCATCAGACAAGAGGCCAAAATCAAACAAGGCCTAGTCATGTAGGGAAGAGGGGGGAAAGCAGGGAGGATGGGGGTAAAGCAGGATTATCCCATTGACAGAAACAGCGATACCAGGAGAGAGAAAGAGGAGGGAAACACCAAGCGCCGAGACAAAAGAAAAGAAAAGGAAATGTGCCTGCAATTTGAGGGCAATCGGGAAAAGTCAAAGTCAAAGCGAGATGGTAACGGTAAGACGGTAAGACAAGTCAAGAAGTATAACACACGAATTGAATGCAAGGTGAAGGGCGAACGTAAAGGGTGCAGGTGCGAGTGTAATGCAATTGTCCATCCCAAAATGAACCGAATCCAAACTCAATCCAAACTGATCTTCCAATATCGTTCTTCTTTTCTTCTCTTCTTTTGACCCGTCCAAGACCAGATTTCTCAGATCGGGTCAGATCAGCGGGATCAAGACATATCAACCCGAAGCAAATACGAGATCAACGGCAACGACAACGAGCAATTAAGGTGCAACGACACCCTTGCGGCCACGGGTCTCGTTATCCTCGTACCCGTTTTGCTCGGACTCGTCCTCGTCTGTGGGCGAGTGGGGGTGACTGGGTGGTTCTGTGAGGGAGAGACGGCTGCGAGCCATCTAGACATTAAAGAATACAGTTAGCAAACACCATTCACTTCCAAACATCCATGCTCGGTATTCAAGACAAATAACTCAACTCACCCATGCACGAACACCACCAATCAACCCCAGACTATAACCGGTTGCGAAATCCTCATTCCGGCCTACACCAGGACTATCGGGCCGATTGAGCGCCTCCACACGCGAAAGATGACTCTTGCTACCACCCGTCGGGCTGGCCAGCGGCCCACGGGCACTGCCGTAATCGACGCTGTTGCGGGCACTGGGCGCGGGGCTACCGGGTCGGCTGTTCTGCCAGATCTGACGCAGCTCACGGCCGAGTTCCTGGCCGGTCATGGTCCAGTTGCTGCGGATATTGTCGCGGATTTCTGCGACGTGGCGTTTGATTTCAAGTTCGTTTTTCTTCAACCATGAGACGTTGAGTTCTTGGCGGGAGGCACCGCGCTTGAATTGTCGGGAGATGTACTGGTCGTAATCACGGACGATCCTGGATAGCGGGAGTAAACAGGTTAGTCTTAAATCGAGATGAAAAGGTAACGGGTCAGGCTTGGGATTTTGGGGCCCTCTACTTACCGAGTAATGATGCCAGTTGTGCTAACACCCTCCGTCCGCTGGGTGACCAGGAACTTGCCCTGCGCCTTGATAGGCTCGTAGATATCATCACCCTCGTCCGCCTGGTACGGCAGATCGTCATGCGCGACATAGTCGATCTGATGCTCGGACAAGAACTCGGGAGTAACGATCCACGGGCAATTGGGAATAACCTCGTCCACCCACTTGCAATGCCGGATAGTCTCCGCGCGCTCGGCACCACTCAGCACAGTCAGACCCTTCCGCTGATGCGTTTCTTCGTCGCCAGTGACACCAACAATCAGGTACACTTCGGGGAAAGCCTTTTTGGCCTGCTCGAGCTGTCTCATGTGGCTGTGTTGAGAATCAAATTTAGCGACTTCCGATCATTTGTATTTTGTGTCCTTCCGCATCTCCGCAATCCCCAAAACCCAATTCAAAGCCAATTGCAATTGCCATGTACATACCCAAGATGGAACAAATCAAACACACCATCCGCATACACTCGCACGGCCCGCCCTTCAGGCGGGGGATTCGTCTTATATCCAACCGGGTCCTGTAACCCCCCACGCTGCGGCGGCAACATAGCCGCGCGACGCTGCTCCTCCTCCGAATCAGGCAGATTAATATGCAAGCCCGGCCGACTCCGCGGCCGAGTCTCGATATCACTGCTCGCGACAGTCGTCTCGGATGGCTCGCCGGGATCCTCTTGGTGGATGGTAGTGCCGTTGGGAGTCCCGGTCGCGGTGGCTTCGGAGCTCTTGCGGGCGCGCTTGGTTGGGGGCACAGCCTCGCTGGTACTAATGCTGGATTGCTTCTTGTGTCGGGCAATGGCTGCACTGGCGGGGCCGGTGGATTCTTCGCCTTCTTCGCCGGACGCGTCGCGCGAGGATGGTTGGAGCTCGGCCGGGATGGGTTGAGGTGCTGGCAGATGCGAGGCGCTGCGCTTGCGCTTGCTGGAGGGGGAGGAGGGAGATGTCATTGTGAGAGAGGGATGTGTGTGAGTGACACGGGATGTGTCGGGGGTTTGGAGGAAAGAGGAAAAAGAAAGAGGTGTGTTGTTGAAATTGGGCTGATCCCCTGGATGGGCGGGTTTGAGCTGAGGAGAGAGACTCCGCCGTGGCCCGGATTAGGGGCCCGGGTAATTTTCTGGTAGTGGAGACTGACAACTGGGCAGTTGGGACTTGGGGCGTGGGACTTGTCGTGCACTGACGTATCGTATCAGGGTCTCGGCAAGGCTGGGCAGGGATTTTCCCTGATTTATTATTTACTGGAGGGATTGACTGTCTCGTACTCGTACATCAGTTGCTATCATGATAGTACAGTAGTGGTCTATTTCCTATGGGCTTTAGGTGTAAAGTACACCTCCATCAGATCAACTCAGCTCGATCAAAACAATACCCGCAGAACTAATCCAACCCACCAAACGAAATCCACTTCCATTGCTATGACTAGCGCATGTTTCACCACTAGAGGTATCATCACTAGAGAGTAAACAGTCAAGGATAGCCCATTCCAAAACTCCACTACTGAAACAATCCAAATATCTGTCTACCAATGTACAAAGTACCTTCTGTCCGGAAAAGGGAAATACCAACTATCGCAAACACCGATGAATGATACGCCATGGAAGTCGTGCGCTTTGCTCAGTCCCTGAGGCTTGGATATTCTATCGCTTCCAGCTTCACCTTGGCTTCGGTCTGTGTGGTGGTTGTAATTCTACCGGGTCAACTGTGTCCACAGTGTAGGTCCAGTCAAGTAGTGGCCATAATCAGGACCATAACAAACCCCATTTGACATCAATAGGAAGGGTCAATGATCACGAATCATCAAAGGAACAAGGATAAAGACCCAGTAGAACGTAGGAGTACAGAGAGAAGAGGTGGAAGTGGTAATGGTTCGTCAATAGCGGGGCATTTTCTGCGGTATCTCGTGGGGGCATAAAAAAGAAGACAAAAGCTCGTGAAGGGCCCAGTTGGCTCCCGGCGAATTGGGCCTTTCTCATACTTCCTAAATCTTCCAACCTCGAATGCCTTCCAATCCCCCCATATCCACACCCCCAAGCTATTCTCGTCGCTTCCCCCATCTCTCCTCCTCCTCCTCCTCCTCCTCTTTCATGGCTCCTTCGTTGGCGAAAAAAATCCCACTCTGACTTGGACACGTATTCCATCTCAAGGTTCCAGGCGAGCGCCGCACTCGAGGGGGGGGAGGCCCCGAAATGACTAAAGAGAAAAAGAGATGATGAAAAAGGGACGAAAACAAGGACATGGTTCGTAACATCGGGGCGACGGTGTCGAAGCAGGGGTGTAAAGCAGGGAGGAGCAGAAGGAGGGAGAAAGATCAGATCGTTCATAGGGACAAAAACGGAGGCAGGAGACGGAATCAAGGAAAAGAATAGGAAAGAAGACCAAGCCAAATAGATGAGGGATGCGGGGGGAGAGGGAGGGGAGTGGGTGAGTGGGACAGACCCAGGACAACCAAGGCGTATCAGAAACTATGCAGAGGTGGACCTCTCCTTGTCGTCCGTAGAAGCTGGGGATTCGGATATTTGAGTGGCCCCGTCCTGCTTGCCCTGAGGTCCGGGGGTACCCTCACGCTCATTCCGGGAACCGGTCGGATGCACCTGGTTGGCCAAATCCTGCTCCTCCGTCTGATTGAACAGCTCTTCCTCGTTCTGGTCCGAGACGACCTCGGTGCCGTCGCCCAAGAGAATAATCCGACCCTGGCGCACGCTAAACGCCCGCGATCGCTCCATCTCCAGCTCATAATCATCGGTCTGGTCCTCGAATTGGTTCCGGATTCCAGGGCCGCGGAACTCGGCTGCTCGCACACTTGACCGTCAGCACGACGAAGGGCTTCCTTCGGGTTCCTCGTGAGACTTGCCATACTCGGGAGGAGCACAAGGCCCGTCTCCGTTCGCAACCCGCTCTGCGATCTTGTTGTACCACTCCTCCTTGGTCTGGCCGTTGAGCAGGCCGATAACGGTCATGGTCATGTTGTCACAGCCAACACCACCAGTCTCGCTGTTGGATGCCAGGCAGTTGTCCATCATGTTCTCACAGATCTGGTACAGGTCCTGCTTGGCGGCAATTCCTCTCCGCACGAACTCCACGACTGCTTGGGAGGACTGGCAATCCCAGATACCTGGAAAGAAGTTTGTGAGCATTCACAGTCCCTGCATTCGGTCATCAAAGTGGGAATAAGACATACCGTCGCAAGCAATAACCAAGAACTCATCGTCATCGGTCAGCTCATGCACTGTCACATCGGGGTAGGCAGTCACGATCTGTTGCTCGGGGGAGAGCTCGGGGCTCTTCTTGAACTCAAAGTCACCGATGGCACGGGACAGAGCGAGGTTACCGTTGACACGGCCGAAGTCGACGAAGCCACCCGCGGCACTAATGCGAGCCTTCTCGCCTGTAATGGGGAGTTAGCGTACCACCCTCATGGGATGAAACAGAGCCTCTCTTCCTGCTCTTGTGCTAACTGCAGCAGAGAGGGAAAGTAGTCAAGGAATATTGGGGCACAAACCTTCGTTCTGAGGCTTGTGGTCGAAAGAGAGGGGCTTAGCGCGGCCCTTGACACCCAATACTGATCGAGAATCACCGGCATTCGCCTGGTCGGGGATTAGCTTCACCCTTGGGTTTCTTTGTCTCTCGCAATGCCTCTGTTTCAACGTACCACCCAGATCTTGTGCTTGGAGATGATTGCTGTGGAAGCGGTGCAACCAGACACTTCCTCCTCGTACTTCGGGTCTGCAGGAGATCACTTGGTCAGTATGGTGGATCTTGAAGAATATGTGATGTTTTCTCTGCATCTTCCTCGAATGGAGAGAGAAACAGTGGTCGTTTCTCTTTGTTTCTCTCTCGCGACAACAGGTGGACCACGAACCTTCCAAAATAGCCCGATCGGTAGCCAAGAAGCCATCCTTCAGAGCCTGCTCGATGTCGCCCTTGGCAAACGACTCCTGCTTGGAGACGATCTTATGGAGATTCTCCCCAGTGAACAGCGCTACCTTGTCTCCACCGTGGCCATCATATACACCAAAGAAGGCCAGACGCTGGGCCGGATCGGTCGGTTTCTCATCGGTAGGACCCGTGTATTTCGCGTGAAGGTCAAGGATAGCGGCGTGGGCATCCTCCATGCTGATACGCCAGCCCTGCATGGCAGAGACACCATAGATACAGCACTCATCACCACCCTCGGCCGAGGTCTAGAAAATGGGAAACACCACAGGTCAGTTATTGAGTTCTCTTAAGCTAAACGTGTCCAAATCGGAAGTTGACAGCTTGTTGGGGGGTAAGTGCTGATTGTGAACGCCCCCGTAACCGGGATAGCCTCCTTTCCACCCGACTGCTCCTCGACCCCTCCAGGGTCAGCAGCAACCCCGCATATCCGATCGTGACAGCTAAAAAAGCACAGTCCGATCAAAAGGCAGAAAACATTCCTCTTGAGAGAAAGCATCGCTCCAGATCGTACAAATCCAGCCGCGGCGACAGGGTGGTGGACCGAGGCCTCGTGAAAAGGGACATCTCCGGGCGACTGGCGTCACATCGCAGTGTGGGGAGGGGCAAGGGCGGAACAAAATGGGAAATTCGGGCGACTCACCTTCTCGACCACCGGCTCCGACAAGGTCTGACCCATAATGGCACGGATTGAATAAGTATTTGAGGGGAGAACGAAGGGGATGGGAGGTCAAGCACCAGATGAATGGTAGAAGGAGAGGAGAGAAAGGAAGGTCAGGTGAGGTGCGCAGGCCTTTCAGCGCGTCTCTCGTCTGTCCTTTGGGTCCCGCGATAAGTCGCCAGCCAAAAGTGGGGAATCAATGACGATCTAAGTTAGGGCTCGTCCAGGAGATTGGGGGAATGATTTATGGGGGAGAGAGATGAGAGAAGGAGTAATAGTTGAGGAAGATAAAATCAAGAGTAAAATCAAAGACCAGGATATTATCTGGTCAAGGGGAAATTCAATTTTGATCTGGCCAAATCCGACCGGCCAGACAGAGATTTCTGCGTAATCTCGTTACTTTTCTTACCTTACCACTGTTCTATCGCAGTCACCTGACTCTGGATGAGGTGAGCATTCAGCTGCACCTGAAACAGTAATAATAAGAACAACATATTATTGCATTACAATGTTTTATTATTCTTAACACTTCTTATATCTTCCATTCTTCACAATACAGCCACTGCTGACATCTCTGTCCCGAGGCTCTGTGTAAGATCCGACGCCTCATCCAGGCTCCAGTCCCCTCGCTGCCTGCGATCGTCACGCAAGGGCCCAAAGCCCATCCGGGGCTGGTACGGGCGAACACTGGAAAAGGTAATGGCTCATACAGAAAATATTATCCCCCGCTTAGCTCAGTCGGTGAAGGATCTTCTGAAGACATTCCGAGCTGCCTTGTGCTTTGACTAGATATGCCTGTCACCCTGTCAACTGTCAAGTGCCGAGTTGCCAACTGTTGGGTCTTTTTCCTGCACGTGCCACTCTCTGCCCTGAGCGGGATAGACGCTGATGCTTAAATTACATACAGTAAAGAGAGCAACCTTAGCTGTCTATATATCGAGTATCGTAGCTTAAAGATAATATATTTTTTTTAAGAAAAAATCTAACAAACAATATCTGCAGTCATTGGAAACAATAGTAAGATCACTTGACCTAGTTGGAAGGAAGGGCAACATCCATACTGGACACCACCCATGGATGAGATGGTGTATATATATTGCCGGCATTGACTACCCCCTTACCACCACTACAGTGCATCCAACTCTAAGTAGGAGGACCCTAGCAGCTTGAGAAGAGCAAGCCACACAAATTCAATAAAACATGATATTTCCTTAAAGACAAGTTGCGTGCATGCGCCACGTATTGAATAAACCAAGGATTGAGACTCATGCCTTAGTACCCGAACAAAGATCATAGGAATAGAAGAAGAATGTAATTAACGGTAACCCCCATGAAATCCACACAAAAATATCTTTAGAACAGACAATCTAAAAAAAAAAAATGAATAACAAGGAACAAAGAAACATGTCTGGCCATCTCTTTGTATCACGTCGTACGGTATACTGTACCTCAAGCACCTCCGGTACCCAGTGGAGCCGCAAGGTCGAGCTCTTCAGCCAGACAAACCCCACAACAAACCACCCCGAACACCCAACATCGAACCACCTCACAACCGTACGGCTATTCTCCAATCCACACAAAAGCCTTGATTAAACCATTGTACCACCATCCATACCAACACCTCTAAACCAAAAACACACTCAATATGCCACCCCCCCAACTCGACCCCGTCGACAAGCGCCAAGCCGCCCGTGAAGTCATCGACATCCTCCAAGAGATCTCCGACCTGCTGGTACGTAACAAGCCTACCCTACCCTACTCAGCTTGACTAACAAACTAACCAACTAACCGTCGTCATCACCCCAGAATACAAATCTCGACCGCACAGAACTATCCCTCTGTGTATCGCTGATTGAAAATGGGGTGAACCCCGATGCACTTGCGGTACGCGTCTTCGTCCCCGGCCGCGTTGGACGCGAATTGAACTTCCACTAATGGTTTGCAGACTGTTATTAAGGATTTGCGTAAGGAGGCTGCTAGTAATAAGCGGGTGTCTAATGCGCCCCCGGCTTCGGCGGAGTAATTGGTTTCGGCCGGGATCGATTGGAGAGGAGAGTGTTGATGTTGGGATGGATGAGATGTTGGATGTATGGGGTTGGGATATGGCGTTAGGTGGTCAAATGACCTTATTTGATAGATACCCTCTTTGCTGCTTTTATGCGGCTTGTTTTGTTTGAAGTTGAGAATTCAGGACTTGATTGGTTTGTTTCGTGATGCCCAAATCCTACGTAGGTGACTAGATTGGAGGATCATACTTAGTAGAAGCTGGAGAAGATGACGAATACCCAAGACAGGCATGGAATTGAAAGTGTAACTCGAGGGGGAATTTCGGGGCACGAGAAGCAACTATTACAGATCCATAAAGGCAGGAAAAAGAGAAACGCAAGAGTCGGTCCGTCCATTCAATTTACTTGGACGAATCACCCGTTTTCTTATCATCCGTAGACGACCCGATCTCCCCGGACATGGCCTCGGCGGTAGCCTTCTTGAGCTGCTCGCTTTCAGGAACGGTGGTCTGCTCCTTGGCCTTGGTATCCTTCTCATCATCGCTGTCGCCGAGGCTGAACGGGTCGTTCTCGGCTACTGGGGACGGTTCAACAGTGGCCAGGGGCTGCCACTTGCTGGACTTGCCGCTGGCCGGGGCGCTGCGCTTGTTCGGAGTAGATGCGTCGTAGAGGTTATCGATTTCGACGGGAGGGCCGTCTTGGAAGGAAACCCTCCTACCGGGGGAGGGCGACGAGGACTTCTTTAGGTTGGTGTTGCCGGGACGAGGAGGGCGTGGGGGTGCGACTAGTACTACAATTAGCGGTGACAGACAAATCCACGGGTTTGAATCACTCACCCTCGCCATCCCTCAGCTCAAGTGCGGAGAAATCATCACCCAGCACTTGAGGGTCTGCATCATAACGCTCACGATCCCCACTGCGACGGCCCATCTCGCCGCTACGCCGTGGGCGGCCAAACGCTGAGGTCTGCTGCTCATATCGCTGGCTGGACCGTCCCTGCTCCTCCTCTTCCTCCTCATCACCGTTTAGCTGCTTCTTTAGGTTTCCGAACCACGAGTTGACTTTCGTTTGTGTCTCCAAGAATCCCTTCTTGAAGTTCTCGCGGATCACCGGTAGATCATCTATAGATAGGACCGTGGTCAGTACCCAGCACGCCCTTTTCAAGAATGTCGTTATTGGTTACCTTCGAAGAAATTGTAATCCTTATCTTCCGAGTCCTCACTTCCACGTGGCTGGCGATACCGAGGGTCGTTCTCCCATCCTGGAGCCGGACCCCGGCGTCCGGCGCCAGGGGCATTGTAGTGCTCGGCCAATTGGCGCGCATATTGCTCGTCGGCTTCCAATTGTCGCTGCGTGGTAGAGGTGGCTGCCGCGGTTTGAGACGGACGAGGAGGCTTTGGGGGAGGGACCATATCCTCCTGAGCGGTGGGATCGGTCATGCCTGGAAACTGGGGGTTAGCTCTTAACCATTAAAGTATTTCTAGGGTTCTTTACGAACCCAGCAGGGCATTGAATGCGCGCTCGACATTCCAATTGCTAGCATTCAAAATGGCCTTGACGACTGCGAGCTCAACTGTTGGGAAAGCCTCCTTCAGTGTGTTCACCGACTGTTCTCGGGGGCTCATGGGCCGCGGCGGCTTTGGCGGGGCAGCGGGAGGTGTCTCGGTGGCAGTCTGCTGGGCCTGCTGAGTCGAAGGTGCGTTGTTGCTAGTGGAAGTGACGCCAGACTCTTGCGGCTCATCGTCAAAGTCCAGAGGTCGTGCAGTAGTAGGCGACTCAGCGCGAGGGCTGGTTGGCGCAACCGCAGCCGAGGGCTTGCTAGGAGTGGACTGTGAAAGTGAGCCTCCGCTCTAGAGTTGCAGGCCAGGGTCTACACATACAGTCTTGTCTTCCTCCGACATGTTGTTGGGTATGCTTGTGCAAAGTAGGTCAACTAGCAAAAGCAACCGCAGATAATATTTCGAAAATAGTGCTGCCTGTAGGACAAAAGGGAAGATGCGGCGAAGCAGGCAGAACACATTTGGGGAAGCTCCGAACAAGTGACGTGGGGGTGCACGTGATGTGCGGGTAACTTTTATAGAGGCGTCCTGCATCGAGGTTGAACATTGCAGAGCCTCCTCGGTTGAATCGGATCAACAATCAAATAGCAGCATAATCAGATCTTCCAGAATGATGATGCTATGCTGCCCACAGATATTGTTCCCATGAGCTAGGGATTTAACCAGGAAGAACCAAGTCATAACCCTTCATCCCCAGACACTCGTTTTCTCTTTCTAAAGATGGCCTCCGAGCTGGAACTCTCGAGTGGCTATATCCCTGCGTTGTACAAACCAGCGGCTTTACTGCCAATTGCAAGACACAAGAAAAGTCTGCTCTACCTGGTCGAGACATATCAGGTCACCATAGTGGTTGGTCAGACAGGAAGTGGAAAAACAACACAGCTTCCACAGTATCTTGATCAGGCTGGTTGGTGTGAGAATGGCAAGTCCATCGCCGTGACACAGGTATGTCACTCACAACTCTATCTCATGATTCTTATCACTAATCACAAATTGACAGCCCCGGCGAGTGGCTGCCACCACAGTTGCAACTCGAGTCGCAGAGGAGATGCGCTGTAAAATTGGCGAAGAAGTGGGATATTCCATCCGCTTCGAAGATGTGACTTCTGCTGCCACCAGGATCAAATTCTTGACCGATGGAATGCTTCTCAGAGAAGCACTAGTAGACCCTCTGCTATCACGATATTCCGTGATTATGGTCGATGAAGCCCACGAGCGGTCTCTCAGCACCGACGTCCTCCTGGGAATTCTCAAAAAGATCATGAAGAAACGCCCCGAACTTCGCATAATCATCAGTAGTGCGACACTGCAAGCGGAAGATTTTCTCCGGTTCTTCGCTGGTGATGAATACAAGCCAGATGCCGAGCCAGCTGACTTGGGTGGCAGCATCGGGAGAATCATCAGCTTGGAGGGTAGAATGTATCCTGTTGACACGCTATTCCTTGAAAATCCCGCAGAAGACTACGTTGAGCGGGCAATCAAGACTGTTTTTGACATTCACACCCAGGAATCTGAGGGTGACGTGCTTCTGTTCTTGACTGGCCGCGAGGAGATTGACCGTGCAATTCAATTGATATCCGAGCGCGCTGCAAATCTCAACCCAAATGCCCCTTCACTGCTCACACTGCCACTTTATGCGGGCCTCACTACGGACCAGCAAATGTACGTCTTCGAACCGGCACCAGAGAATACAAGAAAGGTCATCGTGTCGACGAACATCGCAGAAGCATCAGTCACAATCGATGGCATTGTCTATGTGATCGACTGCGGCTTTGCCAAGCTGAGAGCTTACAATCCTACCACTGGAATTGAGACCTTGACAGCTGTACCCATATCGAGGGCATCGGCAACTCAACGCGCTGGACGTGCCGGTCGAACGAAACCGGGCAAATGCTTCCGTCTATACACCCAACAGACATACGAGCAACTCCCCGAGGCTACAGTCCCGGAGATTCAGAGGTCAAACCTGGCACCGATTGTGATGCAGCTCAAGGCACTGGGCATTGACAATATTGTTCGCTTCGACTTCTTGACATCACCACCAGCAGAGCTCGTGATTCGTGCCTTCGAGCTTTTGTATTCCCTTGGTGCAGTCGATGATTATGCCAAACTCACCAAGCCCATGGGCACACGAATGGCCGAGCTTGCTGTTGACCCAATGATGGGAAAGGTTCTCCTCGCTGCACCCTCCTTCAAATGCTTGAGCGAGATTCTCTCCATTGCAGCCATGGTAAGCCTTCAAGGGACGGTGTGGGTGCAGCATGACGGCGATAAGAAAGCCGCGGAGAGCCACCGTCGGAAATTTGCCGTCGAGGAAGGTGACCATCTTACCTACCTCAATGTGTACCAAGCATTTGTCACAAAGGGCAAAAAGGACTCGAAGTGGTGTCGTGATCACCTCTTGAACTACCGAGCCCTCGTGCGTGCCGTCAGTATCCGCGGCCAACTCAAACGCTACTTGGAGCGCTTTGGCATTCAGGTTGAAGAGAGTCTCTCGACTCGTCATGGTGGTGCTGGTGCGACTACCTCGCCAGAGCAGATCCAACGGTGCCTTACAACGGGCTACTTTGCCCATGCAGCAAAGATGCAGCCCGACGGAACTTTCAAGACAGTTAGTGGAGGGTTGACCCTCCATGCTCACCCTAGCTCTTTGATGTTTGTGAGTGCTCTCGATTCTTTATATCTTTTGGATTCCTGACTAATATGTTGGCAAACAGAATCGAAAAGCAGACTGGGTGATATTCCATGAGATCATGCAAACTGGCAGCAAGACCTACATTCGCGACGTCACAAAGATCGAGAAAAGCTACTTGCTAGAATATGCTCCAGAATATTACAGGGTTACATAGAAGGAAGGGGGACATTTTTTAATCCAGAGATACCATTGCATAGAATATGATACGTGGTTTGTTTACTTGATGGTGGTCTATTCCCACTATTGTCACGGGAGGCCAGTTCTAGTCAATATGGTGCGAGAAGAGACGGGGGACTCAGGAGTACTAAAGAAACCTAAAGATAAATAAGTAGCCCCTCTTCATATTTTTCCAATTCTACGATCAAACTTCTTTATAGATCGTGGGGGATCGACGTCACGGGTGCGGAGAAACGCCGCGCGGATAATTCCGAACTTTCTTCTCTTCTCTCTGATTGTTATTCACCACCGCGTCTCGCGTCTCCAACTCTCCATTTACACGCTTACAGCATCTTCCAAGTATATTGCTCAACAACCTCACTCATCATGTCTGGCCACCACCATCACCATGGCGGTGACGGACATGGTCACTGTCATGATGAGCACGATCACTCTAACGACATAACCCCCGCGCTTCAGTCGCTGCTCTACACCCAGATCAACTTTGATTCGATCACGACCTTGAATGGTATGTGGGACCTTGCTTGAACTTGTGCTTATCATTCATCATTCCGTACGGGAAGAACTAACAGCTCTATTTAGAGGCGACTGCTAAGAGCGGCGCCGCCATTGTCAAGAAGACCTGGGCTGAGCGACTGAATGACCAGCCCGAGCTTGAGAGCGATTGCGACGAGCAGCTCCTCATGCATATTCCGTAAGTTTCTTTGTGAATCTTCCAGCATCTGCCTTGTTCATTCTTCTCTTCGCCTGTTACACACTCCAAATACCCCACTATGCCCCTCACCTTATCGCGGAACTACCAAAACTAACACATTAAACATACACTAGCTTCACTGGCCAGGTCAAACTCCACTCAATCCTCATCTACACCGCACCCACCTCCGCTGCCCCCAAGACTCTCAAGCTATTCAAGAATCGCGACGACCTGGACTTCTCTATTGCCTCCGACCTTCCCCCGACCCAGACCATCGAGGTCCCACAGCCCGTTCCTGGCGAGGACGTCTTCGAAATTCCATTGAATCGTGCCCACTGGAACACCACCACCTCCATCACCATCTTCATCGAGGACAATTGGAGTGACGGTGAGGAGGATGTCACTAAGGTTGGCTACATTGGCTTCAAGGGCCAGTTCATGGCACTGAACCGAGAGCCGATCAGCTTCTTGTACGAGGCTGCTGCTAATCCCAGTGATCATGTTGCGATTCCTGGAATCAGCGATGTGGGATCTCGCACCATGCCCGGTCAGTAAGGTGTGACTTTTGATTCCGGATCTAAAGGTTGGGCGCTTAGAGAAGAATGTGATACCAGAATGGAAAGGGAAATTTCCAATGTATTAATGATTTCTACATGAAGAATAACGAATCATGAGCAAAACGCAATTTCCAAAATGCCAACAACGCCTTCCAATGCTTTGCGATCAACCAATGCAAGTGATCGATCTTGTTTAAACAAAAGCTCCGACAGAGTATCTTCAAGATGCCAGGATAGGTGTTCGGGTCTTGGCTTTGTCCTTGGCCCTAGCCTGTTCTTGCGCCGGCTCTTCCACGACTTCGTCGCTGCGTTCTGGAAGAAGAGCTTGGGGAACAGTAGGTAGGTCGACAGGCCCAACAATCTCCCGTTGTAGAGCCTCGAGTTCATCCTCAACATCCTCTTCGTCCTGCGTCGACAAATTGCCCTCTAGCATCTGGCTCACCTCCTGAAATTGACCATTAGCCACTCCAACTTTGCAAAAAGAATACCTGCTCTATACATACCTCTTGATAAGCTCGAGCCTCAGCCGTCTCCTCCATCAACCGATCCACAGCCTCAATCCCACCCATCTCCTTATTGATAGCCTGCAACACCTGGGTACCCTGTTGCAATCCAAACAGCACATCCTTCTGTACGAGTGCGAACTCGACCTGGCCGGTCAACTGTTCTAGCTGTGCAAGTTGACTATCGGTCTTGGAGAGTAGTGATTCTTGGTACTTCTTGCGCCGGAGAGCGAGTAGTGCCCGCCGCCGATCATTGCGCGCGAGACATTCCTTTGCGATTTCGGTTTCCCGGTCGGTGAGGACGGTGATGCGTTTCTGATACTGGTAAATCTTATCGCGCTGATTTTTGAGGTCGAGAATCGCCCTGTTTTATAAGGAAGTGAATGTTAGCCAGTGAATTATGCTGCTCGTGCTTGTAGATGCCGTCGGGAGGGGTCCATCGGTCTCGTGAGGGGCAACAATGCATATATGGTTCTGTCTCTGTGGAGATTCCCAGATATGTGTGCCAGAGACGACACTTCAAAAATTCAAGACTCACCGATCCTGCGACGAGATCTTCTGCGAACTACCGGAGTTCCCCATCGCGCATCTGCGGTGTTGACAAGGACGCAGTCCAGCGGACAGTCAATCGGCGGATGACGTTGGTTGTAATGCCGCTACCGCCCCGATACCGATAGATACCGATACGCGTATTTTTCACCATCTTCCGCTTCCCCATTTTTTTTTGCGGACTTGCGATATCGCACTTCGAAAGATTCGAAGACACACATCATGGCGCCCAGATACCGTGGGGGTAGACCGACGCTCAGCCAAGGTTTGGACCGTGAGGTAAGAATTGTTCTTCAATGGTGCTCTCTGAATGTTGCTAACTCTACGTGCAGGTCTACCAGGTTGTGCGCAAAATTATCGACGACCAGCCCGACGGCGTTGACCGTGTTCGCCTTACGGTTCCTGTTATCCATGCGCGGATCCGGGGATCGAATTCGAGTTTGAACCGGAAGCCGAAGAAATTGTTGGAGGATAGTTTGGAGCGAGTTTTGGAGGTTGTGAAGAGTGATCTGTTCGGGGAGGAGGAGGAAGACTCCGTGGAGGGAGACTTTGAGGGCTTGGAAGAGCCCCCCGCTGCGGTATGCAAGAGAAGTGATGAGAAACTCGGTCGCACTGGTATACTTACACCGGTCTCAAATCTAGGAGCCCAATGGCGTGAATCAAAGCATTGTCGGCGCATGGACAACGACAACGGCCTCGAAATCTACTCCAGCCCCGAAATCCGAGTCTACGAGTACATCCAAAACCACTTCCAAGCGGCGGACACACGGCGGTGAATCTGTATCTAAGCGACGAAAGGCCGACGCTGCGGTTGACCGGTCCCCGCCGACACACGTTAGTCTCGCAGATTTGGGCGGCTTGGACGATGTCGTCCAGGAACTGGGTGACATGGTTATCCTGCCCATGACCCGGCCACAGGTGTACCTCTCATCCAACGTGCAACCTCCGCGAGGTGTTTTGCTGCATGGACCGCCTGGTTGCGGTAAAACCATGATTGCGAATGCTTTTGCGGCGGAGCTCGGCGTTCCCTTCATTGCCATCTCTGCTCCCTCGATTGTGTCGGGCATGTCTGGGGAATCAGAGAAGGCCTTGCGCGAGCACTTTGAGGAGGCTAAGCGACTTGCGCCTTGTCTGATCTTCATTGACGAGATCGATGCGATTACGCCCAAGCGTGAAAGTGCGCAGAGAGAAATGGAGAAGCGAATTGTTGCTCAACTTTTGACTTGCATGGATGAAATTGCTCTTGAGAAGACGGATGGCAAGCCCGTTATTGTTCTTGCGGCTACAAACCGTCCCGACAGCTTGGATGCAGCACTGCGTCGTGGTGGGCGATTCGATAAGGAAATCAACATGACTGTGCCCTCAGAGCCGGTCAGAGAGCAGATCTTACGGGCTCTTACACGGAAGCTGCGTTTGGCAGATGACCTGGACTTTAAGACTCTGGCTAAGCGGACTCCTGGTTTCGTCGGAGCTGATCTTAACGACCTTGTCTCGACTGCTGGTGCTGCCGCTATCAAGCGGTACCTCGATATTCTCAAATCCAACAGCGGGGAGGAGATGGAGATGGAGGTTGAGAACGAAGAAGGGGACGACATTATCAGTCCTAAGGTTCGAGAATTGCGCCGTTTAATCACACATGCCAGGGAGAACCCCATTGGTGAAGAGACAGAAACCGTCCTCGTCTCCAACGCCGACTTTTTCACTGCACTCCCCAAGATTCAGCCCTCATCCAAGCGTGAAGGCTTCGCTACCATCCCCGACACGACGTGGTCAGACATTGGTGCCCTTGGTGGTATCCGCGAAGAACTCACCACCGCCATTGTCGAACCCATCAAGAACCCCGAAATCTACGCTCAAGTCGGCATCACCGCGCCTACCGGTGTTCTCCTCTGGGGTCCGCCAGGTTGCGGTAAGACACTACTGGCCAAGGCCGTGGCCAACGAGTCGCGCGCCAACTTCATCAGCGTCAAGGGTCCAGAGCTGCTTAACAAATTCGTCGGAGAATCCGAACGCGCCGTGCGCCAGGTCTTCGTCCGCGCTCGCTCGTCCATCCCCTGCGTCATCTTCTTCGACGAGCTGGACGCCCTCGTGCCCCGCCGTGACGATACCCTCTCCGAAGCCTCCGCCCGCGTCGTCAACACCCTCCTCACCGAGCTGGACGGTCTCGGCAGCAGTCGCCAGGGTATCTATGTCATCGCAGCTACCAACCGGCCCGACATCATCGATCCGGCTATGCTTCGTCCCGGTCGTCTGGAGACCCTGCTGTTCGTCAACCTGCCCTCCCCGCTCGAGCGCGTGGATATTCTCCGGACGCTGTTGCGCAAGTTGCCCATCGAGTTCAACGAGGACATGCGCCGACTTGCGGAGGAGTGCGAGGGCTACAGTGGTGCGGATCTGGGAAGCTTGCTGCGCCGGGCGGGTTACTCGGCTATTAAGCGCCGCGATACTATTCGTCTGGAAGACTTTGTTACTGCCAAGGCGTTTATCAGGCCAAGTGTTACGGATATGAAGAAGTATGAGCGGCTTAGGAGGGATTGGGGGACTGGTACGGTTTGATACTGCCTTGTCTAGCGATGGGGAGTTTGATATAAAGTGTTGAATGCTTTTAGTAATTGGAGTCATTGATGATGGACATCGTATATACACTTGGAGAGAAGATTGTGCTTTTTTTGGGCACCACATTTATAGAGGTGGTGTTGTGGAGACGAATCATACATATGAGATTTATGAGACAGATGAGGCGTCGCCAGAGTATCTCTGCCTGTGAGCTTTCCAGATATTGCACATTTCAAGCATGATGGGCTCTATTGTTTCATGTCAAAGATGCATTGTGTGTACCTAGCAGAAATACCCAAAAATCGCTAAAACTCCCCAACTCCACCAATGATCATCAACATTCCATTCATGACATCAAACCCCCGACGATCCCATAATCGCAAAAGCCATCAACGCAGCCCAAAATCCAACAAGCACCAAAGTCAAAATCCCAGCACCCGCCTTATCCCCCGTCGTAATCGGCTTCGGAGTATCACCCTCCTTATTACTATCCAGTCCCGCATTCGGATTACTCGAACTATTCCCGCCAGTGTTCGACGTAACCGGCGCCACAGCAGCTTTCTCCGCGACAAACGGCAACAAGTTCGCACTGAACACTTGACTAACGCTGATCTGTTCTTCCATTCCTGTCCATCCGTCCCATTGCGATTTATACCACTGCACACCGCAGGTGTTGTTGTTATTGCCTGTGCAGGACTTTGCGGCTGCGATGGCGGAGGTTTGCAGTTTTGGCATGATCAGGTCGTAGGTTTTTGGGACGACGAGGGCGACGTAGGAGAGCCAGGTTGAGAGGAGGCCTTTGAAGAGGACTTCGTTGTTGTTGCAGATTTCGCGCGGTTCGCAGGTTATGTCTTCCATTACGTAGCCGCTTTCTTTTTGGAAGAAGGTTTGCAAGGTCATGTTTAGGAGGCCGTTAGTTGCGTCGAGCCATTTGGAATCTTCGGTCTGGTGGGTTGAGAATTAGTTTTGTCTGATTCCCTCGATATCCAAAGCTGGAATGGGGTGGGAAGTCGGTACTCACGGAGTTATACATATAAGCAGCACCCATTAGATACGTGCCATAGTTGTATGTCCAAGGGATATTAGCTCCATCTTTGCAGTTCTCTGTACCCTCGGTCGAGTCCTGTACAACCCAAGTCTTATTGTTCACTAGAGGCGTATTGACCGACCAATCCCAGATTTTGTTCGCCCAGTCCTTATACTCCTGGTTCTCGGTATATCGGGCAAGTCGTGCAGCAAGTTGGAAGAAGCCGCCGTTCGAAATAGCGTTCTTCATGGTATATCCAGTTCCCTGGTATGGGAACATCTGCCAAGTCAAACCTCCGCCGCACATGCTCGTCTCCCATCGACCTTTTTGTGAGTTGAAAACGCCTTGCGCTAGCGAAAGCCACGAGAATCCGTTCGAAACATCGGGGAACTTTAATTCGGCAGCTGTCATCGCTGCAAGGCCCCAGAACACTTGGTCGTCGTTTCCCTGCGCGTGTAACGTCGTTAGCCTCGATGCAAACGCTTGATACGATCGAAATAGCTGTCATACCAGGAAATGACTATAGTTACTGGGAAGGTAGTCTCCATTCGTGCCCGACTGCCATTGTAGCCCCAGGCTCAGTTGGTCATTGTAGGTGGTGTCGCCAGTGAAGTGCCAGTAGTTGAGAAGCGCATAGAACAAAGCGGATCCTTCCCACCACTTTGAGGGGAAAGCTCCAGGGATTTGTCCGGGCTCGCTGCCGTGATACCAGACCATCATCCCCTGGGTAGCGGTCTTAGCGGCATCTTTGATCGATTCTGTGAGAGTGACCAGGCATGATTAGCCAGGGAACTTGAAGGCCATAAAGGGAGATCAAATCGATCAGTATGCAGCACTACTCACGTTCATTATTGATATCGAGCTCGATCGCATGAGCTTGATAGCCCAGTGTCAGCACATAAAGAATGACTGCACATATTGAGCTTATCCCGCTTATAAGCATCGCCAAGGAAGGATATCGAGTCGAAGCCGACCACTTGAAAGAAAGACGTCAAAGGGCCGTTAATATCCGTTCCACCTGGTATCAATCATTTGACTTGGGAATATGTCGACCGGCGTTGAGAAACCAGAATGACTAGTCTGCGAGTGGTCTGCTACCGACTTGAAATGTCTTCTCGAGCCTTGTTATGTCATTAGTGCCTCAAAAAAAAATTAAGATGAACATCAGCAGCAACTGGGCCTGGAAAAAGTGGGATTTCCCACTGTACTAATGTCCGTGGATTCGGTCACAGCCGCATTAGCAGGGTCTGAATCGACCCACGCCAGATGGACGGAGTCACGAAGCCATTGGTTGGAGGACATGCTATGCTTTCGGTGGTTGGTTACATGGTCTGGATGTACATATGGGGTAGGGTGGGGTATGCTGTAACATGCTGACTTTGCTCTAGCCAGTTGATTTTCGGGGGCTATATATGATCGCGTCAAGTTGTTGGATCCAGGGATCGTCAGGAGTGTCATAAGCCATACATATCATGATGTGGCATGTTAGTGGAGATTGGGAGCTAACTACTACACTGCCACTGTACTAAGGACTAAGGATGAGACATGAAATGGAGAAGAGTAAAAAGTCCTTTGTCTGGAATTTTAGTCGAATCCTTCCCAGCCACTAAGGCACTTTTTATCATTTTAACCGGGGCCATGGCCATGCGCCCTGCGACCCTGCGTGAATTAATCGACTTGTGTCATTGAAACCTCGAGGCTAGAAGCTCCACTAAAGAACATCCTTCCGGCCTAAACGACAGGATCGGGGGCCATATGAACCGTTCGACTATTTTTGTCCTCGTCGATCATTTGCCGGATTCATCCATGACCCTTGACATCATCGAGGACGGACCCTTAAATGCTGACTGGATCCACTCACTCACTGGCGGGTCTGTCTTGGCGCTTGCGGAAGCGTACGTGTTCAGCCAGCGCTTATTTTTCTGGAGCACAGTTGTTAAACAATAATAATAATAATAATTATCACTGGCGGCAGGAGGATTAGGAGAGCGGGATTTCGTCCTTAGAAGATGGGGTCTGGTTAACTCCGAAGCTACTGTAGCTCATGCTTATGTAGTTGCCTAGCCGTAAGCTGGAGTTCGTTTTTCGTTGAAGTAATGTAGCCGTGGCCTTCCGAAATTCTTAGAAGCCTGAAAGACGTTCAAATATAGACGGTGAATACGGGATTTTGAATCAGAAAGATAGTCATGTAGATACATGTGGACCCTAAAGGCCCATGCGTTGATAAGATCGCGTTCTTGCATACAAATGACATCTCGCTGCAAGATCTGATTCAAGACCGGCTTGAAATCTAAACTCTAAAAACATGGACAAACATCTATGAAAATTGTTGCTTTCTTTTATCAACACCTGAATGGGTGCTCTATACATAGAAGAGTACAAAAATCTGGGAAAGGGGGACGAATATGACAAATTACAGCTCTCTGAGAAGCCTTCACGATCATAAAGCTTGATCTCGTTCGCGGAGTCACCTTGAAGTCTGAACCATATCATTAGATTGACAAACTCCGGTTCATTATGCATGTAGATTGCCATTCGATTGGTCCCGGATACCTTGTGCCTCACAAGCTAAGGATCTAAACTTGATAACCAAGCAACGAACCCCTCAGAGACGCTCAAAGCCCACTGGCACACTATAATCCCCCCCAATCCACCCTCGAACGGTATTCGCAAACAACAGCGGATTTTGCCGATTCCACGGATGCCTCATCAGAGGATGAGTGACAGCCAACGTCTTATCATTCATCTCATGACCAATAGAAGCCAATTTCTTAGCATCTTCAGGATGGTCATAAGAAGGAACCAGCCCTCCCCGACCCGCAGCAATGATCAACGTAGGCGCAGGCCAAGCAGCCGGATACCTGGCTATCTTCATATTCTCCGCAACCTGACGACAAAGCTCCAGCGAGGGCGAATGCCGGCCTATGTCCGTCCCATCCATGAGCCATCTAATCACCGGTCGTGGGACGAGATTCTCTACACGACTCATCGTCCATAGAATATAAGATAGTCGGTCGCTTGATGGTAGTGATGGGTATATCTCGAATCCGGAGACAGCCATATGATCGACTACGCTGGGGTATTTTTCGGCGAGTCGGATGGCGACTTGAGCTCCTAGGCTGTGACCGACAATGTGGGCTTTTTTGCTAACCGCTGATTTTTGGATCAGCGTGTATAGTGCGTCGGCTGCGTTGTCGAGAGTAAATGTTCCACCGGCTGATCCATGACCGGGGAGATCGGGGGCTAGAATGTGGAAGGACTGGCCGAGGTGGGATATCACAGATTGCCAGTCGGCGGCTGTAGTGAAAGCCCCGTGGATGAGGAGGATGGTTGGTTTGTTGACTATGTCGGTCATTCTTAAGTGTCACTCCTGTGCCAAGGTACCTAGAAAGAAGTGAGATGCGACTAGGTTCAGGTGGATACATTACCACCAAGGTGTACCCCCTAGTTTATCTCTGTTCTTTGGGGGCCGTTTCTGGCTCGAAAGCCTGGACGGGATGATAGCCTCCACTACTGTATTCCTATACAGCTGTATAGTAGTGACATACGCGAGATACAGTATAAAAGCAATAAATATATGACCCATGTTTATACACTGGAAAGTAATGCATTAGGACTTTGTCACGAGCTTCGTATTCCCAGTATGAGTTGCCTCTTCCGGTTCGTGTCCTCGTATAAAGTCCCAACCCCTCCCGTACCACCCAAGACATCACCTGTACCTCAACTTCTCATCCCGATGTCGACGCCGTCGTAGAGCTCAACAACGATGTCTTTCCTATATAGATGGATCAGCCCTCTATGTGATGCCTTCTTCTGCCCCTCCCTCCCTTTCACAATCCGCTGGCGCCTCGTCGCGTTCCAACCTCTAGTCTTCCTCACAAACACGATCCAATACTTCCAGGGATCAACTCTGTTCTCAAAGAATCGGGAGACTGTTATATGGATCCCGTTAAAGCGATCTCCTGGCCACTCAGTCCGTGCAATCGTTTACCACCCAACAGGACAAACATCTCAATCAGAGGGAAGACCTCTCCATCTCAACATCCATGGTGGTGGTTTTCTCGGTGGTCTACCAGAAGGCAACGCACCATTCTGTCGTAAAATCTCGGCGGAGACTGGGGCGGTGGTGGTCTCGACTTCGTATCGATATGCTCCACGCTATACATTCCCGGTCGCTCATGAGGATGTCCAAGATGTGGCAGATTGGTTAATCGAGAATTCCGAGAAACTCTGGGATGCAGATCCGACTTTGATGAGTGTTAGTGGGTTCTCAGTTGGGGGTAATCTTGTATTGGGGATTGCGCAACGATTGTGTCCTTCGGAGTATAGGGTTAAAGCAGCTGTGCTGTTTTATACACCGGTAAGTGATGCCCGCTCTTCCTTTGGTGAAAGACTATACTGATACGTAGTCTGTCATACTAGGTTGATTTTCGTCTACCCCCATGGGATAAACCAAAGCCAGCAGGGTTTCCGGAAAAGGACCCCTTGTCATGGATATTGCCACTAATGGATGCATATGCCGGCCCGGAAAGGGCCAAGTACATCAAAAACCCCTTACTACATCCTATACTCGCGGATATCGAGACTCTCCCACGAAACATGTCTATCGTTGGAGGCAAGGTCGACATTCTACTCCATGAGCAGACAGTCTTTGCCAAAAGGTTGGAAGAGGAGGCTGAGGCTATCAATCAGGGAGCCAAGTCTTCGATCAACTCCAAGGGAGAGACAGTGGATGATTTGTACCACATTGAGAGCGAATTCTTTGACAATCAGATACATGGATGGCTTGAACGTATGATAATCCGACTCTTTGCCGTTACCGATCTAGTGCTAACCTGGATATGCATGCTTAGTTCCATCGATGTTCATTGACGCCAAATTGCGAGATAGGATCTTTGATGATGCCATACATTTCCTGAATAATGTCTACAATACTCGTAAATAAGGCAGAATGACATATATCCTACGTATATCTAGCTTTGAAATGTTTAAAAACGACTTTTATAGAAGTATGGCTATACAGAAATACTATGCACACACACATACAGCAAAAACGCCTGAAAGAGTATCATGCAAAACAAAGAACAAAAGAAATGATTACATCCACAAACGACACGTGCCATCAGCACCGGCACTGACACACCAAGCTTCCTTCGGGTGCCAATCGATATCGAGGACACCCAACTCGCCGGTAATCTTGTGGCCCTTGAGGACCTTGAGGGGAACGATGCTGGCGTTGCTGAGCATGTCTCCCGTGACGCTGCCGTGGAAGATCTGCAGGGAACCATCGTCACTGGCGTCGGCGAACAGTGGGTAGCGGCCACCAGGGTGGAACTTGACGGCACGGATAGCCTTGCGGTGGTACCGCAGTGTCTTGTAAGGGCGCTGCGACAGATCCAGATCGTGCCAGAGAAGGCGGCGGTCGTAAGATCCGACGATAATGTTGTCACCGCCAGAGGCAGTGGACGAAGTCGGGTGAATATCGAAGGACGAAATCCAGCGGGCACCGGGCTGGACAATCTTGACCAGAAGTTGGCGGGAGAGATCATAACCACGGATAGAGCGCTGGTTGGCCACGAACAGAATCGGTTTCGAGGGGTGGAAGTGGGCGGTCTGAGGGGGACCACCGCCCTTGAGGCGTCGGCGGAAGGGATACTGGGTAAGGTGCTTGGAGACGGTGTGGATGGCAATAGCCACGGAGGCAGGGGTCGAGGCACCCGAGCACACAGTGACAAAGTAGTCTCCGCGGCGGTGCCAGGAGATCGACTTGGGAATGTAGCGAAGAGGAATGACCACGCACACACCGGCATCCGCGAGCTCGGAAGACGGTCGGATCCATTGGGGAGGAGTGTTCTTCTTGTTGGCTTCCGCAGCACTTGGGGGAGGGTTGGAGGCGGCGTAACCCCAGCCAGCGTCGATAATATCCAAGCTGGCCTTCTCCATCTCGGGGTCGGCAATCATAGGAGGAACGGCAAGGAAGAGGTCATCGCCCGCAGCAGCAGCGAGAATAATGGCATCCTTGCCAGGGCGCCAGCGAACCACGTTGACAGCATCCTCGTCGCTGAGCTTGACACTCCAGAGCTGACGACCAGTAAGGATTTCCCAAACGCGGACCGTACCGTCGTCACCACCAGTTGCAAGCCAGATTCCGGTAGGGTCAACATTGAGCGAACGGACACGGCCCTTGTGACCACGGAACACCGTCGCACAAGTAGTAGGGAACGGCTTCAATTCCTCAGGGCTGGGCAGCTTGGGCAACAGACTCTCGGGGTCGATGTTCAGCTTGCTGCGGCGCACACGAGGAGCAAGGTAGAGATCCAAGCAACGCTCGAACTTCTCCTGGACAAAGTTCTCATAACCAGGAACCCTGCGAAGAGAACCAAAGTCATTGGGCAAGAACTCCTTCTCACGGTCCTCGGGGTCTGTCTGCTCCCACTCCTTGCGCTCCTTCTTATCGGGCAGATACTCGGGAGGCGGGTGATAACTCTCCTCGTATCCGGGCGGCGGCAGCTTGGGTGCGGGAATGTGCATGATGTGATCGGGACGCTCAGCCTCATCGGCCCAAAGGTCGTAGTTGATGATATCCTCGTCCTTCTCCTCACGCTCCTCTGGGGGACGATAAGGAAGGATACGGCCTTCGCGGATAGCCTTGACGATCTTCATCACACGCTTGGCTTCATGCTTAGACGGAACGAATCGGCGCTTCGGTTCGGGAGCAGCGCTGAGAGGCATGATCTCAAGCTGGCTGGAGAAGGACTCCACCAAGGGCTCGTAGGGATTGTAGCCATCGATGGTGGACTCGTTCATCTGCACCTTCTTCAGCAGCTCCAGCTCCTCCTGGCTCAACTCCAATGGCTTGCCAGTGGAGGGATCGGTAAGACCGGTCCAGCCCTTGGGGATCTCGATACTGTCAAGGAGAGCATCCAGAGCCTCGCCCTTGGCTGGGCGCATGATCCTTTTACCATTGATGTCGTAACCAATGTGAGGGTATTGATCGTAGAATGTCAGCGGGATATCACCAATGGTATTGGCATTCTCCTCCACATCCGAGTAGTCCGAGTTGTCGTCCGGGTTAATCTCATCGTAGAGGTAGCGCTCGTTTCCATTGGCGTCCTTAACGATGCGGAAATTCGGTTCGTTGTCGGTAGGGGTAGACTTCAGGGTCTTTTTCGTCGCGACAGGCTCGGTATCAGAAGGAATCTCATCACTGTCCAGTTCCTCCTCCTCATCTTCATCGTCCTCGTCGCTGAAGTCGTCAATCAGCTCGATTTCGGAATCGCTATCTTCTTCCTCGCTCTCCGACAGATCGTTGTTGTTGTCTGAGAGAGCTCCGTCCAAATTTTCCCCACTCAGCTCATCGCCGGAAAAGACACCAGCTTCTCCCTCCACATCGCGGGTAACCGCCTTGCGCTTCTTCGAAGCCTTCCTTGCGTCCATTGTTGCTGGCCGTTGAACTTGGAATTCTTGTCGATCTCCACGATTTTTTTTCTTCTCCGTTCAATTGCGCTCACCGCTCACATGACTTACCGCCCCCAGTCCTTATCGCCTATCGATGACGGCCAAAGCGCCCCTCCATTTATCTCCAAAACAATTATCACCAATTCTTTCTGTGGTTGTATGGAATGTCGATAAGGTGATGGCAGCAGTCATGGCAGAGCCTATGGGGGCTCATTATACAAACGAAATATCTTCGTCCGCATCCGAACCGAAAAGACATTCGGCATGCGACGAGTGCAGTGAGTTTTCGGTCACTTGAAGCCGTGGCTGATCTATGCTGATCACATACCCTCCTCTAGGGAAACGAAAGCTCAAATGCTCAGGGGAGCTTAGCGGTTGCTCCCGCTGCTTGAAGCAGTCGATAACATGCAACTATTCAGTACAGAAGCCGATGGGTCGACCACCCAAGAAGAGAGCGCGGGCGGACGATGATGGCGGCGATATTTCTATGCAAGGCAACAATATGTGGCCCACCCCAGAAGATACACCACCGGAGTCTTTCACCATGGCACAGGAGCCGGCTGCAATGACCGACGCTCAGTATCTGTGTCCACAGTTCTTCGTTCACCACCGTGGCACAACACAGTCATCGGAATCGGATCTGCTCACTGGCGACGAAGACCACAACCACAGCTGGCGCCCTGATCGTCTAAGGAATTCCAACATGCCAGTTTACGAGACTTCAAGTCCCTGGCCGGACTTTGCAACAGTCTCCGAATCATCATCGATGCCATTACCACCTCCAACAAACTTCCTCAGCGCTCATTCTTTACCTCTGACACCTCCAATGACCAACCTCGCCGATCCCACCACTCCTCAATGTACATGCCTGTCATATCTTTACCTCTGCCTCAGTCACATATCCTCCATCGCCTCTTTTCCCGTCAATTCTCATACGCTATGCTCTTTATACATCGCAGCCAGAACCGCGCAGGACGTGATCCGCTGCGAAGCGTGTCCCAAAAATTTTGCTACGGGCGTTCAGAACGTCATGTTCACTGGTACCCTACTTACAGTCGTCGCAGACGCTTGGCTGCGAGTTTACAACAGCGACGCTGCCGAACTGGGGGCACAGTCCGCACCACCAGAGTTTGCGACCAAAGTGATGCAATCCCCCAACCCCGCAGAGGGGTGGAAGAGTTGGCTCCGTCAGATCGTCCGCCGTGCTGTCGTCGGCGGATCTCTGAGTCCAGAGGCCGGGACCCGCTGTTCCGGACAGCGCGACCTTCTCTCCTTGATCAGAGAAGTTGAAAATCGCCAACGGCGCTGGCATGCACCTGGACAGCACCCGATGACAGGATACAACCCCATGCATTCCTCGGCTGTCGGGCTCAATCAGAATGATGAAGAGTGTACCGATGAAAAGGAGCTGTTGTGTATGCGCGTGGTTGGGAGCGCGCGAGCTGTTCTCTCGAAATTCAATTTCGAGCCTTCTGACTTCCCTGAAGGGGTTATACCTGATGATATGAAACGAATACCGCATCCATGATAAAAACAATGAATAACGGATTGGAGTTTGGTGTATTTCCTCCATATTTACAATGGTGATTCCATGCTGGTTGATATCAGGAGGTCGATGAAACGTATCGGATCGAACATAGTTGCTGCTTTAAGCCCACCTGAGACTTGTATTAACTAGCCCGGGGTCAACTCGTTTAAATGTTCAATCGAACAGATTCTGTTCTACATCTTTTCAAAGACCGCAATAAGATATCGTTAGAATAAATTGCAAAGATGTCTAGGAAGATGGTCCCCATTTATGCCAGTTTTAGCTCTAGTTTCGATCATAGACCATTTCATTATTTTTGCTAGAGAAAATGTACTATGCCAGCCTGAAGGTCAAGCTAAAAAACAGAACTACCCCCCCACTAAAATGCCAGCCCTTGTGGATGTGACGCCTAAGCCATGTTCAGACCGAATTGTAAAAGGAGAATAAACAGGAAAGGAAATTGATATGTTTTAGAGATCACTCATCCTCGTCATCATCATCAACCACGTAGCGGTTCTTCTTCCGGGCTGGTGGTGTTCCATCCCCCCGGGGAGCCTCCTCTTTCCGGGCTGGCTTGGAGGGAGCGACCTCATCGTCGACCTCGCCTTCAGCATCCATGTCCTCGTCTTCAAGCTCTTCCTCGTCATCGTCGTCATCGCCTTCCTCCTCGATCTCCTCGTCACTTCTGACCAGGAAGCCATCATCCTCGTCATACTCGTCCTCACGGGTGCGGCCACCACGACCATAATCCTCGTCCTCGTCCGTCATAATTTCACCACGGCGGTTGGGTCGGCGTGGCTTAGCGCGAGGGCGGGTAGTGCGTAGACCGTCATCTTCCAAACCGCCAACGCTGAGACCATTGGCCATTGTACGAGGCGCGGCAACGCGGCGAGTGCGGTCTGCCTCGCGATCTGCCAGCTGTTGGCGGCGACGCTCAGCGCGCATAGCCTCCTTCTCCATGAGCTCTGCCTTGCGGGCGGCCAGCTCGGGGTCTTCCTTCACATTGATCATTGGGACACCGCCGTCTGCGGTCTGCTTGTTGCCGCGCGCGGCAGCGGCCAGAGACTCTTGGAGCCGTTGGACGGCATCGTCAGATTCTAGGGCTGTGGGAAGAACGGTGAGACCGTGTGTGACGTGCGAAGTCAGGCGGAAAAGCTCGGCTTGCTCCAGGCCAGCGCCGAGGTAGACGTGGGAGTCGAGCTTTGTGGTGTACTCGCCAGACTTGGAAAGAGGAGCTAGAGGTTTGGATGAAATGCGGTATTGTTCGAGGGGTGCGGAGGCGAGCTGGAGTGTGATGGAGCCGTCTTCCCATTGAATGATTCGCGCGTTTGACTGTAGTTTTTCCTCGTCAGCGGGATCTCGGCGCCAGCAGAGAGATGTCGCGGCCGTGGAATAGGCCGGCGCAATGTATGTCTCGGGGTTGAACTCTTCCGATTCGATGGAGAGGAAGTCGGGGACGCGCATTGTGTAGACCTAAAGACTCATTGTAAGCATGTATTCGTCGCATCCAGTACCGCATGATCGCATACCTCGGGGTCATTCGTGGCTGGCACCGGGGCGCGCGCAATTGTCATTTCGGCAATGGTGAGACTCTCGGTCTCGCCATCTGGCGCCTCGTCCATGCGGTCTTCACGTCGGTCATAGCGGCCCTCATCGTCTCCCGAGTCAAGTTGCTCGTCATCCAAGCTACGGTGAGGTCGACTAGAGAGAATTAGTATGTGCTTCGCCTCTGGATAGCTTCTAAAGTGAGGACTTACTCAATATTGTCAAATCCACCGTCTGAGCCGTCAGACCCGAAGAGATCAGCGTCGTCGTCCATCAGATCATCACCACCAGCACCATGGTTCTCAGCACCAGAGTCATTGCCAGCATCACTCGGGTCAGGACTTTGGTTTGCGGCGGTGCGTCCGGGGCGGCGGACAGCCTCCTCGTCGGAGGAGGACATGATTGTGAGGGTGGTTGAGGGGCGACAGGAGAGTGTAGGAAGAACTGAAGAGCTCCAGAAAAATCGGAAAGGAGGGAAAAATCAATCGGTCTTATCGAGTAATGACTGGGAGCTCCCTAATGCAAGCATCCATCCGAACTAAACTGGGTCAAAACGGGCTTCACATTCACATTCACGCGGACGGCCGGATTAACTAAATAATCCGATCCCGGGCCGCCAATGGAGTTAAGTCAGCGGGCCAGACCAAAAGGGGATTCCCTGGACATCTTCACCGTCTCTCTCTTGCTTCGTGTTTAATTGCTTTTTCGTCAAGGAATTGGTCTTTGTGTTCAGTATGGCGACCTTCTTTCAGAGCGTGTAAGTCTACTGTGCAATGGGGGCCTCATGGAGCCCCTTCCCCTTCACTGTTTACGTCCCCTCGACCCTGTGCGATTGCCCCCCCTCCATACTGCATCGTTCAAGCAGTACCCCGGCGCCACAAACGCGACGCAGCATTCCCGGCTTCCAAAGTTTATTAGCCCGCGCTGTGTTTTGCGCTGGGCTTGTTTTCTATCCCCTTGTTCTATTTCAATGTCGTCTGCTTTGCCCTGAAACGCATCTTCCTTACCCCTCAACTGTCATGTCTGGAGCTAACATGCCCGCCTCCAACAGTCGTCAAGGGTTCGGCCGCGGGGGAAACAACAAGAACCAACCTCCCAAGAGCCCGGCACAAACTCCCCAAGCTCCTCAGCCTGGCGCCATTCCCAACTCTCAGTCGCTCACTAACAGTCTCACGATGGACAACCTCGCCGCGAATGACCCCGATGCCCCCAAGTACTTCTTCCAGGAGAAGTACGCTCCGCTGAACGTGAGGGGCAACTTCTTGACCCTGTGTGCTTGTCCCAAGAATGTCGAACTTGGCGAGTGGCTGGCTCATCAGAGTAAGTTATCCTGAGGGTGATGCGCCGTTCGCGATAAGAAGTCGAATTGCTGATCTGGCGGGCGTATAGTCGTTGAACAATATCGCCTGCTCCACGGCATGCTCCAGGTCATCCAGGAAACGAACAGCATCACCGGTCTCCCCATTTGCAATGAAAGCACATGCCCGACTATGTCGGCTGGTCGGTACGTGGAACAGGCGGGGTAAACTGAATTATCTGGGGTTGCGGCTGACGAAGATCACTTCAACAGTTTGACCTACACTTGGCTGGTGGACGGCCGCGCAGCCAAGATTTCCGCTCCGAAGTTCATCAACCGCGTCGAGAAGTGGATTGTCAGCAAGATCCATGACCCAGTCATGTTCCCCACCGAGAAGGTGAACGGCACCCCTGAGACTGCCTCCATGAGAGATGCCAACGGCGCCACTGCGCCCTCTGCCACTTCCACGGATCCCGCCAGCCCAGCGGCCACGAGTGGCGCATCTGCCGACGAGTGGGTTGGCCAGTCCAGCGGCTTCCCTCAGACATTCTACAAGGACTGCCAGGGTATCATGAAGCAGATGTTCCGTTGCTATGCCCACCTGTACCACGCACACTGGCTGAACCCATTCTGGCACCTCAACAAGCACGACATCCTGAACATGTGCTTCGTGCACTTTGTCACCGTCGCCAAGTACTACCAGCTCGTCTCGGACAAGGAGATGGAGCCAATGCAGCCATTGATCGACCTGTTCATTAAGCAGCAGCGGGTGCCCCCAGAGGCCCTGAACGGTGGCCACTGGGCTCAGCAGCCAGCAGCCAACTAAGCCGGCGACATGATCATACCGAAACGAAACACTCCGCAGGTCCAGGAGTACAGCGACTCTCTTTTCTTTCTACACGTGACGACACATGACATGTTTTTCAACCGGGCGTTGGGCTACAGCAGCTGTCTTATGTTCGTGTTTTTGCTTTCTACTGATGCCCGGAAGATGTGCCGAATTCAATCTGCGACTGATTGTCGATGATAGATGATTCGACACATTTCCAGGGCTTTGAGCATTTAGCATGGGGTGTGAATATTCTTTTTTTTATCTTGTTATCTGCCATGATTCTTGCATATCTTCCATCAGCTAGTCATAGGGACATATCCTCGCAATGGAACCGTATCCTTCTGGGTGCATATTAGATGTTTCTGGGTAGCACAATGGGATAGAGTGTGTCCAATGGGGAATAAAGGGTGATAATTGTCCATCCTTTGGAAACCAGACACGGAATTTCTTGCTCTAGCTTCCAGAGCTGACAGTATTGATAAGTTCCTGTGACAAGCGCTCTCCGATACTCTGAAGTATATCAAATTCTCAGAGGACTTAGGTCTCGAGGACACCCTACAACTGCTACGTGATGCCGCCTGCGATTGCATGCTCCCTCCGGACTCGTCGGCAGTCACCATACGGGGCGAACGGAGTACCACCGACAACAAACCAAGAATTACCGTTGAAGCCTGGGACAACTTGTAGCAGTATTTTCCTGCTAATTTATAATGGACAACCATCGAATTCTTCAGCTCCAGCTTCCAAGACGTTCTTCTTCTCATCAAGAGACTCATCGCACCAAAGAGATACTACCCATAATGGCATGGGGGCGCATGCGAAGAACAACTTTTGCACCGGGTTCAACGAGAAGAGTTTTGATTCCAATTGGTTCATGCTCTTTAGAGATATAGTATTGCGGAGAATATAAGTAGTCTAGTCCATAATAGAGGGACAAAGAAACAGGAGACCGTGAGCAATAATAATACATAGAGGACGGTAGGATACAACAACACTAGCCACTAGTCATCCTAAAAAGAATCATCACAGTCTGAGTCCAATCTCAAGTCTTCCTGAAAAGAATCATCACAGTCTGAGTCCAATCCCAAGTCTTCCTGCTCCCAAGACTTAACTAAAATAGACGGACGCGATTTCACCTGATTCGCAGCAATATTCAAAAGGAGGTCAGAGTCCCCTTTCTTGATGGAGGCTGCTCCATCGAGAAGAGATTTGTACTCGTGCCCAAGCTCTTCAACAAATGCCAAGAGCATGTTCTTTGGCAGATATCTACCAGGTGTGCCCCAAAATGGCTTGCCGTTCTCATCCTTTAGAGCATCTGCAGCTTTTCTACCACTCTTTGCTTCATTATGTTGCCAAGCAAGTCGCAGCACCTGGATGCAGTAATGGAAATAAACATATCGTGCTGCTGGTCGGAATGAAGAGAGGAACTGTAACTTGCGGCCATCGAGGTCTCTGAACGTAAGTGAGCTGAAGCTGTAAATGCGAGTATCCAGTCTGTCCCATTTTGGATCCAAGATCTTAACCTGGTATTCTCTTTGCTGGTTCGCGATCCAGCTTTTGATATTGTCCAAGCAAAAGCCCGTGCTTTCAGAAATGTACGGGACAATGGCCAATTTGCCGATATCCAAGACTTTCTCGATGTGCTGAGCAATAAGTAGCCCATTGCGTGGTGAAAAAAGCTCAGGTTCAGCTTGTTCTCCGAAGATCGCATCCATATTCTTTTGCCCATGTTTCCAGGGAAAAAGATGTCCTGCGATAACAGCGTCATCGTCGAGGTATTCCCCCATAATAGGACACCAGAGATAATCGGTGACTGGTTGTTTGGCTTGGTGTGACTCGATTAGGGCTTCTCTGAATTTTGACTGTTCTTGCGGGTTTCTTGCGCCGGCGCCCGTGGTTGAGATATCGAGCCCAAGCTTTGAGGTCGTAAAGAGCCTCATAAATGTCGCTCGAATCGGATTCCGCTGGTGACCAAATTGCTCAATGCGCTTTTCGTAGCTTCGCTTCGTCTGCTCGGAGGCTCTGGTCTGCTCAAAAATTCGCTGGGCTTGAGGAGTGTCCCTCCATTGTGATTCGCTGACGCCAGACATGGAAATGGAGATTCTTCTGTCGATATCATGGCGTTTAAGCTCAAGCTCTTCGATTTTAACCGCTTGCGTCCAGAATACCATGTCGAACGAAGCTTGTGCCCTCCATTCTTTCCGTCCGTCTTTGATCCGGTCCTGAATGGCAATTTTGCGTTTTTTCAACACCACAATTTGGTCAAGTATTTCAGGCTGGACTGACTCCATTGAGAAGTGACGGCTAAACGGAGATTTGTCGCGTTGATTGGGATTCATTGTAGGTTCAAGCAAGGAGACTCGTAATTCGAAGACAGCGATAGCGATATCAAGCAGTAGAATGATAGACTGTTTTCCAGGGCGCCAGGAATTACAATATAGAAGGAAAAAGTATGGAAAGAGCTACTGTAATACAACATCTGGACGTAACTACAGTTACGGAAAGGCTTAGCTGATTCGCGAACCATGGATATAGTAGCCCTTTAAGGTTAAGAAGTCTATTACATAAGATTCTGCTGAGAGCAGAATTCCGCATCAAAGCAATAGAAGCGTATGCTGAACTAGCAAGAACGTGCATCAATTACATTGAGGAGAGCGGCCTGCGTCATGAGTCTCTGGATATTGAAGATGCATGCGTTCTGCAGAATCGCCACTCTTGAGCTACGCAGCACTGCACTGGCTGGAACATGCAAGATTTTCTTCAAACTACGCGGACAAGGATTATGACCTTTCACGGCCTCTCTTCCAGGAGAAGTCACTTGTGCGGGTAAACTGGTGGGAGGCCTTCAGAGAAGCTCGACGACACTTCATATTCGACGACCAAAGCCCTAATTACCTTTGCTTTATATCGCTTGCTACTACGGGATCGATGCATTAGCTTGGAAGCTGCTAACTAAGACTTTTCATCTTAAGTTTCTGCAGCTTCTACATCGGAACGATAAGCAAGTGAGCACTGCACTGAAGTTTGCCGCTTCAGGAGGACACGAAGCGCTGGTGCAGCTGCTCCTCGCGAAGGGTGCCGACGTTAATGCGAAGGATCGGGGCGATATCACAGCCTTAACCGTGCCGCACAGAGAGGGCACGAGACTATCGTGCAGCTGCTACTCGCGAATGGTGCCGATGTTACCGCGAAAGACTTATCAGGCAGGACAGCGCTGAGTGTGGCCGCGGAGGAAGGACACAAGACTATCTTGCAGCTGTTGGAAAATCTGCTGGTGCATCTTGAATCGTCTAGCAGCCTTGCTCTAACGTAAAACACGATTCCCGTATGTGCCAACATGGTGATAGATTTGTGTGTCACTGATTCAATTCGAACTTCCGTGGAACCTTAAAGTCTCTATATCTAGCTCGCAATCTCATCTGATGTATGAGAGCTTGTCAGCAGAACAGAGAATTTCCATGTTTGTCCCTCGGCGCAAAGGTGATTAGTAGTAGATATAGATTAGGAAAATCGGCGAATCGAGTGGATGCCGTTTACTGTAGCATGTTACCGCGTGTGAAATGAGCTTCAATCTAAGAAACTTTTGTAGAACCTGTTCGACCTCCCATGTGATGGTATTTTGTCTACTACGACTAACAATAGGGCTGGTGCAAATTTTCATTGTGTTGTGTAGTCATGACTCAGATTCATGCCACTGTCTATGACTGTGATTGCCTCAATGCCGGGCGAAGTGTGTTCAAATCTCGGACTTTCTTTTGCATCTAGACTGCTTAGGGTGAAGGAAAACCCTATCAATCTAAACGGCAGAATTTGTATCTACAAAACTACTAGGGGAGAATGGTAATGCTTAAAGCGTTTCCCACATACGGATCTATACAGTATGAGCGCTTTAGCAGCAATCCTCGAGTTTCATGCAATATACAGTATTGGGTTCCACGCTCTCATACTAGTAGCAGAAGGGGCCATTATTCATGATCCTTATTTGCCAACTATAAACTAAACATGCTTTGATGGTGTGTGTAGGGGTATGTTCTCGAAGCAAACTATATCCAATTATAAACTGTCATGAGATGCAAGAAAGAACTAACTGGACGGCTAGATGGGAGAAAGATGACGATGACTGTGTGCTAAGCAGCAATAGATGGCGGAGAAGAAAAATTCTTGAGCTGCTGATGCAGCAGGCTTAAACGAGTTGGAATCTTGAGGAAAGCGCTGACGCGCCAAGAAAGTGAAGGACTGCATCCGAACGAGGCCCAGCGGTCCCTCAGCAACCCTCGGGCATCACGGAGATGCTAACGGGAGAACTTCTGTCCTGAGTCTATCCAGCCTCTGCTATGAACAATCCCATCAGAATCACAGGCTTGAGAACCCCCGTCTACACGAGAGGTGCAAGTCGCAGGGATTGGTACACGCGATCCGTTTCAAAGACTCATCGTCGGCTGAGGTGGCTCGCAACAATACGGAATGGCTGCATAAGCTAGATAGCGTTCCAAACGAGACGAAGGCGCGATTCAGAGTGGCCCGAATATCTGGTCTTGCTTTCACAGCAGTCCTCTCGTAGAATTTCATCTCATAGTATGGCGTTGCGTGGACAATGGACTTGTGTTTTCTTCAGCCCAGCCTGGCAGCCACACTCATCCGATCATAAATCAAAGCCGTAATATGGAGAAAAGGAGCTGACCTCTAACTAGAGATCCGATGCTGAGGTTTTGAAATCTTCCGTCGATTCATGTATTCGTAAATCGTAGCCAGTGTTCACTATCACCCCTCAAAGATATACCCCATCGTCGGTACTCTCATCCCGTTGCTCACCAGCACCAGCATGACCACTCCCATTCACAATCGGAGTTTGCCCCTTATCCTGATCCTTCTCATCTTTCTTCCCAGGCTCAATCCACACCTGCCCTCGATTCTCCACCTCGACCTTCAACAGCGCAATCCGCTCCTCCTTGCTCTTCACCACGCCTTCATTCTCAGCAATAACCTCGTCGAGAAATTTGATGCCTTCTTCCGTCTCCACAGCCTTTTCTGCTTCTAGGGCTGCGTTGGACTCGAGCAGTTTATTGATGTCGTTGTGTAATTTTGCGGCTTCGGCGTGGAGGGATTCGAGGGAAAGCTCTGTTATGGCTTCTGCGAAGGCTGTAAGGCTTATGGGCTGACTTGAGGCAGACATCCTGGTAGCCGAGGTGCTTCGAGATGGAATCTGATGTCAGTGGGTGTTGAGAGAGTGTGAGATGTTTGGGATAAGGTTGTGAGGGGTGGTTTGGGCAAAGTTGGAGATGGTCCGAGCTTCTGTTGGTTCCCCACTCAAGGACTTTATGCTTAGTTAAATAATGAACTAGGTCAACTCTGATGACAAAGGCACGCGGATGCAGTAGGTAAGATGTTGTATGTATATGGATCAAGAGAATGAAACTTCGGAACCTCCCTTCTCATCGTTCTTTTTGGGCGTTAATCTGAAGCCTAATATTTGCAAGTAGGATATTGGGACCTCAGCCTTTAGGTCTGAAAAATATGTTTAGGTTTAGCTGCCTATGGACAATACTACTTCCCCCGTTACATCTTCTTCTCCTTACCGAGTTAATTGGTACTATTCTGTTATATAACCCTTTACCCAATATCTCTGATAGGGATCTTATCCGACGCATATTTTCGGTGGCGCATGCTTTACCGAAGTCTTTGAGCGGTACCCCCCTAAAGCCGAGTTTACCTTTACTCCCATCGCCCTTCGGTTATTTGACTAATTTACTTGATGCTGCAAAGCAAATTTTCGCGCTTACTACCCTAGGTTAAGTATGCGTGTTTACTATCAACTAGTTACTCGCGAGGGCTATGAAATGTCCCTCATTTCAATAAATTAAAGACAAGAAACTACGAGATCTGTGAATCACAGATTTTAATTTCAGGAGGTCCGGTGCAGAGGTACACGACCCTGATAGCAAACAGCCAATTAGGGACTTTACCGATAGCTATCGGCAATAGGCCCCTAAGCAGTTATCCGAGTGCGGAACTAAAACCCGCTATGCAGGTCGAACCTACAGGAGAAGTACTATAATTGAGCAAACGTCGCCCCAAGTAGTTGCACTCCTCTGAAGCCCAAACCAAAAATATCTAGTATACCCTCGTTGTTTTCTCGGGATGTTTTTGTGTTCTCTTCTTACTGTATGCCTTATCTGGGTATGTTTTGTACCTGCTGTAAGAGCAGAGCATGATGGGACAACACATCCCTTAATCACTGTTGTCAATGGCACCTATTATGGGCTCCATAATTCGCAATATAACCAAGACATATTTCTTGATATGTCAGTCGCGCAGCAGCCGGTCGGTGATCTTCGTTTTCACGTTCCTCTGCCGTTGAATACATCCTGGTCTCTTCCAAGAAACGCAACGGAATACTCACCCGCCTGTCGCGGCTATAACCAGAAAAATGGTGCTTCTGAAGCATGTCTCACTCTGAACGTCGTGCGGCCACGAGGCTTCAGCCCCAAGAAAAACTCCCGGTTGCTGGTGAGTACATGCTGGTTTCTTTCCACAAAAAAATCAAAAGAAAAGGTGGCCTAACGTTTACCACTTCCCAGTCTGGATTTATGGCGGAGGGTTTACCTCCGGCTCTTCATCAGACTCACGATATAACTTGTCTTAAATCGTCGATCAATCAGTCAAAATCGGAAAGCCTATGATAGCAACCAGCATAAACTATCGTCTCCATTGCGGGGGATTTATGTGGAGCAAAGAGATTCAACAAGCAGGAGCTGGGAATCTTGGATTTAGAGACCAACGCTTGGCGCTGCATTGGATACAAGAAAGTACGTCTAATGTGGAACCAATCGGTTGAGATTCTGTTCTGACTGTGCTTAGACATTGCTGCGTTTGGTGGCGACCCATCGCAGGTCACAATTTGGGGTGAAAGCGCCAGAGCTAATAGTGCTGGTACGCATTTGGTCGCTTATGGGGGTCGTGATGACGGCCTTTTCCGTGCAGCCATTAGCGAAAGTGGAGCTCCAAGCGTTTATGCACGCTATCAACTATTGTTAGTGCGGCGGGCTGCAGTTCGGCAACAGATACTCTCGCTTGTCTTCAAACCATTCCAGAAGAAACATTACATGGAATATTCGATAACTCTTCTATCGTGCCTGTCCATACGTTGACTGGACTTGGTGGACCACAATTCATCCCTGTCATCGATGGAGACTTTCTTGAAGAGAGCGCCACTATTCAACTTCGAGAGGGCAGATTTGTTAAAGTTCCTTATCTTATAGGTGGTAATGCCGACGAAGGAACAAGTTTTGCCGTTAGGGGGTATAAACACGGACGCCGAATTTCAGAAGATAGTCACCAATTGGGGTTTCGACAATGCTACCGCAGAAACCTTACAGGCACTCTATCCAGATATTCCTGATATAGGAATACCTGCCACAATGGTTGGGAGACCTCCATCTCAATATGGGGATCAATATAAGCGAGTGGCGGCATTCCAAGGCGATATGAACATCCATGCACCCCGCAAACTGGCTAGTCAGGCCTGGTCAGTTCATAATGTGTCAGCGTGTAGCTACGTGTTTGACATGATCACGCCCGGGGCCCCATTTGCTGGGGCCAATCACCGTTAAGAGGTCCCCTATGTGTTCCACAACGTTGACAACGAATTGCCACTTACAAGCAGCCGCCAACGCTTGAGCACTATAATGTCGAGAATGTGGGTCAGTTTCGTGACGATGCTGGATCCAAATATCCCCGGAGGTATGTTTCCGTTCATATTGATATAACATAACCGCACTGCGTTCGAGAATCTCCGAAATCTAAACTGACTAACTATTGAACAGAATATGCTACCAGATGACCCGTATACGACAAGAACGACCCGGAAATCATCTTCTTCAACACCAATGTTACGAGCCTTGCGTATGTAGACTTGGATGTCTATCGTGCAGAAGGCATAAAGTACATTAGCGATCGACTTGAAAGTATTGGGCGTTGAGATTTTGCTGGTTTAGTGTCGTGAAATTTGGAGTGGTACTTACCACCACAATATTCTGGGTCGTGGCCAACCCACTTTTGTATGTAGATTTGTGACCCTGTGGAAATCCTTTGATAGCAGAATAGTATTCCTTTACGTAGCGTTGTAAAGTGAATAAAACTAGATCCCTTTATATCCAATCCAATGAGCAGGATCTCTGACTGGGTCTTCTACCTACAGTGGGAAAATTTTGTACGTAATCCAAGTCCATTCGCGCATACGGCGCTAAGGATCAGGATCAAGATCGCCACAACGAGAATTCGGAGGCTAGCACTCCCGACGACAGTCATGACTCTGAATTCGATGGACCTAGAGCAGGGTCCAAGAGGGTCGAGCCGAAGCGAATACGTCTAATCCTCCCATCGAATCAGCAACTCTTGGCCCCAAATCGCCACCTCCACCATTCCCCAATCCATGCTAGAGCCTCTTGGACTTTGCGCGCGACGGCGTTCATAACTCTGATTGGATGGGCCGGCGCTAACGCTGATGACATCTTTTAGTGGTGGGTAGTTAGGTTACGGGGTAGCAGGCAGACCTTGGCAGAACAACAGAAGAATACTTAAACAGTCATCTGCATGACCGTGACTCCGTGAGAGCAGCGCTCATGAGCTTAAGATGTCGGGTCACTTGATATCCAAGATTGGTATCTTCCTGTTTGCACTCGTCGCCATTGTCGCTATGATCTTTAACTTTCTATCAACTGGCATCTTTCTTCCTCTTAACATTGACCTTTTTTTGCCCCGACGAATAATAATGGACGACGACCTACATCGCGTCTCGTGTCCCACAATGGATCCTTTGCCGACGACTGAACGGACCGTGTTCGGCAACACCCGAGGATGCTTTGTTTACTGCTATCCCTCCACTGGTGGGGTTCTCATCAAAGAGGCTGACCTTCTCGACATGCTTTTCCTATCGCTCCCCCGCTCCCACGTATCGCACCGGTCATCTAGTGCCGAAGAAGAGGACAAATTCTGTAATCTCTTGCGACGGATTGGTGCAACTTGGTGGCCGAGTAAGGAGGATGAGATAGAAGTGCTGGTTGGCATGAGGGAGGCCACGGAGGAAGAAGAAAAGGTGGTAGTATTTGGTTGGCCGACGGATGGAGTTGGTGTGTGGGTGTTGAGGTATAAGAGTGACAGGGAAATGCCAAGAGATTTTGGGAGGATCAGTTTAGCGATGAATATGGAGGAAAAGATACAGATGATGAAAGAGTATGGTGCTACTTTTATGGAAGATGTCACACAGGTGAAGGAACTTTATGATACCAGTGGCTAGATATGTGTTAAAGGCCTACTAGTCTCGGGATGGGTACTAGTGCTTGTGGAGGGGAGTTTCAATATGCTTCATACAGTGCTATGGGAGAGTTTCTAGTTAGAGTTATCTGGGATGCGTTTCTGTCGAAGCAAATTTCTCGGTGAACGTCCGGTTGACGAACGCCAGAGAAAGTCCTGCGACTGCTTCTGGGTGGCAGCCCGGTCGACTCGCCGCGAGCTTGCCGCTTCATCAGCTGTCTTATTTCCCTCAATTCCGGCGTGGCCGGGTACCCTAGAGCTATTCGGGCCCTGCCCCGGAGGGAGGGACTCATAGTTAAGAAAGTCTTGGCAGGGGAGGGGCCGTGAATCTTGCCCCCTAAGTACCCGAAATCTTGATGCTGTATTTCTTGATCGGATCTTTTGCATCTTCTCATCTAATAACCATAATCGCTCGGCCACGGAAACTCGGGGCTTCAGGTGGGGATCAATTATAGGCCGATATATCTTTCATCAGGTAAGTAAGCAAGGTCCCTGAAATGGGTCTGAGAGAAATTAACTGACCGCGACTTCCTCTTTTTAGAGCGACTATGGGCGACGAAAATAAGTGGGCGAGAAGTTGTGTTGCAAGACTCTCGATTCATAGTAAGCTTATTTAGAAGGCTGGTCGCATAATTGCCAAGTCGATGCGACGAAGCGACAAAGCTCCCGACAACGTAGGCATCGTAGCAAAAGGTCAAAATGCGAGCTTGTTGAAGCCTCGGCGGGAGCAATGCTTTTTGGCCAAGGGTCTGGCTGGCCATCTGCTGTCCATGTCCACTCACGATCGCCTATAAGTCCATGAACAAAGCAGATTTCAACCAAAGCGTTGGCACAGCCATGCAAGACTTTGATTCCATCTAGAAATAAAGCGATTGAAGGAGGGGCGGGACTTTCAGCCTTACGGCGGTCGGCGGTGCCTCGTCGTCTTGGACGTGCTTCTTCAAGCCACGGCTTCGTAGTGGGAATGGACTCTTCCATGGACTCATAGTTTAACGAGAAGCATGATTCAATGGTGCTGATGGAATTTTTTTAGATTTCAAGTTTAGAGCACACCGAGCCTTGACTATGGGTGAGCCGACGTAACAGCCGACCCTCTCATGTTTCCTTCACGTATTGCCAAATCAGAACTGGAAGAGCGCTGAAGACAGGGTGAAAGACGACCAAAAGGGGCAGGTATGAAGATCGGTCCAATCATTCATTTGAATACCTCATCTAGATAATCAACTGTAATTCTATCAGCGGAATTTACTCTTTGACTATTTTCTAAGATTACATGTAGTGATATACCGGTTTCCCGAGGGGGGCTGTGGATGAAGCTGGTCGACAGACCAAAAACCCAGGAAAATCCTCGCAGACATCATACTGCTCTATGTATCTGCATAGAATCACTGGATTTTTTTAGATTCCAAGCTTTGAGTCTGACCTGCATCTGGGTTGCAGGCTTTCTCCAGTTGTCTGAAGTTCTTTGTCGGCTCCCTTGGCGAGATAAAGCCATTGTCTCGACGAATTTAGTACTTCGTGTCACTCAAGTCCAGAATGCCTTGGTCTGATTCTTATTTTAACTCGAGTAATAATGGACTTCATTGAGTCTCTTCCCTTCTCTTTCATGGTTCCGAAGAACCATTATATCCCATTGTACTTTGAGAGCCTGCCCCATCGAGAACAAGGCATTACGGGTCTTCATACAAAGAACACGTTTAGAAACAAATTCGGTTCTTTCTACAAACAACACATTAGTATCAAGGGCATAATGCGAGGTTTATTATTGGAGTTACTGTTAGACAATGCCTTTGCCTCGCTTTTGAGGCCATATCCTCCTCGACAATGAGATGGTGGGATTGTCATGCTATTTTCGTCTCTTGCAGGAAACTTCCTGCAACTGGAGATGCGTGTCGTAGACCGACCGAAAGATATAAAAATGATCAATTTCCGCTTCTGGGATGACCTTTTCCTCTGTATATTCGCCTTTCGCATCCATTCTACCAAACCTTATCTGTTCAGTATCTTTTGCCCGTGTTGCATATAGCACATACCTGTCCTACACTTTCTCAGTACGTTACCTGCCACTCATCTCATTTCCACTGCACACAATCAGCCCGAAGTCATTCGTCGTTTAATGGCTTCGTATGAAATTGACCTTAAGATGGAGAAGTTGTCCATTACATCAGCGCCCACCATCAATTGGAGCACATGGGTCCAGCTTTTGGATAAGCTCCCCCATGAACCAAACCCACAACGCCGCTCCAGATGTGAAGGAGATTCAAATGCCTATGACGCATTCTGGAAATCGCGACACCCTTGGGATCTAGTTGATTATTATCTTTACCTCATCGCCATCGAAGGGAAGTACCGGAACTGGGGCGTCCGTCTCTCAGACAGCTGGCTGATTCAGAGCGACGGGTCCCGCTGGGATAACTTTGGATATGCCATCGACTCAGACGACCGTGAGTGTCAGACTGGCTGGAAAGATCCTCTTTTGCTCTTCTCCTCCCTTCCCGTTCCACATGCAACCGAATGCCCAGACCGCAGGATCGTTTTGGGCGTTAATCTTCGCACTCATCACCTCGTTGGCTATCTATTTGAATCTGCACCTGAGAGTATCTCCGAGCTGGACTCGGTCTGGGGTCGGAGGGAACTCATCATCAATGTGAGCCTCAAGCGATTCACTCACATTCTTAAATACAGCGTCAATGAGAACCAGTCTATTTTGAAGAAGGGCGTTTTCAACTTCTTCCGCGAGAGTAGCCGACATCTGCACGCTGGTATGGACGCGGTGATCACCATCAAATACATTCAATTCCTCCAGGATGCTCTTTCCGGCGCAAGACTTAGCGCTCCTTGCAGAGTGGGAGAGGAACCACAAAATTGGTTCGATATGGAGGAACATCTCCGCAACTTTCTGTGTCGGGGCTCAGCTAGTGGCTGGATGAGCTCGCACGAGGGGATGACAGCGGAGGAGGTCCGTAAGCACGTTACTGCTAACACCTCTTCGTCCTGTATTTTCGGTGACCAACTCTTTCCACCTGATATTGTCAATGATGAGAAGAGAGTCGGGCGTAACTCCTGGTCTCAAATTGAGCCGGATATGTCGCTGCTGATGTGGTGCGAGGTAGAGCTGCCACAATCAGGGCTAACATCGTTGGAGAAGATCAGGCAATCCACATCTGACATGGTTATTCTGTTGGGAATTTTCGTTATCGAGTGCTCCAGTCTTGTTAAGGATGAGGATGATTGTGAGATTGCGCCGTGGGTCGAGAAGATCATTGAGCGGCGGTGTAAACCACAGGGGAGTTCCCCAAGTGACAAATGGAGACGGGCTTATTAACTTGAGTGTCCAAGTGGGATACTGTACATGCATGGTGGTGCATATAGGGTTATAGTTTGCTACGGACATAGTTTGATACGGCGTTTATAGAAGTTTATTGGGATCCTAGAGGTATAGAACCAAACAAAAGAATAAAAACTTAATCAAAACTCTCTCCTCCCTAATTATAGATTGAGAACATTCCTCACACTACAGTAGAATGTAAATATATTTGATGGAGATTCCTCCTTCGCACTCGGTATTCGCCCTCGAAGAGCATTATGTAGGGCCAGCATGCAGATTGCCTGCAGGATTTCCTTCGTGCAGATTGTTGACCGGATTTCTCCGGGCATTATTATTCTCCTGTTTCCTAGATTACTTTGCTGGATTGGCCGTTTATAGGCCCTTTCTTGTTTCTTCTGCTTCTGCTTCCTCGGAGATCTCTAGAGATTCGAAGATGATCGATCATGTTCCTTTGCTTTCCAAGTTTCCTGCGCGTAGTAGCGTAGTTTCTTTCCCTATCAGAATTTGACTCCATAAACCTATCGGTCAGATTGAGAACCTTGAGTTGTATATCGTGACCAATCAGGATACTGGGTCATTCTTCTAGTTTTCTTGTTTATGGTGCCTAGTTTTCCCAACATACAATGCAGTTAAGTTAGCAATATTTGTACCTGACTATGACTAAGTTGAGTTTAATCAAGCTTGTGCCACTCGAAACGGTTGGGTAAAGTCAATTGTATTCTTAATCGTTGCCTTGGGACAGTTCGCTTCCTTCATCCTTGGGTTTGCTGTCGTTTCTATGATGTATCATATTGGATGTCGATCGGCGATCGACGATCGATTCATAAGTTACTTCGCTTCCTTCTAACATAACAAAACATCCCCTTTTTATACGCAAATCACATCCTACATAGCTGCACGGTCGTACACGTAGTCATGCATGAGCATCCGCTCATCTCCGAAGACCTCTCCAATATTTCTTCCATGCAAGGTTTCAACCTGCATGATCGGAGCTCAGTTTAGCACCGCCACGCCGTGTAACCAATGGCAACGCCTCCAAATCCGGTCTGTGTGGCGCTACGTGGCTGTTCCTCTGCACGAGCTCCAATGATGACCCATCAGCCCCGAATTGAGATGATCTGATTGGACACATCATCGAAAACAGACCCTCTCCCCGCGGACGGCGGATCTTGGCAGCGTCATGATCGGATTACGATTGGCAATGAAAGTCGCGAGTACCCAGCGGGCATCCACTGGTTCAGCGGAAGGTCCCAATTTCCCAAGTTCCCGAGCTTGAACACTGGAACTGCGAAGGCTGGGCAAAGTACTAAGTACGGACCTGTCTCGCTTGGCCTCAGCCCTGCAGCCCTACCATCCTGCGCTGCACCTGCTCATCTCACTTCCTCACAATTTTTCGAGTCTGCCTAATAGTCCTGTCCCTTTTTCTGTTTGTTACGTTCCCTGGCTTCCCCTTTCTGGAGTTCCCTCAATTGCGCTCCTTCCAAGACTTCCGCCCTTCCGCTCTCCCCCCGTGCGACAGCTCGTCCACGGTCCTTTTCACCACTTCTCACTCCCCTTTTCCTCTCCATCTGACGCCGTCCGTGAGATCGCGTCAATTATCTGCTGACAATGGCTGAATTTGCTGCTCCTCCGGTCAATGGTAGGTGAAACTGGCGAAGCTACTGCGAATGCGATCAAAACAATAAGCGACCAGCTATTGCGCATGATGCTGACCAGATACTGCTTCAACAGGGATCGTTACCAATGGCGAGACCTCGGCACCAGGGATGCGCAGCGCCAGCGACCGCTTCGAACTCATCTCCGGCCCCCTGATCAACCTCAAGAACATGCACTATCAGCCTCCCACCCCAGTCTGGCAAGGCAGTGTATTGATCGTTACAAAGCCTGGTCAAGACCAGCCCCAGCTCCACTTGCGCCAGATCGGCCCCGTTGCCGCCGAGGGACAACTTCCCCAAACGCAAACAGATCAGACTATCCGGGGCTTGAAGCTCTACGAGGACCCCAAGAAGGCCTTCTGGCGCTTCTCCCTGAACGTACCTGTCGAGACCTACGAGGCGCGCTGGGAGTACGATATCCCGGGTCTATACAATGAGTCTGCGGAACCAGTCAAGGCGCCCTGGAACTTTGTCGTCCCTGCAGAGGATCAGTCCATGCGCATCATGTTCCACTCCTGCAACGGCTTCTCAGTTGGTACAGACATGGACGCCTGGGTCGGCCCTAATCTGTGGAATGACGCCCTGCGTGTCCACGGCGAGAAGCCCTTCCATGTCATGGTTGGCGGTGGTGACCAGATCTACAATGACGGAATTCGCGTTGATGGGCCTCTGAAGGCCTGGACAGCCATTGCCAATCCTCACAAGCGCCGTACTCATGACTTCAACAACCAGATGCGCGCCGACTGCGATGAATATTACTACGCCAACTACGTGCGCTGGTACAACACCGAGCCCTTCCGCGCGGCGAACGGCCGTATCCCCCAGGTTAACATTTGGGATGACCATGACATCATTGATGGCTTTGGCTCTTACACGGATCACTTCATGAAGTGCCCTGTGTTCCGCGGTATTGGTGGTGTCGCGTTCAAGTACTACTGCCTGTTCCAGCATCATATCGCCCCGCCCAAGTCGACTTTCACCACTGATTCGCCCGAGACCATGCACGCGGTGAATGGAACCTCTGGCATAGACCCGCGCCAGGTCGAGAACACCTACGTTCTCGAGAACCAGCCCGAGGACGACAGCTGGATCATTGGCAAGCGACCTGGTCCGTACGTCGAGGAGCGCAGTCGCAGTTTGTACATGCGCTTTGGCAAGCGTATTGGATTCGTGGGTTTGGATGCCCGCACTGAGCGCACCCGTCACCAGGTCAATTATCCCGAAACATACGACCTGATCTTCCGACGACTGCAGCAGGAGATGGACGCCGCCAATGGAGAGCTGAAGCATCTAGTCGTCCTGCTCGGCGTTCCCATTGCGTACCCTCGTCTCGCCTGGCTCGAGAACATCCTCACCTCGCCCATCATTGCGCCCATTCGCTTGTTGAACAAGCGATTCGGCTTGGCAGGTGGTCTTTTCAACGAGTTTGACGGGCAGGTTGATCTGCTGGATGACTTGGACGACCATTACACGGCGCGACAGCACAAGCGCGAGCGTAAGATGCTCGTGCAGCGGCTGCAGGAGCTGGCGCGCGCCAACTCCATCCGTGTCACCATTCTTGGCGGCGACGTGCATCTTGCGGCAATTGGTCGCTTCTACTCGCACCCGAAGCTGAATCTCGCGGGTGAGAACGACCATCGCTTCATCGTCAACGTCGTTAGTTCCGCTATCACAAATAAGCCCCCTCCCAAGGCAGTCGCGAACCTCCTCGCTCGTCGCAACAAGATCCACCACCTCGACCGTGAGTGTGACGAAACGCTCATGCCGTTCTTCGACAAGCAGCCCGGTGGTGTGGAGAAGAGCGCGATTTGGAATAAGGTGACCATGCCGTCGCGCAACTTTGCCACGTTGACCGAGGTAGTGGCGCCCGTTGCCAACGGCGATGCTGTTCAACCGGTGACCGCGAAGCTCGAGCGTCTGCCAAAGGATGGCCACGCGCCTCTGCACAAGGGCGAGGTCAATGCCGGCTCGACGCACAGTGCGGCAGATGGATTCAGCGCCCACAGCGGCATGTACGGTGGTCTGGACGTTGCTATTCGCGTGGAGATTGATCCCCATGATCGGAAGGGAACGACGGAGGGCTATGGATTCGGCAGTAAGTCATAATCTCCCACGGAAGCGTGGTTTTTATGTCGATGATATCGATGATGTTGTGGCTAACCTCTTTTTTTTTCTAGTTCCCCCACTGTTGGCTACAGAAGGCCCGCCCCAGTCGTCTCGTATGAGCATCCGGTCGCGAGTTTCTCGCCAAAACTCCCATCAGGAGCAGCCCGGACGACCTTCGACTGCGCTGTAATCGTAATGTTTATTCCTTCTCTTAAGGATTTATAATATTCCCTTGTTATTGTTCCCACACCCCCTTGTCTTTGTCTTGATACCTCTTTACGTCATGTTTCTCTGGTTGCGTTTTGGTTTTTTTTCCCACATTCTACGCTACTTCAATGTTCACTTTAGTGTATATGACATATGTACTTGGACGTGTATTGAAGTATGTATGTTGAAATAATGTCCCTCGGTTCAGGTACATAGTACCGAGTACTGGTGGTCTAGTTAGTTCTAGATATGCAAATGCGATCGCGTTTAAATCATTTTACTCAGTACAGTAGATTATGTGGAGAATCAATTTTATCTTCTAGTGAGAATAATGTATGTCTGCCTGCGATTAGTGTACTACTATCATTGGTCGTGGCGTGAAAAGTATGACCAGTAGACTTCCAGTATACTTTCCAACTTCCCCTCGCAAGGAAGTAGTTACTACTTCGGGTTTAGAGGGGTGCTTATCAAGCCCGCCTGATTGACTGATTGACTGATTGACTGGTCGATTGTGTTTTTTTCTCCACTTAAGCTGTCTTGTCCACGAGCTCGGATAAGATGATAATAAGAGTGATTGCTTACAGCTGTTCTGTTCTTCTTAATACTTGATCCGTCTTGTCTACCGAGGCTATGATTCCCGGCAGGGTATTGACGGTGATAAGAAAGTACTCCACTTCCCCGAAGTCAACTGACTGGAACTAACTGGAATTGACTAGTGAATTAACCAAGTTAATCAACTAATGTAGCAAGCTGATAAACTGCCTCTATGTAACACCTGATCCTATAAGATTCTACCAATCAATCACTCCCCTGCCACAACAGGAATATTACTCGAATAAACCAACCCCTCTCCCCTCCTTACATACTCCTAGGTACAGTACTAACTAAATCCAGCAACTCCCCAGCCCATCCCCAATCCAGCCCCAAATCAAGTAGCTTCGCTGCCCCCCATCCCTAATTAAGCAACTCTCTTGCCCATTCCCAATCCGTACACGGGATCCTGCATGTCCTGCGGACGGTAGTGGGCAAAGCTAAAGCCTAAGTTTCCAAGCTTCGCGTTTCGCGTCCACTTGCTTATCTCCTGCTTGTTGATGCGATGCGATGCGAGATCGCTTATAGGTTTTTGGCCCTGCCGAATCTAGTCCACTCCACCGGTTTCATTTGGTTTGGCAGGATGGGGATTTCCTGTGGCCTGTGCGTGTGAGTAATGTTTAGGAGGTATTATCTAGAGAGGGGGAGATTGAGATTAGGATGGTACCTATATAAGGAGAGGGGAGGTCGGGTTTGGCGGGTGAGGAGATTGGTGATTTGATCTGAATTCTTGTACGACCATACGATAGTACAGCACAACATTGCAATATTGGACTTTTGTCCTGCATGCTGCTAGTGCTCGTGTGTTTATTCGGAATATGACTGGATACATTTCTTACTTGAAATTCTATTGCAGCTGTTGATCGCTGTTATCTGCTTCTTTTCTACTTCTTGAGCTTACATACTCATCGCTATACCCTGTTCTCGCCTGATAACTGACCTCGACGCATTTTGCTATCCTCGTCGCAGTATCATTCGGTCCTAATCTCCTCCTTCTTCCCCCTTCCCTCCTAGGACAATCGCAACGATGGGATCCGACACGCCCACCGAAAAAGATATACAAACGAGCAGCAGCTCACCGAGTCATGACCAAGAAGCCGGCGAGATCGCCAGCGTCGGCGAAAGCGACGAGCTCCACCATCTTGGCTACGAGCAGGAGATGCACCGCAACCGATCGGTGATTACTCTACTCTTCCAATCGCTCGCCATCGCAGCTATTCCCTACGGTGAAGGCAGTGCCCTACTCAGCGCTATCTACGGCGGGGGTCCACTCTCCATCTTCGTCGGATGGATTGTCGTCTGTGTACTCGATCAATGTGTCGCAATGTCTCTCGCCGAACTAGCTTCACGCTATCCAACCTCCGCAGGACCGTACTACTGGTCCTTCCAAATCGCCCGCAGCAGCAAAACAACTGTCTCCTTTATCAATGCCTGGATCTGGCTAATCGGCAACTGGACCATCACACTATCCGTCAACTTCGGCTTCGCATCTATGCTCTCCGCCACTATATCAATGTACCATCCAGACTGGAGCGCTAACTCCTGGCAACTCCTCCTAATATTCTACGCCGTCTGCCTGGGCAGTCTAGTGATCTGCACATTCGCAAATAAATACCTCCCACAAGTAGACATCGCCTGCGCAACCTGGACAGCCCTCACAATCATCGTCATTCTCATCGCCGTCTCCGTCAAAGCAGATACAGGCCGACACTCCGCCTCCTACGCTCTAGCACACTACGACACCTCCTTCGCCGGCTGGGGCAACTTCACCTTCTTCATCGGCCTCCTCCCAGCCGCCTACACCTTCTCCGCCATCGGAATGGTCTCCTCCATGGCCGAAGAAGTAGCCCAACCAGCCATCAAAGTTCCCCGAGCAATCTCCCCTCGCCGTACCAGTCGGTTTTATCGCCGGCCTCTTCTTCATCATCCCACTAACAGTCACCCTCCCCCCACTGGAAGACATCATCAACTCCCCCGGCGGCCAAGCTCTCCCCTACATCCTCCACGCCGTCATGGGCTCCCCAGGCGGCGGTCTAGCCCTCGTCTTCCTCGTCCTCGTAATCACCCTCTTCTGCAGCATAAGCATAACCGTCGCCGCAAGCCGCGCAACCTGGGCCGCAGCCCGCGACGACGCAATTCCGCTCGCGAAACTCTGGGCCCGTGTACACCCCCGTCTCGGCGTGCCTGTCTGGTCCCTCGTTCTCCTGACAATAATACAAATGCTCCTGGGATTAATCAATCTCGGCTCGACGAGTGCGTTTACCGCGTTCGTGTCTGTGGGTGTTATTGCGCTTGCGGCGGCTTATGCGGTGCCTATTGCGTTGAGTTTGTATCATGGTCGTGAGGAAGTTTCAAGGGCGCCGTGGAATTGCGGGAAGTTTGTGGGTGTTACGGTTAATGTGCTTGCGTTGGCGTGGATTGCGTTTGAGTTGGTGCTTTTTAGTATGCCCATGGTTTTGCCGGTTACGCCGGTTTCGATGAATTATGCCTCTGTGGTATTTGTCGGGTTTATGGCTATTTCGGCCGTTTGGTATGCTGTTTATGCTAGGAAGCGTAAGTTCTTTCCCTCGGTGCTTCAATTTTCAGTGGAAGACCTCCTTTTTGTGTGGATGCTAATGCGAGAAAACAGATTACAAGGGTCCGCCAGAGTCAGATGCGTTGTAGGTTGTGTGGGATCTGGATTTAGTTATTTTGTGTATGCACTTTTGGGTGGCTATTTTGGTATATCAAGACCGAATATAATGTTTCATATGATGTTCCCTCCCCCACAAGGTTTTATTAAAGGTTAACTTGTTGCCGTGATCTTTCAGTACATTCACGCTATCAATCCAAGGCCAAATATACTCTGTATCCACCGAGTGGATGAGAGAATAAGCTTGTGGGGGTAAGTGGAGCCTCCACTTGGAGCGGTTGACTGGTGTGAGTCTAAAACAGGCGAAGTTGTACTCACGTGTAGTCGAGTCCAATACCATCAAATATTCAGAATCAGAGGCTACGTAGACATACAAATTGTGAGTCTTGTTGTACGATGAGTAGGGAAAGTATATAGATCAATGGCCTTTAATATTTTCCAGCAGGCTCCCATAGGGCCAATCAAATGATCAGGTATCAAGTCAATTGATAAAGATAGAGACTCGTTCATCTGCCAAAGCAAAGTGTGGTTTCTGTCTAGCGGTTGTTTCACCATGTGTCTAGTTCTCAGAATAGCGATACTTTTTAGCATCAATTTCCCATCCAAGATTGTGCAAAAATTCTTTAAATTCTGGGCTCAAAACGACATTTTCGCCGGTGTAGACGATGATGTTCCTCAGTGGTGCGATACCCCTGACCAATCCGTTGATTTCTGCCAATACCGCACTGACGGACGAGGGATTTCTCTGATATTGATCGAAGACCTTCCTAGAGTAGATGCAATTCCAGAATCGTAGTCGAGTTAGTCCAGGACATCTTGCTTTAAGATGACAAAGTGTTTGCACGCTAGGAGCTTCGAGTTCCAAATCTCCATCAGGCCTCTTAACCGTCGCAGGGAACGAAATGTCTACCCGACAGAGAAGGGCCGCATTGTGGCAGCCAATACGATCTGTGAAAGCAACCAGAGAACTGGGATTGCCTGGTACAAACTCGGGAGACACGTGGAGAGTAATTATCCTGAAGAAAACTGCAATTGCCTCCATGTTAATCTGCTGGTTGGTGTACAGTAATGCGAAAAGATGAGACCCTGGGTAGGTCGGGAAGATCTTCCGAGCCCATCTATCCATTTCCTCGTCGGAAAAATAGATCCAGTATGACCCCAACAGGGCGAAAAAATGCTCATAAATCTTCACGCGAATCTCAAGGGGTACGCCGAGAAAATGGGCACGCGGTAAGGGAGGTGCCATCTTGCCAGGAAACGTTGGTATTCATAGGAGGAGGTAGATAGGGAAGTGGAGAATTGGAAGAAGAAGAGAGAGAAGATATCCAATCTTGATACCCTTTTCTACGTGTTTCACTAAACGATTCTTTGGCGGTAAAAAGCGAGAAAGTATATGAAAACTATTCAGGTTTAGTGGGATATTCCGCCAGGAAATTACCTAGGTAACTCTATGTAGAGGATTTCCTCTGCCGGGTGTGGATTGAATTCCCAAGAATCTGCCCAAGGGGCACAAGGTTGATATTATCGAGGTGAATAATCCAAATTTCATACGCATACACGCAACTATCCTTTCTCTTCGCCAGGGGCTCCTGGTCTATAACCCGAACAAGGGTCACCGAGCAGGCCTTGAGGAAGCATACGGTGTTAGCTGAATGGGAGCTGCGGCCATACCTATTCACACCACAAAACCGGGTGGAGCCTCCATGATATATGACCAGTCCATGGGTCTGATTGAATGCGTAAGCGTTGGATGGGCAGATGATGGTCGTCGAGGCTAATTAATTGAAAAGTCGTGAATTTGAGTCGCTGGCAATGAAATGCATACCCTGTTCATTTCAACATGTCAACACTATTGAAGGATCTTTTCATTACGCAACGGCTGATTTGGTGAGACGGATCTAGTTGATTCCTTTCGCATGATACCAAGATGAAGCGAGCTATGTCGACCGAAGGACCATAAGATCCAGATGGTGGCGTTTTGAAGCTCAAGCCCTGAAGCCCTCAGTCAATTTTTCCAATCAAACCAGCTTGCCAGAGCAGTGTTCAAGACCGAGCCCTAATGCTCAAACAGTTCTTGGAAATGTAGAAAAGAACTACATACCTTTTGCGTGGCCCATCAAGATAACATAGATTTTCTTAGGATAGCTATCAATCCTAGACATGAGCTCATATCATATCGATTGTTGTGCGGCTTTGTTTATGATCTCCACCAGCCCTGTATCAGATCCCAATCTTATCTTGCTCCACCACCACGGCGTTCTCATCGATGATCATTAACGACGTGCGAGAACTAACAAGCCGCAAAATGCCAGCAAAAATACTGCCCTCCTAACAAACCGTCTTCCAACAACAGCCCACCTATCCCAATAAAGTTCAACCTCGAGTTCCATAGCCTCAGATCCTGAATTCAAATGCGGAAACGCCACCTCAGGCACCTCCACACCTAGAAACCCACACAGTGGGTCCCACCCCATTCCAGGATGAAACTCCAGCAGCTGATCCGGTGGGACAGCAGCTCGCACACGCTCATAGTGCGAATCAAACGACGCCAGTAACGCCGGAACAGAGGACGGAGCACACGGTGGCTGACCCCCAGACAGAACGGTGGTCGTCCGATTGAGCAAGGCCTGATACGGACCCGTGAACTCAGGATCTAGGTACGAGAGGAGGCGCATCGACCGCCAGGACAGAATCTCCAGGATGAATCTCTGCATAGAGCGTAGCCAGGCGGCGCGGTCGCGAGTTGTCAGGATGATCTTTGCGTTGGGATAGGCGGAGAGCAGCTCCTCAACAAAAAGGCAGCAGGGGTCGTCAGATAGGGCCTTCTTCGTGTTAGCTATCTTCACAATATTCTATACGCCACCATACACCGGAGGATAGAATCAAGGGCAGTACATCATAGTTCCAAAGAATCCGATCAAAGTCCTCTCCCTGAAAACGGGTCCCAATCCCATCATATTTGGCCCGCACGGCCTGAAGCCAGAGCTGGAAGTGCTCGTTGTTCTTATTCTTAGAGGCTTCGCTGAAGTGGTAGGGGTTTAGCCCCAGGTGTCTGAGGGCTGCACATATGGCTGGTCTGTATTAGCTCAGTTGCAAGATCATGATGAAGGCTGGGTCGGGTGTACATGTTGTTCCTGTTCGTGGGAGTGATAGGACGAGGACCTTCATTGGCTTTGGGCGGGGGATTACTGGGGCGGCCTTTTCGTAGAATTCCATTTTCTTCTGATGTGATTGAGGAGTTTGTTTGTTTGATAGAGAGAGAGAGACCAAAGTTGATTAGAATTATCTTGAATATATTGATCGGCTGTTGGGAAGTAGGGTAGCACCAGGAATATTTCTATCGCCGATATCGATACCTTTTGACCGCTACTCTGTCGAATACTGTGCATGTCCAACTCTTCCGCGAAGCCTATTTTGAGAGATTGTGTAATGCCTATACTAAAAACGGGAATCACTAGGGAAAAACTTGGAACTCTCCACTCAGTCTTAGTGGTGAATAGTACGAATCACAAATTGTTTATTGGACAATGGCTACAGTTATCCACCGCGGTGGGGCAAGGCGGCCCTTTCTAGCTGCGTGAGCGCCCGAATCTGGGCGCTTATTTGAAGATCACTGATCAGGTCAGGCCACTCCCAGGCTTGCTAAGTTCTACTCAGTGAGCAAAAAGCGGCAAGGTCTGAGCACTAAAACGGAAGGGGAAAGCCAGAAGCGGCAGAGGAAATCCGCTACGTAGGTAAGATCCAGCTTATAGTCTTTATGAGGGATATCACATTATGGATGCTATATTGAAGGCAGTCTCCAGATAATTGCCAGTGTTTCAAGCGATAATGAAAGCACATTGTGAATTGATGATTTAGTAGATATTAGTATCATGTCATGTTTCCACTCTTTAAGGAATGAATGAAAGATGCACTAGATAAGTCAAAAAAGAGGTTCTACTTGCCTACAGATAATACATTCTCGTCTAAAGCGAAAATAATATCTATAAGCAAAAGAATTGACTACTCCATCGACACCTTTAATGAATACAAATTGCATGATATTTTGCACATTGGTCACGCTCGTATCATAGCGATAACGGAGTCTTTAGAATTCATAACAATGAGAAGCAGACTAGACCTGATCAAGTGGAGAGCAACACAAAGTTTGAGTAATGAGTATCTAATCATGCAAATTTTATTCACTAGCCAATAGGTATTGTCAATAGTTACACAGCTATGAAGTACATGGAAATGGGTCAATCAGAGCAGCGGAATCAAAATATGAGTGATGTACTCATTGATACAGAATGTGATTCTGAATAAAAGAAAACATTAGATGAGTGCTTCACTGAATACAGAGTACTAGCTCCAAGGGGGTGGAAACAAGTCAACACGAGGAGCTGAACAGCCTGAACTTCAGCTGGAGTGGGCCCCTCTTTTTCAACCTTGGCACTTCGAGGGGCTCCCGTATATCGTGGGCTACTCTAAGCACAGTTGTTCAATAACAAGGACACTGGGCTTTTATTTTCTGATCGCCGATGACAGCAAGAATGGCATTGTCACATGATGACTACACGGTCGCGTGGATTTGCGCCTTGCCCCTGGAAATGGCTGCGGCCAAGACGATGCTGGACAAGCTCCACCCCCCACTATCTCAGCCCAAATCCGACCATAACGCCTACACATTTGGTAGTATTAGTGGACATAACATAGTGGTAGCCTGCCTACCGTCAGGCGTTTACGGAACCACCTCTGCAGCAGTGGTACTCGCTCATATGCTTCCGACGTTTTCGTCTCTTCGATTTGGGCTGATGGTGGGCATTGGGGGTGGTGTGCCGAGTAAAGATGCCGATATTCGCTTAGGCGACGTGGTTGTCAGCATGCCAACTGCGACCTTTGGGGGTGTAGTTCAGTATGACTATGGGAAGACACTTCGTGATGGACGTTTCGAACGCACCGGGTCGCTCAACAAGCCACCACAATACTTGCTAACTGCAATATCTCAAATGCGCAGCAATATCACGGGTGGAAGCACATCGATTGAAGAAATCACATCAGAGATACTTCAGAAACAAGGAAAGCTTCCACAACATTTTTCACGCCCAGATAAGGATTGGCTGTTCCAGGCAAATTATGACCATCAAGACAAGAGTGCCGACTGCTCCAAGTGTGAACCGGACCAACTAGTTACGCGCACGACACGAGACAAAGAACCCGTCATTCATTACGGTCTGATCGCGTCTGGAAACCAAGTCATGAAAAGTGCTACAACAAGAGACGCTGTTGCCCGAGAGCTGAATATCCTCTGTTTTGAAATGGAAGCAGCTGGACTGATGGACCAGTTGCCATGTCTGGTCATTAGAGGAGTATGCGACTATTGCGACTCGCATAAGCACAAACAATGGCAAGAATACGCCGCTCTCACTGCCGCTGCTTACACCAGAGTTCTTCTGGGGGTAGTTCCTCTATACAACGATAGCCAGAACAGCAAAACAAAAGAAACGCCCCACTGGATGGTACCGTTCGCTCGAAATACTCGATTTGTTGGCCGTCAACTGGAGATAGATCATCTTGAAAAGCTCATCATTCATGCAACAAGCCCGACCAAGGTTTCTATTCATGGACTGGGAGGGATTGGGAAGACACAAATTGCCCTGGAGCTGGCCTACCGCATGCGAGAAAAGGTTCCTGAATGCTCTATCTTTTGGGTTCCATGCATCAGTTACGAGAGTGTGCAACAAGCCTATACGAACATTGCCTCGGCCTTGGGCATTTCGGACACAGAGCCAGCGAAGATAAACGAACAAGTCAAAGCTCGGCTTAGTCAAGACAGCGCCGGAAAGTGGCTTTTGATTTTTGACAATGCAGATGATATGGAAATGTGGACCAAGGGGAGCGCAACTGCGCCACCGCTCAAAGATAACCTTCCCCGCAGTGAGAATGGTCATGTTCTCTTTACCTCTCGGAATCGAAAGCTAGCTGTGAGAGTGGCATCGCCTAATGTTCTCTCCATTTCAAATGTCGATCAAATCACTGCCACGAAGATCTTCGAAAAGTCACTCATCCAAAAAGATCTGCTGCATGACAGCGATACAACTACCGCTCTTCTAGAGCAGCTGGAATTTCTACCTCTCGCAATCAACCAAGCCGCTGCTTACATAAATGAAAACGAGATCATGCTATCTGACTATCTGTCATTATTGAAACAGCGAGAAACGGACGCAGCTGAGCTATTGAGTGAGGATTTCCAGGATGACGGACGATACGACGAGACTCGAAACCCTGTGCTTACTACCTGGTTGATCTCCTTCCAGCAGATCCGCGATTTGGATACATTGGCAGCGGACTATCTGTCATTCATGGCCTGCATCAACCCACGAGATATCCCTCAGTCAATTCTTCCAACTCCAACTTCGGCAAAAAAGAAAATCGATGCACTTGGTCTTTTGAGCGCGTATTCCTTTATCAGTAATCACGCTGGTGGAAGTTCATTCAGTCTTCATCGACTTGTGCATCTCGCAACACGGAATTGGATGAGGCGGATCAAGGTTTTTGATCTTTGGGTACGCAGAACAACTCAACAATTAGATGATATCTTCCCTCATGATGACCACAACAACCGAGTCTTATGGAGGAAGTACCTACCACACGCACTCTATTTGATGAATAGTGAAGAGTTCAATAATATTCACTGTGAGTATGTTGATCTGTCTTCAAGAGTAGGACTATCTTTACAGAGTGATGGAAGATATAATGAAGCCAGGGTTTTACTCGCTGATTGTCTGAAAGTCTACGAGAAGGAGCTAGGATCAGGACATCCCGACACTCTCACCGGTTTTAGTCGTCTTGGGTCAGTGCTTACCCAACTGGGCAAGTACGAAGAGGCCGAAACTATGCTCCGCCACGCACTAGAAAGTATAGAGAAAGCTCTAGGACTAGAGCATCCCGACACTCTCACTAGTGTTAGCCTTCTTGGTTTAGTGCTTGAGCGACAGGATAAGTACGAAGAGGCCGAAACTATGCTCCGCCACGTACTAGAAAGTAGAGAGAAAGCTCTAGGACTAGAGCATCCCGACACTCTCACTAGTTTTAGCCATCTTGGTTTCGTGCTTTATCAACAGGGCAAGTACGAAGAGGCCGAAGCTATGCACCACCGAGCACTAGAAGGCAGCGAGAAAGCTCTAGGACTAGAGCATCCCTACACTCTCGCCAGTGTTATCCATCTTGGTTTAGTGCTTTATCAACAAGGCAAGTACGAAGAGGCCGAAGCTATGCACCACCGAGCACTAGAAGGCAGCGAGAAAGCTCTAGGGCGAGATCATCCCTACACTCTCGCCGGTGTTAGCATTCTTGGTTCAGTACTTGCACAACAGGGCAAGTACGAAGAGGCCGAAGCTATGCACCGCCGAGCACTAGAAGGCTATAAGAAGGCTCTAGGACGAGATCATCCCTACACTCTCACTGGTGTTAGCCATCTTGGTTTAGTGCTTGAGCGACAGGCTAAGCACGAAGAGGCCGAAACTATGCTCCGCCACGTACTAGAAAGTAGAGAGAAAGCTCTAGGACTAGAGCATCCCGACACTCTCACTAGTGTTAGCCATCTTGGTTTAGTGCTTGAGCGACAGGCTAAGCACGAAGAGGCCGAAACTATGCTCCGCCACGTACTAGAAAGTAGAGAGAAAGCTCTAGGACTAGAGCATCCCGACACTCTCACTAGTTTTAGCCATCTTGGTTTCATGCTTTATCAACAGGGCAAGTACAGAGAGGCCGAAGCCATGCACCGCTGAGCACTGGAAAGTAAGAACGCTCTTGGACTAGAGCATCCAGCAACGAAAGCATTGCCCTATCTGCCGTCCGAAATTTATCAAGAGATCCCGCTCAAACGTTTGTTGCAAATCACCGTCATTTCAGATTCTCCCCCGATACTTCCTCCATGGTGCCGCCCCAATATGACGTGAACGAGGTTGATTGAAGAAGTCCATCTTCATCTGGTCTTTGTGGCTAATTGCCATTTGGAAGAAAGTGGTCAAAGTTTCGCTGGTCTTCTACATTAGCTTGAGATGGATGGAGTCGGCTGGGTAATATAAATGTGTTCTTACCATCTCAATCCAGTTGTTTCATGACTGCTTAGTGGGAGACAAATACAATATGACCCTCATCGCGCAGGATTCGTCAGAGTGTTTTCGAAATAGCCTAGCAAGTCTCGATCAGAGAACAGTCAAATCTCACAAGAGTTCGTTGAGTGGAGAACTTTCATAGGCAAAAAAGGCAACCGGTAAAGGCAATATATCCACAATTGATTCTTGAACTTGATTTGGATCATTGATCGAGCGAGCAATACCCCTCTATATTGCTAGAGCCAATGACGGAGGATGCTCTGCGCCACCTGGTATTCCAGCATTATGGAAGTGCTTGACATTAAGAATTGCAGGCTGAGAATAAAAGAACTTGCTGCCCACGCGTCTTCTGAGTCAGACACAATAAAGACGAATTGTATTTCAAGGGTACCACCTCCCACTTTTTAGCATGCCTGAATCTCTAAAGGGCTCACTCACTATTCAGTTCCAGACGAGCCATAGGCAACTTGTAATCATCAACCGAGGACACTAATAAAGTCTTGCGCATCTAGTGGCGAAACCTCTACCTATAATTCCCACGATCTAATGTCTGATTCGATCGATTTAGTATCCTGTTGGGTGCATCACTACATACCACGATCCACTACATACTAGCCCACCTTAGATCCCCGCATCAACTCGAATTTACGATAGACCACAATTCTAGCCCTCTAAACGAACCCCAAAAAGCCAACCATTTACGCAATCGATCACCTATTCCAATCAATCATAAATCGTATGTGGGAACATCCACTTCCCGCGACCCGCGTTTCGTGCCAAATAAATACCCCTCCTTCGTCCCATCCCGACGCGTTGACTACTTCGTTTCTTCGGAATTCACTCACTCTTTCATCTCAATAAGCTCTGAATCGTTTATTTTTGATTGTTGACCATCATGCCGGAGGGAAAGGATATAACGTTACTCGCTCCGGCACTAACAGCCAGGCATATCGCTGACTCTTCCCCGCCTTCTAGTGCAGAATTCTCTACCATGATGATCACTTGAAAAGATTATTTGGACGAGATACTAATCAAGGAAACCACTACTGCTCCTGCAATTACGGTTCCAGTGCCTCCAATTCGACCAGTTACCACTACTCCAACACGTGAGACTCCCACTTCTCTTTCTGGAGTCTGTCAACCTATCTATGAGACTATATGCTAACTTTCCTGCCAGCAATGGATCGTACTACTACTCCAACCCCAGTGGAAGCACCTACTACAACAGTGGAAGTGGCAGCTCGACTTATACCCCTCCCTCCTCGGGCTCCTCCGGCAAGAAATAAGTGCTACACAAGCGTGTCATAGCTATTCTACACGCAATCCTGAATGAATCCAATGCAAATTGTGCTTCATTGATAGTAACTCCACGGTTTCTGTGGGTAGTCTATATGTATACTCCGCAGCAATCAAGCGAGCCCATATAACAAGGATCATCTATCCTGATAAGTGACTGTTCTATGTCATTACTTCCCATCACCAAGTGTCCCATCCTCAAATTCACTCTTAAGACACCCCCGTCGCTGACGAGCAACAGCCTCATTAGGAAAATACCTCGGCGTCGGAAGAGCGGCATCACTCGGTCGCCGACGACGAACAAGTTGATACCCCCGATCCAATTCGATTTCGATTGCCTCACGAACCTTCAACGCACTAATCGCAGGCCAAACACCTCGCTCACCCTTCAGCGTCCAATCTGCCACCCTAGCGCGGGTGGGTTGTTGGAAGAGCTTAGCTAGATCATTGAACGATAAATCCGGAACGAGAGTCAGATTAGGTCCGGGTATGGTTTCGTCAATGAGGAGTCTGCTTAGAGAACCAGGGAGGAACCCGATGTAATCGAGTTGGCGGAGTCGATGGCGGAGTTCAACTAGGGCGAAACGCGTGAGAGAGCGGGTGAGGTTGCTCCAGCCTGTTTGGTGGCGGTCTAGGAGATTGAGTTCGGAGCGTAGGAAGGGGATTAGGTAGGGGCGGGCTTGGGAGACGATGAAGTGGTTTACGTTGAAGAGTTCGGCGATTCGGGAGAGGGGGGATTCGCCATCGTTGTAGGTGACGTGGCGCCAGGGTTGGAAGATGGCTTCCTTTGTGTGTGGCCAGGGAACTATTGAGCCGGTTTCGTCTTTGCAGTAGATTGTGACGGGTGAGAGTGTTGAGGCGGATGAGGCGTTGGAAGCGGCCGCGGCGGACCAGATCAGCTTTTGAATATGTTAGACAATGGTTTCATCGTACAGACAAAGTAAGAAAGATCCCAAGAAAGAAGAGAACATACCACATTCGGCGTAGTCAGATAATTCAGCAAATTCGGTGTCCCAGTCTTCCCAGCCGTGGCAATCGTGATATTCAAAATCCGTTTCGACCGGGCATACGCCTCTTCAAAGGTCAAATCCCCCACATTCGCTCGAACACACTCCTCCAACAACTCCATATCATACAAATGTCCCTTCTGAAGCAACCGCTTCATTCGCCGAACGAAAGTCCGCACCCAACTCTCCTCCGCATGGTCTTTACGCCGTTGGTCAAAAGCCGATAAATCAATCGTATCGCCTTCCAACAGCGCAAGCAGTTCACTCTCAGGATGAATACCCACCAGGGCGGCAATCATAGCCCCTGTCGCGGTACCGGTGATAATCCGAGGCAAGAGACCCTGTAAATGCAGCGCCTTGACAACACCTAGATGACACAGTCCGAAAGCCGAGCCACCCTGTAACAATAGTGTCGTGCGTCCAAAGGCCTGACGAGTATCGTGTAGCAACTCCAGCTTCGCCTGTGACGTGAATCCGCTCGTCTGCATGGGTGCAGGTTGAAGCGAGGCCACGTACTGAATCGATAACGCGACTTGCGTGATATAGTCATCAATTAGGAGTTTCGTTCCGGCGTACGCATGGGTGAATAGTTTTGTGGATGTGATATTGCCTAGATTGCGCACAAGACCGGAGCGAAGGAGATTTGCCAATGTGAGAATGTCCTCGCTTTCGCGAGCACTCATAAGTGCCTCCAGCCGCCCGAGGATGAGCCGGTAGTCATAGTGTCGACTGACTGGATTCTGACGCCTGGATTGTATGCGATTAGTCGGTTTCGTTTCTGAGGGCTCTCTTAGTTAGAGCCATACCATAGATCTTTGCTCAGACGCTCATCCAGCTCAAACGCAGCCTCCTCCCATCGCTCATAGCTCTGCGCCGTGGCCAGGGTGTGGAATAGCCGTTTCTTCGGGGACTTTGATTTCCACCATGAGAACAATTTCTATACTCATTTGTAAGTCTTTCACTCCAGGAATTCAACCAGATTTCAGACCGTCCGCGGGGTTTGACACTGCTGTTCTGTTCGTTGTTGGGAGTCGCCCAACACAGTCCATCTCTCTCTTCCCGGCGGAGGTAGCTACCCAGCTGGCCCTAGGATAAAACCAACTCACCTGTTTCCAAAACTGAGCAACATCCAGCATCATACCGAAAACTGCGGAGATGATACCCCACAGAGCGAGCATCCAGGACGCCATTGCGCGATCAGAAGAAATTCCAGCTCGTGGGGTGGGAAACCGGGGCTGGTGGACTCGTGGGAGCGGCGCTTTCACATGCTATTTATGGCGTCACGCGCTGGGCTGGACTTGACCAGTTGCAAAAGCAAAAGGTAACCAGCGATAAGCCTGGTTCGAGGGTGTGATTGCAGTGCAGCCGATAAATAATTAAATATACCTAGTTAGTGTTGACAGGGAGGTTCTAGCTTGGATAGCATGCAGGAGGGTCAATGCGGTTTTGCTGTTGGGAGTTGTTAGTTTTGGCGGACGGAATGCCGAGAGTTGGAAGTTGTGGTGCCGGAAATGGCCAGTTGGTTCACCCGTAGCAGAAGAATATACCAACACAGAGAGATAGACGCCCGTGTGTTTGAGTCTGCAGTGATAAAAATCGGCGATACAACTCTTTCTACAATGCTCTACAAAATGGTAGATCTACTCAGATCATCGGCATCATCAACAGGAGTAAATCCCATCTCCAGTACTTGGGCGGACTTGACTCGACCGACCATCACCAGGATCATAGATCATTCAAGGAACATCATGAATAGAAGGATATAATCGACAATACAATTGCACTTTCGTTACATGCCTCATTACAAAGCCTGACGCGTGAAGTGGAAAGGGAAATTGTGAATTTTGCAAGGTCGTTTGTTTTTTGTCATTTCGCTTTGCTTCCCTAATATGCAAGTAGGCGAAATTAAAAAAGAAAGCTTCTCCCGGACACCCGAACCCCATTCAAGGCGACATTTCTTTACTCCTCAATGATGTTGGTCCGCTCGGACACGTACAGACCGTCCAAGAACTAGAGAGAGAAGAGAAGAATTAGCATATAAGTTGGGGTAGAGAATAGGGTAGTCCCGTCAATGCCGGATCTTTCCTGACAGAAAGATAGCAGGGGAAATGGCTGCGCATTCTATAACTCACCTTACGAATATCCTTGTTCCGGACACGGCAGATCTGCTGAATGTCGGCGGCGCTCTGGGAGACGTCCTCCAGGGAGTTACCGGAGAGCTGGAGCTCATCCTTGACGTTGGTAGAGGTGACGATGTCGACGCCGGGGCGGGCAGACACACGGCGGACGTACTTCTCACCCAAGAAGTTGCGGATCTCGATGTCGGTGCCGCCGGTCTCAGCGTTCTTCTCGATGTTGACGTTGATGGGGAAATGGGCGTAGACGTAGCGCATCTTGTACAGGAAGCCGCGGGTAACACCGATGATCAGGTTGTTGATGATGGTGCGGACGGTGCGGAGGGTAGCGACACCCTTGCGAGCACCGTGGTGCAGCTCGATCGAGATAACGTCCTTCTCGGGGAGACCGAAGGTAACGGCAATGTGGGACAGGTCCTTGACGAGCTTGCCGCGGGGGCCCTCGACGGTCACAACCCGCGAACGAATGTGAACCTTCACTGTAGAGAAAAAAAATAGATAATCAGCCGGGTTTGTTCCAGAGTAAAATTTCTGTTGCGCTGTGCATAATTTTCCCTAGCCAGGGAAGATATTCCAGTCCAGATTGTAGATTCCAAAAGGAATCATCAGATCCTAGGGAAATTTTTCCTCCTCTTGCTGGTGGATGATAGCGGCGTTGTCGAAGTCGATGTAGAGATTTTTTTCGTTGCTTTCTCTTTTCGTGCCTGTTCCTCTCTGTAATCATAGTCATGGTCGTTCCCATGTCCACGTAGAGAGGCGCAACTATCTCCCACCACCTTCCCACACACACATCATCACCACCATCCCCGACCCCCCAAATCTCCTTTCCTCCGAAAAGCAAGAAAAAGTCGATTGCTCACCATTGTCCGGAATGGGCAGCCGTTCCTCGGAGTGAATGTACCGCATCTTGACTGCGTGGGTGGAATTGGCCGAGGGGGTTGAATTGTCGATGTCGGGAGGATCAAAATTCGGGTTGGAGTTGATGGTGGAGCGAAATTGAACGTCACGGGATTGTGCGTCGCTTAGGGCCTGTTCGGGGTTAGTGTAGGGTTGCTTATCGAGATCTTTATCATCACGTGATATATGTGGGTATCTGGGATTGTGGATTTTGAAGCCTGATAAATATGGCAATAAGTTTGGCTGGTTTGGTCAAGAGGTATTATATAATAGTCACGTGTTGAAAGCTCACGGCCCAGCTATCACATACAAATTATGTACACAAAACCAAGATTCGAAAAACGCCGGTCCTTGTCCAGGACATGGATATGACAAAGATAGTCCCAAAAAAGCAGAACAGCCATTCCCTCACGATTACACAGATTCCGGAGTCTTATGCTTGACCTCCGAAAGCCAGTTGCCGCCCAATTGTCGTAGCTTCGATACCAGCTCGTCGCTCTGATCCAGGGCAGCCACATCATCTCCACCTCCAATACTCCTGCCATTGACAAGAACATTTGGAACGGTACCTCGTCCAGTGTTCTCCCTCAGAAGCTGTTGAAGTGCCGGTCCGATCGGGTGCTGGTCTAGTTCGACGACGTAAGGCGCCGGTGTGATATCGTAGTGGCCGAGCAGGATGTTCTTGGCTCTCTTGCTGTGCGGGCAGTAGGATTTGGAGAATATAATGACTAGACGAACGGAAGAAGTCAGCATCGGATGATCTCTCCGGAGATGCGTAGCAGTTAAACCCAAGGAGAACATCGCAATCATACCTGGAGCTCTCTTCAAAATCGAATTCAACTCGCTCTTCGCATCCATCTGCTCAGGCGTCTCTTTCTCTTTTCCCTCCTCTTTCTCGTTCTCTTCTTCCACCTTCTTCTTTTCATCCGAAACCCCCGTAATCAAAGACGAATCCTGAGCGCCCTTAACCTTAGGTACCGTCATCTTCGTCCGCCCCGCAATAGATATCTCCTCCATTTCCTCACTCTTGCTCTTGTCCTCCGCCGCTTTCGCCACAGGCACCGCAGGTCGCTCGACATCAGCGCTGCCAACCTGCGCACCGGCGCCGGGCTTGACAATGGTATCCTTCGGTTTCGCATGTTTCGCTTCTTCCTTGGCCCGCATTGCCTCTAGTGTAGATCGGTAGAATTTCTGGTTTTGGATCTTGCTTGCTTCGCCCTATAGCAAGAAAACCGGTTAGAATCACACTCGGAAGACAGTCTCGAGATTATAAGGAAAGTGCCGAAGACAAGAGTCAAGAATCAAAGGTATTCGCAGGTCCGTACCGAGTAATAAAACGTCAAGACCAACATCGCGATCACAGCGACGACAAGCAGTCGCACACGCCGTTGGGAAGGCATTTTGATTGCAGCGTTGCGCCCGTTCCTTTCTCACGGACTCCTTATTTCGTTGCTGAATGTCGCTGTCGCTCAGGGGGTTGTAGGAACAGTACTAGGTTGTACAGTAGTGGTCGGTCTGGAACTGCGACGCCCCCGAACCGAGGTGACCGTGACCCTAACCTAGAGTCTAGTCTCTAGGGGTCCAATCTGGTCGCGCAACGTAACCAGTTCCCGGGCGCCAAGAAATCGGCCGATCAAGCTTCAAGCGCCGGGCTTGGCTGGGGCATGGAGCGCTGGAAATTGATGAATTGGTTTGATTCTGTTACGGGAGTAGTAATAATTACAGTAGGAGACGGTTTTCGTGTTGATTATTTCAAGAATGTGCTGGATTTGGTAGTGTCTCGTGTGAGACATTCATGGTGGTCTGGGGGGTTAGATGTGGGGGTGGTTTGACGGACTTTCCAGGGGCTCGGCCAGAATTGTCCACTCTTGTCAAGGTAAATTGTTCTTGTCTTGTCATCCCTGAATGCGGGCGGGGCTGGGACCGGTCTGAGCGTGATGCTTGGCGTTGGTTAAGCTTGGTGTGGAATGGGTGGGATGAGGAATTTAAGCGAGCTACTTCATACTACAGTACTACTACTGTAAAGACTGCTTTGCTTTATGTGATTATGGATTTTATCAATTGACATTATCGATTATAAGCATGGACGATGTTGTTTGGAAGGATATGAAAATTAGTTCAAAAAAGCTGACATGGGTATTATGCTAAATCACAGGGTTTTGGTCCAGGCGCGACTCCACATGAATCCAGAGACGGGGCGTACATCGGCCACTATTAAATTTATGTATGATGCTGGTAGGGTGTGTATATGTGTAGGTACGGGGGAGGAAAGTGAGGGAGGCCACTGGTGAGGACCGCAGAGCCTGCTGTGGTACCTGATGCCAGAAGCTGGGGATGATTATGGTGATTAGGGGGTGGAGGTAGACCACGGGGGTAAGGATGATGGGGAGGGGTAACGTAACGCGTATGAGTGAGGAGAATGAGGGTTGAAGGGAAGGAAGAAAAGAAGGAGTCGAAGAGTGGTGTCCAATATCATGAAAGACGAAAGAAGGGATGGCTGACCATCACTGATCAGGCTTGGAGGGAGAGACTTGGTCGTGTAGCTTGTTGAGCAGTCGCCCGACGTCGGCCTTGGACGATGGTCGTCCAGTCCTCCCACTCTTTGGCAATCTCAGTCAGAACACTGCCCATAACACTCGCAGAAGCCATAAGACCGTGACCTTCACCCTCGAGGATGCGCACCTCGCAGCGACGCATCGTCTTACCCAGCCACTGGACATTTTCGACGGGCACACGAGTGTCCTTGCTTCCGTGGTGGATCACGGCTGCTCGTGTAATATCCACGTAGCGGAATCCGATGGTCTGACGACGTTCCAAGCAGATCAAGAGATCAACGGCAGGGTTGGCATTGGCAGTGGCCAGCGCCCAGATCTTATGAGTGAGTCGGGTGTCATAGTCCCGCTGCCTCTCCAGCTCTTCCTCGGGAGACTTGGCCCGCGATCCGAGAGTTGCATCGCTTTTCCTATACGCTGCATGGGTGACATTCGATGGCTTGGTTGGTTCGGGGGGTGGGACTCCGGGAGACTTGGGCTCGATGTTGGAAGTAGCAACCGGGAGGGCAGGCACCTCTTCCTTGACAGTCTCCTTGGTGGTCTTCTTCTTTGCTCGCCGTGGAGACTTTGGTAGACTAGTAGTGATGCTAGCACTAGTAGCACTCATGAAGCTGGTGTTGGCCACCTTGAGAAGGGAGGTGGGAAGAGCGCGGAGGATTCGTTGGGAGTAGGGAACGGCATTGGTAGGCACGGGTTCTTTCTGAGAGCCGATGCTGGAAAGTTGAGAGGGAGGGATCCAGGGAGCCAGGAGATGGATGCGTCCGCGAATATGCTGAGGGATTCGAAGGGCAGTGGCAAGAGCGTAGATGGCACCGGCCGAGTGAGCCAGGATGGAGAATTTGGTCACCCGGAGATGATTACACACAATGGCAACATCATCTAGTCGTTCGTTAGTTGGAGAGACTCTGATGGGGAAAACGAATGCAAAACTTACCCGGCCAACTGAGAGGAGTGTTGGGTTCATCCAGTTGATGTGGCCCACTTTCACCAACTCCAGGACGGTCGAGAGTGACCAGACGCAGGTTTAATGTCCGAGCCAGCTCATCATAGAATGCCATAAGATACCGAGTGAGACCCATTCCGAGACAGCATAGAACAACGTGACCCTTGGGATCACCCACCTCGGAAAAGGCGATCATACGGCCCGTGGTTGGATGGGGTACTTTCTGGGTCAGTTTCGGAGAGAAGACATAATCGTCGACAGCCAAGTCGATCGAGTCTGCACTGGACGGTCTTTCAGAATTCAGTGATTGACGGCCGACCAGTGTAGGGCCAGATGGCGTGCGGCGATGGGACGGGGTGGGAGAGATCGGTTCCAAGGACCGTCTGAACCGGCCTTGGTCATGCTCGAGCTTGTCAGAGGATTGTCTCTGCATCTGGGGAGAGAAGTTGGTAGGCTTGGGTGACAAAGGTGCTCCTGGCTTTCCAGTACGGTTCTTACCCGTCATGACGGATGGTGATGGGGCACTTTCATTTATGGCAGAACGTTCATAAGAGCCGTTCTGGAGTTTGGGAGTGCGGCTTTGGTCGGTTTGGCTGGTGGTGCGCGACGGCTTCGACGGTCTCGCAGGGGTTGTCCCTGTTGACTTGCCGGGCCCGTCATCAGCTTCCAGCTCAGTCTTGATCCTCTGTTGCTGGTCTTTCAACTCTTGGATCCTCCGAGTCACCTGTTCGGCGTCGTTGCTTGTCCCTGGCAATCCATTCTCTGCAAGAGTCGACTCTCGGCTGGCAGTTGACGAGTATCGGCTGTGCCGAGCAGACCTCCGCTTCCCGGAAGATTGGCTGTGTCGGTGACGTAGAGAAGAGTCCCTCGTGGGAATGATTCGACCGCTACCAATACCACCAGGGTTATGGTGCGCGTCAGGAGTGTTCTGAATTGAAGGCTGTTCCCGGGTCGGCGGGGTGCTGGCAACCAAGCCCTCACTTGGTTCCTCCATCAGAGCCAACCCACTCGGCCCTTTCTCCTCGGCTACATCTGCCATGGAGTACATAGAGCGCAAACTTGCTCGACTCCGCGGGGTATTGTGTCGCAAACTCTCGGTATGGCTAGTGGTCCGACGCAGGCGATCAGCCTGCGTTTCCTTGTCGTTGTTGAACTCGCGCGATGACTTTGACTTCAGCAGACTAAAGTGGCCCTTCAAACTTTTCGTTCGTCCAGAACTATTCGAGGCAATGCTAGGGGCCTTTGAGAGACGCGGGGCGGGCTCCGCGCTAATCGTCCCGAATGCAGTATCCTCCGGCGCAGCCCTTACCGACGTATACGAGTCTCTTGATTCCGGCCGGACGGATGAATCGGCTGCTTTGAATGGTTTGAATCTTGGGGATTTTGGCGATTTGGGGGATGGGGGCGCTCTGGCCATACGAATGACAGGCGACGAGGCGGCATCATCTGGATGCAAGAGACTATGCGGGGGTTCTTCGGCGGTTGCATAAGAGCCAAAGCTCATTCCAAATCCATTCTGCTTGGAAGGGGGGATGGTAAAGCACGGTGCGGTTTGCGGAACCTCTGGGAGGCCAGGGTCGGAGGAATCTTTAGAATCGATGCGCGGCACGTTGTCGAAATGCGAGTTCAGGGGCACCGAGATGGCGGACAAGGATGAGATCAGCGACGAGATGACCTCCGGCGACGTTGGATCGGTCGAGGAATTGGGAGCTTGGCCGCGACCACCAGGGAGAGACTTGCGACGTCGACGACGATTGAGTAAGGCGGAGTTCGCCTGCTGGGGTGGTGCCGGGAAGCGCTCGTCGAGATGCATGGCGTTCAATAGTTCGAGTCGTCTCAGGGATGGTTTTACCCGCCCGCGAGTCTTGGAAGGTCAGACACGGGGGAGGAAGATCAACAAGAGATGCAGGGAGAGAGTCGAATGGCCGCGCGCATATTCTGCAGTAGTACAGAGTCGATGGATAACTGCAGGTTTGGACTCTGTCCAGGCGCAATTGGAAAAGAGAGGGGCGCAAACCTAGTTTATCGATAGGTTTTGCTTTGGCCCTAGTGAAAACACCCCTTACTTGCGAGGACTCTTGACAGCGGGAGGAGAAACTGATAAGGAAAATTTAAGGAGAGAAGAGAAAAAATAATGATAGAGGGAGAGACAGTAGACGATGACGACTAAGAAAAAAAAGAAAGGAGAGGCTGCAGAGAAAGCTAAAGGAGGGGGAAAGGGAGTGATAGTAGCCCTTATGACTTGAAGACGAAGATGATCTCGTTCTGTTTTTTTCTTATGACTGAATAATCATAAATATGGGGGGGAAGAGGAATTTAGCGTTCGCGTGTTCAGCTCCACCGATGGGAGGGCCCAATTTCCCACTCGTTTGTGTACAAAATCCGATTTCTACACTGTCGTTGGCTGAAATGGCGGAGGTTCATAAAGTTAACTAAGTTAGTTTGACTCCGTCGAGCTCAATCCCGTTTGGGAAGCTTTGCCATCCGATCCATGGGTCATTCCTCCGAGCAAAAAAGTGCAATTATCCGAGAGATATACAGAGTTCCATATCTACAACTCAGACACTTATACTTTGTACTTTGAATAATAATACCAAAGATTATCTGATTCCATGTGGAGCCCCCCAGGTCTGATTCCACCAAAAATGATGGCTCGTTTTCTAGAAGACCACTACGAGGCCAGAGCACATTCTGGAGTCTTATCCATGCCAAGTGATCGGCGCGATCTCGGAGATGAGCGCGGCCGGCATTCGAGGTGCAGAGACGAACTGCATGCGTGATCTGACAGAAAAGTAGAGCTCAGATGTGCGTCATAACTGTATCTGATTGTAGATGAAATGAATTATGGGAGAAATGTGTGTGATTTCATGCTTATTTGAATAAATATATAGTCTTTTTTCGAGAAAAGAGTCTCTGCAGCGGAACAGTCCCATAGTTAGTCTACAAAGTATATATATATCCACACTCCATGCAACAGATAGTCACTATGCTAAAGAAAGGCAATACTAACTTCCCACAAATAAATATATCCTACTATATCCTTTTGAATACCCTAAATATAAATTCAATATATCTCTTGAATCAATTTCGATTCCATTCAAGTCAACACCCAGACTGGCACTGATGACAGCTCCTCCCACTCTGCCTGAAACGCGTCCCGTGGACCTGTGGAGAGACGCTGACCGCCCGCCAGACACGCGGCAGTATAGCTGGCCCCAACCAGTACTACCACCGTTATACAAATAGTCAACAGCTGCGCTGAGACCATTTTCCCACTGACGAATCCAGAGCCTTTCGAAATTGAGCTGCGGAACGACTGGAATACTTGAATATCGTTGATTCTCTCTTTCCACCCCACCGGTTCGGACCACATTGGACTTATTTGACCGGAGATGCGGTGACCGAATTGACCCTGCACCATCGACTTGTCCGCAATGGACGCCTACCCGCAAGACTACGTCAACCATAATCTCCCTTTAGTCCTGCTCTCGGGGCTAGAGGCAGATGCTGAAGATGGCTCAAACCCGACGGTGGACTACCCACTCCTAGCAGAGAAGGGTCCCAAGATCTTCTCCGACTTCCCACCGCTGAGCGGGTCTGTCGCGGAGGAGCTGCGGAGAGTGCTGCTAGAGGAGGATGGCTCTCAGATGCCCTGGAAAGCGGGCCTCGCCTCAAGTGGAAATCCATCATCACCGCATATAACATATCGTGTTAGGAGTTCTGGTCGGGTAAGCTCCCCCTCTGGTACAACTGCAGCACGAACACGCCGATGTGGCATATGTCTTGTGCGGAGGATGCTAATATACGACCTTATATCCTAGTCTTACCAACTTCCTCCGCGCAAAGCCAACCCTCCTAAGACCTCTGCTCCCACAAGCCCTACGATTGACTCGGACGGAACTCCCTCCGGTTCAACAACGCCATATGTTCTCCACTCGCCCATCTCTCCATTATCCCCGGGCTCCCCCACCTTCCCAGATGGCCTCCTCACGCCGTGGTGGGTGACCAAGCACCAAGAGCTAGTTCCCGCAGCGGTCATCAATTTCTTTCCATTCTCGCTAGATCCTAATATGAACTCGCTACGCGACAATCAGCTGAAGATTGAGATCAACAGCTTGAAAAAGGAATGGGCATCCTCCGGGTTCAAGACGCGTTTCCTCGTTGTTCTGATCTCGGAAGACGGCGATGGGGGCTATGAGGGGGAAATTGATGACCGTGTGGCTGGTATTCGACGGGCGACGAACTTGGACCAGAAGTCGATTTTTGTCATTCCGCCGGACGCGACTCCGTCAGAACTCAAGGATTTCGTCAAGTCCTTGTTTTCTCTACTGCAACCATCGGTTGTAGAGTACTACCGGGACTTGTCGAAGCATGCTCGTCGCAAGCGCAATCGCAGCAGTATTCCTCCTCCAACAGCACCACCGACGACCGGTACCTCCCAGACACTATCATTACAAGGGTGGAACGTGCGGTATGAATTCAAGCTCGGAATATTTGCCGAGTTTCGCCAGGAGATGGATGCTGCTTGCCGAAACTATGAGAGTGCATACGAGACCCTGTTTGGACAGGAGGTCTTTGAGAACATTGCAGGGTGGGATCCTCGGTTCAACGATGCGCGACTTTTGGGTGACGCACTCGCGATTCGGATCATTCGCTGTTTGATGTGGACAGGCCAGACCACCTCTGCGACCCGATTCTGGGTTGACCATAGAATCCGCACAAAAGACATTGTCAATCGTCGGGGCAAGGGTAGTAAGAACTACGGCTGGGAGGCTTGGGAGGCACGGTGGTCTTCGGTCATGGCTCAGCTCATCCGCCGCGCGGAAATATCTCTGCCATCACCCGAAGCCTCGGGCGACCAATCGATGGCGATGTCTTCAATCTTCCACCCTCCCGAGAAGTCTATTCCTACCGGCGAACGGGTCAACCCGTGGGAGCATCTACACCATGAAGGATATTGGCTTTATCGGTCAGCCAAGCACACCATGGTCCGACGAGAATTTGCTCTACAGATCCCCAATGAAGACCGCATGTCGCCTGGACAATCCCCTGCATCTCAGATCGCCAACAAATCCTACTTGTACGATACCTACCTCGCGCCTGAGACACATATTGAAGCTCCACAATCGGGCGAGGGAGGCTTTAACCACTCAGAATTGATCTTGAGCTCATTGAAGGCTGCTCTTGCTGAATTCTCCAAGCGCCAACAGACGCGGCAAGTTGAAAGACTCAGTCTTGAGATTGCTGAAGAGTACATGCGTATTGGCTCGTGGTCCGAGGCATATAGCATTCTTGAGCCACTATGGTCGACGCTCAGTTGGCGCAAATCAGGCTGGTGGTTCCTAATGGAAAACTTTGGACGGGTATTGAGGGAGAGTGCTGTTCGTAAGCAAGAGAGTGAGACTGTTCTGCGAGTCGACTGGGAGCTGCTCAACAAGGGTAAGAAGGCACCATCTTGGCGGTAGTGTCACCGCTTGTGCTAATGGTATGCTTGTACAGTGTTCCCATCTAGACCTGCATGGCACTATGATATCCACAAGAGCCTTGAAAATCTCCCTGCCGAGAAGCCCAAACCATGCGTGGTTCTTCGCGCAGAGGATGTCATGACAAGTCGTAAGCTTTCTATTCACCGAAAAAGAAACAAAAATTGACTAAAACTGACATTCTATAACAGTAACTGCATCAATCGTGTTTGAAAAATCCGAGGGTAACGTCGGTGAACCACTGCAAGCTCAACTTATCATCTCGTCTTGCGCGCAAAAGGCATCGGCGCCTATCCGGCTATCGGAGGTGAAGCTCGTTTTCGAGGGTTGTCTTCGACCTGTGAAGCTGCAATCTGACCAAAATGAAGACGCTGATACTTCATCACCCTGCTGTATCTCTTCGTTATCACTTCGCGAAGCGAGCTCCGCCGGTGATATTCAATCCCCCACGGGTGTGTTGGCTACCCTAGTTGGGGTGGCAGACCTGACAATCGGACCATCGCAAACCAAAGTCTACAACCTCACTTGCATCCCCCGCGAAGCCGGAGAGGCCCAGGTTGCCTCCATAACGATGTCGGTTGACGAAGAAAAGTTCAACTTGGCTTATGTGATAACCGACCATGGCTTGCGAGATGCCTACTGGTGGCAAGAAACCAAGAAAGGCCTGTCACGACGACGCGTTGGTAAAGATCGGGACACAGGCAAGTGCAAGATCATGCCGAAGCCGCCAAAGATCCGTATTTCCACTCCGAACCTAAGGGAGACTTACTATACCAATGAGCGGGTGGCTTTGAAAATCGGTATTCATAACGAAGAGGATGAAGGTGCCGATGTCTCGGCAGAGATCAGACTATTCGGCAGCCCTGAATCCACAGCCAAGTTACAATGGCTTGATGGCAGCTCGAATCCACCAAGTTCGGGGACCAGTTCACCAACTGAGGGTCCCTCACATTTCCTGAAACAGACCATCGGAGTGATGGAGCGCGCTTCTGACAAAGAGCTTATCGTTGTCCTTGCCGATACCCAAGATGCCGCGAAGTATTCATTGGAGATTTCTGCGGTATACCACGTCGTTTCCGACGTTCAAACCCCCATTATGAAGGTCATAACCGTGGATCTCTCGTTCATTCGGCCGTTCGAAGCCAATTACGACTTCAAGCCTTCCATCCACCCCTTCCCTTGGCCGGACTTTTTCTCCGTCAGCGATGAGCTGATCCGCGACGATCCTGTTTCGGCGCCGGGCGGCTTGTCGCAGAGATGGTGCCTCAACTCAAAGGTGGTCTCCTTCGCCCTGGAACCTCTCATCATCGACCAAATGTCTCTGAAACTCCTCACTCTAACCGGCGGCGCCGTATCAACAATCAACCCGGAAGTCCTCGTCAGCCCCGAAACCCCACACATCAGCCCCGAAGAATTGCGCGAATCCAACTTCTTCCTCGACATTCAGAAAATCACCCTCGGCGACCGCAGACCCGCCGCACTCAACGTAGCCCTCGAAATAATCTGGCGCCGCCTCTCCGACGAGTCCACCGCCCCGTCCGAATCTGACCCCGAAGTCAACACCACAACCACAATCCTTGAAATCCCCCGCTTCGTGGTCCCAATGGGCGAACCCCGCGTCCTCGCCTCATCAACCCCCTCCACCTCTTTCCCGGGCTTACTTCACCTGGAGTATACACTCGAGAACCCATCAACCCACTTTTTGACCTTCAACCTGATGATGGAAGCAAGTGAGCACTTTGCCTTTAGCGGATCTAAGACCACGGTTGTTCAGTTGGTGCCGTTGTCCAGGCATACGGTGCGGTATAATATTCTTCCTGCGAAACGCGGGCTTTGGATCCAGCCGCAGCTTGTTGTTGTGGATACGTACTTTAATAAGTCGTTAAGGGTGCTTCCTACTGGGGAGATGAGGGCGGATAAGAAGGGGATTTTGGTGTGGGTTGATGCGGATGATTAGATGGTGGTGCTCGGCGTGTGTGATGGTTTTGGATTTAGGCTTGGTGTGTCATGTCCCTGATGAGGATGTCATGAGATATGTATGTAATTAGTTTGCATCTGGCGAATACAGATAATGCTTTTCTTTGTGGGCGTGTCTAGGCTAACTACCGTGTGACGATTTTAGTCATAAATATCTCACCCAGAAAAGGATCAAGGTTACTACTGATGCGCCTTTCCTATGCACATAAAATTGCTCCTATGCATAAAGCGATGCGATGCGGACATTCCCTTACGGTGTTCATATCTTCATAAGGACCTGCTTTATCCATCATATGAATAGTATAACTAAGTAGGGCCCTAGCCACATGAAGAAGGGAGGGTGGGGTATCCAGTAGCCTTGCATTGATTAGCGTTGTGGAAACCCTGCTTCGAGACAGTAAGACACGTCCTTGCCGAGTCTGACGTGAGTTATTTTCATACTTTATGGTTCTTACTTGAGTAGCTCCCGAGTCTGACGATGCTTAAAGTGACCAAGTCAATGCCGAGGACTGATATATCGGATTTATTAGTAGACTATCGAAAACTTTCGCTAGTGGCGAGAAGGACTAGGTTAGGGATCCATCTCTTGTGGGACTCTCCTGCATAGCTGGCCTGTCAATAACGGGGATGTGCCGTGCAGAGTGCGGGGTCCTACCTACCTTAGTATAGCACAAACACAAATGTATGTTATGCAGAATTTTTGAGGCATTATTGTGATTGTTTCATGCGTCATGAGCTTGGCCGGGGTCTAAACGGCAAGTTGGTAGCGGGGTATTTCCTACCATATGGGCTGTTTAAAGGTGGAAGTAAATCGCCTAAGCCCCCGGAATTGAATGGATTAAGAAAAGAGCTTTAGTTTTTATCAAAGATCATGGCTGTCATTCATAGTTCCTTGTCTGCAGAGGGTGTATTCCCGAGCTTGGCTTTGGCTCTATTCATTGTGGGCTTAGCGTTGGTCAGTACTTTCTGTCTGAGTATCGTATCTCTCGAAAAGCAAGCTAATATCCTATCTACCGGGATAAAGACAATCCTTTATCCCATCAGCATCCTCACTTACAATGTCTACTTCCACCCTTTGGCCAAATACCCCGGCCCAAAGCTCATGGCAGCTACTCGCGTGCCCTACATGCGAATGATAATCAGTGGCCGATTCGCCCAAAGAACGAAAACCCTACACGAGAAATACGGCAATATAGTTCGTATCGCCCCTAATGAACTCTCATTCACCGACGCCGATGCCTGGAAAATTATCTACGGTACTCGTACCGGTCACGGTCAAAAGCAGAAAGACCTTCGATTCTACCCTCCCACCCCCGGCGGCGCCCCCAGTATCATATACTCTGATGATGCAGACCATTCTCGGTTCCGCCGTTTATTGTCTCATGCCTTCTCTGATAGTTCATTGCGCGGGCAAGAACCTATTATCAAAAGCTACGTTGATCTCCTCATGCAACGTCTAAACGAGAATATCGCTACCGGAAAGAACGTGCTCGATATGGTGTCGTGGTATAATTTCACTACATTCGATATCATCGGCGACCTAGCCTTCGGCGAACCATTCGATTGTTTGAAAAACTCCACTTACCATCAATGGGTGCACATCTTATTCAGTCATATGAAGATGAGTGCCTATGCAAATGTAGCTCGGCGTTTACCCGGATCAGGTCGGTTATTGAAACTAATTACACCCAAGCGGGTCACTACCCAGCGAGACTGGCATTTTGAAATGACGAAAGAGAAAGTCCAGGCTCGACTGGGCAAGTCAAATGAAAGACCCGATTTCTTCGGGAATATCTTGAAACATAATCATACTGAGAAGGGGTTTAGTTTTCCCGAGATGGTTTCGAATGGGAGTACGCTTATCATTGCGGGTTCGGAGACGACGGCTACGTTACTTTCTGGTGTGACTTATTTGTTGCTGAGGAATCCGCGTGTGCTGGCGAAGCTTCAGGATGAGATTCGATCTGCGTTTGAGAAGGAGGTGGAGATTAATTTGGACTCGTGCAATAAGTTGGAGTATTGTCTTGCGACTCTGACTGAAGCGCTGCGAATGTACCCTCCTGTTTCGCCGGGATTGCCTCGGATTGTTGATGCACAGGGTGACTTGATTGCTGGAAATTGGATTCCAGGAGGTGTAAGTACCTACCCACTTCATTTTTCTACAGGAGCTTTTCTCACATCTACTGACTTTTGTTAGACCATCGTTTCCGTCTGTCACTTGGCCGCCAGCTCTTCCCCCTCCAATTTCACCGACGCGGAGCAATTCGTGCCTGAGCGCCATCTCAATGACCTCCGCTATAAGAATGATAACAGGCATGCGATGCAGCCATTTAGCTTTGGGCCTAGGAACTGCATTGGACGAAAGTAAGTTTTCTGTGCGTCGAATAAAATGTACCTTGCTGATGGGAATCTTCGTTTAGTCTGGCCTATGTTGAGATGCGCATTATTCTCGCTCGCATGATATTTAACTTTGATATGGAGTTGGCTGAGCCTGAGAAAGATTGGCTGGATCAGGATGCGTTTGTGCTTTGGGATAAACCGGCTTTGAATGTCAAGTTGACGCCTCGAACTAAGCAGGGATGATTGGGGAGGTCAATGGTTTATGCGGCACAGAAGCAGAACTATTGGTGAAATCCTATATTGAGCAAATTCAGATAGCATAGCAAGTATTTGATGACTTTTAGCATACGTGACCTCGGGAAACTGCATTCCAGACATATGCATGTTAATGTAGTGGTGCTCCCCACTTCTTATTGTAAGGGCTATCGAGTCACGTGAACACTTATCACAATCAGCCCCAAAGCGGTTAGCGGCGATCGGCCGTCGCAGCTCTCTCCGCGAGCTTTCGTCACATCCTCGCTCATTCTGCCTCTTGCAGTTGACAATCCCTTTCAGACCTTCGTTTGAGACTGCTTACGACCAGCCCACTGGTGCCTTCTTTGTCAAAACCCGAGCCACCCCGAGTCCTCTCCTCCAAGACCCCTCACAACGCGACCCCCGGACGTGTCTAAACCGACGGCTCAGTCGCAGACCCGTAGCCATGGCGACCCAAGCAGCGCTGATTGCCGATACAATCGTTGGCATGAAGCGGGCACTACGCAGAGAGCGTGAGGGTAAGCAGGAGTCCCCGGGTCGTCTATGGACCTCGAGGAACATGTCTTTCTAACGTACCATCCTCTGCTAGATTCGGGCCCGGACGACGCCATCACTCAGCCGACGAATCGCGGTAATAAAATGAGGGCAAACGCGAAATATGTCCGTGAAGGGGCATTGGGATACATCAATGCTGAGGAATTCTACAAAGAGGTGCGTGGTTCTCTTTCGGACAAAAGAGCGGCGGGCGGCTGTTGGCTCCGCTGCGCCTATTTGGAAGGCGTGCAGACTAACGCCGAGGATCTTGACTGCATACAGAAAATCGAGCACGCTGGTTACACACGTCATATCTTGCAGCGGAACCCGATTCGCTACGACTCCGAGGGCGAGGAACTCGACGAAGAGGATGAAGATTCTGAGGCCGATGTTGCGGCTGCAGAAGAGAATCCGTTCTCGGGAATCGCGTTAGAGAGTAGGCCATTTACGAATCTTCTGCAATATCGTTACGAGGCACTGACTTTTCAATTTTCTCTTGCAGCGCTGCTATGCCCTCTCAAACACCCCTCCGAACTACCCGTTCATCCTTCGTTGTCTCATCCATACACATCACAGGCCCTTGAGCAAATGACACAAGCTGTCGAGGAAAAATTACGGCAGGAAAAAGCTCTTCTCTGGCGGGCAAGGAATTTGCATCGTAAATTCCTTGGCGATGGTAGTTGGATGCCCTGCGGTCTTGTGGAAATGCCTGACGATCGTTACATTTTCCAGCCTTGGCTCGTGGATGACAATAAAGCCGCGTCTGCAGGGCAGCAAAGGCAAAGTGTGCTCGGGACGTCGTCTGCCGGTGGTGATCTGAATGGGGCACAAGAGGTGCTTTCCACGGCAGTTCCAATAGAGGGCCAGGTTGGAGAGGGTGATGTCGAGATGGCTGAAGTCCCTACAGCGGGAAACATTGAACCTCAGGAACCAGTCACAGAATTCAAGTCGGAAGAGACCGACGCCATGGTCAAGGACCTTCCCCAGCACCCTGCCGAAGAGCCAGACCAAGGAAGCGAGAAAAATACTACGATTGTACGGAATGGGGTTGCTGAAACGCAGGAGATGATCACTACCAAGGATGGAGCCCAGACAAACGGAGAGCATCCACAGCACAACGAGGACAACGAAGACGAGAACGAACAAGATACCGAAATGCATGACGGATCCTCGCCGGAACCGCCTCGCAGGATGACGACCCGAGCTCAAGCCAACGCGAACAACGATGGCAACCAGTCTCCGCTGTCTGCCGATCACTCCAGCTTCCTCCAAACCCCCCATCCTCTCTTCGTCATTCCAGAGAACGTCCGTCCGGACGCGAACTTCGGCCTTCCCCCTGGCGAAGCAGAGGAGACCCGTCGCCTGTTGTGGTCATATATTCAGAAGCAGGAAGAAACCGTGCGGGGCTTCGAGCACATGCTCGAATCCCTATTTCGAGCCTCTCACATGAAGGCTGACGTGCTGGAATGGTGCAAGGCTGAGGGTCACGTCGGGGAGATGAGTGACGGCGAGGACTGGTACGACCGAGAGAAGTGGGGTCTTGCCGAGGGCGAAGATCTGAAGAAGGGTACCGACGAAGATGAAGTCGAGACTGTCGATGAGAGTCGAACGACGGCGAAGAGGGGCCGTGGCCGGCGACAGTGATGGACTCCAGGGATGCTGTATCTGTCGAGTCTTAACACTCCAGATCTGGATCTGATTTTTTGGATCTACGCCGGCCTGGCCATCTTATATCTTTTATGTTTGGTTTTCATTTCCTCGCCGTACCCTTTTTACTTCCTCATAGCGTGGTGTTGGTGGTGTTCAGTCCTTGCGTGGGTACTCATCTCCCCCCATATACCACATACTTTTTACCCTCGGCGACTTTGCCTTGGACCATGCGGTGTCAATATACCCTCTGGAGAATGAAAATAGTGTTTTATTTCCTTCGTTCTAGCGCTTGCAATATACAGATCTATGTGCAATTGTAACTATTTTTCCAACCCCTAGGTTACCCAAACATGCTTCAACTTACAGGTTTTCGAAAATGTCTTTTCATATAACTTTCTAATTGTTTTTCTAAATGTCCTTTGGACTACCATCCTTGATGGCCTAGATCCCTTGTCGTTTAAACTCGTGACTGATAAGATAATTTTGAAAAGCTGTCGGGGTTTCAAACTTAAAGAATCATACTGTCATACTGCAAGAGTCTAGCATAATTATGCAAAAAACCTCATGTAGGATTTTGTGCGTTATTTCTAGTCTCGAGCTCAGTGGTTGGAAGGAGTTCCTATCGGAGCCATTTAAAAGAGCGTTCAAGATAGGACCTTTAGGGTTTAAGCATCTTTGTTTGGACCATTCTTTGGGGTCTACTCCGGTCTCTAGATTCAGACTGTTGACCTGCTACTGTAGACACATTCATGAACGGGTAGGTACTACGCAGTGCACATAATCCCAAAAATGAAACAAGTATATTGAAAGATCTATTCAGAATGACAAGAAAGAAAAACCAGGAAAGAAAGTCAATATATCACAAAAAATCCAAAAGAAAAATAAAAGCTCTTAGACTGAAAAACTCCCAGATATAAGCATATCCACAAGATACTCATCTAAATACCACCAGCATTGCAAATCTTCTCAGCCTCAGCGACACGCTCAGCATAGCGAGTAGGATAAGCAGAGCCCTGCACCTTCTGGCAAAGGGTTCCAACAGCCATAGACTTCCAGCCGCTAATGTTCTTCATCTTCTTGAAGAACTGGGCGGCAGACTTGGCGGCATCCATATCAGCGGCGATGTCGGGGTAGAACATGGCGCGCTGCTGGAAGATACCGACACTGTCGTGGTCAGAGCCAACAGCGTCGTGGGGGTAGTTCAGGGACTTGGGGACATCCTTGTTGGCGTAGATCAGGATGTTGGACTAAAGAATTTGTTAGTTAATTATTGCATGAGGGGGGATTATGATCAGGACCTACCTCGACAAGGGCAGTCGCAATACCAGCAGCGCAACCGTGCAGACCCAAATCCTCACTCTTGGCCTCGCCGATGATAGCACGGGCGTGCTTGGACTGGGTAGCACTCAGACCGGGCAGGTTACCACCGCTGCTGCCGCCACCGGTGGAGCCACCATCGCAGTGCTTGGTAACGTAGCTGCTGGAGCCGGTCTTGACGTAGTAGTCGCTCACGTAGCAGCCGTCGGAGGTCTTGTCCCAGAGCTGGTCACCCTTGACATCGGTGCCGGCGGCCTGGCAGGTGATGCTGAGGTCGGTTCCGCGCTTGTAAGACTTGACAATCCCGTAGCTGGTGCCAGGACCAGAGCGGCAGTGGAGATCGTCAGCGTTGACGGGATAGGCGCTGGCCAGGGGCAGAGCGATGGCAGCGGACAGGGCGAGAAGAGAGAAGTGCATTGTGAATGTGGTTGGTTGGTTGAACTTGAAGAAGTTTGAAAAGTTGAAAAGAGGCTCGGAAGAAAGCTTGGTTCTTGTTTGCTTGTTGGAGAGGAAGTTGTGATGTTGTTGTTGATGGAGAAAAAGTTAGCTATCGAGGGGAATGTAGGGGGACTTTATAGTTTTTGTCCTCACTGATCTTCCATGAAGTCGAAATTGCTTGATGAATGTTCTATACAGTTGGCCCCACATTCATGCCGTCCTGGTGCTAACTTGAATAGGCTTCATTTGGCTTGCTTGGGGGTCCCTTACATGCATCAGAGTGTCGATCACCATGAGGCTCGTATAGATCAAAGTAGAGATGAAGAGGCGAGACTATTTTTGCATCGTATCCGGAGGTTAGCACCTTATTCGTATTCAAGCTTGGGATAGTTGATATGGCCAGTGGGAAGTTTTTGGCCCCAAGGTGGGATTGTCAGAAGCCTCATTTCGTATGCGTGATGGTGATGGGGCGATATGGCAAATACGGGGAAGTATAGCAGGGATAACACAGATGCTCTTCTAGTTTTTTCCGAGACTACGGCGAGAAGAAGGCACAATAATTGAATACAACGGGATTAAGAGAGACAGATATTAAGGACTATAGAATTTCTAGAAGCTGGAAAACATGGACAGATTTCGCTGTTGCTTGGAGTCGGATATGAAGCTATAGCTCCGCTCTTATTCGATCGCGACCAAGTATGTGAGCATCCCTTCTATCCACGCAAAACACTCAGATACGATCTTTCCCCGCCAAAAATATTAAGATCGTCACCATACAATCCCAGAAGAATTGCCCGAGTATCCTCCCAAAACTGCCAATACCACACTGCGGCCCCCAAACGTGCTCCCAAAACCTCGTGTTCCTGGCATAATGGGCCTCTCCTAAAAATAGATCCTAGGCCAAACTTCCTACACTAACAAACCTGCAGCGACCTGCCGATCCCCCGTATTCAGTGGAACAGCCACGCCCGTTGACTGCGCCAATCAGATCTATCCGGGCCTGACGAACAAGAGCTTATCCTACACCCTAATTTCCGTACAGGGCTGATTTCTCCGAGTTTGTGAGGATTGGGGAAGGTGGGATATACGATGTGACGATGATGGGCATGGTCGTGATGATCGGCCATGCTAAGAATAGTTGGATCTTCGTGTTTATACGGAGTTCCTAGTTCTTAGTTCGAGGCTAACTTGAAGGGAATCGTCAAGTCGCATCTCTCATGGAGCTAAAACGAAGTTCTGTGTCTGCGGGCTATGACCTATTTGTGAACACGAGATACATGAATAGAACATGCTTGAAGCAAGGAATCGAAGAGCCATAAAATCTCACTTCGAGGCGGCTACACCGCCAGTCCGTCTCCAGCAAACAAAATTAGATAGATGGTATAATAAGTGTGAGCAAGTGGCTCATATTTACAATGAACAGGGGTGGCCAACGTATGGTATACTGGTCGCATTGGGTGGAGGTAACTTTTCTTGTAGTCGCGTAGGGGAAGTGGTAAATGAGGATGGTGCGCTCGTTCAGCAAAACGGTCATGGCCTGGCCGCAGTTGCGCTCGCTCGGTTGTCTGTAATTTCTGCCCGGTGGGTGGGCAAAATGAGGTTTATCGTCTACTCTGCCAGCTTCGTTGAAGATTGGGACTCGGGGACATTTGTGTGCTGGGTGAACATGCCATCTTCCAGTTCGGAACAGATGTATCCGGACCGGGATTGGCGTGGTCGTACGGAGTTTTGTTGTCTTGTCTCTCGACCTCAGTCTAGGTCCGAAACTTATCAAGCGAGTTGTGGATGTTGAACGTCCCAGACAAACTCGCTATCACGTTGAGTAATTTACTGCTTCTTGCCGCCAGCCTTCTTGGCGCGCTCACGCTCGCGCTTGGCATAAATCTCGGCAGTGAAGGGGCTGGAGAGATCGTCGTTAGCTTGGATCGGAAAATCTCGGCATGGAGAGAGTACACATACTCCTCCCACTTAAGGGCAAACCAGTACAGCACAAAGACCTGAGCCGTCAGAAGAATACCAGCGACCTTGCCCTTGTATAGAGCAACGCCGAGGAAGTTCAGAGTGCTACCCCAGTACATGGGTGAGCCGGTCACGTTGAACGGGAAGCCAGTGACGGGGGCATCCATGAGGATACCAAAGTAGTCACCGAGATAAGTGCCAGTCACGCCCAGAGCCCACATGCTGGACAGCACCAGAACCGAGCCGATGGCGAACAAAGCACCGCCGACGAGGGGCTGGTGCACCGGTGCGTAGAAGGGCTGCTCATCGAGGGCGACCTGGTACAGATGGTCACGCAGAATACCCAGAGAGAAGATGGTAAAGGCCAGGAAGTAGCATCCTCTGTAAGGACCACCGAAGATGCGCGTCAAGATGTGGTTGTTGTACTCTGTGATGATCCGTTGTTAGCCGAGTTGGCAAAAGTACCGTTTGTTGTTCTCGGGTAGTCGACGAACCTGCGCGGGCAACGATACTATTCAAACAATACCGGTTAGCGCTCTGGAGCTTGGATTGAAAAATTTTGACAGACAGCTAACTCACTTCCAGAAAATCGGGTTAAACGCGATCGTCGCCGCGGACACTGTTAAGAGGGTTAGTACCAATCACATGCAAAATGCGGAGAGAGAACCAAGGTTGACGAAAGGTTGAAGGTCAACTTACAAGCCAGGGACGTGGAGGAGAAATCGACAAAATCAGTGAGACTGGCCATGACGCAGAAATCGTTTGTGTGAGGTCGAGAGGGTGTAGAAGAACAAAGAGGGGGGAGGAAGTTTAGTTTTGGGCAAGTTGGTCAATCGAGCTTAAGTAAACAAATGACGTTCAGGTCCACCTCTCGGTAGTCACGGGATCTGTATGCGGGTTGTCGCAAGTCCGTTCGACTCGCCGAAGAGTTTCTGCTCGTCGGCAGACAGCCCCTCGGCATCCGTTGTCCTTTTTGATTTCTTCATCACGTCCTTGAAAGGCGACTTTCCAAACAACTTGCCCTTTCACCGGTCGTCCTCGCTCGAAAGCCCCTGTTATCGCGCCGCAAATCGCAACTGCCGGGGAGCTCCTCGCTCCTGAGCTTCGCTGGGTGATCGACATGCGACGTGGAGCTTTGAAACCTGCACGGGGAGAATGGTCCTTCAACGTCGTGATCTAATACTAGCAGGCGTCGGCGGATTCATCGCCTGGGGTCTGTTGGTACGCTGGTTGCCGATCCTTCGATATCTCGGATATGCGTTGGCGTCGGGGGCTGTTTTGGCTTCGGCTGGTTTCCTCGGCCTGATTGTTTTGACAACCCGACCTCGAAATGACAAGACCAAGAGCTCGAAGGAGGTCTCGGTCGCCTTCATCAACCCAAATCACTGGCGGAAAGAAGTGTTGAATGCTCGAAAAGTCGCTCGATACCGGCCCAGACCGCTATACCCACAATCTTTTGTCGTTTCAGAGGGGATCGATGAACTCTTGTCTCTTGTGAATCGCCAATTCGTCACCTCGTGGTATCACAATATCACTCCGAATCCTACATTTGCCAATGAAATCGATCGAGTAACGCGCGTGGCCCTGGACAACCTTCGAGATACACTGCTGGCAGAAGACCTGATTTCACTGATTGTGTCGCGTATCTTTCCGGTTTTGACGGCCCATTTACGGGAGTTTGATGTTGCGGAGCGCTCAGTGCGTGGGAAAAACCTCAATCGAAATGTGACGGAGTCTGAGGAGCTCGATCTGGCTATTGCCAACAAGTTCCGTGAGGGTCGGCTGCACCCTGCGGTGGGACTTTCAGCCTCTGACCAGAAGGTGGTTCAGCAGGAGTACCTACGAAAGATTGCAACGGGACTACTTCCACAGCTGTTTCCCGAGAGTGTGCTCAAGAGCAGAATCGTGTCAGTGTTGCTCCGAGAGATCATAGCATGTGCAGTTTTACTACCAATCGTGAACGCACTCTCAGACCCCGATACATGGAATCAGTTGACGGAAGCGTATGGGCGGACGGCTCTGCAGGATCGGAAAACCGTGCGCAAATTGCGAGCTGCTCTAGACGAGCATGCTTCCCCTGCGCCAAAGCATAAACGTACACAATCGTTCCCGAAACTGTCGCCTCAAGATAGTGAACGTGCTTTTGAGCGGTTCGTTCGAACCATCAGACGCTGCAATAATCTCTCTGATGCTCGCCGGTTTCGCGCCCTGGTTTCCAGCCAGTTGAAGCGGGAGAGCATGGTCGAAGGACAAGACCAGGTTTATCTCAGGCGGCTGGAAACGGGGAAACGGGTCTTGGATCAAAAAGTTGCCAAGCTTTCCTTGCCTGGAGAAGCTGCTTCGTCGACACCTGCGCCAGTACAACCTCGCCGTGACAGCGTCCCTGCTCCTCAGGAAACATCGCTCGTGGAGGTCATGCACAGTGCGTCCGGTCTATCGTACTTCATGGAGTTCATGGACCGTCAAGGTCTTATGTCTCTCGTGCAATACTGGATTGTGGTAGATGGTTTCCGAAACCCACTGGAGGATGACTTTGGTGACGAGACAACCTCTGGTACGGTGACATGGACCGCTGCAGACAGGAATGATCTGGCGCTTCTGAGCGAGACCTATCTCACCAAAGCCGAGCTGAAAGTTTCTCAAGACTCCCGCCGAACGGTCAAGAATTTCTTGAGTGCCGGGAAGCGTGCAACCCCTGAGCAGTACCGCAAAGCTCGAACAGTCGTCTTTACCACGCAGTCGGCTGTGTTGGAGGAGCTAGAGAGCACTTACTATCCAAAGTTCAAAGAGTCAGATCTTTACTGGAAGTATCTTGCATCAGACGAGGCTTCAGGTGGCCAGCTACCTGCTCCTCGACAGACTCCACCAACGATCACCTTTGAGGCCCCGGAGAGACGACCCCTGCCGCCGCTCATTGTGCGAACCAGCTCACAGCCTGGTACCAAGCCGCCGAGGGATCTCAGGCGAGCTGCAGTATCATCAAGTGATGTGCGCAGCATGGGCAAACTATTTGACGATGAAGACTCCCCGAGACGATCTATTGACTCTGAACGATCTGCACCTTTATTTGACGACGATTACGACACTGATAACCTTGCCATGTCCACAGCCAGTCTGGGTAAGGACTCACATAATGGCGAGAACGATGCCACTCAGAGCAAGGTCCTGGAGACCATGGGAGCAGCTCTAAATGATATAATCACCAATGAGCCGAAGAACGGCAAGGTGGATGATTTACGGAATAGTGACCTGAGAAGCAGCGACGGTGCCTCCTCGTCGTCTCTGTTTGGTTCAGAGCGTCCTGAAATGGCATTGCACGCTTCATCCGATGGCTCGCGCTTAGATAGCCATCTTCCACTGGACAGGACCAAGAAAAGTATCGCCTCGTTGGGCCTGGTAGATCACGGTTCCCGCCTTGGTGTCTTTGAAGATGATCTCTTTCCAGATCAACAAAAGTTCATCGAGGACGAGTACGAGGAACCTGTTGGCACGGATGAGAAGGACCCGGCAGATGAGGTCCATGAAGCTGCGCCCGGAGATCTTGGTCTGACAGAAGCGATCGAAGTTCTCACTGTCGATATCGACAAGCTCACTGCGCAAGACTCGGTGGTCGAGGCACTTACCCGCAAGGCCGAGCTGACCAATAATACCGCTGAGCTGCGAATCCTGCGCAAGTCGAAGGCCAGCATTCAGCGTGAGATCCATCGCAAAGAGATGCAACGCCAGCAGTACATTATCCAAGAGAGCGATAACAGTTTGTACGGTCGCTCCACGGTGCGAATCAAGTCTATCGTGGTGGGCAAGGAGGAGGATGACGGGCGCGAGTTCGCAATGTGTAAGAGAATCTCCCCACTCCAACACCAGAATTCATCCACTGATGCTTCTACTACACAGATGTCATTGAAGTTCAACGCAATGCTGGCGAACAAATGCCTGCCGCTTCCTGGGCCGTTGCACGCCGATACAGCGAATTCCACGAGCTCCACCAGAAGCTACGAATGAGCTATCCCTCCGTCCGACACCTTGAATTCCCACGCCGGCGCATGGTCATGAAGCTGCAAAAAGAGTTCCTCCAAAAGCGCCGTCTCGCCTTAGAATCATACCTACAAAAACTCCTCCTACTCCCCGAAGTCTGCCGCAGCCGCGATCTACGAGCATTCCTCTCCCAGCGCGCCATCCTCCCCCGCGAAGAAGTCAACGCCCGCGGCACAGAAGGCGAAACCAAAGACCTCGTCACACGCATCTACAATTCCGTTGCCGACGGCATGGACGATTTCCTAGGCAATTTCGGCGTCCTCGATCAACTTTCCACAGCAGGACAAAACCTCATCTCCGCCGCAACCGCACAAGCAAATACCAGCACTGTGAACGATCCCGCCCTCGCCACCGAAGACGCAGTTACAACCGCCGAAGCCGAAGCAGAACTCAACGCCTTCGAAGACCGCGAACTAGAACCCTTCATCAAACCAATCTGCGACCTGTTCCTCGAAGCCTTCGAGCTCAACCGCGGAAATAACTGGCTTCGCGGCCGCGCCGTCGTCGTCGTCCTCCACCAACTCCTCGGCGGGACAATCGAGCGTAAAGTCCGCGATAGCGCGCGTTCTTTGTTCCAGGATGACTCGCTGCTGCGATATCTCACCCTCGCTCGGGATAATCTCTTCCCCGACGGCGTCTTGCGGAAATTCGAGTCCCGATCTATGCAGGAGAGACTTAAGAGTCGTGCGGAGGCGACTGTTGTCCTTGCGACGCTTCTCCCGGATTTGGCGGGGAATGTGGTTGGGAGGGCGAATGCGCAGGCTGCGGCGAGACGGATTTTTGCGACGCTTAATAATCGGCCGTTGAATACGCATCTGGCGTTTACCGTGTTGGATGAGATTGTGTTGGTTTTGTTTGGTGGTGGTGGTAGTCGGGAGAGTGGTCGCTCTCGATGATGCATTGCATCCATCGCCCCATTCGACAGTTTCCTTTTTCTTTTTGTTGTTATGATTGTTGACTATGAGTATTCTTTTGCCTTGAAGCGTTGAGTAGCATAGCATTTTGCCATTAGGGTATTTCGCGTTGTGTTTTTTCTTTTTTCTTTTTTTTCCCCCCCTTTGCGTTTTCTTTTGTTACTGGTGGTATCACGAGCGTTTGACTCTTGACTCGAGAGCCACTGATGTATATATTCATAATGTCTGCACATGATATTATATTTTCTTTTTACATTCTTAGTCAATCTGAGCCATTGTCTATCGTCAATCGAGATTTAGGTCCTTGTCTCGTATACACCCCAGTTCTTTTTCACATGTAGCTGTTGTTGAAGATTGTGGGAATCGCTGATCGAGGCTAATGCACGGGTTGTGGGCCTGGGGGTGGGTACAGCTTCGTTAGCGCGACGCCCATTCCGACGTCGGATTTAGTGCATAGAACTACATTTCTACATATACTGGAATTGCTACGAAAGTACAGTAGAATGAAAACATCCCCTTGGAAAATTAATAGATTGGATAATCCCCGAGTATGAGAAACGACTGAAACGGAGAGGCCTGGACACGCTGTGTCCCCGACAAAACCGGGTTTGACTCACATCCCGCAGGAAACGGCATATACCCATAGACCCACGTTCAACTTCCCTTTCTGATGAAAACACCAGAAAAAGAAACAGCATGTGGAGACTGTGTGAAGCCGCTGGTACAGCCCGCTGGGCTTAAAGATAAAGCACAGAAATAGGCAGAAATACAGCACGATCATAAAGATAGAAGATAAATGTCACTCCTGCGCCTCTGTTAAATCCATGTTTCTACGTTCCCGGAACCGAAATAGAAACGCGCGGTGTGGTGGAAATCCCGTAGGAAGAAAGCGGCAAGGAGAGAGACAAGAGAAGAGTGTTGTATTGGATATGGGTGATGGAAGGCGTGACAACCCTTGTCGTTTCACCGTGGCAGAGACCGTGGGAGGGAAGAAAGTAAAAATAGTAAGAATGTAAGAGGGTGATCGTAGAAGGGGAAGGGGGAAGCCAGAGAGAAAGGAGTCTAGCTGATGGTGATGAGAACCAGTCTATGCCTCGTCCTTGTTCTTCTTCTTGGACTTCTTGCTGCTGGGTTCTTTGGGGATTGTGCTGATGCTGGTCTGGTGGACGATGAGGCGTGTCCAGCACTCCTCCTTGTCCCACTCGAAGCCGGCGAGGTAGGGCTTCTCTAGTTCGTCATCGGCCTGGGTGGTGTTAGTGATTTGGTAGCGACGATGAGAAGGGATGATGGGTGCGAGGGAGTAAGTGGAGGAAGGGAGTAAGTAGTGGAATGGAGAGGGAGGAGGGTGTGTATGTATGTACCTTCTTCTTGAATTGCTTGTGGATGGCATCTAGTGCGTCCTTGATCGTGACACCCTTTGAATTCCGGGCGGTGACTTCCAAACCCAGGGGGAAGTGCAGGTCGATCCTCTTGACGGGCGGGTTAACGAGGTGCATCTTGAGGATGTCCTTGTCGTCAATTGTTGATGGTGATGAGTTGAGTTTCCTGGATGGAAGGTTAGTAAGTGGTGTTGTGTTGCAGGGATGGGCTTGTTGATTTAGGGGTGGGGTGATGCAGTTTGGGATTGGGAATGAGAGAGGGGTCGATTGTCACTTACCAGCCAGTCTTTTGTGTTTCAATGGGAAGGGTGATTTCGATTTTCTTCTCCTCTGCAAGATGAAGAGGATGATGTGAGTATATGATATGATGTATCATTGGGGGAACATACCTAGGTCCTTGATGTTGTATACCCCCTCAGCCGTCGATGAGGCGCGACGATGGCCCTTCGTCTCCTTCTTGTCCTTGACCTCTTTCTCAGTGGAGGCAGGGGGTTTCTCGTCATGTATGGAGAGACCGGCGATGGCCGAATCAACTTTGGTGAGAGGGACAGTCATAGTGAAGAGTGGATTGGTGAAGCTCAAGATGGAATTTCTTGGATAGATCAGATGATTGATGGAGAGAAGAAGAGAAGAGAGAAGAGGAGAAGAAGAAGAATCTGGGGGGGGGGGAAGAAAAGGATAAGAAGGGCCGAGAGAGAGGGGGAAGAGCAGGTGACTTGTGCCTGTTTGGTGTTCAGCAGAAAGAGGAGAACCCAAAGTCATGGATGTCATTCCGCGTCCAGCATAAACCCAAAAAAGTAGACTGTAAGTACCTAATGTACCACGAATGTACCCCCTCAGGAGGTTACCAAGTAACCACGTACTACTAGTACCCAGTGAGAGGTTACTTTTGGCTAAAGCCTCTTTTCCTTCTTGTACCTGTGGGAACGGGCTCGACCTTGTTTCATGGCCACGGGACTTGGGAGAGTTATGATTCGATTTCTCCTGATTCTAGTTCATAGATCCAACTTCGAGCCTCATTGACTGAGATAGCTATAGCTATACATACAGACTCTACATCACTACAGTGTATAGCTACCGGCACCTTCGGATCACACGAGCAACTGACATCAGAGAGGCGATGGATTGGCGCTAGTTCGGACCAATCTGGAGCTGCACCCCGCATTCTGCTCCACTCGACTTTATTTCAGACCACGGCCCCCCTCAAGAGTCATGATGATGATGATAGTCATGAAGATGAGTTGTCTCAAGGCTCGTCAATCCTGGAGATAGACTAGAATTGAATAAATCACTGTTAGATATACATTCTTTCTTTGTCTACTAACTGAATAATTTCTAGAGTGTAGAGTGGCCTGTTCCAATGCAGCCAACAGATCCCCGGATCACCTGATGTCATGAGCACACGCGACCCTCCGAATCAGCCCACGTCCCTTGTCAACTCGCAACATCCAACTTGCAACATGCCATCCCCCATCCCCGTCTTGAATTATTCTGCTTGATCTTTACTCCCATTACTATCTCTAATTTGTATTTGAATTCATATCATTGATCTCGGGCTTTCCAAGTCAACCCGATCGCACCATCTAACTCTCATCACCCATGCAGCAACGCCCTTCCCCACACCCGCAGCTTATACGGGGCCCGGAAGATCGTCTAGGATGGGCCAAAGTGGATCCCTCTTTACCCCACGCTGAGCTTCCACTCGCCAGCCACACAATGGTGATGGTGACATTGCTGCCCCCTTCCATTGACTCAATTCAGGAAGATCTGGACATGGAACTGACTGTCAAAGAAATAACTGAAGAGCCGACGCGATTGATTGAACGTCCTGACCACACTTCTCAAGATTCGAAAGAATATCCCACCGCCAACTTACCAACGGACAACACGAGACCATGCGATGCACCCGACCGTGCATCATTCGTTGGTCAAAGAGAGTACGACCTTGATCGGCGATCCTCAAAGTCTCCCTCTGCAAGCTCATTGAGTTTGCTACCGGGAATGCCAGCCCAACATTTCCCCAGAAATTCCTGACACATTCTGAACTTCCCCATTGCCTAGAAACGGAAGCAAAAAAAGACAAGGGCTGACATCGTTTAATAGCATTCTTGACAACCCCGACCAATTCTCCGATTGGACATGTTGCATCGCGGACATTAGAAGAAAAAAAAGGGTTGTACGGTCGGCAATTCACTTCTCGCTACCGTGTCGAGCATACCGCCAAATCGCATGATAGATTCAAATGAAGACATGTGGTGTGTTACTGGCTGCCTCGTCTCATAGTCCTTGTTCCCCCTGGGCACGACAAAGTTCTGCCGTCCTGGGGACCGCATGCCATGCCCTTCTCGCTTTTAATTGATTGACCCTTCCACCCAGGAAACATCAACGTGTTGAGATCTGTGTCCAAAAGCAAATCTCAACTATATGACTTCTTTACCTTGCAATTTCTGTCAAGCAGACCCTCGAGCGGAATTCAAGGGTTTTCTCTCCCCACTCCATCATATCAGAGGGTCTTGGTGATGCAGAGCAATCTACTCGAGGGCCTGGCTAGTAGTAATTGCAAAGTGACTAGTCATATGGGTGAAATTTGCTATTTTCTTAAAATCGTTTCTCTTTGTTTTTTTCTTGTTATCCTTCTTACGAGATTGAAGTTCCCATCCATGAAGGCATAAGCTTCGCGCCGGGCTCGTATGAATGTCACTAACTCGACTAGAACCCTATCCAACTATATGAAACAGCTAGGATCATCATTTCCCCGTAGAATCTGGCACCAATCGCACTAAAAATGACTTAGGCTTAATCGCCTTGGGTATGCATGCACTAGCTGATGGTTTAAAGGGCCATTCTAGGCCGAGAACGACAGGAGGCGCAATCTATGATTCTTGTACCTTTAGTGGTGTAAGTTTTGCTGACGGTAGACAGTGGGTCTAGCGACTGTAGTCTCTTATCGACCAGTAGGACCTGTACACACCTACCTGTACTGGCTTATAGTAACTATACCGCGGCTAATTCTGACTAAACGCGTTCTACTGTACATTCTTCATGTGGATCGTAACGGGGTCTAGTTTACCTAGCTAGTCTTTGGCTTGGGGCGTCGACCATTGACTTAAATCAGAGTTCGAAAAGATCATGTATGCAAAGTATTTTCTTGATACGAGAACTGCTGAGATTCCCTCCAGGCTTATAAGGTTCTGGGGCCTTTGGTATGGTTTTCCCGATCTGAATAGCCTCGATCTCAAGTCCCAATCTGTTCCGTACAACCAAGCATCTTACTAAAAGTTAATCCTGGAATAGCATGGAATATTGCCAAATGAGAACAACGAATAGGAGAATGCAGGGCGTCGATGTGTCGATGTCTCGCTGATATACTTTATTTCAATGTCATTTTCCAACCGCGTCTTGGTGAGCCATGATCTCCTCGACTCCCTAGAAATGGAATGGTCTTGGGACACAGACGCCAAGTTTCGAGGGACTGGGTGTAAGAAGACATTCATGTCTCTCGCCAACTCGTCATCCCCTAAGATCCGAGCCGAAACTTTTTCGAATCATTATGGAAGATTTAGCGCTTTAGCTGCGATCGGCCTTTGACAGGTAAAGCACTGTCACCAGGCGGACAAGCTCCTATGTAGTCGCTTGAGCGTCTACGAACTTGCCGGCAAGAACACAATTAAAGAACATGGTGTGAATCGAAATTGTCAATGGTTTCTACAATAGTTCCCTTTTCGAGTCCCTACAATCAATCTGGTCTGTACCTGTGTTTACCCCGCGCCCCTATTATGATCCAGGGGCGGTGCGTATACCAGCCATGAGGAGGGTGCTATTAATAGTATGGGCTAGATTCTCTTAATTGTGATTAGACACTTGGACTACCGTATGCACTCATTACTGCATCATAGGTTGACACAATAAACTAGGATTATTGACTCTGGCTGATCCAGAGGGTGTACCTCGGTGATTGTGATGACATCATCTCGGATCACTCAAGCGAGAGCCCGCTGGTGGGGTAAGCTGAGCTGTAATCCGCCGAGTTTACAAACAGTATGTAGCTTGTTTAGTCAGTTAACGTTAACCACGCAACAGGGGATATACAATAAAAGTGGCGATGAATTTAGGCAACAGAAATTCATGAATAGTATAACTCTCAATTGATGAGCACAATTGACCCCTGAGAGGTACTGGGCGCATCCTGAAACACGGAACCAGCTAACCGTGGGAGGGGTAAGTGTCCGCAGGTTGCAGCGACAGCAACCAAGCTTCGGTATGCCGCAGGATGCATACAGACTGACATATAATATGGAAAATCCGCTATATGGTGATCAACACTGTTTACCTCCCCTTGTCTGATTCCGGTTCAAAACCGTAGCTGTCTCAAGTCTGGCAAAAAAAATGACACACCACTGAGTATGAGCAGTGAGCGGTGTACAAGGCTGGCGGGGGAGAAGATACCCTCGTCCGTACTAGCTGCGTATCCTCTTCTCCTTTTCCAGCTCTACGGAGCAGTGCAGTCCCTATTGTTCCTCATTACTCGCTAGTAACACCTTAGCTTCATACTGGGTGGTATTAAATACATAGCCCATCGAAACGCCCCACTTAGCAGGCTGCAGTACCGAACTGGAAAACGGAAAAATGGAACGAATGGATCCCCGAGAGAGGTCTCTCCTTTGGACCTGTGGTGGACACAAAAAGACTTGGCTTTATCGCCAAGCAGTGATCAGAGAGCTTAACATCTTGGCAGGCAACAATACTTTCCATAGGGCTACTGTATTAAATACTTTGCGATAGTACATCTTCATGATGGTCAACTATCACTGTCTCTCGACCTCTTCTGCTTAAATACTACCGATGACGCCCTGCAACACCCCGCTCCTCCTAATCTCGGTTCCGGGGGGCAGCTGAAACGGAGCAACAGACTGATTGGTCCAGGAGTGGGTTTTTGGTGTAAAAATGGAAAACAAAAACAGAGGCGAAGTCAATGGGGTCACCGCCAATGATAGCTGTAAATTCAGCACAACTCGCGCCTCATCCACTAGGAGGGAGGATCTCAGCCCTCTCAGCCCTCTCAGGAGTCTCAGCATACACCTTGTGGAGCGGCCACAGTGGCAGCTCCATGCCTGACTGGGAAAAGTGGCGGCCAATTCGACCAACTCGACTACACCAGCCACGTAGCCGTGACTCGCCCTCGTGGGGTTGGGTGAGTTTCTTGTGTTTCCACCGCGCGCTATTTAGATGCCACCCTCTCCCCCTTGTCAGATCCTCTCCTCTTCTCTTTTTTTCCTTCATCTCACACTCTACTTCTTCTTCTTCTTCTTCTTCTTCTTCTTCTTCTTCTTCTTCTTCTTCTTCTTCTTCTTCTTCATCTACCTATACACATCAATCTAAACCGTCACAATGGGCTGGTTCTCTGGTATGTGCTCCAATGGCCGGGCTACTACTCAGTCATGCCATCCCCCTCTCTATACATCTATACTCCACTCCGCATGATACCTTATCCCTTCCACGACTACTAAGAACCCCTCACTAACAACCCCTTTTCTTCCTTCGTCTAGACGACTCTCCTCAGTCCGACTCGTACAACCAGTACCAGGAGGGCGGTGTCACCCGCGAGCACGAGGCTTCCTTCGCCCACGAGCTGATCGCCGGCGCTGCCTCTTACGAGGCCGCCAAGGCCTACGAGGATCACTGTGAGCGCAACGGTAAGCTTCCTTAGACATCATTCTCCGTCTAGGAACACCCAGACTAAAATCCCTCCCTACACCAGGCCAGCCCCCGAGCCACGAGAAGGCCAAGGAGATCATGGCCGGTTTCGCTGGTGCCTTCATCGACCGTGAGGTTGAGACCCGCGGTCTGGACTTCATTGACCGTGAGCGCGCTAAGCGTCATGCCCAGGAGCACATTGAGCAGGTTGAGGAGAGCCGCTTCAACTACTAAGTGCGTCTCTTCGATTGAGAGTTGCAATTGTCTATACCAATATCTCTAAATGTGATTATGTCTGCTACGTACCTTGATGAATGTTGTACTGGATGATCTCGGTGTTTAAGGTGACGGTGATGTTCATTGATAGTAGTGCGTAGAATGCATGGAGCAGTCGATAAGCTTATAGCTTTGCATTATACTTGGGAAGTAATATAGGCACTGTTAGCCCAAATCTCAAGTTTGATGAGCAGACCATTTCAATGAGCTCGAGCACGCAGCTTGAGACTCACTTGTATGTATGTGGCTAGAATGAGAGCTCTTGTCTCCGGCTCCATGTTGAGAAAATGCCATTGCAACTAGGTCTACTTATTCTGATATGTTTCGATGTAATAATTACGACAATTTTCTGTCCTCTGCCGGTCTGTTCAGGTTTAATCTCTTCAGATCTCCTAGACTCTGCCTATGATGAGCTCACCTGACTAGGACTATATAGTAAATGATTCTCTTTATGCGCTGTAAAGCATCATGCTACCGTAGGGCTGTATCTAATCTATTTTTTTGTAGTCGAATAATCTTTTCCAGTCTATTATTGTCTAGTTATTTATTTTGGATCTTACTGCAGTAAAGGCCCTGGATCCAAAGAAGTGCCGCCTGCTGGCTGATTAGTTGGTCACGTGATGGATTGATGTAACTGGAAGTATTGGCGTAACTGGTCAGGATTTGTAAATGAGCCGCTTCCTTCTCGACCGGTTGAATTTCAATCGTTTCAATTTCATACTTCAAGTTCAATTTCAAGCATTTCAACGTCGAATAACTCAATCAAACCTGTTTCAATTTTATTAATTATGGTTTGGAAAGATTCCGTTTACCTCATTCTCATTTACTTCAACTTGAAAGAATTATATCTCAATCGTTTCTGGTTTATTCTTTTACTTTTCAATCATTTCATTTCAATTTCAATGTCACGTGTTTCAATTCCGACATTCACCTTAATCACGTGGGTTGTAGGATTTTCAATTTTCAAATTATTGGATTTACAGATAAATAAATTTTTAGATACACTCTACAGTAGGGGCTAATAGGTTTGAACTCCCAATGAATCTTCAAAATCATCTGTTCAGCCACGAGTCAAATAAATATCTCAGTAGAGAGGATTTTAAGATATAACTGATTCGACTGTTATTGTACACCGACTCCACCATCAGTGCCGTGGTCTCCATGGATCTGCATGATTTCGGCAGTATTAACTCAGAACATGTTGCAACCACTACATAATGTCTAGGCTCATCCAAGTACCTCTCGCAGCCTCAAAGAGAGCGAATATGGGGTTTCTAGCTACATTCAAGGGTAGAAATTGAATATTTGGAAGCCGAGGATTAGGTATATGCTCCTAAATCGACTGTTATAGGTGATTATATTCCGTGCTTTTGTTTACTTCGACCCACGATCTTGCTCCGAGGTATCACGCAGCATAGATGCGGGGAAACGAGCGGAGATATGCCGGTCGCGAGGACCTTGTTTATCAAAGTTATCGTTATCCAAGCTTCCCACTTCGAGATAGTGTGGAGCTAAAGGACCGGAAGTATGTGAGCCAAACCAGCCATGTGCCATGGTTAGTTCGACCTTCAGCTTGACTTTCAGAAAATTTACTTGATATTTGTACGATGTTTGACTCTGGGAGAATCAATGAAATTTTCCCTAATAGTCCCGGGCCCCTTGATTGTGGTTCAGTTTAATCAAAAGTGATGATCGTTCGAATAACCTTTCCTATCATTGTGGACCTTCCACTTATAGAATGCAACTTTCTCTTCCACCGAGCTCGGCTTTGTGGGTTATCACTGAATACCTGTGGCGCTAGATTTAACATGGGCGAGGTATTCTTTCAAGAAAGCCAGCGAAGATTAGTTGGAGATGCCCTATGTTGTGATTGGTCACATCTCGGGGCTATCTTCGGTCTGGGTAGATTCTAAAGATTATTAAGGCTCAAAAAGGTAAGCTTGACGTGCTCTATTAAGCCCTTCCTTCTGGCTTTAGTGTTTTTATGTTTTTACTTCAGTGAAAGAGACGAGCGATTTTCATCAAATCTGATTGCCTTGGCAATTCGCAGAGCTATGGCCTCTAGAGGCAAGGGAGGACAGTGCTTCTTTGTTGAAATAGCCGAGGTCTTTGGACGATCCCTACCTACCACTAGTAAGAGGTTGTTGCGTTGGAATTATCAATCCAGCCTTCAGAGTTCCGACTACATGTGTACTACCGGGTTGAAACTATGTTGGCAGAGCATGCACAGATATAATCAAATAACGTCACCGTGAAGGGAAATGCGGCACGCGATAACATTCAAGGACAGCTCCGATAAAGATCCCTAAACTTGAGAAAACAAGACACTTAAATGGTAAGCGACCTCATTTTGAAGCATTCTGGTTATATGCTCTGGCTATATGGTGATCGATATGTATACCCCGCATAAGTCACTCAACCTCCAAGAAGTCTGTGCGTAGGGGCGAACGAATCACAAAGGTCAGTGCCTGCAACAATGCGATAGCTTAACGGAATATCACAAGCAATTGAATTTTTGCGCTCAATGATCCGAGCAACCGAGGAGGCGAAGCTGATAATCTAGCATGGACCTCTCAGAGCCTCGACCTTTCCCCGGGATAGAGTTCCTCAGCGGGTGCCTGCCTTGAAGTTGCACTTCTTTGAACCTTCTACCACCCCCGCATCCCCGCAATATGTTGTAGATCGTGGATTGATGATGGGGAACCCCACTGAACTAACGATCTGCTCTCCACTTTCCTGATATAGAACTATAGCTGTGCGCTCGAATCATGCGCTCGGCAATGTTACTAGCAGGACTACCAAGACTCTTGTCTTTTCTTGCTACTGTAGCTATTTCACATGGACTAGCTCCGGGCTCCTTTATAATGGGGGTTCCTGCCGAGCGTCACCGTTTTCATTCAATCATACTAGCAATCTAGGAAATATGCCGAAAACGAAAGATTTCGTGATCGGAGCTCATCGTGGACCATTATTCTCACGACAGGAGGAGGATGAAGGACTCGCAAAGACCGAGTCTGCAAGTGGTATCTCCTTGACCAAAACACCAACGCGCGGGGAAAAGTGGCGCCGTCACTGGCGTCGTTTCTGGCTCGTCTATCTCGTTGGAAATGTGATTTTTCTGGCAATATTGCTTCCCATATTGTGAGTCTCCACCAGCAACCTTTTTGACCATGCTTTGCTCCACTGTTAGCTAACCCATTCAAAGCTTCCTAGTTGTTATCCCTGCCGTGGCACAACTGGTAGTCAACAAATCAGACTTATGGCTTGTCAACGCCCAGGTGGAGCAGCCAAAAGCAGACTCTATCATTTTGACCTTGCAAGCCAACGTGAACTTGAAGCTTGCAATTCCTGTCCGTATCGAGCCTGTGACACTGTATCTCTTCGAGCGAGAGTATGGCCATGACAATCCATATGCCGCAGTCAATATTCCAGGTTCAACGATCAAAGGCAACTACACCCTTGGGGTCTCTGACCAGTTTACACCAATACAGAACCAGACAGTCTGGGAGAAATTCGTCAAGCAAGTCCTTTTTCAGGAAGAAACATCTTTAGCCATGTACGGCAAGATGACTGCTTATTTGGGGGTGCTAAAGTCTCATGTCACGATGGACAAGGACGTTGTCGCACCAAGTAAGTCTTGCCTCTCAACTCTTCGTCAACTCAATCCTCTATTTTTGATTCTTTTTTTAAACCCCCTCTTGGATTGTTGCTAACAGCTTCCAGCCTTGAATAAGTTCGCAGGTTTCTCCATGTCCGACGCGACACTCCTCCTTCCCGCGAGAGATGACGGCACAAACCTCATCGGAAACATTACACTTCCCAATCCCACCGTCCTGCATTTCGAGGTCGGCACTTTGAATTTGGACATTAAGAGTGGTGATATTCTCATTGGCAACGTCACCATCAAGGGAGTGACCCTTGTACCAGGAGACAACACTTACCCACTTACTGGGGTTCTCGACCTGAAGGCTATACTTAGCAACCTAGGAGCCGTGCTCAAAGCCGAAGCTTCTGCTTTGAAGACTGGGAATCTTAGCCTCCAAGCAACCACCTCGTCAGTTGTCTGGAATGGCACAGTGGTGAAATATTATACAGACATCTTGAAGCAGCTCACTCTCAATGCGGACATTGGCCTCGCGGATACTTTGAAGAATACACTGAAGAACTTTGCCAATGGGAAAAACCTGACCGGGATCTTATCTAGTCTCTCTGGAAATAGCGGCAATACGAGCACTGCCGTTAGCCGTCGTGACGAGAGGGATAGTAAAGCGAGGTTTGAGTTGGCGCAACTGCTTAAGGAGGATCAAGATGTTCAAGAAGCCTTCCATGATATAACCCCGGAAAGGCGAGACGGGATGATCGATTCCTTGATTGCGATGTATTAGATGATTAATGTTGACCCTTAACGACCCTATTAATGAACGATACCTTGATGCCGTCTCAGATAATCTAATACAGAGTAGAGTAGACAGCCTTGTTGAACAGCACAAAAGATCCAGTATTTGGTCATTCATTCAAGGACATTAATCTCATCTAGTTCTTTATAGATAGCACTCTTCACATCTTCCTCAGCCCAGCACATATCCACCGCATTCCTTACCAACTGTACCATTTCAGCTTTACTGAACTCACAGTAAGTATATACTTTCTGCATATTCCCATCAATCCAAACATCATGCATAAGGGTCGGATCGTCGCTGTTGATACACATCTTCACCCCTCTATCTCGCAGTCTTCGAATCTTAGGAAACAGAACATCCGTCGCTGTCCTCCGATGATAAGCATGAGGGCACAAAGTCAAGCCAATCTTTCTATCAACCAGGCCTTGCCATAACTCTTCTTTATCTTCAGCATCAAGTCCATGATCGATGCGCTCTGACCCGTGGCCATCGCATACCTGAAAGATAGCTTCATGCATATGCTCGTGCGTATCTTTCTGGCCAAAATCACAATGCATCGTAACGTGTAAACCATCGGCTTTCGCAAGGGCAAAACCCTCTTCAAACAACATTGGCGGTCTCTCGTATGCATTACTGGCGAGCCCAACAGCATGGAAAAGCCCCTTCCCACCTTCAACGGTACCAGCAGCCCAGGGTCTCGCCTCAACATACGCCGCTAACCCCTTTGCAACAGGCTCGTCGCGAAGGAAACACAAAATCCAGCGCGAGCGCACACCAAATTGACATTTTGCATCGCCTTGCGCGCGCAGATACCCATCCAGAACCGCGGTCGCAGCCACACCCCGACGTGTATGTGCTTGAATATCAAAAAAAGGCTCAGTATATCGTACGTTCATCTCCGCACAGCGACGGAGATATGCCATTGCCAGATCATAAAAGTCCTCCTCTGTGCGAAGGACTTCGCACCCTGCGAAATAGGCCTCCAGAAAGGTCGGGATACCGGGCTGCCGTCCATTAAGCTCGGGTCGATGATTGAGGGTCACTGCGTAAGAAGCCTTGAGGTCTTCGAATGTCGCATATGGTAGAGTGATTTTGTTGCGGTGCGCTAGCTCCCAGCGGAGAGATGGTGTGAGTGTTCCTTCGATGTGGAGGTGGAGTTCTACCTTAGGTAGCGCCGCTATGAAGGGACTGATGGCTAGGCCGTTCATGGTTGGTTGAAGTGAGAATCTTGATCAATTTGAGAAAAATGCGACCGATAGAGGATGACAAGGTGTGGCCTATCCTAGGAAAATGAGTTCGAACGATTGTCGGGACTTTTAGTGTTGAAAAGAGGGGAGTGTAGTTTGACAATGGCGGCAATTTCCGACAGGTCGTGGAGCGCTCCCTTGATCACGGACATCTTCCGGTTGGATTACTGCTTTATCTTTATGGGGCTGGCTTCACTTATCGACATTCTCGACCAATAATCAGCTCCCTTTAGACTACACCATGACGCCAGATAAGAGCTACACTTGACACTGTGTTTAAGGTGTATCACCCCAGGGCTAGTACATCCCTATCCATTTGAGGCTCTTCAAGCCCAGCGTTGCATGGTACAATAACGTAGAATTGAGATAGACTACCTATCAGATAAGTTTGTTCCACACATTCATCCTACCATCCTTGACCAGAGCCTTCACTCATCAAGCAGCACTCTTAGTCTCCTGAATTTCCAGGTGGGCGGTATCCTGCTTCTTGTCGTCATCGTCCTCGAGCTTTTTGTGAACAGCCGCAGCGACCTCCTTAGCCTTGTCCTTGTCCTCGAACACTGCTTAGGTTAGCGCTGTTTCTTATAGCTGCGTTGGAAGACCACTTACGGAATGACAGTTCCTCAAGAGTGCGGCCCTGAGTTTCGGGGAAGAAGAAGTAGATAAACACCACCTCAAAGACAAGCCAGCAGCAGTACACCAGGAGCCACTTCCAGGTGATGCGTGCCAGACCAATGGGGTTCACGTAGGTGGCGAAGAAGCTTGCGCCGCGGCCGTAGAACTGGAACCAGGAGAGACCGCGGGAGCGACCCATGTAAGGGAACAGCTCGATCAGATACGCTGGTTCATGTTAGCATATGATAATAAAACGGAAGGGATATGGGGTACACACTATAGGTAAGGGCGTTATAGCCGAGGTTGTAGGCGGGCGAGTAGGCGAAGATGAAGAAAATTGTCAGACCAGCTGCGGACTTAGCCTTTGTGCTAATGAAGCGCTCCATGGAGATAGTCCATGCGACATAGACGCATAGCAGGCAGCATGCGCAGGTGAGATACATCGGGCGGCGCTTGAAGCGCGGCGCTGTCAGCGCTAGCGCGGTACCAGAGACGAGACCCCAGCAGGCGATGCCGATGTTGATCTTGGACTTGACCACGCTGTTGGTGATTCCGACCAGGTTCAGGAGATCGCTCAGATAGTACCTATCACACGGATTAGCAAAGACGAAACGCTCATATAGTGCAGATGCCACAGGTGGGGTACTTACGAAATGAGAGTGTTGCCGGACCATTGCGTGAATAGGCCAAGGAAAGCGGAGATGAACAGACGACGGCGCATACCGGCCGTGCGGAACATGTCCCACCAGGATTGTTTTGATTCCTCGAGCTCCATCTTGATAGTGCGTTCGATCTGTGCGATCTCGGCCTTGACGATGACTGAGGTGCGGTCGCCCTCCGCGTGGTACTTGGTGAGAATGTCGAAGGCTTCATCGTAGCGGTCTTTACTGATCAGGTATCGGGGGCTTTCGGGGAGGAACCTAGGCTTGTGTTAATAATAGTAGTAGGGATAGCGATAAGACCTTGTCTTACAGCACAGTCGAGATCTGGATCAAGGCGGGCGCAATCTGAAGCAGGGATGGGATTCGCCAGGCCCAGTTGGACGTAATGGTCACCGTCCCTAGACCCACAGATGCTGCAATAATCTGGCCGATAAAGTACGAGGAGTTGAAGAGCGAGGTGAGAATCGGTCGTTCCTTGGGGTGACCCAATTCTCCCAGCAATGACGATCCAGCGACGATACAGAACGGGATTCCGAAACCAAGAATGATACGCGCGACAATGTACATAGCCACTGGGAGCTATTAGAGATGTCATAGAATTGATAAAGGAGAGGAAGGAGTGAATACCTCCATTAGCGAAGCCCTGGATAAGGGCCCCAACCAAGCTCACGCAGGAACCGAACATAATAGTCCATCGGCGTCCGAATTTCTGGTTGACCCATGGGACAAAAGGGAGGGAGAGAATAGCTCCGAGGGAGTATGCAGCACCTAGGAAGCCCTTCAGGTTCGCTTCAATCGCGTACTGGGGGAGTCCATTCACGGTCTTCCCAGTTGGTTTACCGAAATCTTTATCGCACCGTTAGCCTCCTGCCGAGCTCATCCTGGATCGGGAATACATACACTTGTTCCATGTATACACAATCTGGACCGTGTTGATAATCTGCGAGTCGAATCCAGACGTGATCTCGATACCCATACACGCGGGGAACAAGATGAAATAGAGTGCCCTCAGATTCGGCTTCTTGTACCAAGGCGTATGGTCATCGGCCAGCAAGTTAGCCAGGACTGGCTCGGCCACATTCTCCTCGCGCTGTTTTCCCACGACAACCATTTTGAAAGACTGATGTTCGGATGCTCACAACAGTGCTGATTGACCTGTGTACCCCTTGCAGATTCGCCGGGACTGAATCATGGTTATATATCCCATCCATTCTTTGCTCTTTATCCAGCGGGAGACCTACCAGCCCGGCACGCTGACCCAAGTCCCAGACAGCCAAGAACCGTCTTACCCATTAGGTTCTGCACAGACACACTGGAAGGTATTCATTTTATCAACTTGAGTAAGAAAATCCCGGGTACGATCCCCGCTGGGGGGATTATAGTTTCAGCACCCCACGGGGAAACTGGAAACGGGCGGTGCCACCGGGGTGGGGGGACAAAAGACTAGGATAGGCTGAGGAATCTGGGTTGTAAGCTTGTGGATGTGGTCGCTCCAAGCCAATCCCACGAGAGTCTTGGCATTCTATCTTAGCCTAAAATGGGCTAGTTGGATACAAGGTCTTCGCGGAGTCTCCCCGAGAGCCTCGGGCCAAGAGTAAGACGACAGTTGCCGGCAGTTGCAAGTAAGACTAGCGTGGGGATATGCGGTGCGGTCCGCGGATAGCTACTCGAAGAGAAACGGGGCTGTAGCAGCTCTTCTGTACGGAGTAATTCAGATGAGATAAACAGATGCACATCTTACGTTGTTTTATACTACATTTCCAAACTGTTATGCATCAGCCACTCCAGGAGCACACTTAACTCCTTAATCCCACCACCTTCCTCGCCCCAGATCTTCAACCGCTCAATCACCGCCCGCACACAGTCCGCCCAGTCAGGAGGAACAGTCACATATTCAGCTGAGGGGCGATGCGTCAGCTTTGCGCGAAATCCCGCAATCAGGCAAAGCGCATGGTTGAACCGGACTCGGCATGCTCCCCATGATCCCGGATGCCGGAAGAATGGCACTTCAGTCTGGATGCGATAAACTGCCAAAAGAAGTGCTTCGCTCGCTTTGACCCCATATAGCGCTGCCATCCCTGGGTCCAGCGGTACATGGATGCACAGGTATAGATACGCGCGGCAAAGCAGTTCGCGCACCTCGACGTATCGCTCACGGCTTAGCTTCATCAGCTCACCCTCCTTCGGCCCCGGGGCAGATTCAAGAGGCATGTTGAACCGGAGTGTATGTGGCAGACAGTCTACCCACTGCTGGAGTTGACCTTCGAGCTGCGTTAGAGTTTCTGCCAGAACTTTGATGGTCGGTAGATCGATATCTGGAGAGAGCACACGCACGGCATTGCGGGCCCGGTTGAGAAGCCTGCGCAAGAATATCTCGGCTAGGTAATAGTAGGAAGATACTGCTTCGAGGTCTATAGATGAGGGTTTGGAAAACTGCCACCCAGGGCTATTCTCGGATGGTTGCCTCGTGGGGAAGCTCGGGAGAGAATAAGGAAAGTCGGAGAGGCTGAGGTCACAGGGTGGTAGATCCGTTAGTTCATATCGAACCTCGCTGATATATGTCAGTCATGTGCGTTGGGACTTGGAGATCTATGGCGTATATATACCATTCGGATTTTAAGCATGTCCAATAGAGCCGCTGCTCCAAACCTGTAGAGGAGTTAGACATATTCCCGGGTTGGAGAGATTCAGACCACCCACTCTCTTCCTGTGCGCTTCTTATAGTCTTTCCATCGCGGTGCTTCAAGCGATACGTTTGCCACAGCATGGATGCTGTCCGGAACATTTTCCAGCCCGGAATCGGCTCGATATTATATTGATACCAAATCCTACAAAGGAGTTAGACATTCGTCTTCCGTAGCAGTAAAGATGGAGCTTACCCGAATAAACAGAGACACTGCACTCCCAGTAAGGTATCATCGAGGTACGCAGTAGAGATGCGCTTCCGCGCCATAGAAAGGAAGGTCAACGACTCCTTCATTCGGTGCTCCGGAACTGACATCGTCACGTAGGTGAGCGGCGGACTGAAAGATGGTGCATTAGAAGAGAGCTCTCTGGTTTCGTCGTCAGGATAATTCCCCCAGATCGCTGCAAGCGCAAGGATAAGCAGCACCAAGCACGACGAGGCGGACCAGTCAATGCCATTTTCCAGCACTCGAGCGATATAAAAGTCCAGCTGGTCTGGTTCAACGATCGGATTCTTGGTCCAGATCTTGGTCATAAAAATTTCGCGTAGTTCGAGGAGCCTTTGAGGATCTAAGCTTGGTAGAGCTGCAAGAGCCATTAGTATCTAATTCCGGGATAGCATGCAACCACATACCCGTCTGAAAGCGATCTGGCTTCTCGGAATACGATGTCATTGGAAAGGTCGATACAGGCTTCTCTTTCGGAAAGATAGGCCAGCTAAGAATCATGTCCGACCCGGTAATAGGCGTATTGGGCGCATCATTGCGTGAGATTGACTCGGGATCTACTTCATCCACTGGTGATGGCGATGCCTGTTGCGAAAAGAGAGGAGGACCCCGCTTCAACGATAGATTCTCTGACAGAAGCCGTTCTTGACGTTCTACTGCCTCTAGGATTCTTGCTCCCCATGTCTCTAGACTTTAGATCGAATTGATGGTTATTAAATGCATCGGCTAGTGGGAAGAAATCATCTCTATGGGAACCGACACTGAGATGGCATCCGTATCGGGATACTCGCACGCTACACCCCGCTGGATACATTTGGCACACACCGGCCGTGCCGAGTCGCATCGAGTCTTGCTAAGACGACAGGCATCGCATGCGGTGAGCACCCGCGTATGCTTGCGAGGTCGCGCAGTTGACGAAGTGTCCATTCTTCCGGGCTGGGGCTTCCTGCAGTTGGACACCGGGATACTCAGATGAGATGATTATGTTGGTAAAACGGCCAAGAGAAAAAACGACGATGTCGGTGATTGGTGATATCGCTAGCCGAATCATGGCTGAATCATTCCTCCAATCAAGCCAAGGCGGCCTCATTTTAGCCGGGCAATTGACCCAAACGAAGCGGGATGTCATCCTTTAGACTCTAGAGTCCCCGCCAATAGGTGGTGCGATCCACTTGGAACTTACCCCGGGCCACCACTTCCTGGCTGGAGGTTCCAATCAACACTTCGTACGTTCCTTGCTCACTCTTCCACATGTCCTCGATCTCGTCCCAGAAGCTGGTCGCATATCGGTCCAGCTGGATGTCAACCGTCTTTTCTTCCCCAGGTTGTAGGAATACTTTTTCGAAACCGTGTAGTTCCTTGCTTGGGCGCGGCGTTGGGGATTCGGGGGCAGAGATGTACAGCTGGAGAATCTGGGCGCCCGCTAGTTTCCCCGTGTTTTTGATTTGTACGGTGGCGACCGTAGGACTGTCCATATTGAAGATATCTGGGGCGATAGTCACACTCGGTGAGACCTTGAAGGTCGTGTATGAGAGGCCGTGACTATAATATGGTTAGATGAGAAATAGGAGACGAAGGAACGAACTCACCCGAATGGAAAGAGGACTTCTCGTCCGGTCTTCTCATAAAATCGATAGCCTGCATATATGTCCTCGCCGTACAGCACTCGGCCACCCACGCTGGCGTAGTTCAGATAGGCTGGGTTATGTTTCAGATCCACCGGCCAGGACAAGGGCAGCTTTCCGCATGGATTGACCTCTCCGAACAGGACATCGACAATTCCATGACCTGTCTCATTACCTCCGTACCAGGCCTGCACAATGCATTGGGCCTGATCGGCCCACGGCATAGTAACTGGTGTACCAGACTGATTGACGATGACGGTCTTGTCTGCGGCGGCCTTCAACACCTTCGAGATCAACCGGTCAACCCCCGGGGGCAGATCCATGTGCTCACGATCGAACCCTTCAGATTCCCAGTCCTTATTGAGGCCAGTGCAAAGAATGGTATAGTCGGCCTCCGTGGCTGCTTTCACGGCGTTCTCGATCATTTCATCCCGGTCCATTCGTAGACAGGCCCCAAGACTTGCGGCGCCACCACCGAAATTCACCATACCCACTGTTTTCATTGTGGTGGTGTTGGCAGAGCCGAACTCGATCCGAATTTTGTATGTAGTCCCGGCGACTAATTCCTTCGAGCCCGGTTCCTCAACGGTGCCTTTGCCGAAGAAGGCTGTCCCGCGCGTCTGGCTCGTAGTGTTGTCGATCACAAGCTCATCATCAATGTAGAGATTGGCGGTACCAAAGACACTCAGGCCAAAGTCCCAGATCCCGGATGCGTCGGGAGTGAAGTCGCCAATAAGTGTGGCCCAGAAGAGCCCTCGGTTGAGGCCTGGAGCATAATAGTCCATGAACTGGAAGGCCGTCGTCGATACAGGCTCAGTGCTGATCAGATATCGTTCCTTGCCCATCGGCTCGTTGTAGAAATGAATAACAGCATTGCCCAGGAGACGGTCGATCACGGGGAGCATCCTATGGGCGTATGCGCCCGCTTCATAGAGCACCTCTGCGTTGGGAAGTACTTCTTTGCAGGCGTCGTATAATGAGACCGAGTAATATGGCTCAAGTGACGCACTACCACCCCCCGATATGGCGGGAGTCTTCATGTGCGATCCGATCAGGGCGATCTTTTTAATCTCCCTCGGAAGGGGCAAGATGCCTTCGTTCTTGAGGAGGACGATGCTGTTCGCACAGATTTTGCGATTCAACGCTCTATCCTCTGGGAAATCCCGTCCTCGTTCCTCTTCTGACACCTGGGCACGACTCGCCTGCTTCACGAATTCCAACACCTTTCGCGCTCGTGCATCGATCGTTGACTGCTTGATCAATCGAGCCTGTATGGCGGACTCGAGGTATTTCCCCCGATATCTAGACACACCCGGCATTTCCAGGTCCAGGCCCGCATTCATGGAGTCGATGGTTGTATAGGTCCCGTACCAATCGCTCATAACCAATGGATTCCACTTCCACTCTTCACGGATCAGATTGAGCATGCGCGCATCTTCCACCACATGCTTCCCGTTGATCTTATTATACGAGGTCATGAGCGCACCGGGCTTCGCATCTCTGGCCACAATCTGGAAGGGTCGTAAATAGATCTCGCGCAAGGCTCGCTGAGTGACAAGCACATCCACCGCCCGGCGTTCATGTTCCTGGTCATTGCCCACGAAATGTTTCACCGTGGAAATGACCCCTTTGCTTTCGCATCCGAGGATGATTGACTTTGCCAGAATGCCCGAGAGATGCGGATCTTCCGCGAACGATTCGAATCCGCGCCCACCGGTAGGAGCTCGTTGCATATTGATTGTTGGACCTAGCCAACAATGCGCGCCTTTCGCAATGCATTCCTCGCCTAACAGCTGCCCGGCCTTGTATATCAGATCTCGGTCCCAGGTAGCTCCCAGAGCTGTGCCACAGGGCAGACATGCGGCGGGGATGCCGGCAAAGAATTTCGTGCCCCGGATACCATTGGGACCGTCGGTGGCGCGAATCGAGGGGACGTTCAGTTCGGGGATAGGATGTGTATGCCAGAAATCAATCCCTGCTTTGTGTTAGCTGATGAGAGCTTCAAAAGAATCCGTCTCTGACTTACCGGATAAAAGAGCGATCTTGTCCTGGTCGCTGATGTTTGCTAGAACATGCTCTACATCGAATGTCTCCGGCATGATGAACATTGAAAAAAACAGTTTCAATAAAGAAAGAAATCTATGCCTGTAACCTCTACGCAGAGCGAACAGGAGCAGACTATGTATTGACTACATATAAATACTTGCTAATTCCACCGCTTCGATCTTGTTTCACCTCCAACTAATGTTTTGATGGAACCTATGCACGCTATTCCCCCGAGTCTCCGACATCCCGAGACGTTCAGTGTGGCAGCGACGCGTTGACGGCGGAGACTCCCCGGCTTGGTGGGGACCTGCGAGTATCCCCGCAATAATGACCCCTCCCAGCTCTTATCCACGGATTCCACGCGCTCTATCAGGGTGGGCCCGTGGGGGAATCATGTGCTTTTACAGTGGCTCGCCATGGCTCACTGTGGACTCATGGAGCGTGACCACCTTCAAATCTTCCCTTTTGTATTCTATTCAGTTGGCTTCATTCCTTTTTCTATGGAACTACTTGCGACTTTATTTGGCTTTGATACTGCAATTGGCCCTCCAGGCATCAACAGGTGAGAGGCCTCAGGCAACTAAAGTTGAGAATTGATCACATGACTGGTTGTCCCGAAGTCGCAATGATCAGCACTGACTCACTAAACACGTGCCATGCACCATGCCCCATTTCACGGCATGTTGGATCCCGAAGAAGAACAATTACAAAGTTCGGTCAATTTCCGTCAGGTTGTGTACTCGAACTCGAAAGACGAATTTGTTCTAGCCATGCTGGAACCGGAGATGGAACCTGTATGTTGTCAACGCGGTGAATCAAATTCCTACAGGACTAATCTATTTAGATAAGCAAATCAACATGCAACTTGAATAACTGCCCTGCAGAAATCTTACGTCTGATATTCAATTGACTGTCACATTCTGATTTCTACGCACTTTGCCTTGTGAATAAAACATTCCGAATAATCGCTGAGCCGCTACTGTACTTGAAAATTTAGTTTATCTGGCATAAAAACCCTGACTACTACTCTCGCCTTGAGGACCTCCCGCCAATCACCCAGCTGCTACGAACGCTGCTTTCTAACCTCAGCTAGCGACTTGATGGCGATCTATCGCCACTACGCAAGGAAGCAGGAGAGAGGAACAACCTAGTTCGAATACTTGGAGAACTATCTCTGCAGAAGAAAAAAAAACAAAGGAAGGGGGGCCTAAATAGGCCGAAGCAGAACAATCAACTTGGCCCTGGAATCATCCTCTAGGAAAATCCCGACCGGGGATTCCCTCGAGGGAGATCCCTATCGGATCTCCATCACGACTCACACTAGAAGCCTATACTTGGACAGTAAGGCCTGGGCCTTACATTCTATTCGATTCAAACTTCCTAGGATTCACGTTCCTACGGATCAACTGGATGAACTGACCGCGTTCATCCGACGGACTGGACTCCCAGTCTCATGCAAAGACTGGTGGATTCGGGAGCTCCATGATGGCTCAGTCGATGCTCTTGTCGCGCTACTGTTAGCACAGCTCTCAAGCCTAAGATATCTGCATCTTGGCATTTCTTTTATATGACAGAGTGCTCTCATTGGTACAGTGCTCCGATCAGCAATCTGCGAGCCTAGCACTCGTAAGCTGGGCACTTCCAAGCTAGCCAATTTTAGCATCTTCAAGAACTATCTTTTGTTCGTTGTGAGTCTCGAGATTATGCATACGACCGGAAGGCTAAGAATACTGCGAATATCCTACCATTCTTCTATCTACCAAATCTTCAACACATATCCCCTTCAATCGATAACCTAGAGAAATGGTCATGGCCTACACCACACGCACACGCACCTATCCCATCAAAGCTTAAATCCCTTGATCTAAAGAATATTCGCGAAGGATATCTAGGGGAAATCCTCGCTGTGACAAAGAACCTTGAAACCCAACGCTGGAAGTGGGTATTAAGACAATGGCGTTTGGGATGGCCATGCTGTTACCTAGACCTTGGACCTTGATAAGGTCGGTACGGCTCTGTCTCACGTCCAAGAAACTCTAACGAATTTGACTATCACGGCCGATGTCCAGCCTGCAGCTGCAGTTGGTGATCAATTTTACCCTGGGTTACAAGCAGTGGGCTCATTAACAGCTTTGTCAAAATTTGACCGGATCAAGAAACTCCAAATCCCTCTAGCATTTCTAGTTGGACTCGCAGAGGATAGAACGAAACGGTTACAGGATGTTATCTCTAGAAACGTTGAGTTCCTGACCATTACGGATGACTTAGGGCTGCAAAACTGCGATTACCTGGAAGAATGGCTTCTGTGGGAATGGAAGAATTACACCATCCTGGAGCTTCTGGAGTCATTCATGAGGGAGGGGACAACACCATATCTAAAACGCATTACTCTGCTGCTCGAATGGATTGATTCGGACACTAATCAATGGTCAACTAGAGCGAAGGAGCAGCTCCAGGGTTTGAGTGTTCAAACGGGGATTCCACTCGAGATCGTCGAAACAACTGAGATTCCACTTGATTTCGTCGAAATAGAGCAGTATTAAAATTACTGGTCGTTGGTGAGAGCTGGTTCTCTCATCATGGCATCCACAATCGATCCCTAGCTTCTGCCAATATAATGACTTTTCGGCCGATTGAATACTTTACGCTGTGCTCTCAGAGCCGATCACTTCCCGAGTGAGCAGCTTTACTATCATCTTGATTACTACTGCGTACTCTATCTGTGATAATGTTCAGTGGGACGCGCGGGGTTCGACCGAGCCAATGGAAGTGCGGGGAAAGATAAGACAGGGATAGGCATTCAGAGAAATAACACAAACAAGTCTCCCACCTTTCTTTTTAATCCGAGAGACTTGTGAAGTCATCTGTTGAATATTTTCTGCAGTTATAGCGCCTTCTCATCATGGCAGAGTCCAGCGCTGCCGTCGACCAGTCCACGGCGGAACAGGGAACTGACATCGCCATGGCGAAGCGAGTGTTACGCAAGATCGACATGCGACTCGTGCCCTTGTTATTCTTCACGTACATGCTCAACTTCATGGACAAGACAATTCTCTCCAGCGCCTCTGTCTTTGGTCTATCCGAAGATACGGTAAGATCCTCGTTCACGATTTGAAAGTTCAAGTGCTGACTGTTGATGTATCAGGGCCTAGTGGGGCAACAGTATAGCTGGGTCTCTTCAATCTTCTACTTTGGCTATCTAGCATGGGCATATCCGACTACGCTGCTGATTGCCCGCCTGCCGACTGCCAAATATTTGACTGCCAACACCCTGTTCTGGGGCGCTGTGGTTGCGCTCACTGCGGCGTGTACCAACTTTGCTGGCCTCATGACGGTTCGCTTTCTACTTGGAGTCGCCGAGGCAACTATTACTCCGGCATTTATGTTCATCACGTCGACTTGGTATACGCGCGATGAGATCCCCACGAGGACGGGCATGTGGTTTGCTGGCAACGTACGTGTTTTCGGTCTTATTAGGCTCATGATGTAAACTGATTGGTCGCTTTCAGAGTGTTGGCGGGATTGCTGCTAGTCTTATTGCATATGGACTGGGACATGCCGATGATCATGTCAGGCCCTGGAGGTGGATGTTCATCGTCCTCGGGATTATGACCTTCCTCTGGGCATTCGCCATCTGGATGTTGCTCCCGGATTCCATTTCGAGTGCCAAATTTCTCACAGAAGAGGAGCGTCAGTTCGCAGCTAATCGAGCTGTCATCGCTGGCACGGGTGCGACCGAGAAGACTGCGTGGAAATGGGATCAGGTTGTCGAATGCCTTATGGATCCAAAAACCTGGCTCCTTTTCGGATTGGAAATTCTTACGCAGATTCCGAATGGAGGGACCCAAAACTTTGCAAACCTGGTGATCAAATCTTTTGGATTTACGAGTCTCCAGTCGACGTTGATCACTATCCCTTACTCTCTTATCACTGTGACCGCGATCACTGGCTCCGGCTGGCTTGCTGGTCGTTTCCGCCAAATGAACTGTCTGTTAATCATTGCAGTCATCCTTCCATGTGTCATTGGCAGTGCGATCATTTACTCTCGTTCTCACGTTGTGCTGGGGGTTCAATTATTTGGCTACTTCCTTCTTTCAACTGGCCCAGCCGCAATGCCACTCACAATGTCGCTAGTACAGGCCAATTATCGCGGAGTGACGAAGAAAATGACCATGACAGCTTTGCTTTTCCTGGCATACTGTGCAGGAAATATTTCAGGACCCCAATTCTTCCTCAGCCGTGAAGCCCCCACATATAACACCGCGTTCCGGGCAATCATGATTTGCTATTCACTGGCTGTGCTTCTTGCACTGGCGTTGCGCTTTTATTTGCAGTGGATGAATGCTCAGCGCGTGCGAGTGGAGGGCTTTGAAGGAAGTGCTGGGAATGCCGGCGCAGTCGGTGGTGGTAAGGTTTTAGATGTTGATCCGAACGCGAAGAACGTTGGCCAAATGGTGAATCAGGTTCAATTGGTTTCAAACGACTATGAAGATATCACGGACTGGAAAACGCCAGGGTTTAGGTATCGATTCTGACTGGATGAATTACGGCCCCAGAGAGCGCCGAGTGCTTTGATTTAATCGAATTTGAATGACTGCTCTGCTCCACAGCGTCTCCAGTCTCCATTTGGTGCCTGCCTACAAATATGTCTAGCTTAATCTCCAAAGAAAGATTAGACTTAGGCGGGATCTTCTCGCACGACATGCTATACCCCCAAATACGCTTCAAATTCTATTTTTCAAAGGTCTTTCTAGATGTCTTTTGAGCCATCATCCTTCATGGGCCGAGTTTTTTTCTCGGTCTATTGTTCAAACTTCGTGACGGATAAGATAATTTTGGAAATCTGTCGGGGTCCAAAATTATAGAACTCCACTGCAAGAGTCTGGCATGTATGATGCAAAGGATTCGATGTTTGTGTTCCTGGCATTATCCCAAAGGGGTAAATTTAGCGTGTCATGCGAGAAGCCTCAATCTAGAGACACCTGGATTACGAAGATACCCTCTATTCAGAAACTGGATTCTTTCATATTGTAGCCCGATTGTACCTAGTCAACATCTCGAAGGAGGTTTAGCCGGACTCAAATGACCTTTACCCTAACATTCAAGCCTGCAGCTTTTTTCGCTAGGAGATATTCATGACCACATTCTAGAGAATCCGAATTGATCATGCTGACGACTGAACAAACCGTTAGTCTCCGCCGGTGGGTCTTCCACTATACTATTTACATGCCAGAGTAGAGTATGTAAAATTTCGAAAATAACGATTCTATATTATTTCATACATTGACTGCTGGAGTTTCAGGCTTCGAAACCAATGTCGCTATAGATCATTCCCCACAGGGTCCTGTCAAAGTGGAATCTCACGCCCTTCGTGAAAGATTTGGTGCAAGATTGGTAAGCATCCCCGCAAGGGGGGTGGCTATGTTGACTATTTTTGACCTCTACCCGAAGAGATACAGTAGTTGAGACCCGCAAAGTGAGTCAGTTTGCGCGTACTGGGAAATTAGGCTTGGCATTGGAAGTATAACATACCTCAGTGACCTAAGTAGACAGAAGGCCTATAGCAAAGACACAAAGTTATATTCCGCAGTCAGCATGGCTACCCCGTCAATCTCAGCAGACAATCCCTTCCAGGTATTGATTGCGGAGTCGAATGATGATCCGGTGAGTTAGTTCCTACATTTCATAAGTTTGGTCTATATCTCCGGCATGACTGGCGCTGAGTGTTAGTCACGTCCGGACTTGAAAGGCTCAATTGCAATCGCGCTATGAAACCCATCGCACGAATCGGAATGCGCAACAAAATGCAAAGATCCTGGCGGAAGACTTCCCAGGCTGGTCTATAGATGAGATTCTGCGTCGACTTGACGGTCCTGCAAAGGAAGAGGGATATCTCGATCCTCGCAATTGCCTCGTTATTTGGGCTAGGCCCTCTCCTCATATTCGAGGCTTGATCGCTTTTGTTCAAAGCGAATTAAGAGATGTTGCTCCATGTAAGTAAATTGCGTACACTCTCGTCAAATCCCCGAAGTCAAAGTATATCGACTGATTCGCCGCCGATAGCTCTTTGGTTGATGCCATCTGGAAATCTTCACACCACCGTCCTGGAAGTAGCCCATTCTTTAACAGAGGACCAGATCGAGGAAATTGTCCAAACCTTGAAATCGTCAAAGAATGTCACCGAGGCAGACATTTCAGAATATCCCCTGAAACATCAAACCCGGCTCCTGAAGCCCATGGTGAGCTTTGACTCTTCGGCACTTGCCCTCAGTTTCGCCCCCGCTGCAGGCGAAGGAGCCTCTGACGGCCATGATGACCAATATACTTATCATCACCTCCGCCGGGATATTTTCGACTTGGTGCGACAAACTGGTCTCCCCGTTGCGTCACGGTATATCGTTCCATCCGCTCATGTTACCATTGCACGGTTCATCAACCAGGATGGATTTTTTGTCAAGAATGCGGAGGGAGGAGATGAGCTCGATCCATCGCAAGTCAAATTACTTGTTGAGAAGATTGGTCAGATCAACGACACCTTGGAAAGTCGTTATTGGCCAAAGGCTGATGGTAGCTATCCGAAGGAGGGTGAATGGGTTGTTGGGCAGGATAAGGGACTTGTAATTCGGAGGGGTCGTCTTTGGTATGGAGGAGGCCAGGATGTTTAAGACGACCATTTATTTTCTCCGGTCCCTTGCCGTCGTTGGATTATAGATTTGGGATTATCTCGATACCTTGAATTCCATGAATTGCCTGCCTTAGCTCGTGAGTCACAGACATTTCCTGGTTATAGTAATGATTTGACTGACTTGTTGAGGCCAAGCAAACTACACAAACTAAACAAACAATGCTTATCACTGATTTCATGGCGGGATAATGTTCTGAATCAGACTAGTCGGGGTGTAACTGTTCTCCTGTATGGCCCAATTTCCCTAAGAACCCCACTCCCCCGCTTTTACGAGGATGTTTGGAACACGAGGATTGCTTACCTAGTGATAAGATGAAATGCAACCTTAACTGGAGTGTTGAGGATGCGTTTCGTATATAAAGTAGCTGCATGATTCTGGTGTCCATCTCATCTTTGAGTTCATCAAACACTGTTGAGGACAAAGTCATCAAAATGGAACCACTTCGAAAGATCACATACCAGTATGCGCACCATGGCATACCGCTCGAATGCGATGTATATGATGCCATCAATTATGCAAATGATGCACCTGTCTTTCTTTTCTTTCATGCCGGTGGCCTTGTAGGAGGGAATCGGACCTGCGTCCCTCCTTGGCTTGTGCAGGTGAGAAGCATATTCTGTACTTAGGAAAGGTACATCGAGACTGACCTTCTCAATCTCTTAGACATGTTATGATCAAAAGTGGCCGTTGATTAGCGCCAGCTATCGACTTGTCCCTCCGATCGGAGGCAAGGAGTTGCTCGAGGATGTCACGGCCGCATATCAATTTGCCAGGAAGCTGGGTGACGGTGTAGACAGACAGGTCATTGTTGGCGGTGCCAGTGCCGGTAAAAAGAATCCCTCCAAGATGTTGAGTTTCCGAAAATTTGAGAGTGAGGACTAATTATGATAAAGGACTGTTCATGGCGAGTTTGGTACCCCATCATCTTCAACCTCCACCCTTGGCTTTACTCTCTATCAGTGGAATCGCCACATTTCACCACCCCTTCTTCCACTCGTCTACTCAACTCACACCACATCCAATCCCAAAGAGTGAAGTAGAACACTTCTTCAATGGCCCCGTCATCGTTGGATCCGTACCAGAATACGAGCCCTGGGCTTTCTATCCCGCGATGCTATTGCCTTCATCCACAGCCAAGAATTCGGACTATGTTCACCCAAAGGCCCCTGCAGAGAAATCTGCGTTTGAAAAGGAAATTGAGAAGCGGGATACTCTCTATGACTATTTCCTCTACGAGAATGCGTTCGGTGGTATAGTCGGCGATGTTGACCCTGGGTTTGACTGGGCTTTGGAAAGGGGTGAAAAGTGGGAGGCATGGCCTCCGACTATCTATATTCAAGGTGATGCTGATGTGGATGTTGATAAGGATGTGTGTGTCTCAGCTGCAAGCAAGCTTGGTGAAAAGGCGAGATTCTTCATGTCTGAAGGACAACCGCATTTGTTTGAAGCGAACAGTTTTCTGGAAGAGGAGACTCCGGCGATGGATCAGGTTCGGGCTGCAATTGCTGAGCTAAAGGTTATCGTCAGTCAGGCGTTAGGAGAGACTAAATAGTCTCAAATCTCAATACAACGTCAGAACTTAATAACTATGGCAGGACAATCAACTTGAAAAACAATTCATTGTGTAAGAATATGTCTCGTGATGCGGTAAATATTATAATACTATTATGTACAGCGATTCAATCAAGTCGAACCGCCTTCGCCTCTCAAAAGAGAGCTCGAAAGATAGTCGATGGAATATCAACAAAGGAACATCAGGAAATGATGCACCCTAAGAAAGGAAGAAAATAGAAACAACAAACACCAACAACATGTCATAGACGGGAATCGTCTTCAATACCGAGAATCCAGAACCGGTGAAGACTGGCCCAGAAACAGCAGTGGTTCCACTTGCCGCGCCAGTCTTCTGCGAAGCGGACGAGGCGGTTGAAGTGGAACGCAGGGTTGACGCCACTGGAGTAGAGGAGACACGGTGCAAAGTTGTAGCCGAGCTCGATGCCCCCGCCTGGATGTGCGCGACACCAGTGTTCTTGCTTCCTGAAGCGCCAACTCCAGTACCGTTGGAACCATTGCTGTTTGAGCCAGAGGCTGCGCCGGTAGCCACGGCAGGAATTGAGGTCGCAGTCGGCTTGGTCTCAATTGTCACAATGATAGTGGACGCAACCAAGGTCTCTGTGGTGACAAATGTGCTCTTTGCAGTGGCGGGGCAGTTGGTGACTGTTGATGGGCATGCGGTCACCGTGGCCGTACGGGTAGTCAATACAGTTGAGGTGACAACATCCCCGGAGGAACCGTTTGGCTTTGAACCAACACTAGCTGTGGATGTGACCTCGGAAGCAGCGACAGGGCAAATTGTGGTAGAGACTAGGATGATTTCGGTAGTGACATATGTGGTCTTTTGTCTTGCTGGGCAGTCAACAACGCTGGAGGGGCATGCAGTGATCGTGGAAGTGCGAGTGCTGAAGACAGTGGAAGTAGTCAATTCTCCACCATTGTTCTGACTAATTGTGGCCGTAGGTTGGGGAGCGCTGGTCTCGGTGATAGGGCAAACGGTGGTCGAGACGGCAATAGTCTGGGTTGTCACGAAGGTAGTCTTGTCAGATGCAGGGCAGTCCGTAACTGTCGATGGGCAAGCAGTAATGGTTGCGGTGCTAGTGCTGTAAACTGTAGAAGTCGTGAATGCCGGCGGGGTAACCGCAGATGATGGAGACGATCCTCCGGGAACCGAGGAGGGAATTGAGGAGCTCGAGAAATCGACTGTGGTAGAAGACTGCACAGGCTTAGACGAAGAAGTGGTCGATGGAATAGTAGACGAGGGAAGGGCAGACGAGGGTGGCGTGGAGATTGGCCTCCTTGACACAGGCGGGGTGCTAATCGGAGACCACGTCGACGATGGCACGTCCGAGGATGAGGGCGCTGATGACGGGACCACTGACGAAGGAACCACTGACGAAGGAACCACTGACGAAGGAACCACTGACGAAGGAACCACTGACGAAGGAACCACTGACGAAGGAACCACTGACGAAGGAACCACTGACGAAGGAACCACTGACGAAGGAACCACTGACGAAGGAACCACTGACGAAGGAACCACTGACGAAGGAACCACTGACGAAGGAACCACTGACGAAGGAACCACTGACGAAGGAACCACTGACGAAGGAACCACTGACGAAGGAACCACTGACGAAGGAACCACTGACGAAGGAACCACTGACGAAGGAACCACTGACGAAGGAACCACCGACGACGGGATCGCTGATGACGGGGGAGCCGATGGGCTCGCCGAAGGAGACGACGATGGCACTGACACCGGAATTTGAGTATAGGAGATAGGGCTAGACGATGGAATGATCTGCGACGAAGGAATAGTCGAAGAAGTGATCGTCACCAATGGGGTGGATGACAGTACCACAGGCGTGGAGGTAGGCACCACGACTGGGATAGACTGGAAAGGCGAAGAAGATGCCACCACGGTGCTTGAGGAGGCAACTTGAGCAGGGGTAGTGGATGGCGCAACCGATGAAGGAATGGCCGAGGAGGTCGGAGCGACTGTCGGGGTTGAGCTGATAGTGTTGGTCGTGCACACCTGGGTGGTCTCAGGACCGATAAACTTGGCATTGTCGACTTCGAGAGTTCCACCCCGGGAGCTGATCAAGATCACCATCGTATGCGATTTGGAAGTCGCCTTGAAGGTAGCGGAGAGGGTCTTCCAGCCTGCACCGGGGGTATAACGGGAGACTGTAGTCGCCAGCAGATGGTCATCGAGCTCAAGGAATAGATCAAAGGATGTTCCAGATGTAGGCTTGTAGTCAAAAGACAGTGTGTATGTCGTGCCAATCTTCAATCCCTTCACGGTTTGTTGAACTGCCCAGTAGCCGGGGAGAGGCCCAATCTTCATGGCGTAGTTGCCATCATCCGACGAGTCGCTAACAACAACGAGGGGAAGCGAGCAAACTGAGCTAGAATGCTTCTCCCAAGGGTTAATCTTGCCAGTCTCATAGGATGGATTGATGAGGAGATTCTGTGGGATTGTGTGGCAATCAACGCCGGTGCTGGCACTGGTGGTGGTGGTGGTGCAGGGTTTGGTATCGACTGGCTTGTGGGCCACTGCGGATTGTCCCTGAAGCAAAGCGCCCAGAAGGACGGCGACCCATGCGGTCTTCATAGTGAATGTGGGGATAGCCTAAAGACTATCGATTTAATGAGTGTGAGCGAAAGAGTGGATGGACGATGTCCAATAAAAAAGAATGGACGGCGATTAAGCCTAAGGAATGAAAATGAAGGTATACAGCTATACTTCCAAGCAAAGCATAGATGACAACGACACACTGCTTTTTCCACTCTCAAAGCGATATCGTTTAATTATATACCAAATCTTGAATTATCCCCTTACAACTTGTCGCCGTTTTCTCCACAACATCCTATTGGCGGGTTGTCTATTTGTGTCTGGGACTTGGGGCTTACGCTTAGCTTTCATGGAAGAAATTGGCGATGGCTTCAACTTTAGCAGCACAGAAAAAGGGAACACTAGCCACAACTACGCGATGTGGAAATCAATAGTTCCTGACTCGTGCACACTAGTCACTAGCGGTCCTCTGGGAGGATAACGTGGTAAAAGATAGCGGAGCCAAGCGCCTATCACCATGCGGCCTCGCGTGTTTGTTCCTGATATTTTCGGGCATTTCCTAGCGAGGAAGTGGATCTTCCGCGCCCCCAGGAACGCGCTACGCCACGAGGGTCCAATACAGCATCTAAGTCTACTTCGGTAAGCACGATGAGGCTCTCGCGTTTTTGTTCTAAGCGAGTTTGAGTCAGCGTTCTCGAATTGAAGGATGTGTGGTGACTAGGTGGTGGAAATGGGATGTACAGGAACGGCCTAAAGGCCCGGAATCCGAGCACGGAGAATGATGTGTCTCTTTCAAACAGCGTGACTGAGAACCCAAAATGCGCATCGACACCCCGGACCATGAGAGTCAAAGAATGCATGTGGAGCCTCTACAAGAAACTTTCGCACTCCAGTTTATTCTCTTTCATTGAGAAAGAAAGGTTTCCGGAGCATGGTTGAGGGTTTGCTCGATCCTGGCCGATCGAGTACTTTCTTTGTTTGGCTGGGACCTGCCGTGATGCTCGAAGCTTCCTGTCTCTTCTTTGTCTATGTTTTGCTATAAGGATTTCCTACTTCGCTCCGCAATTCCATCTTCTTCTTTTCTCTTCAATCAAACCGAGACTCACTTTGTTTTGAAACCTTGGGTCTGAGTCTCCTCAAAGATCATATCTTTCAAGTCTAAAGGCTGCCAAGTCAATCATCTTTTGCAAAATGCCCAGACCACGCAGAGAAGCTCCCGCAACCTCAGAGCGAAAGCGAAGAGCTTTGTCCAGCGATGAAGCTGAGCAATCCAGTTCCTCCAAACGGGCAAAGGAGCCGGGGTCGGAGCCAGTCGAGACGTCCGGGGATGAAGAGGAGCAAGCTGCTCCTCCAACGTCACTTCAACAGGCGCAGGCACAAGTCCTAACTCCATATCCCAATATGGGAATAGGAATGGGTTTCAATCCCCTTTCCAACGATTTACCTGGGGACTTTAGACTCAGCCCCTTTCCGAATTCATCGCTGTTTTTAAAAAAAGGTCCCACCACAGACCCCGACCCTGAGCCTTTTGTACCGTTCAATTCCGGGGGTCCAGGTACAGAAACACCGGTTCAAGGCGAAAAAATCGAGCTCCCAGGTACGAGAGGGCCTTTGACAGATCCGACTGTTGGCAGAGACATCATTCTCGAACGATTGGATTTGGATGTCTCATACGTGGAGCTCTACAAGCGCGGTGCACGGAAACCAACAAGACCCCAGAGGCAGCCAAGATGGCAACACCCAGGGGATGAGCCTCTAGTTGATCCCCTGAAGTTTCCGACTGGATGGAACTCTAATGAGCCTGATCTTGATCCTGAGTAAGATTTTTGAAAGATGACAAGCTTCATTTGACGGAGACTAACGATTTTGGTACAGCGATTACGATGCGCAGATCGCTCGATGTGATGAGAGAATTCAGGACAACATCAACCCTCACTTCTTTGAGGTGAGAAAGAGAGAGTACATGGACGTGAAGCATGCTGTTGAGTAAGTGTTTGTTTTTGAATCTTTCAAATTTTGCAGATATTTTCTCCATGTCTTGACATGAAAACAATATATCTCACGGCGTCCTTGGTGATCATTGCTAACTCACCCACTCCACAGGAAATGGATGCAAGGCGAGCCCAAGAGTCTCAGCAGAGCCACCTACGAGCGACTTGATACACTCAAGTTTATCAAGAAAGCAATTGATGGGGGCCATGATCCTCTCGCGGAGAAGGAAAATGTGGATGCCATTCTCAACGCTTACCGAACAGGTAAGCTTGAGTGGATTCCGGATCTTGTTACCTACTGGTCCAATGGGAAACAGCTCTGTGAGCCTCGTCGATTTGATTGGGACGAGTTTGAAGTCATCAACAAGGCTAATTCTGGCCACAAGTCATTCTGGGTTGAAGGCGTAAGTAAGCCATTCCAAGCACTCAACGACACGAGACTAACAGTAATTCACTTGAGATCGGGGCTCCCAACGGATCGAGCAGAAATGATCGAGTCACCATCTGGCCCTATCGCTATCAGAAGTACTTGAAATTTGTATGCCATTCTCTTGGATCTGTCCATTCAATTCACTTTTACTAAGAAGCTGATTTCTATCAGCATAGTACAAGTTCCATGTTCGATTCCCAGGCTACAGATACTACTCGGAACTCGAGTTCCTCCACGACACCGGGGCAAGCGACATGAGTATTTTTGAAGACGATATTCAAGGAATCATGGGGCCAGGTGGGTATGATTTCCCATTCCTCAAGGTCGCAGGCTACGTCAAAATAACAGGTGCGGGCCACGAAGAAACGCCACTCAACACTACTATTGTTCCTTTGGTCGCCATCGAGGCCACTATTGTAACCGAGGAGGAAGATCCAGCAAAGGAGCGCCTGCGCATGACACTGTGGACTCGGGCATGGACAACCGTGAACAAAGGCCGCGCGAACCTGTCTCTTGGAAATTACAGAGTCGACGGCCCTTGGCTGCGTCATCGCTTGTACATGGGATCTGCGCCAGATGGGACTGACCAGATACATGCCGCTAATTTTAAGGGTGATCTTGCCTTGAAGAGAGTTCATCCGAGGAATACACCGGGCTTGGTTAATGATCCTCCGCCAATTCTCCCTACGCCAGGAACCTTTATTTCTGTCACGGGAAGACGTGATAAAGTGCCGTTGCCAAACTTGGGTTCTGTCAAGCGATTCGGAAGGCCTGTCTTCACTGATGTTTAGATTGACTTTTTTTTGAGGAGTGCGTCTTTATGTGGATTTTTCTTGCTGCTTATGGGTGACAATTTGGTTCTTGTTTTACTTTTCATCTTGCTTCGTGTTTCTCATCTTTTTCGATTTGTTGGTTATCGATGTCACTTTTCAAAGGGCCGTCGGTTGCGTCCTCGTCGTACTACATTCCCTTTCCCTGAAAGACCTCAATTCCATTGTTCTTCAAACCTCTGGTGTTTGTTCTGCCGGACATCACAATTTTACAGTAGAGTATATCTTCTGTCTCACTTCATACCAACAACAGCAAAATCAAGCGCTCTGGCTTTCACCGGACTCCCAGAGACACTACCAGAACTACCATCACCTCTGTTGAACATTTCCCGATGTGTACTTATAACGTACGTTGTATTGAAGATATAAGCAATGTAGAAAGAAAAGAGTGTGCCCAAGATAGTGTATACGATTGGACAAAACGCCAATGAATCTCTGTAGGAGCTACGGATATCTATAAGAACAACAGGAAAAAAGAAAAAAAAAATACACCGGACACAGGACAAGGCCAGACCGGGAAGAAACACCAAACCGCACGAAGAATCCAAACAGAACCCAAACAAATGACTCCACAAAAGGACATTCACGCCATCCTGGTCAGCTCCAGGGCAGGCGGGGACTGTATACATGGGCAGCAGGGGGTGACAGCCTGCATGAGGAAGATCAGAAGGCGAATCCACCATTCCGGCCGGCTCCGGGGTAGGTGGGAGAACCAGGAAGAAAGAAACAACATGAGAACGCCCAAAATGACCCGTCTACTCCTTGCTTGCTTTGCCAACTAGGGCTCTAATGAAAGAAGCCAGAAACTCGTTAGTGGCGGGGGCGGCAGGGCCAGAGATCTTCCCAGGCAGTTGAAATACGACCAGAGGGGGGCTCCCCGGGACATCCATCGTCTATGCTCGAGGCTTAGCATGCCCATCACTCGGGTTCTCAATCACTATCGGCAACCGAGGGGTGTCCTTGCTCCAATCCCGGTTTACTGGCACTTCAGCTATGGCTGCTATGCCTGCTGTGCCGCCTTCCAGCTCGGCCGGCGTGGGCGTCACGCCCTCCCCGCCCGTGCCGCCCGTAGTGCTGGTTTCGGCTGTAGACAAACAATGTTAGTATATACATCTTTGACAAGTCGAAGAAACATCCCAAAGGACATGACAAAGGACATGACAAAGGACATGACAAAGGACATGACAAAGGACATGACAAAGGACATGACAAAGGACATGACAAAGGACATGACAAAGGACATGACAAAGGACATGACAAAGGACATGACAAAGGACATGACAAAGGACATGACAAAGGACATGACAAAGGACATGATAAAGGACATGACAAAGGACATCCCAAAGGTCATCACAAAGAAATTACTTACTATCCTTCTTCCCGAAAGGCCACCACCATTTTCTAGGCTTCGCAGCTTCCTCTAACTTCTTCATCCTTTTTTGGTAGAGGTGCGACATGTACTTGGCAGGGTTGTTTTCCAGGGCGTCTTCGTGCTTTTGGCTACAAGACGCGAATTAATACAATCTTACTGGCACAGGGGACATCTTCAAAGACATCTCCAAAGACATCTCCAAAGACATCTCCAAAGACATCTCCAAAGACATCTCCAAAAATAGGACGAGACTTTACGTACCGAACGTTCCACATAAAGAGCCAAGCGCCAACCAACACAACCAACAACGTAGGAAGTCCCAAGGCCAGCCCTGTCGTCCAGTGCATGGCCGCGCCCTTCGCCGCATCGGCGGCACGAATCTCAATAGGCGCCATTTCGAGGAATCCTTCGAAAAAGGTTTCAAATGAGCTTCGTGAAGAGGTTTTAGAATAGGTTTCGAGGGCGATCAGGCAAACATTCAGAAAGACGTTCAGAAAGACGAGTCGGCGCAGTGAAAGTTGGGGGAGTTTACAGAACTACGATCCTGGGGGGGTCTACTGATGGACTTGGAAGCCAGCACAGGGCAGGTACGCCTGGGTTCCTAGATCACGGCGGTAACTTCGCTTATTTTAAGGTGAGCATGGGTTGTTTTGATTGTTCTTACGTCTGATGTGACCGATCTGGTCAAATTCTGGTCGATTTGTATGGATCTTGAATCTACATGTAGCTCGCATTGCGAATGTCTTAAATTTCAGATTCAATTGGGGTCTCCCTTCTATAAGGAATGAGATCTCAACGAGAATTAGTTGAAAATGTTCTAATCAAACGGCCGAGTCGTTACAAAGGATCCATGGATCCATGAAGCTGAAAAGTAAACAAACCTGAGGAATCTACAGGTACGTCAGCGGGTATTTTAGGGCTTGATCCTGGCGCCTCTACTGTGATTGGCAGGTTGATGCTTGACAGCCGACCTTATCTCAACCTCATATCTACGGTAAAATGGTCCATCCAGATTCGATCTCAATGATGCGTGGGGGATCAGAGACACTGTTTGTTGGTTACTTTTATTTTGTAAATGGAGTGCGGCCGCCGACACTTTGGGTTGGGTCGTGGAGGTTGCGTTCCTTCCACTTCCACTTCGGTGTCAATTTTTCAACTTCCGTGGCAGAACGGTGACGTAAATCCCTCAACTGCAGGTCCCTGCACGGAAGGCACATCTCTTTCGAGGTCACGATTTCACAACCCGAGGTATGGAAACTCCCTGTTGAATTTGCTTCGAGAAGGTCATTTGCCGTGAACCCTTTCACTGTTACCTCCTGCCGATTCCGCAACCCTTCATCAAGATAAGTCCAGCGCATGTGGGTCCGTAGACATGGGGATATTTGACAGCGTAGGGTTACCTGGTGTAGACAGACCGAGTTGCGTATTCGCCCTGTTGCGGCCGCAAAGAAAATGGAGCCCTTTTGACTTTCTGCCCTAGGCCTGTCTATGAAAATTTCCATATTTGTTTGGCTTGCTAATTGCACCATCTGTTCAGCATAGAATGGCAAGGGTGTCCTATGGTTCGTTTTCCTTCTAACTTCGGTGTGGTGGTTCCTTCCCCTTTCCCATTTTTTTCCATAGTCTGCGCGGTGATCCGTTAACATTTCCTTTTGTAGTGTAATTGTCCTTGGGAGTTTTGTTTCTTTCTTCACTCTTCACATGTTCCTTCCTCGGTGCCTTTCGAAAGCTCTTTTAAACCTCTTTCGAAAGCTCTTCTACAATGGCTCCTACACCCACTGTTTCCCGGTTCACCGCTCATACGAGCACCCTCGCCAAGCGGGGCGTTTCGATAGACGGCTGGAGAGGCACATTGATCAAGACATGCATCGTACTCGCCGCGCTGTTTGTTTTCTTCCGTTTGCTTGCGTGGCTCTTCTGGTAAGTCGAAATTATTGTCATTCGAGATTCATTCGAGATGTTCTTCGAGACGTCTTTCAAGTCGAGATCGTCACGCTGATTTGATGCATACAGTAAACGGCAAAAGCAAGCTCGCGAGAGCTACCCTTGGAGCATGCTCCATGACCACTGGTATCGTGCCGACCAAAAGTGGCGCAAAGCCCACGGCAAGAAGTGGTGGTGGCCTTTGGTCAACAAGAAAGGTAAGTGATTCGACACCCGCTCGTCTGAAGTATGCCTTGGCTTGAGAAGCATGAATAAGTTAACCAAGATTGTCTGTCTGTAGTTCCAAAGGACCTGGGCCCTCGGCCCCGCATGATCATACCCCTCGCGTCCTCGGAGGATTCCCCGGTGGACTTGGAGATCGAGAATGTGGATATCCCCGGGCTTCCACCCATGGCCCTTGTGCGCTTACCGCGTCTGTGAAGATTGAAAGGTGATGCTTTTGGTTGTTCGCGTTGTTTGGTCTGGTCTCTTTGCTCGGTTCCCTGTTACCTTCCTCTTTTTCTTTTGATTTTACAGATATTCAACGTCCCTACGGGGTTTTGTTGGCATCATTCTCACCAGTATGCCCTGCCTTGGAGAACTTTCTTTCATTCTTCATTCATCATCTAGATGTAGCCCGAATTGCGGGTTTCGTTGTATGACGCGGCTCACCATTCTGGCCATTAAGGTTTCAGGAGTCGCTTGATTTGCGCCTCCTTCAAGAGTGGACTCGAGGGCCTCCGGAACCAGCAATATTAGCTTATCCAGTTAATCTATCCAGTTGAATGCATGCTGATTGCTGGATTTGACGTAAAGTTAGGGAGTCAGAAGCACATGTTCTTTTTGCAGCGGATAATGAACATGTGCAAGCGGAACGAGTTCGCTAGACACCAAAAGAAGGACCCAAAGAAAATGAGGAAGATGGAAAACAACATGCCATGCACCCAGATCGGCGTCAGTGGGTGTCTCCAGCTCAGGGTGTCTCCTGCGTCATGAGTTAGTTCTCAAGTTGCTAGGGCTTCGAAAAGAGGGCTACCTCACCGGTTATAGCGATACCAAGGTTGAAGACGCCAATGATGATGGAAAGCATGAAATTGAATCGAGCCTTTGTTTTTAGTTCGCGATCGCCTCGTCGAGAACCCGGGATTCTGCGGAGTTGGAGCTCATATGGAATCAAGTGTTCTTAGGTCGTAACAACGTGACAATGTGGGTAAGATGAATACGCGCAACGGCTGGTGAAGAATAGAAAAGATGCAGTAGAAATTGTGGACAAAGTAGAGATGGAGAGAAGAAGGAAAATGGGACAGCAATAGGGAGGAAAGTTTCCTCTTCAAGTTGGGCCTTCCTTTGATAAGATTTCAAATTCCATCGAGAGTTAATTGAAAATGTTCTCAATAATTAAACTATCAAGTCGTTAAAATGGAACCCTGTATCCATAGAGCAAGAAAGTAAACATCGCTTTGCATTGCTGTAACTATCCCCTAAGTTTCGTCATTTTCATCAGACAGATATCCATGGTTGACTATTCTCGATAGGATACGTCATCCCCTCAGTTCGAGGCGGCGGCGGTTTTGTAGCTTGGCCATATTCAGAGCTTCGGAATAGGGAAAGTAGTGGAGAGTTCATTCTTCCGTCATCACAGCTTTGTTTCTACACTTACTCATTCCTCAACAACCATACCCATCAAGGGGCTGTTCTTGTCTTTTCGTCATTCTCATCCTTCCAAAACAAAATTAACGGAGTTTCCAAGATGCTTACGTGGTTTGAATGGGGTTCCTATCGCAATCGTGACCTCCTCTACTACAGGTCAGACACCGTTGGCCCAAGAGAAATCATTGAACTACTTCTTGCTGAGCACGCGTTACGTGAACTCAAACAGCGCGAGGAAGCGCTGAAGCAGCGCTCGATTGCTTTACAAAAGGCCAAGGCTATTGAGTCAGACAGTTCCGAGCTTGAAGACGCCAATGCACAACTTGACGAGACCCGAAAGCAAATTCCAAGAAAAGAGCACGACCTATATGGAGCAGTTTCTATGCTGACCTCCGTTCTGAGAAAAGATTATGATAGCTTGAGGCGCAATACAAAATGGTTTATGCGCAAAGAAATGGTCCAGGATTGCTCGGATCGCGGTGGGTGTTGCAGTCGAGGATGCGGATGCTGCTCACAGCGACATTTATCCAAAGGGACTAAGGGTGATGGCCACTGCACTACCGAGTGCTGGTGCTGTACTGCCTTTCGCGGCTTTGAGATCTCCAAAGAAGATAAGATCGATATGGTCAAAGATTTTCAAAGCAGACTGGAACGCAATAGATCGGGATATTTAATCGATATGGCCGATTGGTTTTTTAGCCCATTGCCGGAGCCCCCGGCCGTGGCTCCGAAGCTTTCAACTGTAGCCTCGCAGACTATGACTGTGATCGCAAAGACTCCGACTAAGGACATGAAGACTCCTACCGTGACCGTGACCACGAAGCCATTAAAGCCTAGATCTAGGTGGCAGAAAATCTTTGGACGGAACAAGTGACGGGAGCCCCGTGTTCCGTTTTGCTTGATAGTTTTTACTCGACAATCGTTGAAGGGCTTGTTTGATCTCAACAGACTGCCTTACACAGAATTGTGGATGATCTGAGTGTCTTTCTCTATGTCAATCTGTCGTATTGAGACATTCAAGCATAAGGGTCCTCCATTATTCCCTTGGCTACTCCTCGGTTACATGCTTCCTTTGTTGCTACTCGAGCAAGTCTAGCTAGATATCCTCTGTTGATTGCATATGATAATGTTGATTTTTAGAGACTCAAATCAAGCAATATGATGTTGAATTAGATAGCCCGTACCTGTATTGTAAAATCGAAACCCATCATGCTACGCATTTGTGTTAAGATTTGTTTGCTTTGCGTGAAGTTCGCCTAGTCTCGATATGCCGACATTTCTCCCAAGTTGTGCAGTACAATGATCGTAAAAGTCAGCTAATCAAAATCTGGAATTTTACCTCTTTTACTCATGCTTGAAAAGCCGCCTCAACAGTAGTGGGAGCTCTAGTAAGCATTATTTTGCCGTCACTTAAGCCTCTCTTCTACCTCATCCCCTGCTTTTCGCTATTCCATAGCCCATCCATCGAGATATACATCATTGTGCCTTATCAGGAAGGCGGTGAGTGACCGTTTTTCTGCCTGAGGACGCAAGCACATCGCGCATCCAAAACGCATCTCGAGGCAAAAGCCATCGCGGATTCCTTTATTTTTCATTTCCTCTCCAACCCACCCACCTTGACACCTCTCTCCCCGTTTCCACAAGCTCGGACCTGCATATCATTCAGTCCACTCTGAACCAGACATTTGCAACTTCCCTCGACACACCTCTCTCTCTGTTTACGACAGTATCCTTCCACCCAGCTCTCTGGCGCGCCCTTTCCGATGTCCCTCTTCGGTAGCGTTGGCGGTGCCACCACCACCACGGCGGCAGGCCAGACCAACACCACGGGCGACATCTCCAAGGATGTTGCGCTCAACCAGCCCCCAGAGGACAGCATCTCTGACCTTCGGTTCTCCCCAGCCAGTGAGCATCTAGCTGTCGCATCGTGGGACAAGAAGGTCCGCATCTACGAGATCAACGAGCAGGGTCAGAGTGAAGGAAAGGCACTTTTTGAACATGAAGCTCCAGTGCTAAGCTGCTGCTGGTCTCCGGTAAGCTCCATATCTATTCTCCAAGTCCCGCAAGAGGTATCCATGTCCCCAAGCTAACCTGTGACTCTTTTTCATTTCCAGGACGGAACTAAGGTCGTCGGTGCCGGTGCCGATAAAGCTGCTCGTCTTCTGGATCTCGGTTCCGGTGCGACTACTGCCACTCAAGTTGCTGCCCACGATGCTCCTATCCGCAGCTGCCACATGATCCCCAATCCTTCCGTCGGTGGCTCTCCACTTCTCATCACAGGCTCATGGGACAAGACTGTCAAGTACTGGGACCTGCGGCAATCGAACCCAATCGCGTCCATCGAGTGCCAGGAGCGTGTGTACACAATGGACGTCAAGAACAAGCTCCTTGTCATCGGCACTGCGGACCGCTACATCAATGTCGTGAACCTCGACACCCCGACTAAATTCTACAAGACCATGCAATCCCCCCTCAAGTGGCAGACGCGGGTAGTCAGCTGCTTCGCCGATGCCTCCGGCTTTGCCGTCGGCAGTATTGAAGGTCGCTGCGCCATCCAGTACGTCGAGGACAAGGATTCCGCCTCCAACTTCTCCTTCAAGTGCCACCGCGAAACTCCCCCCGCCAATCGTGACGTCTGCAACATCTACTCTGTCAATTCCATCTGCTTCCACCCTGTTCACGGAACATTTAGTACTGCCGGTAGTGACGGCACCTTCCACTTCTGGGACAAGGACGCGAAGCACCGCCTGAAGGGATACCCGGCTGTTGGCGGACCGATCTCCAGCACCGCCTTCAACCGTAACGGAAACATCTTCGCCTATGCTGTCAGCTACGATTGGAGCAAGGGCTACTCTGCCAACACCCAGCAGACTCCTAACAAGGTCATGCTCCACCCCGTGGGGCCTGATGAGTGCAAGCCTCGACCGGGTACCCGCAAGCGGTGATCGGGGTAAACAAAGAATCGAGGAGGATGGACGCATGGGATCGTGCCCAGCGAGCATCGCGGCGTGATTGGCGCAACGAGCATCTAATGAACCCTTTTTTTACCATGTCGGCGTGTGCTTTTATCTACTTTTCATTTTTAAAAGAGATCTGCAAATGGGACTCACTTTCACTCTATTCCGTTCTGAGGTTATTCCTTTCGTATCCCGTGGTTCAGATTCGAGTACCCACGGCACGAAGGTCGAGGCAGGTCAAAGAAAAGAGCTGGAACAAGTGGGAACAAGACAAAGAAAGGAGGAAGGACTACGGGGGATCTCTTTCGGATGGCATGCGGGAATCTGAGGTCTACAATTTCGAAAAACAGAATGGAGGAGGAACTGCCCAGACCCACAGCAAGTAGCTACAGACTAGGGAGATAGATCGAACAGACAATCAAATCAGCGAAGAATCAAATGCAAATGCAACTCCAACTCTTTCTTCCAGAACACCTATTCTCGTGGATTCATGTGTATGATAAACAAAAAAAAGGAAGAAATGCCAAAATCCAACGTCCAGTATATCAGGATCAGTTCCGAAAAACCCACGTCGCTCATCTCAATCATCATAACATATGACATATGACCGTAACATACCCTCACCCCTATGTCTGCGCCACTTGGAAACTCGCACTTCTGTTGAAGACTCCTGACACTTGCCCAATACCCTCTACACTTGTCCCTTTCTCATGGATTAAACCATTTAAGAGGTGGGGAGGGTGACCTGGGCAACACCGTCGGCGATCTTCTCAACTGCCTCATCGTTGGGCCCGTCAGCCGTCACGCTGGGGCTCTCGGCACCACCCTTGGCAGTAGCCTCGACCCCACCAGGGGCCTTGCCCTTCTCCTTCTTCTCCTTCTTCTTAGCCTTGGCGGCGGCCTTCTTAGCCGCAAGCTTAGCAGCCTCCTCGGCCTTCTTGGCGCGCTCAGCCTGAGAGCCGCCGAAAGCCTCACGCCACTCATCAGCCTTCTTGGGGTCGATGCGCGAGAAGAGGTAGGCAGCCTTGCCAATCTTGTGACCAGCCTTCAGGCTGTCGGCCTTCCAGCCGTTCTCGAGAGCCTCGATAGAGGGAATGGTGAGGAAAGGAGCGTTGAGCTGCTCCAGGATAGAGTCGGAGGTGCCGGGCATGTAGGGCGCGAAGACACTGGCGAGCAGGTGGATCAGGTTCAGGACGGAACCGACGACGGCCGCGGCGCGCTCGGGCTCGTTGGCGATCAGGGAGTTGTCCAGACGGTTGGCCTGGATGAGACCGTTACCGGCCTCGGCGAGGCGCATGGCGGTGTTGACACCGGCGCGCAGGTGGACGCTCTCCATTTCCTCGATGTACTGCTTCAGGAGGCCGTTGACTTCCTCCTCGAAGGGCTTGAAGCTCTCGGGAACGGTGTACTCGGGGATGATGCCGCCGAAGGAGGCGTTGACGAGCTTGATGACACGATTGACGAGGTTACCCAGCTTGGCAAGCAGCTCGCTGTTGTTGGCGTCCACGAAGGGGCGCCACTCGAACTGGGTGTCACCGGTCTCGGGGCGGTTCTTCAGCAGGTAGTAACGCCACACATCGGGGCCAACGCCGGTCTCCTTGGCGTTGGTTCCGAAGACACCAATGCCGCGAGACTTGCTGAACTTGCCGCTCTCGTAGTTGAGGTACTCGGTAGCGCTGAGATGGTGGAGCATGGTCCACTTATCCCGGGTACCGATCTGGGTAGCGGGGAAGATGACACTGTGGAAGGGAACGTTGTCCTTGCCCAGGAACTGGTACAGCTGGACGTTCTCCGGGTTGCGCCACCACTTCTCCCAGTCCTTGGTGTAGTTGGCAGTGATGGAAGGGTAGCCAATGCAGGCCTCGAACCAAACGTACAGCACCTTGTTCTCAAACCCCTCCAGGGGAACGGGGACACCCCACTTGAGGTCACGAGTAATACCACGGTCCTTCAGACCCTCCTTCAACCAGGACTCAGTGATAATCTTGGAGTTTTTGGGCCAGTCACCCTTGCTGATAGCCTCGGTGGCCCACTTCTCAACCTCCGGCTGGAGCTTGTCCAAAAGCAGGTGAATGTGTTTCGTCTCACGACGGACCGGGGTGGCTCCGTCGAGCTTGCAGCGGGGGTTGATAAGATCGAAGGGGTCGAGGAGGTGACCACACTTGTCACACTGGTCTCCACGGGCATCGTCGTAGTGGCAGCGAGGGCATTCTCCCTCGACGTAACGATCAGCCAGGAATGAGCCGTGCGCCTCACAGAAGGGTTGCTCGGCGGTGCGCTCGCCAAGGAATCCATTTTCATGGAGGCGCTTGAAGACAGCCTGGGAGATCTCGGTGTGGTGCTGAGTAGGGGTGCGGCCGAAGTGATCGAATCCGATGTTGAACCACTTGTAAACCTCCTGGTGGATCTTGTTATACTTTGCGCAAAGCTCCTCCGGCGTGACCTTCTCCTCTAGCGCCTTGGTCTCTGTCGCTGTGCCATATTCGTCCGTTCCGCAAATGTACAGGGTTGGTCGGCCGCAAGCCTTGTGGTACCTATCATTCACTCTCGTTAGCTTGGGTCGTCGGATTTATCACAGTGGGGTGATAGTGCGATTTTGAGTCATACCTCGAGAATACATCCGCACTCAGCACAGAGCCGACGACATTGCCCAAATGGGGAACATTGTTCACGTAGGGAAGCGCACTAGTAATGAGGATATTGCGCTCGCCCTCCTTGGGCAAGATTGGGTCTGAAGCCATTGTGGTTGAGGGATTGAAAGAGCGTAGATGGAGGGGTTCGGCGGAAAATAGATAAAGTGGGCATCTCGTGACATGCCCGAACGCCCCGCATATCAAAAATTATGAGAGCTCTCTTTGTTTCTTACCCCAATTCTTGACTCATACCCTTTTCCCGTCCCCCTTGCATTTTCCAATCGCTTCTTTCCTCCCGATGGAATCCAATCTTCTAGATAGTCTCCTCGACATTGAGGAGCAATTCTATAATGAAGGTTATAATCTTGGTGTTGCCGATGGTGCCGAGGCGGGCTACACTGAAGGTAGCGTCTTCGCTGTCGAGAAGGGCTTCGAGAAATTTGTGGAGATGGGGCGATTGTATGGCAAGGCGCTAGTCTGGGCCCAGCGACTAACCGATTCCAATCCATCGGAGACATCCGAACAGTCATTGGACCAGTCGGGGGCCAGTGCCGATGCTATCGCTCTCGATCCGTCAATCTGCAAAAAGATGTCTACGTTGCCGGCGCATAGTGCGCGCTTGACTAAGAATCTTTCTACCTTGCTGGAGCTTGTTGATCCGGCCTCTCTGGATATGACCAACACGGAGGAAGCTGTCAACGATGCAGATGAGCGTCTGAAAGGTGCTGCGGTCAAGGCGAAGCTCATTCAACGGGCAATGGGTGAAGGCGAAGACTCGTTGGATGCTCGACCGGGTATGAAAGAAGGCCAGAGGCCCGGAGATGGAACCGGTAGCATTGAAGACATCAGTGCGCTCAATGTCCGTCACTGAAGTGTCTCACATCGTGTACGATCATCATATCACTACGTCGGTGGCATCCTGCCGAAAGTGGCAAATATATGCATCCGGATCCTCCAACATTAGGATGTCTCGGACGAGCAGGGTTCTCGACGTCAGCAATGTTGGATGTGAAAGCTTGCCCCCGGTCCCGGGAACAGGCAATTCGAGAAACTTCATCGATGTGGCCCGCTCGTCTTCCATGAACACTTACACGCCAGTCAAGTCTCGCATACGCCCATTGCCGTCAAACAATCACCACGTCAAGTCGCGATTGGTGTTGAAGATAAAGCGACCAGAAAACACTGGGGTGCTGACAACAAAGTACTCGAGGATAGGAGCCGGATTGAAAGTACGATCATTTCTACACTCTGGCTCTGAGAAAGAGATTTCTATTTCGAAAGATCTCAAAGGCTACCATGCCACGCATCAAGTACGGGATGCGAAGAATTTTTGGAAAGCAAAGCAAATCACCAGCTATATAGTGCTAATGCTTCATGCACGGAGCTAGTCATTAGGATCCCAGTAGGATACTGGAGATCAAGATTCTTCATTTCAAAATCGTCATCATGTATGAATCAACCCGATTACTTCCCATAACCCGGCGTAACTTTTGATGCTCCGTTTACTTTTGCCTTTACTGTTTACTCCAGGCTGCGCACAGCCATGGCCATAGCGCCCTCCTTAGTCTTGTGGCCACCAATAAAGCCACTAGCGTGCACGAAGATCGCGCCTTCGGGAAGCTTGGGTTGACCGTTCTTCTCAGCCTCTGCGGCCAACACACCATCCAAATCCTGATCACGGACACCGCGCCACGTCTCGGGGAGCGGCTTGCGGGACTCGAAGCTGCTCTCGGAGACTGACACACACTGCACGCGCCACTTGGAGTCCTCGGCCGCGCTCTCGGGGTAGAGGACATAGTAAACCTGGGACTCCGGGGTGGCCGAAGCCTCACGCTCAAAGTTGTACAGGTGCTCCTTCCAGGGAACGCCACCTTGGGGCAGGACCATGATGCGGCCGGAGGGGTGGGCCTCGGTGCGGGAGGCGTAGGCGTTGCCCACAATGGTGCGGGCAGGCAACCAAGAGGTGGTAGAGTGGTGGAGCTTGCGGGCAAACACGTTTCCGATGAGAGTACTGGCGCGGCCGAAGAGGCTGTCCTCATCCTGGGGCTCGCCGGGAGGGCTGGTCGGGTCTGGGTTGTTCATGTCGTTGACGATGGAGGCGAGAGTGACGCCGTAGTCCTTGAAGCGCTTCTCCAGGTTGGCGGCAGCCACGGCGGTCTGGTCGTAAGCTGAGATTCCGTTGTCGTTGGCATCAATGGCCTCGATGAAGTCCGTGTACAGCTTCTTGTACAGCAGGTCGACATCGGCGTGGTCCTCGGGCAGGGACATGTGCTGGGCGATGATGGCACGGCCAAAGTGCATGTATACTAGACCAGCGGAGGACAGCTTGGTATTGTGCTTGGGGAAGACGGTGTTGAAGGTGCGCTGGTGATGATCATAGCGGTTGATGGCGGCATCGTACACGCCGCCCACATCCACAACGGTGTGGCATTGCTCCAGCTCGGCCGGGTCGCGTGTGCGAATGAGGGGAGAAGAAGCGTAGGTGGGCAGGAGGCGCAGGAGGTAGACGGCCAAGGCCTCGTCGGCGTGGAAGTGGCCGCTAGAGTAGCAAGTTAGAGATAGAACACTCTCGGAAATTCTTCCGTCGCATTGGATGGCGGGGTACGTACTTGTGGGTGCCAATCAAGGGCGAGGAGGTCTTGAGCTTCTTAGCAGCAGTTTCTTCGGCCATTTTGAACAGTTGGCGCAAACGTAGCATCCACGGGAAGGTAAATATCAAAAGTGAGGTAACCAGCTTTTGAAGCTCTTACGATTTGCTCTGCTCTGGCTGGCTGCCCGGTCTTATCAGTGCCATATCGGGAAAGTAGGGCTGGCGGCCAGGGCCTAGCCAAGTCACCTGATGGAGCGGAGCTGTTAAGCTTAACCGTTTCCGGCACCGTGGAATACGATTGATTGTATGGAGAATGTACTCGATAGTAGTACAGTACAGTATACTGTTGGAGTAACGGTGAGTTACTAAGTAATTGTATCTCGTTTGTTATTATTGCCGGAGGACTGATGTGGATAACTGTTGCCATACTGTCCTGACTAGGAATACAAAAGCCCTGGCTAGACCTCTTCATTTCCTTGTACAGTTACATCAAGGACTATGCTCCACCCACTCCAGTCCCAAGTACTGGGTACTTAAATCAGCCATCGGCACTCGCCTCTATTATGGCGTTATCGACTCGACATTATCACGTCGGATGAATAGCTCAAATCGCCATTAGAATAGCAAAATAGACCATGATAGAGCTCTTGAACGCCTTTCTACTAAGTAAACATGGTTTGACAGTCTGTGGCACCCCGGCCCCAGGTTGGAAAGCCCATCACGATACGGTGCTTTGACCGCCAGTCTTGCCCCTTGTGGGTGCCTTGACCTAATTACTGTTACTGAACACACAATAATACTGGCAAGGTTGCCAGTCAAAGAGTAGAAAGTAACAGAAAGCGTATCCGGTCAACTCATGCAGGGGGAGTATATCCTACAGTACTGCAAGAGTTTAGAAGTATACCTATCATAAACTATCAAATTATATGATCTACCAAATACTCCCACCGCCTGGAGAACAAACAACCACTTATTTTCTTGGTGTGTCAGTCTCCAGAAAATAATAATCAACCCAAAGCCGAAGAGCCCAAATTTCCACATCTCCTGCATTGCTGGTCGCCCCCCGAATTTAGCGGGCCCACGTGAAAGGGCGATAAGCTCGAGAAGAGAAAAAGAAAAACAGTCGTGTGCCCTCCCACCCCTCCTCTCTTTCAACCTCACCCCCTTCATCCTCTTTCCATCATCACCCTCCAACTCGATCCTCACCTCGGTCGCGCGCTGCGCGTCTCCCACTCCCGATGTGGCTCTTCCGCGTCTTCTCGTCGGCCGTCTTCCTCACCGTGGTCGTCTCCTCGATCCCTCTAGCCTTCGATGTGGGCGGCAAAGTATGCGGTCTGGCCTTTTCGCTATCACTCGCCACGTTCTATTTCCTCTTCTCGTTATTGAAGGTCTCCACCCCCGAGCGCTCGTGGTTCCGGTCCTCTCTGGTTGTCGTGGTTGGCTCCACCCAATGGATCCTGATCCCGATTCTGTTGATCTGGTCGTTGAATCGCTTCTCGGTCGATGGGGATAGTACCGGTGGATGGCTCGAGCGCACGTTCACGGGGCAGAGGGCGGCGGATAGTTCAATCCAGGAGTGGCTCTTTGGTCGGGATGGTTTGGTGGAGTCGGTGACTCTAGGCAACTGGGATCGACTGCTGCGCTGGTCCACCCCCGTGTTCCAGCTCGTAGAGGGCTTCTGCAGTTTACTGGTTATTCAAGCCGCGGGTCAAATTACTCGATGGCTGGTAAATCGAGGCGGGCGAAGTGACAGCTGGATGGTACGTGTTTCTTTTTCTCGGTGTTGACCCGTTCCCCTGCACCGCGATCGCTAACTTTTACCCAAGATTGGCCTCCTTGTTCTCTCCGCGACCGTCATCTCCAGCTCGGTATACTTCCTCTGGCGCGTTCTCCAGTTCCCCGAAATTTCCAATGTCGATGCGGCCCTGATTGGTGTTTCAATCACATGTGCGGTCATTTTGTGTGCGTGGGGTATTGGCAGTGGACGCGGAAACCCCGTGGAGAGCTCTCTGCTCTTCGCCTACATTGTCCTCTGCATCTATCAGATCTTTACGGATTACCAGCCCTCGTACCCGATCGAGCAGGTTCCTTCGCCTGCGCAGGCGGGTGATTTCCCTCCACTTCCTCCGATTATCATGGCATCGTATACCACCCTCATGCATGCGCTGTCTCTGCTACCTTCGATCATCCACGCCGCGTTCAACGTCATCACTGCCGTCTTCAGCGCCGTTACCCCGTCAGTTTTGATCTCTCTCGCATACCGGTTACTCGTGTTGTATGCGTCGACGCGCATCATTCCCGCCGTGCGAGAATCTGGAGCCCGCGCGCTCTCGCAGGAGGCCTCTCTGGATGATACCGATGCAGCGGGCCAGGTTCTAGGCTACCTGAGCTATTTCGCCCCGACTATTCTCATTGCTGTCTACACCAGTCTGCTGATGCAGCACTTCTCATCTGCATCGCAAGCCATGGGTGGCAGTGGTGAGTGGTGGAGCAGCCAAGGAGGCGGCGGGGGCAACCTTTGGAGGTGGATCAACCTTGCCTGTACAATGGGTCTCTATGCCGTTGAGCTTTGGCTCGGAGAGAATGACGATCTCGATAATGGTCTGGCCGGTCATTGGAAGACTGATTGAATTGAATAAATCTTATGGAACTCGATCAAAGTGTGCACTCTTGAGGTATCCATGCTCACGGGAGATCTCAATGCGTTTCGATCGCTTCTACAAAAGACCATTTCCTTCCGTGACCAGGGCGCTATCTTCGATCTGGAGCAGCGAGCCGCATCCCTGTTTCCAGATCAGCTCATCCGACCCCCTATCACGCTCCCGCAGACATCAATATCACATGGGAGTCGTATCAGTTTGGCCATCGCATGATCGGCCTAGAAAAAAAGCTGGGGCCACCAAAATTGCCATCGCATGGTGCCTGGTCTCATTTCAAATAGAGATTCTCTCCTTGCTCTCTGTCCCCGCACCTTCAATGCAAAGCTCCCAGTCCGACGTTATACTCGCGCACACTTGGATTCAGCCAATATTCAGGCTTTCCCAGTGTCAACGGGACCTTTTTTCTCCTCGCGCGCATGTATAAGTCACTTACCCATATTCCCCCAATCCTGGAGACGTTTACCTTTCTACCCGGGAGTCTCCGTTCCCTTTCTCCTCCAGGGTTGTTCCCCAATCCTCCTGTACAGCTTTGCTTGTACTATCGCAGGTTGTTACCAAACCTGCATTCCAGCCCATTCCATCCTCTCATGACGCCCCCATGATACCAATTGCAATGTTTCCTTACTATGTCTTGCATTCTTGTCATGTCTGTCTTTCTCCACGCCACGTGTCTGGCACTTTTATACCCTCTGTCGCCTGTGATCTTGTCTGGCTCGTTCTCGTTCCTTCAATGCAAGCTTGCTCCGTCTTATTTCTCTTTTTTTGCTTCACCAGTAATATCCATTGTCCCGCACTTGGCATCGGGCTTTTCCATCTTTATCCTTGTACTTGTACATACAACATATTGTGGGTGGTGGGTGCTTTCCTGGATATGATGCGCGTAATTAGAGACCATGTTCTGTTCGCACACCCTGTGGTCCTTCCTTAGGAGGAATACTTTTTGGGTGGTTCAAGTTCTGTTTTTTAGTCAATGGAATAAGAAGGGGAATCAAAAAAATTCGAAATCCTGTCTTTGGAGGCAAAGGATGATCATATTACTATGTAGCTGCTCCGTAAGATATGGAGATAACTAGTTCAGTCATCTCTCTCAGCTATCCATATGAGCCACAACACAGGTGCATCCCATATAAAGAAAACGCCGCTGCCCTCGGTAGCAACGACGAGAAGAGGAAAAGAGAGGGAGAGGAAAAGCGCGATGTGCATAGACCAGCACTGTCAGGCAAGGGGCATCACTGGAAAAAACTGTCGGTCACCTCATCCAGTGGAGACGGCGGGGGAGGTCGTAGGGCGTTAGCGAGGCTCTCCACTGCTTCCTTCAACGCTGGGTCCGTTATGGTCTGTAGGTAGTGTTCGAGGTGTTGAAACCCTTTGGAAAACGCAACGGCGTCCCAAACGAGGTCATCGGGGGAAGGCAAACGCGAATTAGGGCCAGCAAATGCGGAGGAGCCTCGGTAAGGAGTGTGCGAACTCCGATGAGGCCGGCATGATCTAGGGCCGCAATGGGCCACGCCTCAGGGTTTTCGGAAATGCACTGATGCAGGGCCTCGACGTTGTAGAGGAGGTTCATGACAGGTCCGACTTGGTCGGGAGGTCCCTGGAGCATGCTGATTTTGGAGCGTAGTTCCGTATCCTTGATAGATGCCGAACGAGGAGGTGGGATTGCAAAGTGTCCCGGAGCTGGTATGTCGGTATTCACGGTTAGGTTCATCATACGCCCTGTCACGGCGCTCACGCTGCTCTCGGTATTGCTGGTGTCAGTGGTGTCCTGGTCAGTATTGGTGGTGTCCATGTCAGTGTCGGTTGGGATGTCAAGCGAGGTGGTGCGAGGAACGATCCTGCCGCGACGGGGGTCGGTGGCTTGATCCGCCATATTTGGTGGAGTAGCTCGGTAGCGGAGAGGAAGGACGAAAGATGAAGCAGGGTAAGCAAGGTATTCTGAGAGTAAAGAGGAGATGAAGAGGTAGCGAAAAGGGGAAGTTAAGGATGAGGCAGAGAGGGAAGGAGAATAAATAGTACAGTGGTAAGGGAATAGACGCGAGCAAACAGGTGGAAAAGGAAAAAGGCAATGGCATGTAGGCAATAGATATGATCTGGAGGCGCAAAAGAGAGTGGTACGAAGTATGAAATATCGATATCAACAAGCCCGCGTCAGACGTAGGGTTGATTGTTGGAGTCCTGCCCATGATGCAGGACGTCTTGAAGGTCTTCCAAGACCTTCTCTTCGGCTTCGAGCAGGCTATGTTCGTCGGGCCAGTCGAGGTGTTCGTTACCTAGTTCGGACCATCAAGCCAGGTACGGATGGATATGCACGTCTAACGCAGGGTCTAGAGTGAACTAGCCGGTCCAACATCTAGTAAGCATCACCTTATGGTGCGTCGTGGCTATCACGGCTAGCTAGGCCACACAATTCATCACGACAGGCTGCGATAAGTTTGTCGATAATGTCTCGTATTTCACGTCGGCTGTAAGTGGCGTGGTGGCATCATCGATAACTCCAGCTAGGTACTTGGTGTCTTCGGCTGCGTAAGACGGAAGCTGGAGTCCAAAAAATGGCCGTCAGAAGCAGAGAGCTCATCAACAACTTTGAGGAAGTCGCGAATAAGCCAATCAGCAGGATGAGGATTATTCTATGAAAGGTATAGGGCTTTGAAAGAGGTAGCAGCAGCAAGATCTCGACTGCGGAGGTCGTGATAGGCCTTGACTGTTGAAAGAAGCCCCACGACTGCAACAGTCCGGCAGACAGAGATAGGGGAAGACTGCTGTGTATGATGCAGGAGTCCGGGGTTTGCTACCTGTGTGTTACGGAACAAACTTAGGAGGCAGAAGATGATCTTATTACTAGTACTAGTACTAGGTGATATAGCTGCTACGTAGGTAAGATACTTATCTGTTAGGTACCTATGGAGATAACTTGCCTAGTCATCCATCTTATAGGTAGGCCTATCCATGGTATGAGCCACCACATATCATGGAATGAAATCAAAGAAAATTGAAAATAACATGTTACATTCAAACCAGATGTTATACGATTTGAGTAAGATAAGATAACAAAGGAAACTAAAAGAAACAGAAGCATGACTAGTGCAACAAAGCAGATCAACTCGAGAAGGAGAAACGAGAAACAGATACAGCGTAAGCGTAAGCGTAATATGCAAATTGTTTAGAAAAGAAAACGTCCGAGATGGAATGACAGTAACGAGTAACAATAATACAGATGAAGATGGAGATGGAGATGAATATCGCATGAACTCAAGTATAAACAAGCTGAAGAAAGTAAGGAAATAATAAGAATTGAATCGATGACCTGGGCACAAGGACGTTCCGGGTGTTGGGCGAATATACTTCTTCAAGTATGCATGAGTACCTCGGCCTTGATATCCCATACCCATACCCGTGTCCAGTCCCAGTAGTCTCTCTCCTTCCAGGTAATTTCTTCTCATTCCCTTTCAATATGTGTTTTCAAGATGAGTTTTTCACTTGCTTTGTTTTCCCAGCTGTCCAACAATTGCCCTGTCCCGCAGTGCACCACCTCGCAAAAGTAAAAAAACCTAACAATCCCATAGCGCCAGGCTTTTGAACCCGAAAAGACCAAAAAAAGAGAAACATAGTATCATATCGCAGATAGCAGATCGAGATAAACCCTCAATCCCTCCCAGACCCAACCTAAAACAGTGGGAATCCACAAAAGAAAAACAAAAATCAAAGCGGGGTACCAAAGAAGCCATGCAATGTAAATGCTCCATCAGGAACAAATCAAGTCTCAAGTCTGAACCAGGTTCTACCCGGTAACAGCTCAGACAATACACCTCATCTGTCCTCTCCATCCCTACATCACTGGCGGATGGGGACACCTTCCCTTGCGGGTGGTGGGCTGACACTGGGATCCTTGCCCTCATTGCTACTACCAGCGCCATTGTCATCCATACCCATCGAGCCCTCACTGAGACTCGATCCACGGTGCAGGTAACTACCCTCCTTCACGGGCGAGCGGCTCTGGAAGCCGATCGAGCCTGGGTGTCCGCTGATGCTGCCGGGGATCTGTTGGCCGATGCCTGCCATGCTACCTCCATTGCCGGAGCCACCGGGGTTCGCGGCACCTGGCGAAGTCGCAGTGAGATGGGGGATGTTCTCCGGGACCGGGTGGCGGGAGCCAATGCTGGTGACGCCGACATCCGAGGCTTTGCCAGCTTTGCTGAGGGCGTAGTCGCCCGAGTCGAAGTATTTGCGCTCCTGTTTGTGGGAAGAGTGGGTGTGTTAGTTGGGCGTGGATTTGGTAATGTTTGGGTGTGAAAGTGGGTTCGATGGGAAGAGGATGGGTGGTTGGGTACGATTGGAGAGGGCCCGGCTGGGACACACCTTGAGCTTGTTCTGGAGGAGATCTTTCTTGGTGGGCATTTTGCCGTAGAGACGCAGCAGACGCTGCTCCTCTGGGCTCATCGACTGGGGGAGATTGTTAGTGAGAGTTCATGGAGGTTGGAGGTTAGGCGTGGGCTCACGTTGATATCGACTTTGTTCTGCTGGTGGGGATTCATGGTGGATGGTGTTGGGGGAGTGGAAGTGCCACAAAGCGGGAGGGGGCAGAAATGGTAAAGTAGATGTTTGTGTGTGGATGAGCAAAGACCGATGGTTGAGAGAAATCGATAATCAAGAGTGAAGGAGAGAAGAAGTTGGGAGATAGGAAGAAGAGGAAGTGGATGAAGTTGAGTTGGCGGTGCGGAAATCCAAACGGAGTCGGGGGACTGTCGATAACGCGGGGCTTCGAAAGACACTGGAAGACTGGAGGATATCCGGTACTCGTCTCGTACACTTGGTACTGTACTGGTAATCCTACGGGGAAGTTTACCTTTTTAGCTTATTGTTTCATTTCCTTACTCGTGAATAATGTTTCTAGTTATCCCTCTATCAGACTGTGTTCTCTCTTCTAGCAAAATCACTCTCCTCGATAACCCACCCACCCCTAGTACGTCATCAAGGAGACTGTGACGAGTGCGGCGGTGGCATAGGCAGTAGCAGCAGCCGAAGCAGCAGCAACGTAGCTAAGCTTTCAATCGTCGGGATCCGAATTTCTGACGTGGTTCAGGAATTAACCTCGAGAACCTATCATTATTAGTTACAGTATTCATTTAGTCTTCTAGTCAGGCGGACCTTCTCCGAACGCAAAAAGTCGCCGCATCCGCACATTTTTGGGACCCAACGGCAACTGACCAAAATGACGGCACAAAAAGAGGCAAAAATTAAGTTCTGATTTCATGTCTGTTTGAATCCAAAGGTGGGGTATAGATATTGAGTATGTAGACTATGTGAATGAAAATAGTTTCCTTAGATGTTGTAGACTATAGAGTACGATAAAAAAACAATTCTGTAGTAGTAGCCATTCTAATGCCCTCTCTCTTCCCTCCAGTTGATCCACGGGGCACCGCCAAACTCTGCTTCGTCCTTCCGCTTCTTCAACTCGACGACGACTTTCCCCCCCACGCCGACATCCCTCAGCTCAAAAGGAATCAATTATCAATTCCAGGTTTCTTATCATGACTGACCAGAAGACCCAACAGCCCAAGGCCTTTGTGGTCGAGCACCTGGATCCCGAACTGGGGCCATGGTCCGCCTTGGAATACGCTGCTATTGCCCGCGAGTCCCATGCCAACGGCGCTCGCTTCTTGCTCAGTTCGGTGCCCGCCGAACTGCAGATGCCCGCCGAGCTGGCCGCTACGAAGGGCTTGGAGGTTGAGCAGCGTGGTGTCGAGGAGATTTTTGCGGATCGGAAGGACAAGGTCTGTCTGTTGGATCCTTCTGCGAAGACGGAGTTGAGCCCGGAGGATGGTGATGTTTTTGAGGTGTTTTTGTTTGGTGGTATTCTCGGTATGAAGCTCTCTACTCATTTTCACTTATAATGCCCATTGGGTGCATTTTCACCCCCGCCGTCTGGTTAATCTACGTGGGTTGCGGGGGACATGATTGAATTTGGGCTAACACGGCATACTTCATTTCTGTGGGCATATAGGTGATGATCCGCCTCGGGGTATGTAAAATGATCTATATTTCCCCAATCGCTGCACTGCTGCATAGCGAAGTAGCGGATTGGCCTCGGATACTAACATTTGGTAGATCGCACTTCCGAACTACGGAAGAAGGGCTACAATGGCCGTCGCCTTGGACCCAAGCAGATGACGACTGATACTGCCGTGCGAGTGACCCGCATGGTGGTGCACGAACGAGGTAGGCAATCTTCATGGACTCTGAATTATGACTGAACTCTGGAGGAGCTCGCTAACTAACCACCCCTCCTCGTGTACTGTAGTACCCCTCGAGAAGATCTCCTACGTGGATTACCCAGAGATTTTGATCAATGAGCACGAACGGACCGAAATGCCATTCCGCTACGTGGTAGACGCCAAGGGTGAGCCTATCATGCCTGATGTAAGTCAATCCTTTTCTTCGTTACTTTCCGCAGTGGCTCGTTAGCTTACCAGTTTCTTCAGGGGATGGTGGATCTGATTAAGAACGACGCCGACAAGGGCGTCGGTGATCTTTTCTGAGCTGGGACGGGCTCCACGTCGAACCCCCCTCTAAAAAATACCAATTCATCAAGGTCAAAACGCCTCGCGGTTTCAGATGATGATCCCGATTTATATGCTTGTAGTTCTGGAATTATGATTGTTCCATGCCTTCCCAGGGCAGGTTTCGTCTTATCTTGGCTTTCTGGGTTGCTGGACATGGAATAGTTCCAGACCAAGTTAAAGTACTCTCCAACAAAGGGGGATCGAGACAATTCGAACCACGGGTTGTACTGGCCGTAAATAGATGTCAATAGGAAAAAATAACCTCTCTTCTGCCAATGAATGATGAGCTTCTTCACGGACTAGCTTCACTAGCTTGCGACTCCTATTCTTCCTGCTAATCATCGGTTGGTGGCGTATCTTATAGACCTACGAAATAGGCAACGGGCCATCCGACAGTGGTATTGTTTGTAATGTTTTGGAATTGGTAAAACATGGATTATTTCACGAAAGTGTGCGGAAAGAGTGTGTAATATACATGTAATACAATTACCATATATACTCCCGTGCCGAGTCGAGGCCACGCCAGCAGTTCGTGCCGTCATTGGGATTCTTCTTCTGACTGTGCTGTACTTTTCGGAGGGCCTGCGACCATCCCTCCGATTCTATTCTTTCTTTCATTTCTAGCTCTGGAGAGCTTCTCATCCTCATCTTCCTCTCCAACTTCCGCCCTTTCTGCGACTCGCTCTCTGCTTCAGTTCGGCTTCCGATGGTTGTTTAAGCCGCGCCTGTCCGTGGCGGCCCTGACTGACCGGCTCCCAGTGACCGACACTGCCACGTTTCGTCGCAATTCTTTGTTGGATCACCGACCGAAGAGCTTACGAATATACCTACCTCCCTTCCGTATCCGTCCTCACTCGCTCAAATAAGGGTGTCGCCCTCGCCATGCTCTCATGGTCGCTATCCCTGCTGCTAGCCCCGGCGCTGGCAGCAGCCAGCTCCGCGGCTGATTATTATGTTCATTCGCTGCCTGGCGCTCCAGAGGGCCCGCTGTTGAAGATGCATGCTGGGTGAGTTCATGCGGTTGATGAGATAATTCGTGGAGATATCAAAAAGGAGCATTTGCTGATACTTGAATTCTGGCTAGACACATCGAGGTGGACCCTGAGAACAATGGTAATCTGTTCTTTTGGCATTATCAGAACCGTCACATCGCGAACAGACAACGGACTGTCATTTGGTTGAACGGCGGTCCTGGATGTAGCTCGATGGATGGCGCGTTGATGGAGGTGGGACCTTATCGGCTGAAGGACGACCATACATTGGAATACAATAAGGGCTCGTGGGACGAGTTTGCCAACTTGCTGTTCGTCGATCAGCCGATTGGTACGGGGTTCAGCTATGTGAACACGAATAGCTATATCCATGAGCTGCCAGAGATGTCGGCCCAGTTTATGGTCTTCTTGGAAAAGTTCTTCCAGCTGTTCCCGGAGTATGAGAGAGACGATGTAAGTGGTCGCGTGCTACACCTGCAAACTTCGGCTTTGAAGGAAGGGATTGCTGATGGAATTACAGATCTACATAGCTGGCGAATCTTACGCGGGCATGTATATCCCCCACATTGCCACAGCTATTCAGATGCGCAACAAGGCCGCCGAGCAGGAAGGAAAGACGAAATGGCCCTTGAAGGGAGTGTTGATTGGCAACGGCTGGATCTCCCCCTATGATCAGTCGCCCGCCTATTTCGAGTTCGCTCAACGCATGGGTTTGATTAACGAGGGAACCCAGTCCTACCGCGAAATCGACGCCCTGAACTCGATCTGCCTGGCTGCGCTTGAGGACCCGCGTAGCAAGGAGATGGTCAACATTCGTCAGTGCGAGGAAGTCTTGCAGGGATTGACTAGATTGACTACTAAGGATGGCAAATGTGTCAACACCTACGACATTCGCTTGCAGGATACATACCCCGAGTGCGGTATGAACTGGCCCCCAGACTTGGCCAATATTACGCCTTACCTCCGTCGCCAGGATGTGAGACAAGCCTTGAATATCAACCCCGCCAAAACGGCCGGCTGGACCGAGTGTAATTCGGCTGTTAGCCAGACTTTCCTTGCCACCCACTCCATCCCGGGTGTCAAGCTGCTTCCCGCCCTGCTTGAATCGGACGTCAACGTGCTCCTGTTCAGTGGTGACCAGGATCTGATCTGTAACCATCTCGGCACAGAGACTCTTATCCACAACATGAAGTGGAAAGGTGCGACAGGTTTCGAGACGGACCCGGGCGTGTGGGCTCCGCGTCACGATTGGACCTTCGAGGGTGAACCCGCTGGTATCTACCAATACGCCCGCAACCTGACCTACGTCCTCTTCTACAACTCCAGCCACATGGTCCCCTTCGACCAACCCCGCCAAACCCGCGACATGCTCGACCGCTTCATGAGAGTCGACATCGCCAGCATCGGCGGCCGCCCCGCCGACTCGCGCATCGACGGCGAAAAACTCCCCCAGACCTCCGTCGGCGGCCACCCCAACAGCACCGCAGCCGAGGAACAAGAAAACAAAAAGCTCAAGGAAACCGAAATGCACGCCTACACCAAATCCGGCGAGGCCATCCTTGTCGTCGTCATCATCGGCGTTACCGTCTGGGGCTTCTTCATCTGGCGTTCTCGTCGTTCTCACAAGGGTTACCGCGGCGTGAAGAACCCGGATCTACGGGGTGGATCATCTGTCCTCGATCGCTTCCATAATAAACGGTCTGCGGCGGATGTCGAGGCTGGTGATTTCGATGAGTCTGAGCTTGATGCGCTGCATTCGCCTGGCCTTGATCGTGAGCATTATGTTGTTGGGGATGATTTGAGTGGAGATGAGGATGAGGGGGCTGGGAAGAATGGGAATCACCGTCAACCGTCGGCGTCATCATCTTCGTGATGTTGAATGATGCATCTTTTGGCGTGGGGGGTTGGTTCGGTTTTCCTCTTGGTTGGGTCTACTCGTTGGGGTTGTTTGTTTGTTTTGTTGTTTGATAAGGTTGCGTGCATCTGTGCATAGTTGGGCGTATACGTTAAGTATCCATTTTTTTAATAGACTAAATATATTCAGTCATTGGTTCTGCTTTGATTTTCTCTTACTTCCAAGTCAAAATAGTCCAATCATAAGTTTCGACATTTATAACGGCTATATATCCAATTTCTCTGAACCGGTAGAACTGATACCGTTCACCACAGTATGCCAGGTTCATCAATCTGAACCACAATTGGAAATTCGAAATCCTCGTTACAATCACAGGTTTGAATGACACATCAAGAAAGACGACTCAAAAGACATCTAGAAAGATGTTTCGAAAACGAGCAAGTTGAAGCATATGGATCTGGTTGGAACGGACTGTAAAGCGTCTCTGGTCCTATAGGTAGGTTCTAGCTTTTGAACTGCGATTATACTCACTGGAAATCATTTACCAGATACTCAATACTAGGACCTGTATCTGAAGCTGAGTTACATATGCGTAGTGACTTCTTGATTCCTGCTGAACGTGACCGCGTCAAGAGCTGCCGGGACATCTTCCTTGGTGCCACCATCAGGAACTTGGACGGTTGCAACGATCGCGTGCGTTCCCTTTTCGTGCCTTTGCCTCCACTGCTTTTAGGAAGCTGGAATTTTGGTACCTGCATTCACCTGAACCCTAAACCTGGAATCTATGGGACTTGTTCCCATTCTCCTCGATAGTGCCCGCGAAATCGAAACACACTCCTAGACTCTCAAGCTCTGCCGCTGTCTTGGGGTAGGTGGTTTAGTGGACCGCAACACTTGGTCGCGCTAGCTTTTTGTTGGCATATTTGAGGATGGTGCCCTTGACCTTGCTCCACTTGTTAGGCATGTAGACGATGGTGCCGGTTGCCGTCAACACGCGTTTCTGTTCCCTCCGAGAGCTGTTATAGAAGATTAATCGAAGAAACCGGGGAAGGTGACCGTATGAAGAGGGGTTTGTGGTGGAGGCTGTAGAGCGTTCGTGATCTCTGCCAGGGCCGTCTTCAGCGGTCCATCCTCCAGAGTCTGCAAAGAGAGCTCTCTCCAAAGTTGGGACTGATACCTTTCATGAGAATAATAGTATCATGAATTGTACTCATAAACATGCTTTCTAGCTATATTGTGATCAATATACATTTCTTTTCGGTCATTGACCGCTGTCTACATGTAAGCCCCAAACCCCTCCGGTATGAACCCTCACTCCATACTAAGTATAGCTCTTTGGATGGATGGATGGAGGGGTGGATATCATATCACATCGTTTCCTGCCGTTTTTCATGTATAGACTTCACCGCTGAAGCGTCCACACCTTCACACTCCCATCATCCGCAGTTGTCACCAAAACCTCTTCCTCCTGACCCTCCGTAGACCCTCGATCCGCTCGCTTCGCCCAAGCAGCATGGTTGATCTCATAGATGCCATGTGCGCCATCCACAACCGCAAGAATAGACCATTCTGTCTGCACGGATGGCTTCTTCGTAGACTCGGTTTCCATGGCATCTGCGTCAGACGCGGGTGCGTTGACGATTCGCTCGTCGTATAGCACAATTCGTCCATCGGCGCCGACGGATGCGACGATTCCGGTGCGTCGACTCCACGCCACGGCGTATACGGCCAGTTCGTGTGCGTGGGGCAGCACTGCGTCTTCCTCCCATGTCTCATCTGATCCAGTTGGCCGGATGATACTCGGGATTCCGGTTGATGCAGACGAGTTCAAGCCAGGGCTTCCGTTTTCTTTTGGCAAGCGGCGCCAGATCCGGACGGTTCGGTCATCTGAGCAAGAAAGCAAACGGGGGCCAGATAAGGCATGCTGCTCGCGCCACTGGTTCACTAGCTCTGCGCCCTCATCTGCTGATGATGAAGAAGAAGTCAATGGCACATTGTCCACACTCTCCCAATCCAGGAACCACACCGTGCCACTATGCGCTTTAATACACGCAACTTGACCCCAATCATCCAAATCCTCCCGCCAAACCCGGATCGTATCATCATAGCCACCACTCGCAAGACACTCCTCCGCGGGATGCCACGCAACACACTTCACATCACCCCCATGCTCCTGCATAACCGCTACCGTCTCGAAATTGTTATCTCCGTCATCGAGATCCTCCCAGATCCAAATTGACTTGTCCCGCGCACACGTCGCAAGCAACATCCCCGACGCAGACCACGACACAGACTTGACCTCGCTATCGTGGCCATCCAGCAACACGGCGAACCGCCATTCCTCATCTTCCTCGTCATTATCCCCTGCATCGGGGTTAGACGCGGATGCATCATCGGCACCGGCGCTGGCACTACCGCCTTCCGTCCGCCCATAACTATCCCATCGTCGCCAGACGCCGACTGTGGCGTCGAAGGAGCCCGTTGCAAGCACGCTTTCACCTTGTACGTGCGGCTTCCAGGCGGCGGTGCGGACACTGCGCTTATGGCCGCCTGTGATTGTGGAGAGGAGCTTGAAGTTCGTGAGCGAGTATACTCGCACGGTCTTGTCGGAGCTGCAGGTTGCGACGATGGGGAGGGTGGGGTGCGGGGCTGAGAGCCATGCTCGTTCGAGGGAGGGTGGTGTGAGGTCTGAGAGGAGGGAGAGGGTTGGCGGGGCCATTGTGTATGTTTTTTGCGAGGCAGGAGAGATTCACTCTTGCTGCAGGTTGGTTGGTGGTGGAGGGAGGAATTTGAGGTTGAGGGTGGTAGGGTTAAGAATGTGGTGGATGTGGGGTGGATGGGAAGAAGGTTGTAGATAAGATAGCGGATATGCTTAGTTATATCATTTTATCTACAAAGATATGTATCAGATAGTGAGGAGTAGATGTATAGAACGAAGATGAAAAGTTCAAATTGGTCTCATTGCATTGGTTCAAACTCCAAGAATCTCAAGTCATGGCCTCAAATTACAAGCAATTCCTCCATTCCCATCCCAATCCCAAAGCCAGTCATAGTCCTGCCAGTCTGCCCATATTGCGAGCGTCCCAAGCAAACAAAGTCAAATGCAAATGCGTAGAAATGAGCAAAGGAACAAGACACTGATACTACCACTCAAGCTGGCAAAAGAAAACAGAAAAGGCAATTAACTCCAAAAGTCATGATATAATAATATAATTAGAACACGTCGAGGACGCCTCTCACTGTGGAGGAACACTCTCCTCACACAGACGCTCATACACGCTGTTGTGACAGAGCCAGTCGACCTCGCGCACTTTCTCTAGCTCATCGACCAACTTGCCCACTTCACTGACAAATTCAGGCATACCTGCCGCGGCGAGGCTCTGACTTGCGGTCGTGGTGGCTCGGACTCGCTCGGAGGCACTTGATGCACTAAGACGAGAGAGCACATGGCTCCGCAGACGGGAGAGGATGAGTTTGGCCACCGGGTCCGAGAAGCTTAACGCGGAAGGCCCATTTGCAGTGTGCTCGGTTGGCACCTGGGAGGATGTCTCAGCATGAACCTGCACGGTAGGCTGAGATGCGGCGGAGGAACTTGCAGTTGCGACGGGTGTAAGCACTCGTCTAATCGTGGCGGCAAGCTGGGCACTTGCAGCGGGCGGCATTGGATGTGTGGACTCAAGAATAGAGTGTACACGTTCGGCGCTAATCTCGTTGAAGTTCAGAGACAGAATCCGATCAGCCTCTGGCTTCCATTGAGACCGCGCATCCCGCTTCAGCAAATTCTTGGCAGTCAGTAAGATCGACGCCGTCGCCACAATTTGGAACGCTTTCGCGTGTAGTCGCTCCAATCGCTGCTGGTCAAGTGCTAGGGTTTCCGGGATCAAATCCTCAGATACGATAGCATTGCTTAGCACCAAGTCTGCGAGGCCATGTGCATAGACCCGCGACGCAGGGGGGCGAGGCTCTCCATGGATGCTCTCCGGGTCTCGCTTCTTCATTTCATCGACGATAATCTTTCGATTTGTGCGCCAGAAACGGCGGGTCTTTCCGAGTGTAATTGTGCCATCAGTCATACCCTTGTTGAAGGTCCGCTGCTCATAGCCTGGCGCCTCCTGGATAAGCTGTGGTGCGGCTACCTGAATCATAAAGTTCGTGTGATCCAGCGACAACAGGTCAATTATACTCATCAATCTTGCCAATCGATCGATGGCATCGCCGGAGGTATCCTCAGCGAATGCTTTGACAACTGGGTCTCGGTATGGCGCGCAGAGGCGAGGCAAAATATTGTTCATAAAGTCGAAGAAGTTCTCATAAGAGAATGAGCCCGCCTTGCACTGACTCTCAACCAACTTTGGATCCAAAACGTCGCTAATAAGGACGTAAAGGGAGTTGCCCGGTTGAAGCGAGCGTAATAACCGGTCTTGAATCACAGTGGCCATGGCAACAGTCCAGCCAGTGCCATGCCCTGATTCCACATCTCGTCTCATCTGTTCGCACATATGCTCCATAATTTGCCGTCTAGGATCTGTATATGATGCTTCTTCTATCTTGTATTCTTTGTTAAGCAGAAGTTCGTGTACCAAAACCCGATTCTCGGGAAGCGCCGTGAGGATCTTGGTGAATCGTTCATGTGGAGACGCGCGCTGCTTATCCAGCTCTTGGAGAACGGCGGCATCCACGTTGTTAAAGGACTCGCTAATGGGAGATGTAACACTCTCGGTCAGGGCATCCGTTGACGAAGCTGCGGCAACCTCGGTAGAACGAGGAATGGCCTGCTTCGAGGCAGAGCGTTTCTTCTCTCGCTTGGCTTTCTTGAGAGTCTCTCTGATCATCTGCATGGCTTTATCCGAGCCTGCAAGTCGCTTGAGTCGGGCCAGGAGGAGAATCTGATTCTGCCGGATGCCTTGACGATAATCATCAGCCGCGCCACCGGCTTCGTCGTCTTTGACGGTCTGCCAGATAAGTTCTAGTTCAACAAACTGCGCAAGCATGATTTCAATCAAAACACTCGAGTCATGAGACTTCCATGCATGGAACGTTGAGAAAAAGACATTATGCGATTCGCACAAGGATTGCAGATCGGCGGTGATCACAGTTGGCGAGCAGCAACCGGACGAAAGCAAAGCCGTGACTTGGTCAAACACGACTAGAAGCTCACGCGCCTTGCTGATCAGGTCCTGCTCCTGTTCCCCATCGCCGCTCAAAACCTCGGTCGGATGGGTAACAATTAAATAGCTGCTGAGGAATGTGCGTACTGCACCTTGCTCGCCCATGGCTCCGCCTTCCATGTCCTGTAGTCCGCATAGGCGGAGAACCTTGGTCATGGTCTCCAGCACGCCCTTGTTGGACAGAAGGGCTCCCACTGTCTCGAAGGACATCTCGCGCACTTGGTTGACTGACAAATTCAACGAGCGAAATTCTCCCATCACCGCTTTCGCGTGATGCGTTCTCCAGACTCGCTGGATCTTTCTCGCCGCGGTGTCCCGTGTCTGAGACTTGGTGACCGCTCGGGCCATCTTCTTCTCCTCCGCAGCCGGCAAGCTGCTTGTGCGCTGGCGACGATGGGTTTGCTGATAAAGTGCCCGTCGCTTCTCTGCCTCTGCAAACTTCTCAGCCATTTCAAGCCGGAGACGTGCGTGCTCTGCGGCCTTCTTCTCCCGCTGATCCTCGGCCTTCTTCTTTGCTCGCTTGACCTGATCCTCGCACTTGGCGGCAATGTCGGCCAGGAGACGCTCCCGGGCTTGCTGCGCTGCCAACGCACGCTCCTCGCTGTGTAAGTTTCTGGTTGTTGCCTTGGCCAGGGCGGCGCGCAGTCGCACCTTCTCGGCGTGCAGCGCGCGATCGGCTAGTCGGGCTTTGCGGGTTTCGAGGATAGAAGTGCGACGGAGATGCTGGGCAATATGATCCGTGCTGGTAGAGCCATTTGAGGATGCGTTGGAATGATGTGAGTGCAGCGAAGAAACGGAGCTACGCCGCGAAGAAGCCGCAGACGAGCGCCGGGCCTTGCTGTTTCGGCGGTAAAAGCGAGCGGCGATGTGCGGCGGGAGAGTCAACGGCGGTGCGGGCTCCTCGGATGTCATTTCCACGTCCGGTTCGCTCACGGAGTCGGGAGAAAGGGGGGTTGGCCCCGCATCAGGGAGCTGAATCTCGATGTCGGAGTTGCGGCGCAGCATCGTCGAGGCAAGACCGGACCAGTGCGACACACCGTAGGGGCGGGGCAGGTCTGAACTGATAAGCGATTAGACGAGGCCGTGAGCTCGGAACGAAAGGCACTTTTAACCAACCTGATCACTGTCGCGCTCTTTATGAAGTCAGGAGCTCAAAATGAGGGGGCGAGCAATCTGGAGGCCTGAAACTAAAGACGGAGGAGCAAGTTCATGCCAGGGCAATGGCTGGGGTTGCGGAGGGATCCGTGCTTCGTTTCAGAGTAAAGGAGAGGATTCATTCCATGTTGGAAAAGGAAGAAAGAAGAGGAGGAGAGGAGGCAGTACAAGAATAAAAAGAATGGTATAGATTTGCCTTGCCCATCCACGAAACCGGGCAGGACTGCGAGTCGATTGCTGATCCGATGGAATCGCATGGCCGCAAGCAGAAAGACGTCAACGCGGCTTAGCTAAGCTGCAGCATGCATGGGGATCCCTCGATGGCACTTGACCTTCTTGGGCATCACCAGCCTTACTTCGAAGCTTATTAGGAATTTGATATCAACTGCATGTAGGTAAAGTCTATCCTGCTGATAGTTTGGATTTATTGCATAATAGTTTGGTTGGCGTTTGTGTATTGATTCCAATACCAAAGTTATCTTCCCGTATCTTTGTGTATATTTGACCCGGAGCTCCAACAAAATAAGATGAAACTTAGAATTATATATACACAAGAAACTGCAAGCGGAAACTGCAGACCTACCTAGTGTCAACCGAATTAATATAGGTCAGTAGGCTCCCACTGACTGCTCAATAGCATGTGAGGGGCACTACCACATGGCTACGCCCCCAACAGAGGTTTGTCCATGTGACCATTCGTAGTTAACCCAACCAGACCCAGACAAGCATATTCCAGCGAGGCACATGAATCTAGTCAGTCCTATTTCTGCAGATACACCATCAGAATAAAGTCGAGTAGGTATGCCTCCTTGAGCCCTTGTGATAAGAGCCACGAGTTACCCATCCATGATCAACTCACCATCCGACAAATATCGCCAGTGTCGATATGAAACAGATCGCGTAACCCTAAGTGGAAATTGCTAATTCAACAATACACCCTTTAGTCTGGTTTAGGGTAGTAATGGTATCCAGTATAATCCTCCAAGTAGGATATCGTTATAGTAGTTCAAAAGTCTGAGTCTAGAAACCAGAGAAACAGACCAACTAGACATGCTTCAGTCACTCTTTTTCGAAAGGTCTTTCTGACTGTCTTTCTACGTCTGCAGGCGCGGATCAATAACATAAACCCGTTGATGCCACTCGTCTCAGCCATTTCGATATGCCGATAGGCGATGACTTGCTCGAAATAGGATTACCAACCCCAATTTGATCCTGGTTGCACACGTCGGCGAGCATCACGCCTTTGAATCCGCGCATAGATTGTAGCCGGAAAAAGGGAGCAATTTTGTATAATCGAGATAGAGAACCCCAGCTGAACGGTACTCATACAGTTTTCTTGCTAAAACACTGGAAACCCATTATTTAGGGCGATAAAAGCCAGAGATCATTTGGAGACATCGATGTCTCCTCCCCGCTCCATACCTAGCGACTGTATGTTGGGCAATTAGCCGAGCAGCATCGTCAGCCAGAGGTCCCGATCCAATAGCTGCATTCCTCTTTAATGATAGCCGCGGCCATCCATCCTTCATATTCGACATCGGAAGTTGTGAAATTCTGCATGAGGGACTCTTTCATGGAAAATTGCATAAGATGTGAGCTGAAAAAATGACACTTGCCAGCAGGGTTCTTTGATTTGGTAACAGAGATGCGGGTAACTTGCTGTGCATGGTCTCGCATATCTACGGGAATCTCCGTAAGAGTCCGGAGGGATTTCTCACAGATATAATGGATATTGATCGAGATGTATGCCTCTTGGAGGGTAGTTCCTTGGAGTCGAGGGCAACAGCTTGCCAAGTGAAGCCTCTCCGAAGAATAAGGGTGACATATTACAATCAGAGCGAAGAGTTCGGCGGGCAAATTGAGAGGCTTGGTTGAATAAAGGCTCACGAGACTGTTGACGGTTAGATCATTAAAAAAAGAACAACTCAATGCGGGACAAAGGGGCGAATATGTAGCTTGCACTAACGATACTAGCATCAAAAAAGCACTTTGTCTGTACGGTATACTTCCTAGTAACATCCTTTAGACACTAAATACAACAAACAAAAGCTGATACTGGGATACTGAGGCTTCTGAATATTAATATTAAATGTACACTAATGAACAACCCTGTTTTTCACAGGGAAGAAGCAATGACACTCTCATCTTCCTAATTCCCACTTCTGACCTCCACCTCTCCACCACTCCACAGCCCAATACCTATTCGTCAGGCATGATTGAATGACAAGAAGAGCAGAAAACGCCCAGGGTGAGAGAATTAAGGACACAAAGGTAACGAAAGTCAGTCTGAGCTCAGCGCTGTAGAAATCACTCGCCTCTCAGCTGCTTGCTGTAGGAAGATCGACGATAGACATAGTCCTCGTCCAAGTGATCCTCCATCCCACGTCCGAGCCACCCTTCTTCATCCTCATCTACGCGCCACTGTCTCCACTCTTCCTCATCCTTGGCCTCTGCGCGGAACCTGCAGATGGCAAGGTCAATCATGAAGGGCTTGTAGTGATTTGCTCTGAGCTTCTTCACGATGACATTTCTGACCTGAAAATCCAGGTTCAGGATTCCGCGCTCGCCCGTAGCCCGGAGAAGTTGCATGGCATCCTGACAGATGCTATTCCAGAGCTCCTTTGGGGCGTGCCTGCCAAGGTCCTTCAGCTGGAACCCCCTGATATACTGGAGGAGGATCCCAGGGATGACAGTGGGCTGATTGAGCGGGCCTGGGGATACTGAGGAAGAGCTGGATGCGGTGGCAAGTCCAATCAGCCGCGGGACGACGGCTCCCTGCACGTCGCTCAAAGTGTCGTATGCTTTGACTTCTGTATTGTAGAAATCAAGCTATGCTTGATTCATCCATGCTTCACTTTGACCGGCGCTCATCTTCATGTCAAAAGAAGACATGTTGACCTTGTCACGCTGAATGTCGGCGAGGAACTTGGAAGAACGAGAATCGTTCACAAACTGATGGAACTTATTCTCAGCCTCTGGGGTCCAGACGTCGACATTCCAAACCCGCCTGAACTCTGTGACAAAACGGCGGTCAAAAAGCTTCAGCACCATGTTGCCTTCGGATGCAAGCTTAGGGTGCTTGTCGATGCTGACTTTCATGGTGCAGGAAAGAGTGAACGGTTGGAAGAGATCAAGGATTGTTGCTTCGATCTGACCCGGTTGCTGTGGATCGTGCGATCTGAGCAGATGTAAATTGAGGATTTCTCCCTCCTTGTAAGGACAACTACGATGATCAGTATCCTTCGGACAGAAAGTCTCTTGCACAAGGACTCACGTGTCACTGACGAAATCCATGGTGCTCGGGAGTTAGAATTCAGTCGACTAACGTTGTGAACTACAGGGATGTGGGAGATTTCCTGTTTCTGAGCTTTACAATCGTGTGTTGAGTCCTCGAGCGAGTGTGTGATGTAGGTCGCGATGGCTTTTCAGATGAAAAAAAGGGTATTGAATGATGAGGAATCGGGATTAGATGAGCTGTCGTTGTGAGCTACAGGAATGTAAGAGATCTCCTGTGTTTGAGCTTCACAATCGTGTGTTGAGTCCTCGAGAGAGTGTGTGTGATGTAGGTTGTGATGGTTTTTCAGACGAAAAGAAGGATTGGAGAGGCAAAGAAGATGCAGGTGTCTTTGTCCAAAATATTCGCAGATAGTCATGTATGCATGTGAATAGCGACATTTCCGCTCAACGGAGAAGGCGCACTCGACTATCCATCAACGCTGTCATGGCAGAGGATGCGCTCGTTGACTCGGCGACTAGGGGTTGGCTAGAATCTTCCGACATGTGTGGACATGTATGAGCCTGAGATCCAGGAATTCGGCACTATGATTCAACTCGAGTAAAGTGATACTAGTTGTAATACCCGATAAATGAAGAGCTTTTGTTGCTTCATGTAAAACCGCATTGATTTAGCTGTGTATGTGGACTTGGGCACATAAAGAAGTCATATCGCGGGATCAACTCGCTAGCATGTACACACTGCTTCAGAGCACTCGCAGACCGACTCTCATCTGGCCCCTTCCGCCCCGATTCGCTCTGAGATAGTAAGGAATAAAGGTCAAGTTCTTTGAGCCGTTAGAAACTTCATCCTTTGGCTCGGCCACAATCTGACCGTCCCAGGCTGACGTATCGAGTTCGCCCTTTGAGCCATTCTCGGCCACAATAGCGATATAAGAGTCTGGCTCGGACCGCAGCTCCTCTTTCAAAGATGCGTTCAGATCGAGAATTGTACGCTGTATTCATGTTAGTGTGCTTCTTATTTCTATGATTTTGCATCTCGGGACATACCTTGAAATGCTGCTGCTCCCATGGGTGATCGACATCCTCAACACAATAGACAATTGGGCCTCGAGTAACATATGCCACAGGCTGCATAGTCAGAGGATTCGGGCGAACGAATCGTGGCTTCATAGGGCAGGATAGGCGGAACTTCGAATGTTCTCGAAGCCACTCAGCGCTGAGATGCAGATAGCCATTTGCGATCTTCAGATTGTCGGGTCGAGGAGCAATCTGGTTCGATCTTGGTTAGTCTCTGGAGACAAAGACAGGTATGGGGTTCTACTTACCTCCCATGATGTCGCCCAGCTAGGGATTCTTAGACGTAGCTCAAGTTCAACAGGTGGTCCATCAGTGCAAGTCTCAAATTCTACGTCTCCATTCCAGGGCCACTCGGTCTTTTGTGTAACCGTGACTGTTGAGTCGGAGACCTTGAGATTCAAAGTGGCTGAGGTGTACATGTGCACATTGACCACAGCACGTTTATGGCTCGTAGTGTGAGTCCAAAAGTATCCTCCGAGGAAACCCAAAGTGCGGGTGACATTCGGCGGGCAACAAGCACACTCAAACCATTCATAGCGCTCTGAGAGATCTTCGTTTGAGGAGGCCAAGTGGTTGACGTAGGTGAATGCTTTTCCATCCAGACTCATACCGGTCAGAACAGCATTGTACATGCACAGCTCCATGATATCGGCATATTGACTGTTTAGTTCAAGCTAATACCTTGTCAGCAGCCATAAATTTGCAATGCGGGTGTAACTCACACGAAGCAACCGCTCAGCAAGCATCATAACTCCGATAGCTGCACATGTCTCCGCATAGCAACCGCCTTCATCAGTACCGTGGGGCAAGAAGTAGTCGATACCAAACCCTTCCCATTTCTTGATGGCACCAATCCCACCAGTCACATAAGACTTCTGCTCGATCATATTCGACCACAGTCTATGGAGGGCAGGTAGAAATTTCGCTCCAGTCTCACTAGTAGGTTGGTGGATCCGAACCAGATCGGCGACTGCGGTGAGGAGATACATAGCTCGAACCGAGTGGCCCTCAATTGTCTCCTGTTCGGCAATCGGCTTGTGGGCTTGTTGATACCAGTAGCTTCTTGCGGCGGGATAGCACGTGGGTAGTTCATGTTCGTTTTCACCTCTCGCTTCTGCTTCCACGTCGTAGTAATGGCGTTTCCCTTTGCCGCCTTGATGATTGCCTCTTTCCTCGATGAAGAATTTCGCCAACTTCAGGTGCTCTGGATTTCCAGTGACCTTGTACAATCGCAGTAGAGCAAGCTCGATCTCGGGGTGGCCAGGGTACCCAAGTAGCTGACCATCCTGGTCGCCAAAAGTGGCCACGAAAAGATCTACATATTTGAGAATCGGGGACAGCAGCTCATCGTTCTTATAGTAAAGGTGATGAGCAAGAGCCGCTTCAATGAGATGACCTGCGTTGTATCTAGATGAACCACTCGTTTAGCAGAACTTCGGCGTAGGATAGCGTGTCAGCGGTGACCTACAACTCATGCATGTCTCGCAAGTTGGTAAACCTCTTTCCTGGTTCCACAACAGTGTAATGAATATTCAAATATCCATCTGCTTGCTGTGCGCCCTGGATCATTTGCACCATCTCTTTCACTGCGGCATCTATCTCCGAATCAAACGAGTCCATCAGCAAATAACAGGCTCCCTCGATCCACTTGGCCACGTCAGAATCCCAAAACTGATGATTAGGAACCGGATAGACGGTGGGAGGATCCGAATAGCTAGGATGCCATTTCAGCTTGAAAGCATCATAGCGACCAGTATCCTTGAGCATTTTCAGCTGGTGTCGAAGCGTCTGCTTTCGCACGACTTCACGTCGGCGCGCCCAAAAGGACCCCGTTGTAAAGGTCGTGGCGGCAAAGCTCTCCTGAGGGTATTCCATGGCAGACAACAGTGTTTCAGGTTCAGACTAGAGTATTCGGATATGTGAGTATACCTTGAAGCTATCGAGCAGATCCCGCTCCTTATAGCACTATCGAGGATCGGGGACTCCCTATCCCGAAATCTAAGAATCGGAGATTGAGCGAACGATATCCCACATGTTCGGACTTCATCATTAGTAAAGGAGCCCGTGAAAGCTTTCTGCCGATTGTGTCCATACGGCCTCCGAAGCGGGATGCCCAGTGGGATGCCCGAAGCCAAACGCTCCGGTGGAGTCATTCCGGCGGGGTGAACCCTACCGAAGATGGATTTGAAGGCCAAAGACACAGAGCACTGTAGGCGTAATTGACTAGCAATGAAAGTTGGATTGGTTCCGTGAAATAGGTTTTGGGCAATCAAATTCCAAATGGTCTAGAAGAAGGTCTACAAAGAGATTTATAAGGAAATTTAGAGGAAGATTTAAAAGGAGATCTGGAAAGAGATTTGGAAAGATTCAGAAAGAGGGTAGTCAAGGGAGCTCCATTATGTCCAAGAGAACAATCTTCATTTCGCCGTAATGCTAACGCTTATATATGAGAGATATGCAAGTGCCACGCCGGTAAAGACCAGCCCCCTTCTAATGCAAGATAACGGACTGCAACGTCCGATGTTCGCCATTCAGCATTTGATGAACTCGAACGGCTAGGAGATTTTCCAATATGAGTGTGTTGTTGCCAAGATGCAACTTTGGAGAGGAAATAAAATGCTCCTCGCTGCCATGCATAGCTGTTTCGCTCCTAATCTCAAACCATGCGCTGCTAGTCTTTGCAGACAGGAGTATCCACGCCCGTATCACATTTCCTTGAGAGCACAAGTTTGAGGTCCCCAAGAATGAAGAGATGGCGCAGGGTATCGTAAGGCACATTGTGCAGCCCAATATATTCGGCAAGAGAGAGCAACAGAAGCATCTGCAAACAGACACAGGAGTCGAAGCACTCAATGTTTTCGAATCGCTTGTTAAATTTATTCGTAGAGGGAAAGGGAGCGTGAAATCATCGATGGCCGAAAAGGTCGATGTCTTCCCCGCCGTCATCATCGTCATCATCTTCCTCATGATCTTCCTCGTCTGCGTCTGACGAGTCCGATGATTCCGATGATTCCGCGTCTTCATCGTCTTCATCCTCCTCGACAGCCGAGGCGGCCTCGGCAGTAGCCGTATCACCCGCGAGGAATCCATATCGATCTCGAAGCTTCTTGCTCAGGAAATTCAAGGCACCGTATTCCGTCTCGCCCTCAGCCCGGGATGCGCCACCGAAGAAAGGCATTGAAGACGGCTTCTCCGATTCGCGCTCAGTGGGTAGGCCGAAGTAATTGCTTACCACCGGCGAAATCGCACGTCCATGGGTCATATTGTAGGACACAAATCGCCTGTCCTCGCCGGCGCCAGCAGATATTGGAACGCTCAGGCGTGAAGAAGCAGGATTGGTATTGAGATGAAGTGCTGCCAATGAAGTTGCAGTTTCACCATCCGGGTTCAGAGAGGCTGAGCGTGGGCGAGATGCAAGTTCTCCAACGCCTTCCTCCTCGAGCACTTCGGAGATGTCACCTCCTTGTAGTACCCGGAGCTGAGCGGTATTATAGGATTCACATCTGCTGATGTCAGTGTACTGCCCCATAGGTTATTGACACCCACTTGGTACTCACAAGTCACATTTTAAGCCCAACCAGTGGTATTTGACAACAGACTTGGCGCCACAATCATTACAATATATGAGCCCTTTCGTGTCTTTGAACTCAGCGGGCATTGGTTGGCTTTCAATCGTGCGATCTAGATTTCTGAAGGTCGATTCCATGTTCGTTATAGTCTTGCTGCAAATCGGACAGCGGAAGGAGGTCTTTGAATATTCCGACAGACATTTGTGATGAAGACTATGACCACACCGCATCACGACCACAGTCTCCGGGGAGGTGAACATGTAGTCTCCGCAAATGGGACAATCGCATTGAGTTGATCGTTCGATACACCGATGAGTGTCTTCAATTGAGATGGGCAAGCAAACGGAGCATGTCTGGGTATCATTAATACTGGAGTCATGTATTCGCAAAAGCGTCCAACTGTGGAAATACCTTGCAGTGGAAGAAGTCCTTGCCAAGTCCCTGGCCAATCCGGCAAATTCCACAATCATAACAGTGATATATGCTTTTCTTGCTGTCATTATCCCAAAGCTTGCAAATATCGCAGTAGTATTGGGCAGTCTGCTCCTCGCACTGCCTGCAATTCTGTGCCGCAGGTTGAGCATGTCCACACAGCATACATAGCATATTCTCAGTGTCTCGGCGAATGAGAGGATGGTCTTCAACTACATCATGGCAGAATCGACAAGTGTACCATTTTTTGCAAGTATGGCACTGCAATTTGACATTTCGATGATAGTGCTGGCAGCCTAAAATAGCTTCGTCACACTCTTCCGTATCTGCATCATCGTCCGCAGTATCGACAACTTCAGCCACAGGCGATTCAGGCTCAACTTTTGGAACGTATGTTGGTTGTAGATCGTCGGGTGTTAATGAGAATTGAATCTCATATTGGGGGATCGACGCTGTAAATGTGGGGCTCATCGGAGTTGGGTCTGAAAGCTGTCTCATCTCCCGGGCGGGAGAACTAGCGGGATCGTTCAGACCTGGAGGGCTCAGCATTGGGGACAGCATTGAGGGAGATAGTGGCGGTAGAGTTTTGGAAGAGTTGTAGCTCTCTGTCATCAACTCATGAATCATGTGGGCCTTTTCGTTATTGTTGAGGTCCAGGTCCCGGATGGCGTGAATCTTCTTCCTCAGCCAACCCATTCCATCATCCGCCGGCAGGGACATCTGGCCGAGCTCACCCATATTCAATGTACCGCTTGGTGATCGCCCAACAGCATCTTGCCTCAATCCTAAGTCTGTTCCCGATGGCCGCGCTTGTTGCCGCGGTGTCTCCTCTTGTTGAGGTCTTTGACCCTCAGAGGCCGCTGAAAGTACGGTGAGGCCATTCTGCGCAGTAATGCCAGCTGTAAGGGCGTTGGTAGGAAGTATGTTTTGGTTATCGGCAATCAGAGCATGACGAGGTCCTGTTCGAGTGCCTTCCGGCTCCGGGGTTCGGCCATCCATCTCTTTCGGTAAGGTTGCAAAGAAGGGAGGCACAGGTAAAGATCCTGCATCTCCGCTAGTCCGTTGTAGTACCCCAGTATCCTTTCCAATACCAAGACTCGTGGGATCACTGTTTTGACTCGACGGTGGGGTTGTCTGTCCTTTCGGCGATGCCTGCGCTTCGCCCCGAGGCTGGGAGGTGCGGGGAAGGGGTGTGCGGAACCCTAACTCAGTTAGCAGCGAAGTGATAAAGCTGCTCATCTCATGGAGGGCTAAGGCTAATCAGATTGAATGCAATCACAATCACCTTCGGCCTCTTTCCTTGTAGTGGAGGAGGCAGTTCGAGGTGTGGAGGTTAGAGGCATGTGACGTGGGCTGCTGAATCATCATTATCACATGGCCCCCGCCATGGCTTTGGAAGTATGAGTCCAACCAACATTTTACATGCAAATTTCACTAAGAACACTGGAAATCTTTAGTCTATGGTAGAGTCCGTTTCCAATTTGGTAATCTATGAAGCTTCTGCAAATATTGAATCTTGTACATTTGACTGGACTATCTCTCCACAAATCACAGACCTGCGGCAGCCTGTGTCAAATCTGATTGCATCTTCTTGGCCATCGCCCCTGGGGGTAGGGCGGAACTCTCGGCAGCAGAGAGCTCTTAGAGGTGGCAGGGTTGCATACGCTGCATTGGCCATCTCCAACTGATTGCTGAGGAGTAGTGAAAGGCGAAGATAGTAGGATGACAATCAGCCTTGGACAGGCAGTCAACCCGGGAGTCTCCCGGCAATCCAGACGCAACGGAGTAAGGCGACTCGATTGCAGAAGGGAGAGATTGATGCTCGATTCCCATTCCGGAAAGCTGCCTCGTGGGTCTATATCCTTCAGTGTCTGCCCAAACTGAAGTACGGAGGCCCAACGTAGCATTACACCGGTGGTGCGGCGAATCAGATGTGTATCATGCCTCCGTTCCGTTCACTGTAAGGGTTCATTTCACTTGAGACATATTCCTAGGCTCTCATTCAAACGCTCGACTGTCAAATCGAGTTGGTCATAGGCGCTCTTCCGTAGTTGGTGCTCTGCGCTGCCAAGTCCGAGGCTTCGTAGACTAATTCGCAAGTCAGCAATGTCTTCTCCACTTTTATGCTGGCAAGGTGTGATGGGGTAACTGACATGCGACTCTCTTTGGCAATCTGCGGCAGTTCCCAATACCGAGATAACAGTAAGTTCTTGAGAATCTTATGTTCCAGGCCCGTCATGTCGGTGGCACGTTCGAGAAAGCGGAGGGTATTGGCGATTCTTGACGGGTTGAACTCCGCGGGTGGAGAAGCGCGAAATGAAGTCCGCAAAGTAGTTCGAAGGACATGTCGGCTAGGGGTGGCATATCCGATGGCCTTTAGACCTTGTCGGTAAAGATGACGGTATGCATGAACGACCTCCTGCTGGTTGACCAGCGGTCTGATGTGAGAAGCGCACATGGTGGAGTTGAACTGTAGCTTGATTAGCGTTTGGCTCGTTGGGCGGTGACAGCTTCACTTTCGCGCCTCAGGCAGCGCTAGTCCCATTTGGGACAGGTGACTTTGGGCCGCAATCGCTTCGTCTTCGCATTTCCCCCGCCTCCACTACTTGGGATGAGATCCTGCAGTATTCGTGCTTTACTCATCTTCTGTCGACCTGGCTCCAATAGCTAATAAGACGTGTTCTTCTGCAACGTGCGGTGCTCCTCCATTCCTATCGCGCGCCTGCCCCGAACCTTTAGCACCCAGAGTACCTAGAGGAACCCAACCCCAGTTTTATGAACTGACCGCCCGTTCCTGCGGATTTACACTCCCCTCCGACTCGTTCTTCCCTCGAGCTGCCTGTGACGATCTGGAAGATATGTGTTGAACGGAACTAGTTGTCAGGCTGCCTCGAAAGCCAACCTGAGAAGAAATGGCTCGGGTCGTGAGAAGGGTCATGTCAGCTTCGGCTCGGCGCGCGCCCAGTCGCGCTGTCAGGCGAGCTCGCAAGCATAAGGTGATCATGGAGACGATCACTCAAGAGAAGAAAAAACTGCGGAGCGTGGTACGTGTCTGGGAATCAGTTGTATATGATGGAAGCTCTCTAAACATGCAACAATAGATCTGTTTCGAGGCGCAGGCGCCGAGTGGTTATACGTTCATCCCAGCGGGGAATCCTCTTCTGACCACATCTTGCAAGGAGCGGTGTCGAAAAGATGGACTCCAGGTCTACGCAGTCTCGGTAAGACATACATGTTCCCTTCCCAGGCCTTTCCTTCGAACGTTGTTGCTCAACTCGACCAGACCACACCTCATATGAGCACCCATAACCTGTCCCAACATGTCCATAGAATAGGGTATCACTTCCCAAGTACAGTGGTTGCGGCGGCTTGCTCAGAGCTAGGCCTGTACCTTACGAGTGCTGGAAAAGCCGTGCCCTTCCACACACTGGGTGCTCTACAAGAAAATCCCCCTGCAAACTCCGAGGTTGATCAAATTACAATCAACACCGAAGCAAGAGATGCAATCAGGGATCTCTTCCCTAACATTCCTGATAACGATATTAACCAAATTATCAAAACGGCTTTTCAAAAGGTAAGTCCGCTGAGAATGTTAATGGAGCAAACGCGTGAGAAAGATCGGAGGTACCTGATATCTATGTCTACGGTGTCAGGGTCAACGAAAAGTCGGCACAGCATCCGAATTGCCTTTGGCTCGCAGAGCCCAGCTGGCAGTGGTGGCACACATTCGCCACCTCTACACTGATTATGATCGCCTTTTGAAGCAGAAATCCTTCCATGAAGCTAGGTCGGAGGTCGAGCAAGTGACCCTGGCCAAGGTTATCGCATGGCGTGGGGACGATGAGAATGGCCAGACAGCCCTTGAGGACGTCTTCCGCGAGGTAATCGTTATTTCAGATGACGATGACAGCGAAACCGAAGAAGAAGAAGGGCTCGCGCCAGCCGGCACTAGGGACCACAATGTGGAGATCCTCTCCAGCAATTCCCGGACCCACGAGATTCAAACTCAACCCATCAGTGCTGTGCATGTCACAACCCAGGATCCTTTGCGAGAGCAGTCCGAGGAAGCCCCGCCTGGGTTCCGGATTGTCACCCGTGTGCCCGCCCGGAGTGCCATCAACCGCCGTGGATTCAACAGATACCAAGCCTGGAACCGCGCCTTGAATCGCTATCGAGCTGAAGCCAATGGTACTCAACAGGTCCCGATCGGTGGTGTCACCTCCGGTGAAAAGCAGAGCCCGCAATATGGGAATCGTCCTGTTGTTGTTCATGAGATGCCAGATCCTAGACGCCGACAAGTTCCACTTTCGTCCATGGAGATTGTCCCCGAGAGCAGAGTTCTAGCAGTTTATGCTGAAAAGCCTGGACAGCGATTGCTAGCCAATCCACCAACGGATCCCCTGGCTGGGAAGAGCCACGTAGGTGCTCAAGAAAGACGTCCTCCTTTGGAGCCTCAGCCGATGGTTGCCCAGTATGAATCCAGAGGGCGACCACCGCCACCACTAACCACCCAGAAACCACATGAAATTCGTCATTTGGAAGTCAGACCCTATCCTGCTGCTAATACTGGCTACTCTCAGGGTATATCCTACCCGAACACGAGCACTCATGCTCGGTCGGAGAGGTTCCCCATATCGCTCAACAATGGATCAAACGCGCCGGTGTTTGTGAGCGGGCCACAGGAACTACACCTAAACCGGGAGAGCCAATTTGGACATCGGACTGATCTTCACAGCCCCTTTCATCCCAGGACAGCACCAAGCCGTGAGGATGCAATCCCTTCAATTGAATTGATGGACTCCTCGAGCCTTGCAGAAAAGCGCCATGCAGATGGCCGCCTAGTACACCTGACCAACAGGATGTCGCTTCGTTCCGTAACCCCAGGTCATTCACAGGGTGAGACGTCCCGGCATGCCCATGCCGTTGCCCCGGACAGCCCGGATGATCAGAGCTCCAAGAGGAGACGATTGGCACACCATGCCGCGAGCGCTGTAAACCCTCGCCTCAATGACTGGAACACAAGACCCATTGGAAATCCAATTCCCGAAGGACGGGGCCCATACCGCCGCGATGAGATTGTCCTGCCGGAGCCTCATTCGTCAGATCGGTTCCACCTCCGTCGGGAGCCTCCCCCGCCTGCAGAGCAGCCTCTAGCCATAGGACACCCGCGTCAGAGAAACCCTGCCCACTTGGTTCCGTCTCAAGCCACCTCGAATGCCGGGCCCCCTCTAGACCGGACACATATTGCCGACCCGTATGGGCCAGTTCCCATGCATACCCAGTCAGGCCATCCTGGCTACAGTGGCACTGTCACCTCTAGTGATCGGACTATCGGGCCACCAACAGATGCTACTTACGCGCAAGTCCGTCCAGCTTACTATGATGATCGTAGTCCCCGTTTGGACCGTGTATGGCCCACGAAGCCTGAAGAACAACGATTGCCTGTTTGGACCTCTTATGCTGATGCCGGACACTCCGTGGTCCATTCTGCTCCCTCCAACGGGAAGCTGTACGCCGACGACTTTGTTCGTCCTGTTGACTACCGCGAGGCTCGTCCAGCTCCAGTGGTTTACCACGTTCCGCGGCCGAGACACCAACATATCCCGCGTGTGGAAGAGGACCGTGGCCATCCGGCACGGGCGAGGATTTCCGACCCTCATACCTGTCAAGATCTACCTCACTCCCAGGGCCCCCCAGAAACCCGTCATCCTCGAAGTCCACGGGTAGCTTTGGTCTCTCATGACCAGGCACCTCGTCACCTCAATGCCGGATCTAGCCCGCGCGAATCACACAGTAAACCCAGCGGCGCTTCTCGTGATAGACGCCCTGGTAGCGGGCTTGGCGCGCCGCGGTAAGCCCTCACGGGACATACTCACACATCTAGTCTTTCCTTGCCTTTGCTGGAACTAACATGATTGCAGACGCGTCCATGACCCGCGGTCTTTCCAGATGGTCGAGCAAAACCGCCCAATTTATGTGCAACGAGTCGAGTCGCATCCCCCGTCGCAGTATGCCGTCCCCGATGGCCGGCCCATTGTTATTGTGGATTGAAGAAGAGGAAGGAAAGGATTTTTCGGGCGTTTTGAGAGTTCCCAGATCAGGATTGATGCATTTGTTATGACGCACGCATTTGTCTACGATACTATGATACCCATCTGCCCATTCTTGCACTTAGATCGCCTGTTATTATGATCATAGGATGCCAAGTTCAAGACATTATCTTCGGCATGTTAATACCAACCTATTTTATCCTCTTAATATACTTCCGTATCGAAATTTGTATATCAAGGATCAAGGTAATATTCTATATGCCTGGGCAAATGTAAAACGTTCTTTCAAAAGTAGTTATCAAATGCTCTCATGAAGAAATGCGAAAGGTACATTGCGCTTGTAAGACCGTCCTTCACCAGGAAGCACGCGAGGCCATCATTCTAGTATATCTGGTAATACAGCACCCTGATACGACTATCCAGCCTCCTTGTCCTTTAATGCGCCATCGCTCCTTATTCCGGCCCTACTGAAACAGTCCATGCCGATATAACCCAGAAAAGGTAGTCTTAAACGGCCATAGTCTGCCCGTCAGCCTCGCCGCTATTCACCGTCTTGCCGGTCTTCTTGATCGCGGCCAGCACGGTATCGTATGAGACGGTAGGTTCGGTGGTAATATTCGCAGTCTGGGTCTCGAGGCTGACATCGAAGGCTTTGACACCTATAAGTCTTGAGTGTGAGTAAAATAGGCATCAAAGGCAGGGCAAGATAGCACTGCGGATCGACGGGGATCGACGGAAGAGCAGGCGCAAGAGGGAATTCGGGATATGCTGACCATCCAGACGCTTCAGAATTCGCTCGACGGCTCCGGAGCAGCCGCCGCAGCTCATGGACACGTTGAACTTGTACTGGTGATCGGACATGGCTGTGTTGAGTGGGATGTTGTAGATGGAAATGTCCGCGGGGCTGGCGGGGAGATTCAAAAAGGCGGAAGTGGGCGACGTAAGAAGGGGGACCAAGGGAGGTTGATTACGACGATGAGACCAGCTGGCCTGATCTAGATTATATATATTTAGATAGCACAGTATAGGTGTACTACAGGGGTGGTTTGGCTTTAATAATGTTTGTTCTTCTGTTTACATATTTTGTGTTAGTTTATATTATCGATGGCATTCCCCGAGCTCCAATTTGTCATAAATCTACTTTTCGAGTCATTTCCGCGATTGGCCCGACTTCCCGACAGGACTGGCTAGTGGGTTCATCAGATTCACGGGATTCGTGCAGGGTCAGTCGCACGTCATTTTTATTGAATTGATCGTAGTAGATCAAAGGGATTTTGCTTTTTGTTATGAACTTTATGTACAGTAATCAACGCAATAATCGCGCCTAGCTTGGCGCTAAAAACCGGGTATTCTACGCTCAGCTCCTGTAGATTCAGTGTGGTTAGAATAGCTAAATCAGGTCATCAGAATTCTGGCGATGCTACTTGTTTCATTTAGCCCATAAATTGGCCTTGACGCGTTTGAAGAGCTTTTTTATAATTGGCTTGGCACCTTAGAACAGCATCAAGGCGAAGAGCGTAGATGTGGTAAGATCTTGCAACCGTGTAAATTTCGCTGATTTTGATTGACCAAGAAACGCGTTAAAAAGAGATGTCGAAAGAGTTGTCGAAAGTGATCGAAAAGGATATTCCGAAAGAGATGTAGAAAAAGATGAAGATACTAGTGCTGTATCATCATTCATAAGATTACATTCGATGCTAGTTTAAAAGCATCTATAAAGATCTAAAGACTCTCTACATAAAGAAGGTATACGAAGATGATTATTGCATAGATTTCTAACCACATTCCGCTATGACCCTCTAAAATCCCGCGGCCCGCCGCTTCTTCTTAGGTTTCAGGTTCGTCCTCACCTCACGTGCTCCAAACATTCCGCGCTCCATCTGGGTCATCGGTAGTTCATCCAGAGTCGGTTGGCTGCTGGGCAGTGGGAACGCGGGTAGTGCGTCTGCAGGCTGACTGCCCCAGGTTCGGATTGAGGGTGCAATGGGAGTCCCAGGCATGGATGTGGCCTCGGGCAAAGTTGGCGGCTGCGATCTCCTTCGTGACCGGCTTCTTCTTCGGGGTAGACTCGGGCCTCCTGTGCGCCGCGCCTCTTCTTCCTCTAGCATGTTTGAAGTCTTTTGCCATTCGTATTCTGCTGGATCCGCGCCTGGTTTCCAGTGAGATAGCAGGTTGGCCACGTTCCGGGCCATAGGGCGAGGCTGTTTGAACGTGGTAAATGCGGATAGACCACTGTAGGGACGGTTCGTAGTGTCCTTCGAGGACGTTTCTGATGTTCCCTGGGAGTTATCTACTTGGGTGGCTGTTATTTGACTGCTGGGCAGTTGTGAGGATGATAATGTCATAGGGAGATTCTGTGAGGACATCTGTTCCACTTCCGCAGGGTGGGCTTCGTCTGTGGTTTCCACTGGTTGTAGCGCAGCTTTGGAGCTTGGTGGATTGGATATCCGGACGAGGCTTGATAAAAGTAGATCAAGAGCAATCCCACGGACGACTCTCTCTTTCATGACACATGTAAATCGAGGGATGTCGTGCGAGACGCTGGTCACCCATTGTTCCACCAGCTGGTCATAAGTTCTCACGAAATCCAACGGTGGCGGCTCATCTGAGGAAATCAATGGCATGCCATGCAAGACATCTGAGAATCTTTGCGGCAGGATCATGTATCGATAAGGAGCCTGTTCATTGGGAGTCTCGGGTATGATGGTAGAGACTAGACGTGTCAGATGAAGGGCAGTGTCATCAATATCCTCTAGTACGGGTCGGCCATGGTTCAACTCAAGCCTGTTATACGTTTGCGTTAGTCTGTTTGTGTTGTAAACACTGAGACAGCCTGCTTACATGGTTTCAGTTACCATCCAGCCCTCCGAGGTGTCCACCAGGTCAGTCTCCCGATCGAGGATGAGCTGGTCAAACGTGGATCCCAACGGACCATTGTTGTCGGGGCTCCTGCCAACTGCCAATTTTGCCACGGCAGAGGCATATATAGACGTCAAGTCCAAGGTCCACTGGAGATCTAGATCATCTTCGCTGGAGAGCTTTTGTCGAACAGCCGCGAGGGGACGTGCGACTGTCTCGTCCCAGTCATCCACAATGAAGTTTTCATCATTGTCTATGTTCTTCTTCGGGACATGGTGTCGCTTCTTCAGTTGTAGGACCTTGCTAGTCTCCAGGTGCATCTCATCTTCGGTCTCTGGCTTTCCATCTGGAAGCCTGAAAAGGCTCTCATGAACAGCAAACGATGAGTCGATCCAGAATAGCTTTGCGAGCTTCATATCAGGGTTGTAATGCGATTTACCAACAGTCGCAGGAGTGTGGGCGATTTCACGGAAAAGCAAGGTTGAGTAGTGAACAGACATTCCTTTCTCGGTCAAAGAATCACCGAGTTCCGATGGCACATCGAGCAGAAAAGGATCTGGCACAGGCACTAACTCTGTCGGCTCGTCTGCAAGGAACGGACATGGGAAAACCTGGACAAGCTCAGTAAGCTTGGAATATAGCACCATGTGCAAGTCTAGTTCATTTAGTATATATTCAAATCAACAGTCATATACAAGATCATTCGCATACCTCCATCAATGAGCAAATCACTCATACGTAGTGTTGAGTCTTCAGAGTCTCGGAAATGACGCCAGGCTAGGCGGGGCCGTAGCGCCGTTCTTGAACCATATTCGTTTGATGTTGCCGTAGTGAGATCAAACCAGAGTAGCCGAGATGTGGTCAAGACAAAAAAGTGAGAAACATTCTGAGAACTTCGTTGCACATCAAGAATCCACTCGGACTGCCTCGTCATACCAAGCTCAACGATACTGCTTCCATTCTCACCCTCCGCTAGCCAGTACAACATAAGGGAACGTCGATCGGCGACCAGAAGGGTTGAATAATCAGCGACCCATTCAATAGACGCCCAGCCATCATGCCGTGGGCGAGTGGAATCAGGTTTATCATTCGTGTCGGGCAATGTGCCTTTCTTCGAACATGTAGCGGACCAGTTGGCTCTTCGTCGTCGTTGTCGACCGGATATATCCCAAATGCTCCAGTTACCTCTGATATCGACAATAGCGAGCTGTCGCGGATACCATGGATTAAAGGTCACATCAGCATGTGGAAACCCGCCGGTATGCGAGTTCGATATGTCCACTACGGGATTCGCATCAAGCCGGGAATTTCGAAGGGTCGGGGTGAATGCAGCCGGGTCATCGTCTGGGATGTACATAGGTACCGAGTCTCGATGGTATAGAGGCCGGAATATGGTGGTGGCCTCTTGCAGGCGAGCAGCCATCCATACACTCTTCTCTTCCAGCGGCCGCGCGAAGCAAATGTGCTGAATTGGGGCTCCCCGCTTGGACCATTCAGTGACTTCTGTCTGGCCAATGCATGGCACACGCAATGCAAAGCCATCCAATGGTAGCTCAGCCGTCTCATCTGTCAAGGCTCGAAATGAGATCGTATTGCCGCACTCCCCCGTTACTGATGCCGCGATAGCGACTGGCACTCGACCCCTTGTGTCTTCCGCGCCATGATATGTTGCATACCCTAGATCAAGAAGAGAGGATACTTGTGGGTCGCAGATATTGCTTGCGGTCAGAACCACTTTAGAAAATGCGTCATCTTGAAGAGATGACCATTGAGAGGCGAGTTCGGGAAGAACATGTGGAATGAGTTGCGGATCTGCCGTTCGAACAGGTTTCGATGAGTTTTGGGTCTGAGAAGCAGGAGTAGGTGCCGGTACGGTCGTCTTCGTCACCCCGGTATATGAGATGGGAATATTCCCAGCGAAAGAGCGCGAAAATGTCCAGGTTTGTGTCTCCGGGAGGTAGATAGCTCTTCCTACGTGCCCATAGAGTAGAGCACCCTGGGGATGTTCATCCATCGGATCTCGTTTTGCTCCTTGCAGTGTGCGCAAGACCGAGCCGGAGCATATCGAAAAGCTCTCGCAACTCCAACCGTACTAAATCAATGCGAAAATCGAGAGCGATGAGTATGCTATCGCATCTCTGACGTGACGGTCGAGGTTGATCCGGTTCAAGTCCGAAAGTTTTTTGGCTGCTTATCGATAAGGCCATTTGTCTGCGCCCGTTGCGCCGCCAACCCAAAACAACCACCGATCATCAACGCGTCAAAGTTCCTTCTCGTCACCCACCACGTCGCAAACTTTGTACATCAGACCGTACCAACACCATAATACTATAACTGTGGTGATAATTCGTCATGGCTGCTTCATTTGAGCCCTCCCTTTCCACGAGTGGCATGCGCCCTCCCCTCGCCTCGGCAGATGCCCCCTCCATGGCCGACTCGCTGCCCAGCATCAATTTCGGATTCGAAGACCTGCGCAATCGCATGGCGCAATTTACCGCCAAGTTTGACGCATTCATTGAGCGAGGTCGCAAGCGGGTTCTTGAGGAGCGAAACCAGTTTCATATCAATCTCGCCGAGCTGCAAGGTATGGAAAAGGGATTCTTAGGCGCATGCCCCTTGGGGTATAAGCTAACTAGGCATGCAGAGGACGAGCGAATGCGCCAGCGAGATATTGAAATCACCAGCCTCAAGGTCCAAACCCACGACCAAACCCTCCAAAAGGAAGCCGCCGAGGCCGCCGAAATGCACGCCGCGATCGCCTCTATCACCATGGAGCGCGATGCTCGACTCGCCAAGCGCGATCGCCTCAAGCAACAGATCGCAGAAACGCAAAAGGCGATCAATCAGAAGTTGGAGGCACAAAAGACACATGCAAAGCACTTGGATGCCCAATCTCGACTGAATTTCCCCGAGTTGGAATTTTGGCAGGATTACCTTTGTTTACGGATCGAGGGTGCTGGACGAGAGGACCGCTTGAAGTTTGTTTACAGCCATCTGTTGGAGAAAGATTGGGAGGCAGAAGCTTGGTTTGAACTGGGCACTGCCAGTCGTGACTACGAGGTATTCCACACGAAACCCAAGGTAGATAGGGATGCCTTGGAGCGAGTGGTGGATCTGGTCAACGACGACCGAGATTTCGGGGCATTCCTCAAGCGGATGCGCAAGTTGTTTATGGAGACGATGAACTAAAATTATGTGGATCGGGTTGTAAAGATATTTGGTTATGACTTTCATGAGGTAAATTAATGCACAGGGATAATTGTGTTCATTGAGGTCATCAAAAAAATACGTAGACCAGCACAGGCACCGATGCGATATGTGATATCGTTAAACCCTGCTCAACCACCCGTTGCCTCGCGGTAGAAAGCGACACTCCTATTGGCACCTCCGGTAGCGAAGCATTCGGACCGGGCAGTCTTGGGAAGCCACTTGACACTCCAGACTGCCTTCTCAGTCTCGGAGTGTGTAGCAACACACATCTTAGTATCAATTGACCAGACCTTGACCTTGCCATCGAAAGAGCTGCCAAGCTGATTAGTGTCCTGGTTTCTTGGTCCTTCATTGAACTGTATGCACTTACCTGCTCAGAAGATACTCGCCTGAACTGCTCCATGAAAGAGACAGAACCCAAGCACTGTGGCCAGAGAGATTGGCAATCTGTTCACCAGAAGAAGTGTCGTAGAGAACAATAACCTTGGAATCTCCAGCTGCCGCAAGAATTCTTCCACCGGGAGAGAAAGCCACCGCCCGCACCGGCTTCACCAGACCTGAATTTCTGGTTAGATTTGGCGGGGTCACGAAAGCTCAAAGTGGTGCGTACCAGATAGAGAGAACGGCATGCGGCCAGTATCGGTAAGGAAGATGTAGACAGCACCATTTTCATGGCCACTGGCAATAAAACGGCCATCGGCGGACTAGAAGTGTCAGCAGAAGTCATGGCCTAGCAATATCACGGAGGACCTACCAGGTCGATGCATGTGCCGAAGCTGCCTTTGGTTTCATGGTCTCGTATTTGGGCACCACCAGCATTCAAGTCCCAAACGCCAACACGGCCACTCTCCGAGACACCTGCAAGATACTGACCATCTCCAGACAAGGCAATGGCCCACGGATGAACATCCTTCACGGAGGCTGTCGACTTCGTATTAGCACCAATGAAACCCCTCCTCATGGATGCATGGATGTCTGATCTGTACCTGTAGTCGCGGCATCTGCCGACCAATAGCCCTCCTGGCTGTGCCAAACCTTGAGGTTCCCGTCGAATCCGGCTGTGATGGCGCGAGAGCCATTGGCATCGGTCACGATGTGGTGGCAGCCCAGTGGGTGAGCTCCATCGATGGACTGGACCAGTGGAAATTCCGTATCTGTAGTCGAATGTACCTTGATGGATGGTGCCCCTGACACGGACAGGACCTGCTTCTCAGTCACTGCCAGGGAGAAGATGTCGACCGGGTGCGCTGGGCCTCGGTCAGCTTATATCAGTTGAGTTTGAGATCTCGCCAACCCACCATTTTCGGCTGAGCCCCACGCAAGATATTGTCTCGACTAGATGGGGTTAGCAGTGATACGGGCTCGTGGGTTTCGATATGGACAATACCATGCTGGGTAGGCTCTCAACTTGAGAGACTGTTGTTCCAGATTCAGAGTGCAGTCACACTCTCTCTGTTATGACGTTGGGAGCCCGCAACTTCGGGCAAGCTTGTGGTTCCGCCTTTGCGCCTCAGGCGAAAACAGAAGATGCTGAACAAAGCCGCGTCTACAATCTACCAGTGGATTCAGATCTATACTAGCCAGTTGAAATTATGCCAATTTACTCCAAACTCATAATAATTGAACAGAAATAGAATTTTCAAATAGGTCATTACGACCAAGATATTCGAATATAGCGAATTCACGCTTTTTTCCCACGTAACCAGACGCCAGATGCCATGCAGCAGATATATCCACAACCCAATTCCTAGAAATACACAATGCGCTTCGTGTCTCCTCCGCGAAGTCCGCTCTAACTCGCTTCTCAAAAATGAAAAGAGAATTCCCGCTCCTGTTTAATGTTCGGTCGCATCTCATGCGACTTGCGCCGACTTCCAAGACTGCTTGATATCTAAGAAACCGTTAGCCTTTCAATGTTCGCAACAAGTCCAGGGAGCGCATTCGCTGTAGTCTGTCCCTCGACATCTTCCCAAACAGATAATACCGAGAGTCCCGGACTCTGATATGAGGGGAAAGAGGTGCCTTGTTGTACCTTTCACGCAAGTGGGACACAACACATGAGCCCGCTTGACCTGACCGCAGCCGGGGCACTTGTTCAGATTCTGTGCGTCCTTCAAGGCTTTGCCGGCCATTTGACGATGGCGCTTCTTCATGTGCGAGGTCTTCTTCTTGGGAACGGCGCGAAGCACAGACTCCCAGAGGTCGGCGAGCAGCGGAGGAATCGTAATGGAGATGGGCAGAGCGAACGAGGCGGTAGAGAGGAAGCCCAGCGGAGGCAATTGGGGCAGAGCCCGTCGGAGAGGAAGAGCCAGAGCCATTGTTCGACTTGGACAGAGGGGGGTGAGGGTGGTGAGGGTGGTGGAGATTTGCGGAGAAATCGACGAAGCTTTTGAAGGTCGAGCCTGCCTCTTTTGTCTTTTGGGCGGACTGCGTTTTGCACAGTTCGGGGCAGCCACGCTAGTCCAAATCGGGAATAGCGCACCCCTGAGTTCAATAGGGAAATAACAACGCCGAACTTAAGGGGCTCTCCAGCATCTTCACCTTGGGGAATTAGTTCACCTATCTTGATTTCTGGTTTCGGTCTTGGTCCTTTCTCATCCCACCTTCTTTTTCCCGTTGCTCTTCAATCTCTCAATCTCCAAAGATGGCCGCCGCTACCAGCGCTGCTTCCTCTCAGCAGCCCACTGTCTTCCCTCACAGCCATGTCGGTTTCGACAGCATCACGTCTCAGATCGAGCGGAAGCTGTTGAAGCGTGGTTTCCAGTTCAATGTCATGTGTGTTGGTATGTATGCACTTGTTTTCTAGCTTTAAGAGCTCTGGCTGACTTATCCTTCTTCTCCTTGCGTACAGGACAAACTGGCCTCGGTAAATCGACTCTGGTCAACACCATCTTCGCATCCCACTTGATCGACTCCAAGGGTCGTCTTACCCCCAACGAGCCCGTGCGCTCCACCACCGAGATTCAGACTGTTTCGCATAGTATGTGTACCCCGGGAAGGATGCTTCAGACGTGAGGGGGATAGCAATGGCTGACGACGTGGCTTTAGTCATTGAGGAGAACGGTGTGCGTCTCCGCCTGAACATTGTCGACACACCTGGTTACGGTGACCAGGTCAACAACGACCGCTGGTACGAACAACCCCCGGATATGCTATTCGATTCATATTGGAATTCTGGAATGCCTGGTATAGATTGGAAACTGACATGGCACTAGCTGGGACCCTATTGTCAAGTACATCAAGGATCAGCACTCGGCATACCTTCGCAAGGAGCTTACTGCTCAGCGTGAGCGCTATATCCAAGACACCCGTATTCACTGCTGCTTGTTCTTCATCCAGCCTTCCGGTCATGCGTGAGTCCTGCCCTGCTTGCTCAGCTAACAAGCTACTACCATTGATCTGACTCCCTGTACTAACTGAATCCCCGCACTATTCAGTCTCAAGCCCATCGATATCGTTGTCCTGAAGAAGCTGTCCGATGTCGTCAATGTCGTCCCCGTCATCGCCAAGTCCGATTCCCTCACCCTCGAAGAGCGCCTGGCTTTCAAGGAGCGCATCAAGGAGGAGTTCTCCTTCCATAACCTGAAGATGTACCCCTACGATAACGATGAGCTGGACGATGAGGAGCGCGCCATCAACGCTCAGATTAAGGTATGCGACTATACCGCGCATTTTCCCCCACTATCCATGTCTAATCAGTTTCTTGCAGGATATTATCCCCTTCTCCGTTGTCGGCAGTGAGAAGACCATCGTTGTCAACGGCAAGCAGGTGCGCGGTCGCCAGAACCGCTGGGGTGTCATCAACGTTGAGGACGAGAACCACTGCGAGTTCGTTTACCTGCGCAACTTCCTGACCCGCACCCACCTTCAGGACCTGGTTGAGACCACCAGCCAGATCCACTACGAGACCTTCCGTGCCAAGCAGTTGTTGGCCCTGAAGGAGAGCAGCGCCGCCGGTGGCCACTCTGGCGGCAGCCGGCCCATCAGTCCCTCTGCTGACCGTGAGCTCAGCCGTAACTCCCAACGGGCGGCCATGAACGGCTACTAATTTCCCTTTCTCCTTCTCTCTTCGGATGGTGTTGCGGTCGTCCCATGTTTTAGTGGAGTGAGTGCTTCCTGATAAGTATTCGGCGGTAGCAAACAGACCTCCTCTCTCCCCTTCACGGGCAAGGCTCTCATTTTCCCCTTCTCCGAAAATTTACTGTCCTTTCGACGCCAGCAGGCCCTTGCAGATATCCCCTTTTCCTCTTTTGCGTCTCCCTGTTTTTCTGTCCTCAACATGTTGTATTACCTCGAAGAACTCGAAACGCTTCGATTTCCATTGGGCTTCTCTTTTTTTTCTCTTTGTTCTCTAGGATTTTGTATTGCCGGGAAAAAGAGTCTGGCATCCAGCGCTCGTGCCACTTGGTCTTTTCCATGTACTTAGTTTCCTTAATTATCCCTGATGAGAAACTCTTATTCTTGGACTTGTGTTTCTAGTTTCGGTGGCCATGCACTGGCCTTGTATTATTTGTATTGCACAATGCTCTCCAACATAATGCATCATTGGGCCGTTTCAGCTCAGTTTGTACGAAGATTCAAACGCTTGACAATACTATGTTCTATACGGAAAATCGGAGTGACCGCCTCTTTATTGCGGCGCACCGAAGCGACCACCATCCACAACCCAGTCCCGCAGCTCAGCGTAGGCCTTCTCCAGATCGTCGTTCACAACGATCTTATCGTGGGCACCAGGCTGCTTGGAGAACTCGAGCTCGTTAACAGCCTGGTCCAGGCGCTGGCGCAGACTGTCTATAGTTCAGAATATACAATATTAGCGCATGAACATAACGAATCATTTGATCTAATCTTTCTGGGCGCATGATTACCTTCAGTCTCAGTTCCACGAGAACGCAGCCGACGCTCCAACTCCTCCATGGAAGGGGGAGCCAGGAAGAGGAATCGAGCGTTGAGATCGCTGTTCTTCACTTGCTTGACACCCTCCATCTCGATATCCAGGACGCAGATGCGCTCCTTTTCGGCGACGGCCTTGACTGCTTGCTTGGATGTGCCGTAGTAGTTGCTGCCGAATTGAGCTGGAGAAGGGTTTTGTGTTAGTCTTGTAAAGAGTATTGTAGAAACCAGGGTAATCGATTGTGGGGTAGTGCATAGTCACGTACCGTGCTCAATGAATCCGTTCTGTGCGACAAGCTCGAGGAAAGCTTCCTTGGTCACGAAGTTGTATCTTGACGGGCATTAGCATGCGATCAATGCTTCTTCTTGTCTGTACTTGGGGTTATGCTCGCTCACTCTCGTCCATCTTGCTCGCCGGGACGGGGAGCCCGAGTAGTATTGGAGACGCTGAAACCGAAGCGATCTATACAATTGAAAGATCCGTTAGAAGGTGACAGAGGTCAAGTGGAGGGAGGGCATTGAATCCTTGACTTACCAGGGTACTCCGCAAACAAGCGCTTGAGGAGTGTGGACTTTCCACAGCCTGAAGGGCCGCTGATCACGACTGGGCGGAATTGGGCTATATAAAGCCAAGAAATTAGTATTCATTCTCAGCCTTGTTTGGTAGAATCGTGAGAGAGAAGGCGAATGGTTGGGATGAGTAGGAGGGGCATGTATGCGCCAGATGGAAAAAGGGGGCCAGGATATCGTACCAGCGTTGGAAGCCATGGTGGAAGCGAAGCGATTCGTAACAGATAAAGATCTAGAAGCTGAAAGGGCACGGAGAGCTGCCAAATGATTCATATGAAAATAATTGCAAAAGTTGCGACAGAGTCAAAGACACAGAAAGTGGACTACGAAAACGATTGTCCGGCAGAATACAGGCGGTGTGGATGATAGTGGGTGTGGATCTTCTCTATTGGTGGCGATTTCTATACAACAGTGTGTGCTAGAGACAACAAAATACAATATTACCACCCTGGATAACCCCACAGTTGGATAGTAGAAAGAATAAAACACTGCACACTAGACGATATCGCTATGACTTCGCTGGACCTGGGTGACTTCCACGTCTCATCGTGTTCCTGTCTCCAGCCTCTGCTTCTTGTTCCAGAAAATTGGACCATAGCTCGGCGAGCGTTTCCTTACTGGATGCTCCATTGTCCATGAACTCGGCAAGGTTCGGTGTGCTGGGTGTGCGTAAGGGTGTACCAGGAACTCGAAGCTTTCCGGTAAAGCTGGAGGTTCCTGGTCGAGCCAGACCAGCTTGCTCGCGTTGTTCTATAAGGATGGGTTAGCAACTTGCAAATCAAGAATGGATATCAGTGGAGAAACTCACCATCGTCCCAGCCCAGTAGAGCCGCGATGAGCTGGAGAATCTGGAATTTTTTGGGATCTGACCGGTCCAGTGCAAGGAAATGTAGTAGATGGTTTGTTACAATTTGCCTAGAAACCCCAGATTGTTAGCAAGAACTTGTTCTTCCCCACAGAGCAGAGTTAGACAAGAAAGATAGCTTACCGGTCTACGTTGTCTTCCGGTTTGCCCTTCTTCAGGAACCGAAGTGCTTTGGTTAAGTGGTCATTCAACGTGACCGCTTCATGTCGTAGCTTGCCGATGAGAAGATTCTTCTCCTTCACCTCCTTCTCGAATGGCCGCATCCGCTCCAATTCCTCTTGCGCCGTGAGGAGATTCTTGTCAGCGTTCTTGGCTTGCTCCTGGGCTTCTCGCAAGGACTTTCTCAGATCCTCGAGCTGAGTGTCGGAGCTCTCAATCAGTTCTCGAAGCTCCTGCTTCCGCGCCAATTGAATTTCTTGTAGTGCTCGCTGAAGACCATCCACCGTGGATTGTTGGCTATCGCGCTCGCCAGATGCCCTTTCGTAGGCATCCCGCAGGTTGGCAAGCTGGTCCTCGAGATCGCTTGTTTTCTCGGCCAAGTTCTCACGGACAGATCGCTCCTCCATGGCCAACACCTCCCAATTGTGCATGGCATCCTTGGCTTGTTCGAACTCGGACTGGAGGTATGCGTTTTGCTCGATTAGCTCCTCCTTCTCTTGGATCCAGTTTTGCTGGGACAAATTCGTTCGATCTCGAAGGGTGTCGATCTCCTTGGTCTTTTGCGCCGATTCTTCGGAAAGCTCTGCTAGTTCTGTAGACTTTGATTCCAGCTGTGACTTGAGTGTAGCGTTCTCATCCTCCAGCTCTTCGATTTGGGATCGCGCTTGAGCCAATTCCTCCTGTTTCATTCCGTGAGTATGGTTTCCTCAAGGCAAATATGAAAGCAGTGTCACGCACCTCGTCCTCCTTAAGGCGCTGCCCTAGTTGCGACTTGATTGCATTCACCCGCTCCATGAGTTTCTGGAACTGCGTTTCTGCCTGCTCCTTTTTAGATTCTGAATCGTCCAATTTCTGCTGTAAGGCTTCCATGTCGGCCCGGTGTTTGGATTGTATCTCTTCCAGGGATTTGCGCATGTCGGTCACTTCGGCTCGGAGGGAGTCGCGGTCTCGAACGAGGGCATCGAAGCGGTCTTTGGGCTCGGCATCGTCTGAGTTGGGGTTGTCGACATTCTGCTCGGGTGTAGTCTTCTCAGTTGTTTCTTGCTTGACGATATCGGCGTCTGGGGTCTCGACAGGGTCGCTGCGGTCCTCTTCGGCCTCGTCCTAAGTTCCTTAGCAACGGTTGCGATGGCCGGGCGGGGAGTGGCAGCACCTACCTGAACTGTACCATCGTGGTTCTCGGAGGTTTCTAATTGTTCCGGGTCGGCCTGTTGTGCATTTTCCTTGGCCTTTGCGTTCTTCTTCCTGTTCTTCTTGGATTTCGCGCCTGGGTAGTTTGAGCGGGGTGAGCGGGTAAGTCAGGAAATCAGGGGAGGATATGTCGAGGTTCTCCGCACCTTGAGCAGTAGACGGGGAATTATCTCCAGGCATATTGGCCGCTGTATGAATTGTGCCCCGTCAGGTGAGGGGACGTGGGAGAGATGGCGGGCTGGCGGGTTCCTGAGGGTTTCCAACGTTCTCAAGGTTCGCAAGTTCCAAGCTGTCAACACCTCCACTAGCGCGCGGGCTGCCCGTTCCGCCCTGTGATCACGATGATTAATCGAAGGACAGCATCCAGCTCTGCAGTGGTTCTGATGTTGGGAAATGATGATCGGAGAAGTTGTTAGGTTTATCAAAATGCAAGTCGTCCTCCTCGCAGTTCAATTGGGGGTTTGCTTGGCATCCTTCCTCCTTCTCTCCTCTCTTGTGGCTGGTCCTATTGGGGCCTTGCGTCGGCCCCCAGCCACACATACAGACAGACATGGCGACGTATACTTGGTACATAGTCTGGAAAAGAAATCCAAACAGATTGATTCCCAGTAAAGAAATCGTAATATGGCATTGTCTTTCCAGTCGATAGGCAATAAAAGGGCCTAAGCTCCTTCTAGCGGGCTTCCATCCCAGACTTGTCCATTGCTTCTATAAATAGCATCTAATAGTCCGTGGTCTACATGGAGTACAGTCAATAGTCCACCATGATGCGGAGGATATAGTCTGTAGAACAATTAACTAAAAATCATGACTATTGCAACAAAAGCTCTCCAGGATACCAATAAGAGAATTATCAACCACGTACTCAGTGGATTGCATAAAGTCTCCAATTTGTAAGAACACGGGGGTTATGACATCAAGTGCAACAGCTTCGGCTTATCTTCATCGTGTTGCTGCCGCTCTCACCTATGTTATGTTCATGCTGTTCACTTTATTGAATCTTCTAGAAAACCCATGTTGGGCTTTCAAGAACCTGATAGGCGCTCGTGCAACACGTTCGAGTTAACATCTAGCTTATAATAAGAAACAAAGATTGATCGAGGTATAGCGGGATGTGTATATAGTCAAGCATACGTCTTGCAGAAGAATGGCATAAAACTCCATTCGTATGAACCATGAATGTCTATCAAGTTCACGGTTCTTGTAGTTTGGTAGACTCTGTGGTTTGGATGAGTTTGTGGAACGAGTAGTGGACAGCAACTCTAATTCCTCTCCTCTTTCAACTCCCCAGTCTCTCTTCAATTCCCTTTTTTTCGTCCGACTTGCATTCAGAATCGCATAACCGAGATTTGAATGAATTAAAGTTTCCTCTAAACTCCCAATTTTCGGCTTTTCCGCGCAGCGTTGCCGTGGAGAAACTCTATGGACTGTCATTCCGGCGCAATAACCTCTCTGGGAGTTCTACCGACATCGCGTCAGTGCGAAGCTTTCCAGCTTCACTACGACTCTCCTCCACCTCCCCGTTTCGTCTAACATGCGCGCTGGCCCGCAACGGCATGGTCGATTCCTTTGAGAATTCCGAAACGCAGTTGCCGATCTACGAGCTCCCTTGCCCATACAGACTCGGATGATGGCCGGGAAAGGTTTCGGAAGCTCTTTTAAGGGCACTCACTCAGCACAACATTTATATCCACCATTCGCGCTGGCACGGCGAGACATTCTGAAACGGCTGGAAAGCACGAGATTATCACTGTGGTGCGAAATCAGATGGCCAAGATGCAAGGCCCCAGAGTCAAAAAGTACAAAAAATCGGACAATACTGATCTAAGCGACGCTAGGTGGAGAGCATTCGCATTTGATGTCGAGGACTGATTTTTCTTGCTGGATCCTTCAATTCCTCCGGCATGACGAGGAAATGGAGCCAACCGTTACGCGGCCGGCAATTATCTCAAAAAGCTCGTCCCCAGGACCAGCTCTAGCTCCAGCAATCGGTACCGGCAATGGAGACAGCCAGAACTGCGTGAGATCAGCACTGACTCCTGAATTGCCGAGCTCGCCTGTGCACAGTCTTTCCACCTGAGTCGGGATAATAGTCACGGCCAATCTTCGGGCGAGAGCGATCATCTTTTCCTGAGCCGAAGCACCCGAAACAAACACGAACCATTGCTCTCTGCCCATCTTGGACAAGGGCTGAAAGCCGCCCGGAGACAACAACTGTATGTGATGACAGGGCTGGAAATGCGGCCCCAGTTGGGGGAGCCCGGAACCAGTGAAAGCGAAGCCCTAAGACTGGCTAAGGGTGGCTCTCAACGGGAGCCTCACGGCCCCAAGTACAGCCAAAATTGCTAAATGTTCCCACCTCTGGGCCGCCTCTGGAACCACCACCGATGCTTTTTCCCTCTTCCACTTCTTCTTCCAAGTTTCCACCCCCCTGGCGGGCCCCCACCCAACTGATGCGCCGGACCTCCTATGCACCATGCCGGGATGTCCACTCGTGAGTCGGATTGGCCCTTCAATCTAAATGGACTTAAGCGATGTGTCCGACCCTTGAACCCTATATCTCCGCGGCGAATCAGCTTCCTGTCTACGTGGTCTCGTCTCGATCCTCCCCGGCTAGCTCGATCCTAGCCGGAGCATGTCATTTTTCTCTTCCGAAAAAACCGTTACGCCAAGGGCGTTGGTTGCATAAGGAACGTTTGCCCACCACGGGCGAGCCCGTGGGTAAATTTGGCAAACTACGGAGATACCAATACGCCTATACGTTGCTCTGTCAGTCTCCCCCCTCCCTCCTCCACTCTTCCTCCGGTCCTTTTTTGGTTTTATTTTCAAGGTCCGGTGTTCCTTTGATACCTTTCCGGACTTCCCGTTGGCTCCTGGCCTCTTGGCTTATGTCCATTTGGGTGATGCTGGTCAATTGGGTTGTCTTTGAAAGTTTGAGAGTTTGAGTCCTAAACCATTGAGGCGGCTCTCGTCATCTTCTCCTCCCTCTTTTTACTCTTGTGAATACTACTTGATTATTTCCGTTTCTCCGTATATATCCTTCTACCACATGTCATGATACTCTATCCAAGTTCTCTCTCTATACTACTACGTTGCCCCCCTGGCCCCCTTTGACTCGCTTCTTCCCCAGTCGGCATGAAGGCCGACTTATGCCTAGCCTTGTCTAACGAGGTTTCTTAAGTTCCATTGAAACTTCCAATTTTCTTCTCCCGTCTTACTATTATTATTATTTTTCAGCATCTCGGGGACTACTGAACTGGGTCCCTCACTCACACACACACTCCATCCACACACCAACTCCCCTTTCCCACTTAATCCCACCCCCTGCTCCACCTCGGCTCCATTATTCATTATATTATTATTGCATTATTGTCTTATTCCATGATTGAAAAGATTCCCAGTTCCCCATCTGGTCGTGTGCAGAAATCCTTCCTCTGTCTTTGTTTCACGCTTGATCTTCTTCTTCCCTCCGCTCTCGCCGCTACAGGCCATTTCCATTTCCATTTCCGCTCGTCAGCAGCGATTTTCTCTCGTTTAGCGAATCTCGAAGCTATCAGCTTTCTTCCTCTCCTTCTCTTTTTCTCTCTCTCTCGTCACGTTCTAGGCAATCAGTCTACCGCCATGTCCAAGGACCTAGCGGGTATCCGACAAGCGTTGGAACGTGCGCGCAACTGTGAGGATGGCACCGTGGACCCGCAAACCACCGCCATCCTCGAAGCCGCCATCACCGAACTATGGACGCGCATTCAGGCCGATCCGGATAGCTATGTGCTTACCCGCGACGAGTTCGCCCTCTTCAATTACTTCCTCGAGCGCTACCGCGGCTCGCCTGTCGCCCAGCGGGCTGTGGCGCGATTTTGGAACAACTTTCAGGCCTCCCCCAACGCTGGGGCCAAGAAATAGTCTGGACCACTGCAAATAAAGTGGTTCGCGATCTGCAACTGGGCTGAACCTGAACGGGGGCACTACGTCACTCTCATTCTTATTTTTTGTCTTTCATCTCTTTCCAATTCTCTCTTTCCCTGTCGCTTGTCTACAACCCTTTCCTCTGCTCATTCCTTGTCCATCTGGGATGGTGGGGCAGAGGAAAGGAATAGAGAGAGGAACGAGGGACCTATCCATTACAATCCAGGACGTGGCTGGAAATGACCGGTCTGCTCTGCATGATGCAAGCCCTGGCTACTGCCGCTGCCGCTATTCATCGTGTATGCCGATGCAGTCCAAGACAAGAGCAGAGCTGCAAGAATTGGAAGAACCCCCCTCCCCCCGGTGCGCGTGCCCATGATGAAAATAACCCACATGTGACCACACACCGACAATCAGTCTTCCCCAATAGCAAGCTTGGCCTTGGCCTTCCTCCAATGGACCGGTCCATAAGACTATGGGGTAACTACCGGGGGACGGGAGGAAGAAGAGGGCAGAAGGGCGCGAGAACAAAAGGACCGAAACAGAAATACCCAAACAGCGACAACTCGCCCTCCTCTGGCTGGTTGGATTGTTCGCTCACCGGTTTGCCTTGCCTTGCCCCCGCCAGCAATCCAACAGTCCAACAGTCTAACGAGGACTCGAGAAATCAACAAGCGACCAATAGTGAGACGAAGAGAGAGGGAAGGGGCAAAGGCAAGCATGATGCAAGAAGATTGCGCTTCCTGCGGGAGTGGAGATGTGCGGTCAGGGAAATTAGCCCTGAAATCCCTGCCCTCTCAGGTCGGGACTGCATGCATTGGGCAGGGCAGGGCAGGGCATCTCCGCATTATTGCCTGGCCACCCGGAGTCCTCTGATTGAATGGAGGAATTAAAAAATTCACTCTTTCTCTCTGCCAGCTGGAACCACTTGGTTCGAGAGAAGAGGACCCTGGAGAACATCCACTTTGTCCTTCTTCCTTGTGCATTACTACTACTACTACAACTACTATTCCTGGCATGGTCAGGCAGAGACAGACCACAGGGAACAAAAAGATCCTCATTTGTTCACACAAATGATTGGATCCATGGTCTATCCTATCCTATTCTCGAGTTTATTTCATACTATATCCTGTATTATTATCTAACTCTTTTCTTTATTTTTACCCGGCATATGTATACCTACATTCTAATTTCAATCTGCTAGTGGAGAGCAGCCGCCGTATGACACACAGCTACACGGCCCCGTCAGCAATTCTCCGACTGGCTCGGCTCCGACGGGGCCTGACCGCCGTTGGAACTAGTCTTGATAAATTGATGAAATTAATCTTTCATTGCGTGCACTTAATCTAATGAACTTTTACACTTTTCCTCTTAGGATTTTAGGATATTTAAGTAGTGGTCGGTAGTACCCGTGGTGGGGAGATGACGCCGAGACGTTACAATGAACTATAGACATTAGACTCTGTCTAAAACGTATACGGAGCACGAGCACACTATGGGGTTCTAAATCACGTCGGTACAGTTTTTTTGATTTAAGAGAAGGGCTTGGGCTTGCGTCGGCTGAGGCTATCCCAGTTTGGTCATGGTATCGGCCGGAGGATGAGTGAGGGTATGCCACTAGTGTCTTGTGTTTGTCCTTACTGGGTGGGATACCTTTGATTCCCCGTTGCGTAAGGCGTCAAGTTGCGGATGGGCTACGAGAATCAAGCCTTACAGCCTTGATGACACATCAAATATCAAATGTCAAGACGAATAATACATTCCTCGCTGATCTCGAACCTGCAAACCTGAAAGAACGCCATCCGTGTGCCTGTTAATAATGCAAATCAAGCCCTAATGGGAAACCCTCAAGCTCTCCTCCTTTATCAAGAAACAATAAACGTCATGTTGCAATTCACCATGGAAACAAAGAACAAACCGCTCAATAGTATGAATTATCTGCACAGGAGAAACTGCCTCCTCTCACTCCTTCGCTCAGGTTATGGATGATGGACCGAATCGATGAATACACGCCGATGGAGCACTGCCGCAAGTCAGTCTCTTCAGAACATTGAAGTTTAAGAATAGTGAAATTTACAATAATCGCTCCCACAAAAACCAGACCAATGTTGATGCAGAAAAAGACCATCTGATTCCTGGTCGTGAACCAACGATGCCGATTGATGTAGAGCCAGAACATCCCCGGCAGACCGAAGGTGAACCAACTGGCAAACAGCGAGCTCTGGAGAAAGGTTAGTGAGAAGTTCCCTCTGCTGACAGGTCCAGGCTAATGAATACGTACCGCAAGGCCCAGGACATCATTGAAGACAGGAATCGCCTCTGCAATAATCCATGAAATGATCCACAGAACAAAACCGAGGGCTGCCCATTTGACCCGGCTCACCATTGATTTGCTATACATCGCTTTGGTGCCTCGGAGCAGGAGAGAAAAGCGGTATAATGCCGGGGTCCCCTTTGGAAATGACTATGCTGATCATAGTCACCAGAACTGCCATAACAATGCTGATAAAGCTGACCGTTGACAAGTGTGAGAGCTTCTCCAGTCGCCGTGGGAGTGTCAAAATAAATGAGACCACTAACCCGAGGGCAGAGTACAACAGTGTGCAGCTGCCATGGTCGGTGAGAACATTCATCATGATGGAAAAAGTCAGCACGTGGCTGCCCATGACGAACACGTAAAATACAAGCTGGGCAATTCCCAAGAACTGCCGGCCATATCGCCCAAACAGGAGGTCTCCTGCATCTGCCATGCTGTGGATTTGCATGTAGCGGCTTTTGAGGGTACCAATCGTATAGCCCGTGTAGGTGGAGATGATGCCAACAACAAGGATAGTGATCACGCCCCTGAGGAATGAAGTCAGCAATGATGTTTGGGAGAAAGGTGAATGTCGCAGGAGAAGAGGATACGGAATGAGTCCCAATGTCGACAGAACCTTTGGTAGAGCCAGAATCCCAAGTGATATGGTCTCAGCAATCATGACTGGTCTTGTCAGCTTTGGCATCTGTTTCGAGGGAGACCGTAGCCTACGCATTCCGGCTTGCCTGAAGGGGATATATCAGCTTCCGGATGCTTCTGTCATATCGAATGGGAGAAGACTTACCACCAGATCATCGTCTTATACTTCACACCCGCATCGCTTTCGTCGCCGAACGGGTCCTGATTCACCGTGGACGGCTCTGGGGCGACAGTGTCCTTCCCAACTGGCGTGACCAGTTCAAAGCTGACTGGGTCAGTTGTGCTGGAATTATGAGGGTTCATACTGGATAAAAGGATGAATAAGTGTAGTTCGGGGAAGACACGCTTACAGTCACTAATTGGTGTTGGTGGACAAGGTACCCGCTCAAGGGCGCGCTTGCCATTTTAGCAAACAGTCTTCTATACGGAAGGCCAGAGGCAAGATAGGGACAAAAAGTGCCATTGAAGATTAAAGAAACATTTCTATTTGTACAAGATCGCTCTAATTTATTTACCACACACATGTCTATTTGTTAGCCGGAGAATCCGGGGAAATCAAGGGATCATCATTGGGGTTTGCATCGCCCTTGAGAATGTCGGCCGGAGGATCTGGAAAGAGAAGAACCTCAGGTCAGTCATTGAACATTTCAACAGTCCCAACCCGTAATCATGGATGGAAGAAATCACTTACCAGTTCGAGAAAAGTGCTTGCGCTCTTCATTATCGAGCTCCTTGACCCGTCCACTTGAAACCTCCTGGCGAGACAGGCCCAAGAGGCTCTTGGGAAGACCCATGGAAGACAGATAAGAGACGGACTCCTTCCACTCCAGGTCCTTGCGCTTGTTGGACCACTTCAGCTCCTCCGCCATGAGATCAATCACATTGGGGAGGGCCTCCAGGGCGGCCTCGGCATTCAGGAAGGCCAGTCGAGTACGACGGGCGATGACATCGACCGCAGTCTGGGCATACTCGTGGCGGATGGCATAGCGCACCTCACCATCGATGAAGGGGTACAGGGCGGAGATACGGCAACCGCGCACGGGGTAGCGGGCATTGGTGGGGGACGAGAGAGCAGCGACCTGCCAGGCACGGTCACCGTAGGATTGGGTCAGGTGCTGGGCCACGTCGGTCTCGAGACCGAAGTGCTGGATCAGGTTGATAAAGAGGGTCTTGGAGTAACCGTGGGCACCGATCAGGCGCACCTGGTGGGTCTGGCAGCTACCGTCGAGAACGGCGCCATCAGCCACCAAGCCACTGCCGCCAGCACCACTAATGTCTGGCATATCCGTGAGCTCACGGGTCTTCAACTGGAAGGAGTTGATCGCCTCGTCGACCGCCTCCTCGGCCATCTGGCGGTAGGTGGTCCACTTGCCACCGGCACAGGTCAACAGACCTGCGGGGGAGACGGTGATCAAGTGGTTGCGGACGAGGGCCTGGGAGCTGGTCTTGGCGGGGTCGCGAACCAAGGGACGAATACCAGACCAAGCGGCCAGGACGTCCTTGCGGTCGACCGTGATGTCGGGGGCCAAATAACCACGAATCTCCTTCAGAATCCAGTTGATATCGGCCTCGGAGGGCTCGGGCTGGGTGGTGATCTCGGTGGGGGCGTCGGTAGTACCGGCGATGGTGTTGCCCTGCCAGGGCAGGAAGAAGATCACACGGCCGTCGGAAGTCGATGGATCAATCAGACCCATGTTGGAGGGGCTGTAGTATCCGGGGAGGATAATGTGGACACCGGAGCTAGGAGCGACAATCTCCTGAGTGCTGGGCTCGTCCATCTTGCGGATTGAGTCGGTGAAAGGACCAGTGGCGTTGATAATACCCTTGGCGCGAATCGTGAACTCCTCGGTCTGCTCTCCATCCTTGCCGGGAATCACATCCTTCAGACGCGCACCGTTCAGCTTACCGTCTGGACCCTTAGTGAGACCAGTGACTTCCATGTGGTTGACCACAGTGCTGCCGTAGAGGGCCGCGGTCATAGCGAGAGAAACGTTCATACGGGAATCATTGTGGGCGCCATCTACACAAGTCAGATTAACCAAAACCGAGAACAATCGAGAATCAAAGACATACCATAGTAGACCATAGCACCGATCACATTATCGCGCTTGAGCATAGGGAATGCATCAATGGCCTTGCTCTTGGTCAGGAAGTAAGAGCTCTCAATGCCCTCGGAACCAGCCAGAAGGTCATAAGCCTTGCAACCCGCCCAGAAATAAGGAGCCTGCCACAATTTCTGCACGGGCACCATAATTGGAAGCCATTGGGACAAATGGGGAGCAGTGTTCAAAAAGTACTTGCGCTCGCGGAGAGCTTCCTTGACCAGCGCATACCTGCGATGACATCACCGGTTAGAAAAAAAACCAATGTTCCAAAAGATCCAAAAAAATCAGCAATCTGGCAAGGTAGTAGAAAGAACTAACTGGTTGTAATCCAATTCCCAAAAGGCCTTTTCCAAATAACGCACACCACCGTGTACCAACTTGGTACTTTTACTGCTGGTGCCAGCACTGAAATCATCGCGCTCCACTACCGCCACCCGCAAGCCTCGGGTCGCCGCGTCCAACGCAATACCGGATCCTGTCGCACCGCCACCAATGACCAATAGATCATAAGGCTCTTCAGTCTGGCTGCGCTTCAGGTCCTTGATCTGATCAATGCGACCCTTGATGGCCGGGAAGCTGGGAGGAACCAGCTTACCCTCATGGTAACCGGGAGGAGGGACCGCGGGGGCTTCCAAGCCGGGGATATTGCGAGGACGGTAGGAAATGTAGAGAACTCCCGCTCCGGCAGCCGCGGCCGCCGAAGTATAGAGAAGAGGTCGCAGGAACTTGCGCGAATGACGAGCGGCCATTATCCGATCGGGGGGATATTTCTGTTGGGAGATGAGAGGGAGGGAGGGATGGTGAAGTCTCTAGTCTAGAAATCACGGTTAAGCTCTGCTTCGCTGCGCCAATTGCAGGTTGAAGTATGACGAGTCCCAGTGATCAATTGGGGAGTTTTGACGGAGAGAAAGTGAGAAAGTCGAGGATGATGCTTGCTCGGAGAAACACTCGGAGAAAGATGAAGGCGGAGAGTGAGAGAGGGTCTGAGGGGAAGAAAGCGGAGTGGGGGGGTGAATGGGGAGAGTGGTGGAAGAGCAGAAAGGGCAATTCCTAGGATAGACGGAGGAGAGAAGGGATAATGATGAAGATGGAAGAGAGGAAGAGGAAGAGGAGGAGTTATGCCGGATGATTGAGAGGCGATTGATCTTACTTCTTCTAGTCCCTGAATTCCTTTTTTTATCCACGTCGTTCAATTGAGTTAACACCGTGAGTCAAGGGTAAAAAAAGAAGCTGACCGAGGCAAGAATCGCGGTGCTAAAAGATCAACGTGATCGGGATACCTTCCACTTTTCCACCTCCTCCAATCTTTTCCACCAAACCGGTTCCCCGACGTCATTCCAGGCCTGGGCTGGATAACGCCTTCACCTATCCTCAATTCTCTCCAATTATCCCCATTGGCGGCGGATTCCCAGTGGATCCAACATGACGGGGTGCCACCAAACTGGCATTCTCCCACCAATCACTACCTCGGCAGCCATCCCATGCCCACAAATTATCACCAGTCCGGATTTGCACCCCGATCTGCGAGACTGGCACCACTGTGACTACTGCTGGGCCTGCGATGGAGTCTTCGAGTCTTCGAGTCTTCGACTGCTTCGAAATCTTGGCGGATCTACGACTCCATGTGACATGCAGAGATTTCGATATCTTCTGACTATACTGGGTCCATCCCTTCTCAAGCATATACGCCCCCTTCCTTTTTATGTGCAACCGTGCATTCGGCATACCTGACTAGACAACCCTTTGTTAATTTTTTTTGCTTCCCAATCCCGACCCTCTGAACACCGGTCCGGGGTACACCACTCCGTATACATTTCTCGAGCTGAGGCCCAGCTGGACCAGCTGGCTGAGGTTCGCGACAGTCTCTGCATGAGCAGCTGACTTGCGGCTCGATCCACCCAGATCGCGGCCCCAGTTTTCAGGGGCGCAAATGCCTTGTTTGGAGCTCCACTCAAAGCCAACATTCAAATCATCAATGATCATCATGGTGTCATGGTGGTCACTCAAAAACCTGCCCTTTCCCCCGTAAGTTGCGCTGCAGGTTTCGAGTGTTTCTTTTCTCTTGATTGTTGCAGGCTCTCCCAGGGACAGAGACAGGGCAAGATTCATACTTTAAAGCTTGTTAAATCCGGACCTGATCCACTTGCTCTCCACCAAGTTTCCTGGTTCCCTCCGTGTGCCTTGCAGGTTAAGGGAGAGGAAGGTGAGATATGTTGTCATCCGATCGATTCCAGGCATTCTTGCCTACTTGGTGCAGGTCGTAGAGTCTATCTATCATTTGCTGCATAACTCCGGAGTACTGCTGGATGAACTATGCTTGATTATCTATTCTGGCGTTGGGACTATGGACCGCGGGTGGGGATTCCACGTATACTTAACTAGGGTTATCCCTTCTATTGATTTCGGCCTCTTTGCTCTCCTGCTTTGAGCCTTATTCATGGCACACGAGTCCTGTAGACACCATTAGACTGGTGGAAAAGACATACCAAGTTGCCGAACCCCACCAACAGATATCTTTGTAAGGTGAACCCCCAACTAAGTACTGTAGTTCGATGGCGCCCCCACGCTCTTTGCTCGACGGAAAAATCAAAGTCTACAGTGGCGTTTTATAAGGTTGAAACCTCAGGGGAAATTTCAAAAGCCAAGTACAGTGCGGCATGGACAATACGTCCGAGCTTTGATCAAAAAGGAGACTACCATCATCTTACCCTCACCTGATCGTCAGGCAGTTCAGAGAAAGGACATTGCTGTCATTCTGCATAACTGCCCTCTCCCGGCAATATCAGCGCCCTGTTGAAAGGTGATAATAGAAACACGACCAAGGCTATCGAGAAAGATGATTGAAAATCAATCCGGAGAGACCTTTAAAAAGAAAGAAGATTGAAGCCTATCTATAGCTTGAAGCTATTTATTCTCCGGTCCATGTTCAGACTTCCGAGCTGTCATCACCATCGTAGACTAATAAGGCATCAAGGCCCCAAAGTGACCCTCGAGCGATAATTGGGTTTTCCATCAACTATAGATTCGTGCTTCAAAAAATAAATCGTATAAGTTTCTTAAGAAACCAGGGTGGGAATACATCAGTTTATGTATACAAGCTGCTTGCTGATCGGGTGATTTATATTCTTCCGAGCCGTCACCCCAACCCTGATCCTGTGAGCATTTAGCCTACGTTACTAAGAATATATCTGAATGCATGCCATAGCAGTCACTGGTGCATGGTTACATTTGGACCCTAGTTTCGTCCAACTCCAAGTCAACCCCTGCCCAATCCCGTTAATTGAAACAGATAATGAGCTATGATACAGCCTAGCCTAACATACTCCACGCGCCCTTCCAAACAAATTCCAAATCAATTGAATTAGTTCCTCACTCTGTTATCTATCTATAGATAGCGCTAGAAAACTACAAAGTAATCAAGGATTCAGGGTACATACATCTATTCAGCCCCGGCTATCGCGGCCGGAGAGGCCCGGGTGTTCCAGGATAAGACTGGGTATCTACCAGGTACTTACAGTATGTATGTGCTATCTGCAGTATCAACGGAGTATATCCCTCCGTGCATCTTTTACCCCGAACTACCCCCCTCGAGATAAGAACCCTAGGTTCACTACACCCACGCAGGGTAACTCGGGTTCTCCCGTCATTCTTCCCCCACTCCAACACATGCATAATCCCGACGCTTGTGCAGCGCTAGGCTTCGGAAGACTGTATCTCCTCTATGACGAAGTAAAGGGATGCATGAAGTGAAGTGAAGTTTGTATGGAGAGATAAGGTGTCGTACAGGGTCACAATGCAGTACCCCCTCCCTCCTCCCTCTCTCTATCTCATTCCTCCACTAGTCCTCGTCTGCGGGGGGAACTGCCAATACGCTTCTGGGTCAGACAGTAATACATAATTGAGAAAATTTCCCAACGACAGAATTTTCATCAACATTGGCCACTTCGCGAACAGACATCCATATCGAATCCCACGATGACACACGGACTCAGACGATAGGCGATCATGGTGGGGTGGCAATGCCGATCGAGCCGCCGTCTTATGCAAGTCGATCGGGTGTCAAGTCGTGGAGCGGCGGTGCCTACAGTAGTAGCCTCCAATACGGAGACTTAAGGAGATGACTGCATGGTGTAAATGGGTCCAAGCACCCACACACCATAGGGGAAAAGGCCAAAGCCAAGGCTAAAGGATGATGCCTGAGGTACATACAGTAAGCCCAAGCCCGGGTTCGCATAGCCTGGGTAGACTATGAAAAACTTAGTCTATACGATGTACTGTGTATGTAGTAGGCTATGTACAGTTAGTGCTTAGTACGACTGTTATAAGCTGGCTTACTGGGGTGGTGGCTGGAAGAAGAATCCCTTATGATCGACCAGTTTGACAGGTGGAGCGGAGTGATGCTGGGTTCAACGGGAGATCAAACCACCTGGGTGGAGAACAGTGGGCTTCAAGACCCAATGTACATTGTACCCGAGAGCATATCACCCCCACTACGGATGATATACCCTGTAGATAGGAAGATCGTTGATAATTGACTACAGACTGTGGCACCGACGTTGGCAGATTACATTCTGGGCAATATGCAGAGGGGCGCTGACGAAGAGATGTGTACAAAAGTATTGGAAAGTTTGGACAAATTTCAATCAATCATCGCTCCATTGAGCAATTTATTCCAGTTCTGTCATAGTTTGTGCTTCACTTCGAGCATCCAGTCTTCAGTATAGAGTATTCTACATTCTGCATTACTGTGAACGCAGTCCAGGTCGAAAACAAAAGGAAAAAGCAAAAAGAGAAAATTTGACAGGCAAATCTCAGCCTTCAAAAGGCAAAAGCATTCCTTCCAAATAGGCGAGCATCGTAACATTCTGGTGTGAGGACATCGTAGGCCCATGAGAATCCCAAAACAAAACTCCAGATATATATCACAAGGTAAACGGAAGGGGGGGTATAGATGTCGTGATGAGCGGGAGTGAAGGGTTCCAAAAAACAATTTCCAAGTCCATAATCCATAAGTTCCATATTCCAAAAAAAAAAAAGTGTGCAAGGTATCTTTCTGCACAGAGACGCCTGATTCGTTTTTCCCGATGGTATGCAAAAATGTGTCGCTGAGAGTGGGAGAGAGAAGGAGCAAGAGAGATCAAGAATGCGGGGTATAGCGGGAGACCAGAGGAGTCATCCCGCTCCCGCGAGAGAAGTGATCATTATGGTAGCGGAAAGGTCGGGAGGAGAGGAGAGAGGAGAGAGGAGAGATATCGAGGTCATTTAAGAGGAAGTCATTCGTCGCTTGAGATCCCGGACATGATCGAAGCAGCTGGCATAATCCCGCAGCTCATCTTGAAGCTGACCGGAGAGGGCGGCATTGGAGGCATGACTCCGCAGGGAAGACAATGAGGTTTGCGACGATGAGGCGGACAGACTGCGGCCCGATCGGGAATCGATGGAATCAAGAGTGGACGAACGAGAGTGCGATGAGCCCTTGGATGAGGATTGCTCGTCCTCGGTCGATGTGCGATCCAACTCGGCGAGTCGGCAGGTCTGGGAGCAGTAGGGACCGCCGGAGGTCTGGCGATCACAGACGAGGCAAAAGTCGAGGGACCAGTCGGTAGACATGATGAGATGATGGTTGGTTTGAGACTGGATGGATGGATGGATAGAGGAAAGAGGTAGATAGAGAGGATGGGGAAGGTGGATGTATATAAAGGTTGAGAGAGAGAAGTAATGAAGAGGATTAGAGAGGATAATATATTTCCGAAGGATTCAAGGTTGATGAAATGTCGACGCCTTATAGGAAGTGGCAGGCGCCAATGTTATCAAGTCGGCAGAAATGACGAAGAATGGGAAGTGGATGAGGGAAAGAATAAGAAAGAATAAGAATGCGAGGAGAAAGAGAGAGTTCCCAACTAAAGAGAGCAGCAGCAAGAAGGTGCAGGTTGCAGACAGTCAGAGACTAGAGACTAACAGAGACTAGTACTGTCAAGAGAGAGTCCGATCACCTCATTAGGGGGAAAGATGGGGGGATCCACACTGTCACAATCATGCCACACCCGGGTGAGAGAGCTGAGGCAAATTTAGAGGGAAAATTCAAAATTTAAAATTCAAGGATCAGGAGATACCTGGTGATAGAGTGACTTACAGTCATAAAGTTTAGGTACCTACCCAAGTGCAGGAAAAAAGAGGACTAAGTAACCTAGTGGAGGGGGGGGGGGGGGGGGGAAGAGAAGCGACGAAGCCTAAAGAGGAGATCGTCGCACGGATGACCCCTGGTGAACAGCCAACCACCGTGGACCACACGAGGGAAGTGCGGGGAGGGGCGAAGACATGAACACAATGTGGTAATGTTACCCTAGTTGGTCTAGGTACACCAGAAAGGACCTGAGTAGGACTAGTACTGGACATACTAACAGTAAGTATTCGGCATACTCCGTAAGGTACCCAGTGTACCTGATGTACCTGGTGGTGGCTCTGGTCAGAGCTGAGGAGAAATGATGAGATGATGAGATTATGAGATTCTAGGAGATTATGGCGTGGCTCGGGCGCTTAAACCAAAAACTATGAGAAAAAATAAAATAAAAAAAGTCAAAACGCACACCATCACCAATTTGAGAGCATGCCATCCACTGTCCAGATAACATGCTTCGGCAGTCCGATAGAGTGATAGCAAAATATTGATAGAAGACTGAAAAAGAAAAATTAGATGTTCACAATAATGTGACTCCATCCCCGACCAGGTAACTAGTAGTCAGGACCTTGGAAAAGCAAACATTGGGAATTGTGGATAACTAGGCACTGACTCTAATCAACTGGATCCGGGGTAGAAAAGGCCCCTCCTAGTAATTTCCTGTACCACAACTCCACCAATTTCTCAACTTGGAAAATAGTTATACGAGAGAATATACGAACGAGCATAGACAATAATATTTGATTGAATAATGACTCCAATAATAATAGTATCATAGTAGGACAGTGATCACCCTATTTACTACGTTAATGACACAAACTAGACGTTAGACGCAAGAGACGCACGAAATTACCACATCTCCTCTCTATGCATATACTCTATGAGCGAATTTGAGGGCCACGAATTCCAACTACTGTACCCTCGTGGACTGGCTCTCTGGTATGGACAGAGACGCCATTAGGTACAGGATGACGAGGCTCACTCAAGACTAGTTGCCTGCGCGTCGCCTGCAGGAACCTCGAACGGGTAGTCATCGACCTGCTGCTGCTCCACTTGGTGCCCTCTGCGGTGGCTTGCCAGCCCGTCATCTGCGCACGGTCCCTGGGCGTTGACTGTCCAGTAGTGAACTGCGTAAGTTATGTAGTTAGCACGGTGCCTGATTCATGCAAACTAGGGGGCCTGCCCAGCTGGACCTAATTATGCTGACGGAAAGCTGATGATAAACTTGGTTCACTATTATTGGGAGGGATGACTATATCATAAGATTATAAGATATCGTTCATAGCATAGCTTCATAGCCCAGGTGGACTTAATAGAGGGTGGCTATTGTAGGGTCACTCTCGGTTCTAAATCAAACATTTGAAGAATGCCTACTAGAGCAATTACTGTCATTCTATTTAATCATTAATGTGCTCAAGTAATTGAGGGTGTCTAAGGAGTACATAGCTTAATTGAGCACCTTGGTTATTATCTGTACTCCATACACTGTGGTGTTTCATTTTGCTAGTCTTCTCCATACAGTAGTGCCTGAGACCTTAGCTCCTTAGCTGCCCCCTCTCCAACCTCTCGCCCTTCCACCATATGCACCATATGCACGTTCCCCCCTCCGATAAACTTAGCTGCAGTTTTGCATTTTTGGCGCTAACGAGTCACGCGAGGAACGCGTGAGGAATGCTAATCCCGTCTCGCAAAATGCGGGGAAAGAATCGTGCTCGGTCCTCAAGTCCTGGGGCCGCAACCTTGACACCTTGCCTGTTTAGGGGGAGCACCCCAGTGGCAGATCCCGTGGAACGTTCTCCTTCTTCTCGCTTTCGGCAAGCTTTCTCCGAGCAAGGCCATTCAGCACCAGATGCACCATGATTGGATGGAGATTTGGCTCTCCCGGGCAGGTGCAGCGGGTGATCAGGGACCCAACGGAGTGGGAATGGAGGGGATTTGAGGAACGGAACAGGACAGTAGACTTTGCTTGGGACTTGATAAGACCGGGAAGCAGGAAGCGAGAGAGATTGTGTGGGGTGCCGTATTCCATCTTTTTTTTCAAGTCAAGAGGTCCAAAAAAAGGTTAATAGATCAACGGGCCATGACGATGTTCCTGCTGCTGCTGCTGCTGCTGCTCGCGGTCCTTGCTGTTTCACTCGCCAGTCTTCTCCCGTGGTTCGGCCGGGATGCGAACCAAAGTGGCTGGCAAGCGAGTTTCGCGCGCGGGGTCCTTCCCCTCGTCGGGACTGGCATCGTGAAGGCCACTAGCTTTAGCTGTGTGAGAGAAGACCCGTAGTGTTAGTCGAAAAAGAACTGCACTGGTGCGATAAGGAATTGGGTTCTCTCAAGCTTACTGGAGGCCAGACTGATGGCACGAAGCACATTGTCCCAATTGGCAAGCACGCATGCAACCGCTGGTTCGAATCAGTTTGGACGCCCTTTGCGAACAAGCAGCAGGGGGGTGGGCAAGAGATAGAAACCACCTTCAGTGCCATCCTTCAACGTGGCAATCTTGCTCTCGAGCGCCTGCATTTGCATAGCCAATGTTCCACTCAAATCCCGCAGCTGCCGGAGGTTTTCGAGTTCGGCCTTTTTCGCGGCGATGCGCGTGGAGAGCGCGGACGAGGGTTGCGAGACTGGCTGGCGGAGCCCGGCACCGGGTAACATGGAGGTTGGGCGTGAGGAGTATGCCATGGCAAAAGATGAAAGTGCTGGCGAAGACAATAGGAAGAACAAGGCGCTGTCTAAATAGAAGATTGATGACGAATAATCAGAGTCCTGTTCTCTCTCTCTCTCTCTCTCTCTCTCTTTCACCAGTTCCGCGTGTTGCCCAAACACCAAAAGTGTCCCGCCGAGGGGTGCTGAGTCAGCCAGAAATGGGACTAGTCCCAATCAGGACAAACATCAACACTCCTGTTTACACTTTACACTTCAGCTCAACTTGCGACCGTCCAACTCCACTTCTTCGCCGCCATCCCACAACATGGCCAGGCTTAACGACTATGCTGCACCGGCAGAGTCTGTCGAGGCTTGTAAGTTGACCTCTTATCCTGTCTAGGATTTCTCCCCTCCCTCTGAAGTAGAGATTGACGCGGTGATGGCTAGTGAAACGGCGATTCGTGCGACAAAACCGTGACATCGTGCGAGTGAATTCCATGCAATCCCTTCGCATCCGCAGCTTAGAATCGGAAGTCTCACATCTACTGGCCGAAAATGTATCCCTACGCGAACAGATCATCAATCTCACTCAGGAGAATGAACGATACGAGTCCGCCAGAATGCTCCACGAGGGTATCAATGAGATCAAGTCTCGCCTGGATGCGAAACTGGCGGAACTGAGTACCCTGGCTTCGGATCTGGGAATGTTGCCTCGCAAAGCAGGCAAGACTGGAGCAGACTCTGATCGGCCCAAAGCGACTGCGGAGTCAAGACCTCGAACCACGGACTCGGAGTTCAATGCAGGTCCCGAGGATGGAAGGCTTCCGGCGATTGTGGAGGACAAATACTACCCCCGAAGAACACTCGAGTGAGTTCGGCGATCCCTTTCCCTGGTCGATGGAGAGAGGGCCTTTACTGATCCCCGCAGACAACAAGAAATTCAGAACCTCGTTCACGCCGATCCCAGCTTCGAATCCCCACAGCACAATCGCTCAATGCGCGAAGAACGCGACCTGAACATGGAAAGTCCGAGGCACGAGCAGAATGATATACCATCGGAAAGTCGCATAGACAGCGATCCTGCACACGATGAAGCGGCCTTGCCACCAACGCTTGAGACTCGGAAGAAGAAAAAGAAGACCGACACGGCGGCGCCCGTATATAAAGAAGTGCAACAGGACGAAGAAACAATCACAAATAATCAACTCCGTGAGCCGACAAAATCAGGATCGAAGCGCAAATTTAGTCCAGATGAAGATGGGTTTTTGTCGGATCCAGTGCGAGAGGATGACGACTTCCAATTTAGCCGCCCTGGTGGAAGCCCTCAGAAGAAGACAGATCCCTTTGATTTTATGCGCCAGGACTGCTCGCCTAGCAAAACGCCCGTGAGCGTGAAACGGGGATCTGCCAACGCTGGAACCACAAAGAGGAAGGTCCTTGAGCCGAGTATGCAACCTCTCTCTCAATTATACCCTCTTCGGGTTTATTTACATTGGCTAACACCATCGAACAGAAATCTCAAACTCCAATCTGGGCTCCCCTAAGAAGATGCGCGCCTCTCTGAATTCAGACAAAAAAGTCCTTTCTAGACCCGGTACAGACGAGAACACATCTTCGCCCCAGAAACCCAAGGCAATTGATATTCCAAGCGGGGGGACCTTAAACCAGAAACCCCGTGTTGCTCGACTCGGTCTTGGCTCGCAGAAACCAAAGCGCTCTGGTCGGCCTATTGAAACGGAAGGCCATCTCGATGTCGAGTCGATACCCCTATTAAAGGACTCCCCGGTGGCCAAGGCAGGGGATCAACCCTTTGGAATGTCAGATATGAGCGCTGCTTCTCGTCCTTCACGGCGTCGTGGGGCCGTGGTCAGCTACGCAGAGCCCAACTTGCGAGACAAGATGCGTCGCCCATCTAAGACCATGCTTGATGCCGTGGCTGGAGCTGGTCCACGCCGGTCCTCGAGTTTCCAACTTGCGCGGGATAGTCTCGGCAACGAAGTCGAGGCCTCGCAATCGGGCTCCAGCCCTCATCCATCCTTGAACATGACCCGTTCTACTGATCAAGCGGCCGACCCGTTCAGTCAGGATGGAACCTCGGATCAGTTACTGGCGACGGTATCCCGGCGGAGGCGAAAGGTATCATCGTCAGCCAAGGATCTTGACTACGATCACCCCAGCTCGATGTCCACGTCGGGTGCTTCAAACCTGAACGATCTGTCAACGGCTCTGAGGGAGAAGCTTGGTACAAGTGGCCCATCACGGCGGCATTCTTCGAACCCAAAGAGCAGCACTCGCGACACGTTACGCGGGGAGGCTGATGTGGCTAGCGACCTAGACAGCAGCTTCGAAGCAGATGATATAGTCTCCCGGCGAGAGACTCGGGTTGCAGCGAGGAGAAGGAGTATGATGGTTTAACAGGTGGTGGTATGGGATGGGGCGCGGTTTTTTAAGTTAATACTGTATTTACATTTTAGCCTGCATTGGTTGCAGTCCTCGTACAGATACCCTTTTCTTTTTCTTTTTTATCTCTGTTCGCGAAATTTGCGAGTCAATTGAACTTCTTGGATTTGTCTTGAAACCCCGTGATGTATTGCAGACGATGAGTGAGAACAATAATGAGTAAGACCTAGACCCTCTAGGTTGAGCACAGTGATGATCCATCTACCAATCAAGGCATGCTCTTGTCCTTTGTTTCTCTGATCTCCTCGCTGCCTGAAGACTGCATGGTTGTCATCTGGCCGTGCCCAACCCGTGGCAGGGGAGTGGTTCGGTTTGTGGACAATGTAGCCCTGATGTCGCTTTCAATGGTGGATATATACACATTGGGGTAGTAGCAAGCTGCATTGCCAGCTGGATACCCTTTGAGACTCTCAGAAGACGAGATGTTAGCCATGGCCACGAGTCAAGCATACAGCATAAGACTCCTACGTCATCCGGCCCTGATCTGAAAGGCGGGGGAGCAAATCATTCAGGAACCCCGCGGCTGACTCTTCGACGGCTTGGGCATCTTCTCATACGCATTCGGACTGGGCTTCCTCCGTCTGCGCTTGATCTTCTGAGGATGGTGATTATCGGAACAACATCCCTCTGTGGCTGCTGCATCGGCAGACTGGTCAGCCTGATTCTCGCCCGACGGCCTGCGTCCTCGTGCATGGGCATGGCGGGCCATGTGGTTTCGGCGATCGGTGTCGCTTTCGCTATCTGAGTCGGAGGAGCTGGAGGAGGACTCTTCAGAACTGCTTTCGCCGACGGGTCGGGCTTTGTGGTAGATGCAGCAAACTGGTGGTGGGGTGGTCTCGTTAGTAATCGAAGTCTGTTGTGAGTAAGATGGGTAATGAAGGAGAGGAGAGGAGAGGAGAGGAGAGGAGAGGGGTGTTTACCCTTAGAGCTTTTCTTGCCCATGCCTTCATTGTCCACGACGTCTTCGCTCCATCGAATGCGGCGAGATGGGGATGGTTCGGCGGTGGTGTCAGGTGTGTCTTCGGCTCTTAATCGGAGGGTGCCTGTGAGTCGAAGGGTGGATGATTCACGGGAGGTTTCTGTTGTAGATTGGGGCTGGAGATTCACTGGCTGACGAGTTCGAGACATCGTGGAGCAGCGAGTCTGATTGTTGTGGAAGTGGGAGGGTTACAAAGGACGCGGTTCAGTTGGGCGATGGCACCACTGGAAATAATGATGCAACTGATAAGCCGATAGAACCTCTCACCGCCTAGCCCATTGAAAGTCTATTAAAGCAGCCTTGTATTAGATCAAGATAGCAAATAAGATATAATTTCTCTCTGGGCTCTTCATCAGGCCACATGCAAAACCACTCCAAATAATTAATCAATTAAACTCGAAACCTGCAAGAATCGAACCCTCAACCTTGTCATTCCCCGTATACTTCGCCCTGTTAGTACATCGCCATCCGAGGACATTGAAAAACATCGCCAGCCCCTAGTGCCACCTGATATAGCCCTTTACACCCTCTACCCTCTAACATCGTCTAAAGGGCTATTAAAGAATTGAGATGATTAATACAGTAGGTTAAGCTATATTTCACTATTAGAAACAATCATCACATAAAAAAAATCTCTAAAAAAATGAACTCCCCCCGCCTAGCGGTGTGCCCGGCCGTCCGTGGAGCTTGAAGTGTCAACACTGGCCCAGTATTTTGTATTCTTCTTTATTTGGTTGCTCCTTCCTCCAGGGCACACCTATGGTTCACCAATTTATGGTGGATACCAACTAGGCCATCGGAAGGGGGGAGTTGTTTGCTTGGCCTAAAACATGGTCATAACCTTCGATTGACTCCCAACCGGATCTAATTAATTATTTCCTCTAACCCTCCCTACAGCGGCAGATTCGTATCTCGTATCCTTATACGAATTTAATCTGTGATGCAAGTATGTACAAGGCTATAGTTATGGTATCATTGTAGTTCACGGGGAAGTATAGAAGTATACACTGGTCATGCATGGCTCGTAGCCCTCATCCATTTGATTACTGCTTCTGACTCGTATGTGGACTTACCCACCATCAAGATAAGATTGATATCAGATGTTCTCAAGATCACCGCATACTCTCACATCTAGTATTATAGAAGTATGATCAAAAATAATACTGATTGTGTGGTTTTGGAGGCCTTTCCTGTCTAACACGAGTGGAATGGTAAGCCTCCTGGGCAATTACTTAGGACCATGTGTCAAGATGCGCTGTTATTATAATAAGCGAACGTGTAACCAGGACATTTCGGCTATGTATATAGAAAAGCTCGGGGTCAAAATACTTGACTATAAACCCACTAGATGTGGGGGCCGAAGTCGGCAATGTTTTCTGAGAGTTCAACCTGTCACTTCTTTCACTTACACTATTGATATGCCCTATGAAACTCGGAAAATGCTCTAGTATACCTTTACGAGAAACAAGACTCGAGGCAATACTTTACATCTATGCAGGTAGATTCATGAAGAAAGTCGCCTCGTGTCTCCTCGAAAATGTCAAAATATCGCAAGTCGTTAACCACGCTAGAGGCATACTACTGAGGCGTCGGCCTTGCCAGCCAAATTAGGCGGCTTTTAATGAGGTTTACTATCATCTACTCCCGAATTATGGCTTGGAAAAGAGCCGAGAAGTTCAGCGAAGGGCTACAATTTCCGAATTTCGTGCCTCGATCATGCTAAGCGATGATGATCAAGGCTTGTCTTGTATTAATTGAGTCACTGGTAAGGCAGATCCGGCGAAAGCCGATAATAGTATCGGAGTATTTCATAAATTGTGTCTTTTTTTCTGCTACCATTGAAAAGAGTTTCTGTTGCATCAGATCCCAAAAGACATCAACTCGCCCTCTTCAAACAACCCGCCATGTTCATTCAAACTCTCGTTGTGACTCTCTTCCCAGCCATAGCCCTAGCGGTCCCAGCTACACAAACAACCTCCAACAGCGAAGAAGATGCCAGCGGAATATTCAATATCCCAGCCCCAATTGAATCCGCCTGCATCCAAGCTATCCCGACTGCCTGGATCTCATCTCTAGCAGACCCTGCATTTGCATCCGCCGTACTTGCTGAAGAGGAACCAGGCATTGAACCGTCATGGTACAGCAACGAGCCTGACAGTGTGAAGGAATATTTAACAACACGCAGTGAAGCTATTGATGCATACTACGCTAGCGCATCTTCAGTCTATTGTGCTACGGCTACTGTCTTGGATATCTCTGGAACCGCCCTTGCACTTTGTACTGCTGGCAGTGGTGCGGATAGTAACTCGGGATCAATTATCACCTCTACTCCGGTCTCTGCCAAAGCTTCTACCTCGAGTGCTCAGCTGGGTTCGACTTCCACTGGTGGTGTTCCCGCTGCCACTGCGGGCATTGCCATGAGCCTTGCTGGTACCATGGCCCTTTTGGGTCTCGCTGTCGCCTTGTGAGGAAGCCATAGATCAATGTTTTGTTATAGCATGAGAGGTGCCTACGTTCTACAGGACTACTTTGTACATGATAGATTATACTCCAGTTGTACGTGTGTCATATCATGGTGAACAGATTCCTTGGCGCGAATTTCCCCTTTTTTTCCTTCCAAAGAGCTATGATAAGAGAAAAAACAGATATCAAATATGACCGCTCTCGACAAATCAAGAGCAGTCCAAAATACATAAAGTGGAGGAAAGGAGACCGGTTGCATCGTTGCATAATCTTTGCGCCAAACAAACGTCTGGAAGGAGAAGGCCGGTTCTATGCTGCGATATATGCGCGTTCCGGCTCTCATATGCATGCCCCTTCCAATCATCTAGAGCTCGTAAAGAGACCAGCCGTCAAGGCTATCGTTCCTCGTCGAGCTCGGGTCCCCCAACCTTCCAGAAGAGCCAGCCGACGCCGTTGGGGGGAATTCAGTGCGCAATTCCTGCTCCAGTCATAGCTCGTCCTCCTGGTCCATCTCAGATGGCTTCAGCAAGCCTCCCACCTTCATAGCCCGAGTCCGCTCGGCGGCTTGCGCATCACGCACAGCCTGCTCGCGTTCTTCCGCATAGAGATCAGCGTTGTCGTCGGAGAACTCCTTGAGGGAGATCAAGAAATCACGCAGGTGAGTCTTGAACTTGTTCAGGTCATTAGTGTATGTGAACAGGCCAAGAACAAACTGCTTGATTTGCGCTCTACAATAGAAATAAAATTAGCAATTGACCTCATTTCACGAGTGATCTCCACTGAGATTCCCAAGGGAGGGAAAGGTTAATGGCTTACTCTTGCAGATTCTTGAAAGCATTATGGAGCAGGTTCGCGACGTATTCCTGCAGGAACTGCTTGTTGGAAGTGCCTGCCGGTGCTTGATCTGCGGCGTAGATCGGTTCCTGGATCTTGCCGGTTTCGACGAATTCGAACATGCGAGACAAGAGCATGGCCTGGGACTTGAAACCAGCCTTGTGGTCACTGTCTGTGAGGACAAAGAAGACATCCTGGAGAATGGGGATGTAGAACTGGCGGAAGAAGATGCTTGAGGTCTGCACATCCGCTTCGGCCATGTTGTTCATGAGCTCAAAGCACATGGTAAGACCTGTGTTCTCCACCTCACGGTTGTCGTGCTTGGAGGCCCACATGCAAGAATCGATGACGAACTTGAACTGGGTACCATCCAGCTTGAGGAGGGCCTGGAAGCAGTACAAGTTGATGGCCTGAAGGAGCTTGAAGAATTGGACGCGATGCTCGGGATATTCGTGGAAATCCTTGTTAATCATCTCCAAGGTGCAGCTGAAAACGCTGTCCATAATGGCGGGAATCTTATCCTCCATCAGGGTCTATAAACACACATTGTTAGCCACGTCTGATCCAGAGCAGTGAGGGGGAAGAATCAGGAGAGAAAAATGATGCATGGTCAAAACGTACATGAAGCTTATGGATGATGGTAGTCATGACATTCAGAACCTCGGCTTCTCGTGCATCGGGCACGTTCCGGTGGTAGTCGATCAAAACCGCTTCAAGAAGTGGCGGGACCATATTCGCATTCACCATATCGGTATCGTCCGACTTCTCCACGTAAGTATCGATCAACTTCAGAATCTCCTTCTTGATAGTGCGAAGACCGCGGACTTTGGGGGTCTTGGGGGCAATGGTCCCTAGGGTGTAACATGTTAGTATCTAGGATGGCAATGAGGGGCAATTGAATGGGTGGAGAAAAGGGACATACCATCGTTGGCCACCGCATCGTTGATGAGTTGACTAGAGGCTCGATACATGTTCAGCATGTCGTGGTAGATGCGGCCAATCTGAGAATAGAAGTATGTTCCAATAGATGAGCATGCCGCAACATTCGTCTTCATGATGTTGCCAATGATCTTGATCGTGTTACCATCCTGAAGAATGGCGGCGTTCTGGTTGGCTTCCGCAATAATTTGATCCCAAGCGGAATTGGGCAGCGCCATTAAATTCTCAATCAATCGATCTTGAAGTGTCTTCTGACCCTGGGCAGAGATCATGTAGCCACATGCTTCGTAGAAAGTGTGAATCTGCTGGGGTGAGAGGTCCATGGTAATCTTGCGCATGTTGCGGACAATCTCCTCGATGAACGGCTCATTCTCACCCGGTTGGAGTGCCACGAAATGCCGTCGGCACTTGTTGGCGATCTTAATGAACGTGTCGCAGGCCATATCCTGGACACCTTCGTGGGTCTCGTGCATGAATTCGAAGAGCTTGTTGACCACGGTCTTCAGGAACTTCCAGTGCGCCTTCAAGAATCGGGGGTACTGGCCCACAATGTACATGATGTTACTGGCCACCACGGCCTTGTTGTCTTTACCACGCTTCTGCTCTGTCAGGCCGAGAAGATCCTTGATGACGGTGACCAAGAACCGCTTTTCGGTCTCCTCGTTCATAGCACCTGAAATGGAGCCAATGGCCCAGCACAGGGTGTTACAATTAGCCCAGGACCACTCAGTTCCATCCACCTGCTTCGCGAGCTTGTCAATCATGATCGTCTCGGTGTCGACCACATCCAAGTGGGTGAGGTAAACCAAGCACTCCCGAATCGTCTTGTAAAGCTGGATGGTATCGCTCTCCTTGACGAATTCACGCACAATCTCACCCTCGTCGTTCTCGACGATCAGAACCTCCTCGGGGCGGACCATCTTCTCAATCATGACCGTGCGCAGATTTGACAGGACAGTTTCGTATTTGTGCTTGCGAAGAGGGTAGTTGGCCAGGGTGCTCGGGTGCGGTGCGCCGCCGTTGGACAGACCACTAACCCCCATGGTTACGAGAGGGTTGATGTCGGTGATGGGTAGCTGCTGCATTTCCTCGTAGAGTTCCTGAACCAGTCGAGTCCAGTAGTCCAGGCAGATCTTGAATACCTCACGGTCGTCAATTTGGCTGATGCGAATGAGGTAGAAATGGGCATGCGTGAGGAAATCTTGGTTGGGCAACTTTTCAATGAGCTAGACAGGAAAGAACAGTCAAAGTCAGTATCCCCTAAAAACCGACGAACAAAAAAGGATAAGGGAAAGGGGCGGACGGCTAAACCTACATCCAAATGGGCACTGAAGAAGCTGGAAAGGAAAAGAGCCAGATTGGCAACGAACTCTTGGTCGCGTCCATTGCTTCGAGCATAGGTTTCCTTCAAGTCCAAAGACAAGGGAATAACGTTCGAGACCGTTGTGAGCGTCTCCGTGAACATGTGCACAAGCCTCTCGTCATAGTTATACGGAGTGCCAATTTGCAAACCACCAATCTCCGTGAGGCACTTGAGGGTGACGTTTCGGAAGTCGGGAACATCCAAGAATCGGGTCAGGAGAGTATTAATGATGGGTGTTTCGAAGATATAACCCAGTGGGATCCAATTCAGGAAGCGGAGCAGGGTCTCGAGGGTCGCCTTGACGAGGCTGGGCTGGTTGGCGGTGTTGAGAACTTCGGAGCACAGTTGGAAGATGGAGGCAAACTCCTGGGTCATGGAGGTCTTCAGGTTGCGGGCCTTGACCGAAGTCATCTGATCCTGGGAAAAGTCAAAGACCTCCTCGGACAACAGGCGCAGGATGGCCATGTTGTTTTCACAGATGGAAAGGCTGGCGTGGCAGGAGGAGACGATCTCATTGATGAATGTGGGCCAGTTGTGCGGCCATTCCTGCTTGAGAATGGAGACCAGAACCAAGTTGAGCTTGTTCAAGAAGGCGCGCTCAGTTCGGAGCTTCTCTTCGGATCCGGAATTTTCGATGATGAAGTTAACGATGAAGTTGCGAATACCTGGAGAGGAAGTATATAGGTCAGCGCATATTCATTCGCTTCTAGCTTTTGACGACAAAAAACAGTAGGGCTCGATTCTGGGAGAGTCGAGGGGACGGCATGGGAACATTGCTAGAGCAGCCCGTCGTTACCTTGACACTGATCTCTTGGCAAGACCTTCCACCGGGTCATGATCACATCGTCGAGAACTTGCAGGGCAATATCTAAAATTTTGGTCAGCATATCCATGAGGAATTTTTCCCTTCGATAAGGGCGGCGGAGGATGATAGGGTATCTGATATCAACCCACATTTGGTTTGGGGGTATGTAGCCTCCTGGAGAATGTTGCCTACGGTGACCCAGGCATCGGGGTTTTGCTTGAACTGAAAGAAAACAAATCTGTGAGCCGGCAATCCATGATCGATCTGTCGCGTCATCGTCGTCGTCGTCGATAGGGGAATGGAAACGTGGAGATAGTGACGAGCTTACCTCGGTCAAGGTCTGCTGGGCTTGTTTTTGCTGTGTATTGTTGTTAGCGTCAGGTTTTGGGAGCAATCCATAGCGAGAAGCAAAAGACGGAGAAGAAGAATACATACCACATCGCCCTTGCCTTCGAAAAAGGCGCGGACCGTGTTGTCCAGCTCTTGTACGGAAACAGACATGTCGCCGCAGAGATTGGCGCTTTCGCCCTCACGAAGTGGCCGTCACCGAGACTTGTCGGAATGAAAGGATGGGACCCGGGAAGGAGGGGGGAGCGGGAGAATGGTAAATTGAGCGAAGCAGAAGCCAAATCACGGTTGGGCGATGGAAGGTGAGGGTAGTGAAGAAAGAAGGCCAGGAAGGGAAGCCGAAGGTGGATTGATGGTAGTTCGTCGACTGGTGGGGCAAGCAAAGGGAACGGAGTTGGAGGGGCTTGGGTCAGCAAAACACCTGAGCTCTGACCGCGGACCAAGAAACCCAAATGGCAACGGGAAGGGGAAGCTCTCTCGAAGGAGTGGAACAGACGGAATCGAGATCGAGATCGAGAATAGCCTAGCAGCAGCAGCCGGGGTGGTGGGGGGTAGGAGAGGAGAGGGAAAGGGAAAAGTTCTGGAAGTTGGTTAAAACACTGGCGGTGAAGGCGCGTCGGGGATTGTTGGTACTGTAGTAACAACGTCTTTTTTGGGAGGGTCCCGCAAACTGAAGTGAAGAAAGAGAGAGAGAGAGAGACTGAGGGGAAGCTTAGTCAGCCCGAGCTGGCAGAGCTGGAAACCCAAACAACTCTATGCATGCGGTATACTATTGTATGTTAACCAGAAGGCAGGAATAGAATATGATATGTGAATCTATGTCTAGCTCACTTCCCAAAGACAAAGAGAGAGCAAGGTGATGATAGCATATACCATTTAATTAATTAGGTCATTAAATACCACACTGTATCACTAGCATAGTCTGACTCCAATCTGGTCCTCATCGATAGTAATTCATACTCACAACCTAAAGAGGAAGAGACATGGAATTGAAGACTCATTTGTAGATCTGATTTCAATCTATACTGGGTCGGTTTTACATGCTGATCACCTCTGTCTATTAAGGGTGTGACGCACATCAGCCTTGGTTGGGCGAGGCCTGTTGGATGGAGCTAAACCCGAGGAATGCCCATTATATTATGCAATGTAACAGGTATCACCATCGGAATCGACCAACATATAACTATGAATATAGACAGAGGTAGTAAAATGAATACTACATATTTAATGAACATTTTGATATATACATAGTAGGCTAATACTCCCGCACGTTCTGCAAATCCAACCAACTCCTCAGAGGTATGTAATTTTTTTAGTTTTAGTCTGCGACCGAGATGGCGGTTGAAAGGTTGAGTTTGGTACATCTCTACAGGGTATGATAGTATTATATATAGACCATACATAGCCCAGAGATCAAGAAAAGTATATCTCTTTGTTTGGTGGATGCCTGTGGTCATGCTGTTCACTCAGAAGGCAGAGGAACAGTTTGGACCAGGATCACTGGCAGATTTGGACGGACATGCTGGTATTTTTGTTGTTGAACAAGCACTCATCATAAGTGCTCTAGAGGATGACTGACTTATTTTTGTTAACGCTGCAACAGGATAATGGGATCGTATTCATATTAAATAGCTTGGTCGGGGGCATCATATCATTGTCGTCTTCTATTCTTACCGCCATGGATGTGGGACTAGAGTCAATCATCCAGGAGCAAGTCCGTGGGGAGAAAGAAAGACTGATAGGGGCGCTTTAGTGCCGCGCGCGGGCCCGAGGGAAAGGTGACCAGCTGATAAGCGATGCATAACCGCCCAACCCGCGCGGCGCCACCGTAGGCGTCACGCCCCACCCAAAGCCGGCGCATGCGAGGGACAAAGACTCGAGCGAAAACGAGCGCGAGCGCGTGAGAATGTAAGGTGGGGAGATTTTGCAGGTACAGGGCGAGACCTCCAATGGCCATAGGATAATGGGGGTAGGGGTAGGGGGTGTCACTGTCTAGACCTTCTTGTGAGAGTCGCAAGAAAACAGCTATAGGACCGAAGGAGGAGGGGGGCGCAGGAACGCCATTGACGCTAGCTGTCGGTTGTCGCCAGTCGGGAAATGAGCAAAATAAGAGAGGATGTCTCAGACCCGCGCAGCTTTCACCAGACGGGCGCGCTTTGCTCTTCCGATTGGCGGCCGCAGTGACGCCGGCCGTGCCGATCGCGCGCTAACTCCTCTTTCGCGCCCTTTTTTTTTGTTTTTGTTCCCTGTTCCGCCCAGGCTTCGGGGAGGAAATAATCGAGAGTCATGAGGGAGGGGGATGGGGGCCATTGAGAGGAGGAGGATGTTTTGGATGTTAGAGGGGGAGCAACGTAGAGGTAAGATGGCGTCAGAAGAAGTAAACTACTTACACCATCACTAGAAAAACGTGACTAGCTTTTGAGTACTCAAAAGAAAGAAGAACCTAACTAAAAAGGCTGCTGGCCTTAGGGCCTAAGGAACAAAGTCCTTTGCCCTCAGTCACTCCAATCACTCGCATCACCCCCCATCACCTTCCTCCTCCTCCTCCCCCCATCACATCCTCTCTTCTTCTACACTTCCCTCCTCCTCTTCCTCTCGTCCATCTCCCTCCCTAAATCCTCCACTTCCTACTTCTTTATTTCGATACCTCTCCATAATTGGGCCCCCCCCTCTTCCTTCCCTGTCTCTCTCTGTGTACTCCGTACATCCCGTTTTATTAGACCCCATCCTATTCCGGGCCTTGCTGCGTTGAAGCGCTACCCGTCCTCCCAACTCTCCCTCACACGCCCCACCCCCAGGCGAGGTTACCGCGATCTTCTCCCAGACTCCCACCTCCCCCAAAATCAAGGAATCGCCTATCCAGACAAAATAAAGAAAGTCATCATTCTCTTCTACTTTACACAGTCTCTCTCCAGCCCTTTTGGTCCATCAAGTCGGACACACCCCCTGATTCTCCATTTTATCCGCCTCGGCAACTTTCCGCGCGTCTCTGCGTTGCTCTCTCAGGCACGTCCCGACTTTCCCCCCCCTCTCCATCTGCGGCTGAGACTGAGACTGGGGGCCGCTTTCTGGGATTATTTCCCACCCCCTCCTCTGATCAATAAAGACAGAGGTCTGTTGTAAGCCTTTTCTTTTCTTTATTTTTTCCTTTTTCTTTTTTCCCCTTTCTGTTCGGTGGGGAGGGAAACCCACCACGTTATTTCTTCTTTCTATTTCTCTTTGTCCTTGTCCCCTCTCTTCCGCGAGGATCATTACTCGTGGGGAATACCCGCCCACGTTTCTCAATCATGACGGCTGTCGCAACCGCTCCCGTGATGAGTAACCATGATTCCGGGACCGAGCCTCGAACAGAGCACAGCCCATCCCGCTTTACCGCGGTCAATGGCAGAGATTCGGTCACATCCACCCCCCATGGAGGACCGACTGCGGTTTCGGGAACGCTCATGAACCAAGGGGAAAGGGCCGCTGCGGCTGCGCCAGGGCCAGCGGCACCATTGAGCGACCATTCGGAACCGTCGCGCGACAGCCTGGGCACTCGAAGGGATCCCTACGACGACTCACAACGATCCTCACCATCGGGGCCTAACAAGCATAAGCGGAAGCGATCAGGGTCGGGGGATCAGGAAGCCCAGCCACCATCAGAGCCTAGCTATCATCACCATCACCACCATCACCATGTCAGTCGCGGCTCGATCGGCCATTCAGAGGAACCATCCCCTCTCCATGCGAATGGAGCTGGGCCTGGGTCGGTCTCCTCCGACATGGATTCGATCAACCCGGTCGCTGGCTCGGGCCACCGATCGGATACCAATGAAGCGTCGCAGCCTCCCTCCACGGGTCCTTGGCCCGATTATGATACCCATTTGATCAGTCAGGCCCAGCGGGCGCAACAGATCGACCCCTCGGATGCACACTTGGCCGATGCCCTTCAGCGAGATGCGCAAGGCCAGGAGCACTCCCGAAACGGAAGCACCGACCGTTCCGTTCCGCCAGCCCCCAATGTGCAGCCAGCCTCGTCCCCGACCTATGTGTCCGAGCGTGGTGCTGGGGCAGTTCAAGTCGCACCCAAGCGGAAGCGTGTCTTTAGCAACCGCACCAAGACGGGATGTATGACTTGTCGCCGCCGGAAGAAGAAATGTGATGAGCAACACCCTGCGTGTGAGTCGACATGATGCCCTTTTTTATGCCGTCCCTTTTCCCTTCCCCTCCTTGTCCTCTGGGTGTGACCTCAGCCATGATCCATCATACATCCAGGAGCTCATCGTTTTCAGCATTCGCCCCCGATAATCGTGATCGAGTTGGGAAAATGTGTCTAACTAACATGTCGCCATTCCAGGTAATAATTGTATTCGTGGTGGATTCTTGTGTGAAGGATACACCTCTCGAAGTACCTGGCAGAAGCCGTCAACAACGAAACCACCTGTTCCATTACAGTCCAAGGAAGGTTATGCCGATATGAGTGGCCAATACCTTCCAGAACCCACTGCCCATCATGACCGGCCACCCCCAGGGTTGCCCGATCATATGGATTCGCGGAAAATGAGACCGTTGGGGGAGGAGAATGAGCGGGTCGCTCAACCATATACTACCAGCCCATCTAATAACACAGCTCCTAATCATGCGGCATCCTCATCCTCGTCATCATCATGGTCAAAACGCACCTGGTCGGGCCCTGGTCATTCAGCGTACGCGCCGCCGGACCATTTGGCCAAACCTGATTATCGAGAGGTGGCCCCCATTCACGAGCTTCCTCCACGAGAGTCACATCCAAAGCCGGACTACCCTATGGTCCCTCCCATTCGGGAATTCTCCCATGCACCCCCGCCGCCACCACCGCCAAAACCTAACAGTTTACCCCTGTTTCATGGAACAACCGCAGAGCAGCAGCGTCCCATGCCTCCGGCACCCGCCCCCGCCCCAGCGCCGACTCCCATGCCGACGTCCGCGATGGACACCAGTAGTCCTCAAACACAGGCGCGCATGGCCCTCAAAATTGAGCATCAATTATCGGCCCGTGCAATCAACGTGGAAGAAACCGAGAAGGACAAGATGATTCGCGGCGAACTTTATCGGCCTTTCGATCTGCAACTGGTGGAGGAGAGGGATCGATGCAAGCGCGCTCTTTGGCGATTCAACAATGCCTGTAACCCTCACTACGGGTTAAGCTCGAAGGAGCAGAATCGACTTCTCAAGGAAATCCTAGTCCCCCCCTTCGGGCTCGGTCGCCAACTCTCCATCCGGAGTTGCAGTGCCTCATTCCTCCGGGTCTATCGGACAGGGAGCGGTCGTGGAATCGCCCTTCAACTGCCATTATGGATACAACATTCAGATTGGAGAAGATGTGATGATACACCAGAATTGTCTTTTTGTCGACGATTGCGGCATCAGCATCGGCGCGCATAGCTGGATCGGCCCAAATGTCACGTTGCTGAGTTCGATGGCCCACTCCAGTATGCAGGAGCGGAAAGGGTCTCAGAGTCGTTATCAAGGTCGGCCCGTCATCATCGAGGAGGACTGTTATCTAGGCGCGGGCTGTACCATCTATCCCGGAGTTCACCTCAACCGGGGTGCCTATGTTGCGCCTGGCGAGGTGGTGAAGACCGACATTGTTGCTTATGGGTTCCAAGGATACAAACCCAGTTATATGTGAATACCCCTTTTTGTATGAATGACCAAGTTCCTCCGTTTTGGAACTCATCCGTTTTGCCCGGGCTTTTCTTCCCCTCAACCATTTTTCGATCCACTTTAGCCTGTCTCTTTTTCCAGCCTTGGCGGTCCCTGTTGGCGAAACGAATCATCGCCGCATATGACCCTAAGGCTTGGACAATCATGTTTTGAAATGACGTCTTCCAATTTTTTTTTTTTTTTTTCATGTGGGTTGCCTGGGTCTTTTTTTGCTGTGATATATTTTTATCTCTCTTGTTTGTCCTCTTTGATGTCTTCATCTTTTTATCTACCATGGTGACCTAGGCATTGATGCGATTTATGCATGATATAGATAATCATTGATTATAAATGATCTCCAGGCATGATTCTTGGCAGGCATATGGATTCGCTGCAGTACCCTTCCGATTATAGACACTAGTAGAGACGCGGCTGATTCGGATGGAGAGGAGGAGAAAGACAGGGCTTCTGAAGAAGCTTGAGGTGTGGTGACCACATTTTAGTACGAGACGAAACTCGAATGCAGACGAAAATGCGAAAGATTTGATTTGGTCGAATTGTGGGTATCTTTTTGCTTGAGTGGAGTAATTGATGTCGAAGCTCTTCAAAGTGCTCCCTCCACTCTTCGGACATGAAATGATATACTACAGAATAATGCCGGACAGCGATGGCTTTTTCTCCCTCCTCACCCCCTCTCTTTTATGAATATGTTCACAGCCAGTCCAGGAATTCTGGGGCAAAATAGGTCAACACAATTCCTGCACCAGCTCGTAGGATTCCCTCCGTGCTCTCGAAAGCCATCGCTTTCAAGTCAAACACGCCGGCCTTAGCACCAGCGTGAATCATTGCAAATTCGCCGCTGACTTGGTATGCTGCAACTGGCATGTCCTGCGCTAGCTCCTTGGCATCACGGATAATGTCTAGGTAGCTACTTGCAGGCTTAACCATAATGATATCAGCACCCTCGGCAATGTCTCTTTGGATCGCACGCCGGGCGAGACCACGGCCTCCGGGGGGAAGTTGATAGCAACGACGGTCTCCAAATGATGGACATGAGCCAGCTGCGTCACGGAAGGGTCCGTACAGGCAGCCGCTGAATTTAGCGCTATAAGACATCAGCAGCACGCGATGGGCGATTCCAGCTTCAATCAGTTTGAGCTTGATAGCGCGGACTCGTCCATCGTTCATATCCGACGGCGCAACACAGTGAGCGCCGGCCACCGCATAAGCTAGCGCCACGTCGGAAATCCGATCCACCGATTGTTCATTATCGAGGGTTCCATCTTCCCGGAGAATACCACAGTGCCCATGTGATGTATACTCACAGAGGCAGACGTCGGTTGTAATATAGAGCTGAGGGAAACGAGATCGGAGAAGACGAATGGCCTGAATGACTGGGCCCGCTGGGTCGTCGGCTGCAGTTCCTAGGGCATCCTTGGCCGAGGGATGGAGCGGGACTCCAAAGAGAATCACGGAGCGCAATCCCTTCCGGACCAGCGGGGCCAGGAACGGCACAAGGCGATTGACGCCACGACGGTACTGATTTGGTAGAGATGGGATGGGTGTTTCTTCGTCGGGGTTATCCGTGATAAAAAGCGGGTAGATGAGCATATCCTAGATGCGACCGTCAACGACAATTCCGGTGGTGGAGGGAAAGAAGTGGACAATCGGTACCTTAGTCAGTTGCCTCTCTGCCTGCCATGATCTGCTCAGGGGGTGGCTGTATCCGGCATGGAGCTGGCTAGAAATATCCCCGGAGATGCTGACACTGGTCGCGGTGGTGCTGGTATAGGATCGGGCAGTGCGAGATTGAGCATGCGAGATCTGCGAGGCACGATCGTCCGGGTTGGAGTCTCGAAAGGCGATATCAGAAACCAAATTCGAGAACGACATGGTGAGAAGGGTTGTTGAGTGTAATTGTGGCGGATAGGGGATGTTGTTTGCACCAGGACCGAGGGCGGCGTGGTTTTATGGTTTCTGGGATTTTGTGGGGAGAAGAGGAGACGAGAGAAGAGGCGGGCACGAGAAGGGAAAAAATGATATGCCGAGGATCCGGGCGGGTAAGGCGAATGCCACTCGTTGTGATTGGGCCGAGGCAACCAATAAGATAATCACGATCTGTATTTGTGAGATATCATGTTATGCAAGAATCCTTCTGGCAGAAATAATCTAACATGGAAAAGGCTTTTTGGATGTTGTCCACAGAAAGATTATTAATGAAGCAATCTTATTTCTTTTGGAGTTCTAGGGTATTGAGATTGTCTGCAAACTAATTGGTCAGACCGTAAGAGTCAATATCGGAGTTCTGGTTTGACACTGGTCCCAGAAGGCCCCTAAAATCCGAAGGACTGGAATACTCATCGAAGAGGCAATATTGGTTGCAAGCATGTTTGTGATTATGGTAAAAGGAGGGCAGCTTGTTCCGGCAGTGGATCGATTTTCCACACAAGCCTCTATCACGTGTCCTTTATGCGGAGTATCGTTCTAGTTCTGGTCTAGCGTCCTCAATTTAGGCAAGTGCTCTATTACGCGGGCCATTTCTATGGCTGGAAATTTTTTCCCCGAATAGTGTATGTTTCTTTGAGTTCAACGGCGTGTTAAAAAAAGAAACAGGCAGGTTGTCTCACTTCGTTGAGCAAGCCAACCGTTTCCTTCCCTCCTACCGATGCCCACTACCTGGGAATTGAGCGATTATTACAACAATGAGCTACGACCGTCAGCGCACTTGGTTTTCTTTCGAAGGAATCTTCTCAAAGTAGGCCATTGAGCCTCACCTAGTTAGTCTTGCAGCCTTGCAGTCCTACAACTCTGCCGTCTTAGGAATGCGTACTGCAACCTTTGCTAGAAACGAAGCATGTCAGCAGTCAGTCACGATAAAAAGGTTCTTTGAGCCGTTCGCAACTTCAAGCATGGCTAGGAATATCTTCAGAGAGATCAAGTTGTTGAGGTTTTTGAAACATGAAAATGTTCGTCTAACGATAATTAAGCTATCACTATGGCCTACCTTATGCTAACAGAAAAGCTTGCGAAATTACTCCATATATCTATATCACCTACAGGGGAGTTGTATGCATATTTCTTAACGAACACCGCTACGAAAGATTTCTGATATATACAGATATATTGCTACAGAATTAATGGAGACAAATCTTCAAACGCTTCTGGACACTAGGTTTATCCATGGCGAATTTGTTCAGTTCTTCCTATATCAAATAATGGTTGGGCTGTCCACCAATATCGACAGATCTGCGCTAATAAGCTGTTTAGCGTGGGCTCAAATATATTCATTCGGCGGGTATATTCCACTGTGACCTCAAGCCAAGCAACATATTGGTTGACAGAAACTGCGACCTCAAGATATGCAACATTGTCTACGCAGAATTAAAGCCTTGGACAGCGAACGACGTCTCCACCAAATACTACAAGGCTCCAGAAGCCATCATTGAGCGGCATATTTGTGATGAATACATAGATATCTGGGGTGCGGGTTGTATCTTTGCGGAGTTACTGCACGGGAAGGTGCTTTTCCCGGGTCAAAACTCTATCCACCAGCTTCATGTCATTACAAAGCCGCTGGGGACCCCGTCAGAGATTGCCATTAACAGTATGTTCAGCAAAAATGTGCGTATATAGGTTTTCTCGTCTGCGAATTTTGTTGGTCTGACATTCGCTTAGCAGGGCTCTGATCTAGTCCGGTCTCTTCCAAGGAGTCAAGGCCACCTGCTGTCCGATATCATCACGAACGTTGATCCAGAAGGTATGACATGCGATTCATCCAGAATATTTACTTCTGTTCACGACGCACCTTGCTTACAACAGCAGCTATCCACTTATTAGAGAAGCTGCTTGTTTTTGACCCACAGGGGCGCGTGTCAGCATGCGAAGCTCTAGCCTTCGCCTACCTAGCACCTTACCATGACCTGACCGATGAACCGGAGGCTGAACGGAAATTTGATTGGAAATCAGGCAAAGATGACGATGTGGTTGAAGTTTGGAAGACGAAATTGTATGGCCGACGAAATGGACGGAACGGACGTTTAAGCTTACCAGACTGACCTTTGTGCAGACACGCTGAAGTGCTCGAACATCGTGAGAGAGCAGAGTTACAGCAAACTATCGAGAAATGGCTTCTTGAAGTGAGGCCTGGAAATCCCACGATTTTAGATTAGCACGGCCATTGAAGCTCGAGTCCTCCGATGTGGTCCGGCAAAATAGCACTCTATATGTACAAGAGAACGAGTGAGAATCACCAAACTAAGCTTTAAGCTACGATGAAAGCCTTGTCCCTCGTGCACCTTCGCTTTTTGATCAAAAATAACGAGCTTTACCCCGCGTGTCTCCTGTCTGCAGCCCTCTGGTCCTGGTTAGCTAAGATTGAAGCGATGTTGAATCTTACAGAGTGGCGGTGAGAAGTGAGGCAGGCTGGTTAGTTAATTAGTCAGTCAACTAACGTAATCCTGGCCATGTCGTACACCCTGTGGTCCTGCACACCCTTCATACCATAGATAGTAACTGCAATATTTTAAAATGTGATTCTCCACCCATCAGGGTTTGTGGAATCTTAAATGAAGTGCAAGTGTAAGATATGTCACGCCAAAAATATCATCTGTCAGAAATATTTTGAGGCCATATTGAATTTATGTAAACATACAGCATCTTATCTGCGTAAAACTTTTGTAATTCAGTTAAATAAATTCTCATTCTATTTACCAATATATTAGTATTATCAAGTCTCAATCGTCGGCCAAGGGCTGTATTCCCTCGTATAATATTATCAGTCCTCTTTTATCTATTCCAAGAAGGAGCTAGGCGGTTGAGTTAGGTCTTGTTTTGTATCCTTGACAATAACTCGATGTTTAGTTTAGTCCTCTACTCAATCTGGTAATGGATACGGTCAGAAGATTGTTTATCCTGTGCACTTCTATCTGCACGTTCAACTATAAGATTAAAGCCCTGCTAGTCGGACGGATATTAATGCAAGGAAGTGAATATTAACTGCTATATCATAGGAGTCAGGTGAAGGCCAGATTACTGATAGTATCTATTCGCGGTCCGGGTAAATGAGGGTGGGGGCATACGAGGGAGTCCGTTCGTATTGATTAGGCAATTTAGCTTAGAGAGTATTATTATCGTTAAAAGGAGTGTAAATTATCCCCCGGAGACAGAAGGTGCCACTGTGGAGTCTATTAACACAGTTGTGTATTAGCTTCGACCAAGTGTGTTACAGCGAGTCAAGAAGAGAGGACAGTGGCTGGCAGCTGATTATGGTGAATGAGCAGGTTTATGAGTAATCTGGGTACAGTACACAAGTAATGAAAGCCACTTTTTTGCAAATTCTGACGCCGAGTAAGACTCCCAGCCCGTGGCTTGGACATAGGAGTGGCAGAGGGAAGTGTCAGGTTGCTAGACTCTTAAAATAATCCCCGGATCCAGTGTTTGACATATTTGCATTTCCTTGGAAATTCTAGTTCCGTTGGTCGCCAATACTGTTAATATTGATATTCCGAAACTATTCCTAATACGTTCTAGCGTCTGCTGGCAGTGAGCCAGAGAGTCATGTTATGATATACCCTGGCATGAGGTTATTCCCAAGTGTTGGTGCCTCAGACTTCCCGGACCTGATAAGCCGGCAGGCTTTCTGTGGAGGTTCGCTGGGGCTTCGTCATCAGTACGTGTACGAACTCCTGCAGGGAACACCCTTAACAGAGGTTACATAAGCCTTGTGTTTCACCCCGCTCCTATTTCCCTACTAAGGATATATCTCCTTCCTGTTTAAGCGATAAGACTATATATAAATTGACCTATATTAAAGAGGTTTTACGATCCTTAAGAAACAGTCTTTAACTATCTTACACTATTAACTTAGCCCTATTTCTCTTACCTAATTAATAGGCCTCTATCCTGACTTATAGAGTATATCCTTATAATTTCTGTTTCTTCTTCTTCGATTACCTAGGGGAAATAGTATTAAGGACCTATTCTACTCCCTTTACTAAAGAGGTACTAAACTCTCCCTGTATCGTAGAAGAAATCCTAATTGCGACTAACTAGGGTTTAACCCTAACTAATCTTAATACTAACCTTATAACTACTTAAGCTACTATAGAAAAGCTATAGAGGCTTAAAGATTTATAAGATTAAGCTAAAACGCTTAGATTATAGCTTATCGGATAAAACCTAGATAAAACTCTATCGAACCTATACTAGGACCTTTATAAATTATTAGGAAAGGGTTAGGATATTAAGCTTAAAAATATTCCTATATTTACTCTTAACTCCTTATTATAATAATAATAAGAATAGCTCTTAGACCTCTAATAATAATTCGAAGGAGATCTAAGGTAGTATTATAATAGTTAAACCTAAATCCTTAAAGTATTAAGCTATATAGATATAACTTATTGATAGAGATAGTATTAATATATTAATAAAAAAGTATTAATTATTAATTAAAACTTTAAAGAAGATTAGCCTTACTTTAAGGATTAAACCTTAACCCTTATTAAGAATATAGCTAGTCTTTAATTTAAAATAATAGGCTAGCTTAAAAGGGCTTATTAGCTAAAAGATAAGGACTTATAAGAGTTTTATATTTATTTAGATACTTTAAAACGCTACTTCTTAAGGGTAGTTAAGAAAGAGAGAGCCCTTTCCTTCTTTACAAAACTTCTATATAATCTCTAAAATAATATCTATTACTATATTATAAAACTCTTAAAGACTTATAAGAAGATAATTAATATTATATATTACTTTTAAGACTTATAGCGATTAAAGATAAATTAAAAGCAAAAGTATATAAAGACTATAAATCAACTCTTATAAAAGAGGAATTTAATTAAGAGAACTTAAGATAATAAAAAATCCTAAAAGCCTTAGACTAATAAGAATATACTAATAAAGGATTTACCTAAACCTTATTAAAGAGGATAAGAAATATAATTAATACTTTAATTATAAGAGCGAAAAGTATTATTTTAATAAATACCCTAATCTATTAAAGGATAAACTTACTATTACTATATAATTTATCTTATAAGGAAATAATAGTAAAATAGATTAAATCCTATACCCGTGGCACTGACCACCCTACCCCTACCGGGTTAGGGTGGTCCAACTTCCAATGAAAAAAACTTTCCAATATAAAAATCTTCCTATTTCCCACCAATTTACCCTCTTTACCAACCACCAATATAGCCGATTCGTACGCTGAACAAGAGGCTCGCATTAGTCGCGCTCTAGAAGACTATACCAGCGGTAAAAATCAAAATTTATCTGTATTAACGCACGAGTATCGCGTAAACTACCAACGCCTGCGGCGACGATTAATCGGTCTTCTATCAAAGATTAGTAACTAGAACCGCCTACGCCTGCTTACTGGAGCTTAAGAGGATACGATTATACGTACAATTAATAGCTTAAGACGCTATAATATTAAGCTAAATAGTAAGGATATCGAGGATCTTACAAACCTGCTTCTTTAGCGCTAATACGAAAGGGATTATCCCGATACGACTGTACCAAAAACCTTAGCAATCCTTCCGCGGTTAGCTAACGCTAAAACCCTTCCTCCTAGGCTTAAGCTAGTTAATCACTAATAGGTCTATTCGTTTATTAAGCGAATTAACCCTAAAATCCGTCTAATTGCTAATAAGCAGATTAGCTTAGATAGAGCAACGGTGTCTGTAGTAATAATACAAAACTAGTTTAATACGCTTAAACTAGTAATTAAACAGATAAAATACTATAATATCTACAATTTTAATAAAACTAGCTTTATCCTTAGGTAGCAATCCTCTCGTATAAGCTTAATTAGGCGTAAGAGAGCGCGCGCAGAGCTTATTAATATATAGAAGAGTCTTACTATAATTAAATATATCTCCCCTAACAGGTTCGTATTACCGCCCTTCTTTATCTTTATAGGCAGTATTATTCTTAAGAGATAGTTCGACGAGTCACTAGATCCTAACTAGGTTGTCTCTGTAGCTAAGACTAGCTATATTAATTTAGATATTGTATTTAAATAGCTTCAATATTTCGATAAATACACCCAAAAACGCGCAGAAAATAGTTAGTATTATAATTTCACTATAATTTTAAAGGAAGGGTTAGCTAATAAAATAACTTATATCTAAAAGATCTACGCTTATTACTCTTTAATAGGTATACTACGCACTTAACTACCGAATTCCTTAAGTACTATAGGCAAGCTAAAATCCTACCCTTCTGTCTTATTTTATACGCTATATACCTTATCTAGCCTCTAGATAGCGATACGTTCCTTACGTATAAGACTAAATTTAGAAGCTAGAATCGTATAGTATCCTAATAGGGTAGTAATCCGACTAATAAATCAGTCTTCTTATAAGGGATTCGTAAGATTCGTGACGAGACTTTTACTAAGAAGATTATTAAGGGAAGCTTTAGGAAGCAGGGGATTTATCTATTCAATCCTAACCTAGTAGTCAAACTGCTAACTAAACAAGAGGACTAAGAGTTTATACCTCTTAAGGGCTTCGATTAGCCCTTTAGTGATAATATATACAGAATAGTACTTAAAGCTTCACAGGATAGTTAGGAGCTCTCGCCTGTTCTATTATTAAGCTCTATTAAGCAACCGGAAACGCCTCGGAGTATAAAAAGAAGCCTCCGGAAGCTACTAAACGCTATCAATAGTCCACTAGATAATACGTAGAAAGTTGAAAAGGTTGAAAGGCGATTTACGCGTATTAAAACTACTACTATCACCAAATTCGAAGAGTGTATTATTAAGGATTCGATTATTTCTAAGGTAAATAAGGTCCGTAGCGAGTACACTAATTCCAATCGCTCGAAGAGGCAGATCACTAAGGTCACAGTCCTTACTACTAGGGATACTAATACACGAATTATTACTCGTACTGAAAAAGAGAACGAGTAATAGGTTCGACGGGTACGCAGGGAGAATACAAAAAAGCTCGCTGAACAGGAGAAATTGGAGAGACTAAGGGAAAAGGCCCGAAATAGTAGTGATATTGAACGTCTATTTAAACCCTTTGACCTCTTTTACGTCGATACCGAAGGGGATAGCTCGCTAAGGGTGTAATTAGTTCGAGGATAGGCGGATTAGCTGCCCGGTCGCGCGGGTAGTAAACGCTATA